ACCCTAACCCTAACCCTAACCCTAACCCTAACCCTAACCCTAACCCTAACCCTAACCCTAACCCTAACCCTAACCCTAACCCTAACCCTAACCCTAATATAGGCACTCTTATAACTATATATATATAATAAGAGGAACTTAGTGTATAGGGTTATATATCCTAGATATATATACTGATAATAAAAATGCTGAAGTAGTTTCATGTATTTATAATAAGGCTGTGTAAGATACTAAAGATACAGATATAGTTAAATCAGTAGGATCTATTCTAGATAAAGAAGATATAACTGATAAATAAGTGTAGAGAGTGCTAGAGTGAAGTTACTAATATAGCAGTAGATATAGCTATCCTATATCAACCTAAGAACACTACTAAAATAGATAAGGAGGCTAGATAACAGATAGTTATTATTAAAGTGCTTGGTACTAAATATAATACTATAATCTAGAAGAAGCTCCACTAGAAGGTTAGAATCTATCTATTAACTATTAACAGACATAATATTATCTTAATAAAAGAATAGGGCTTTAATATTGCTATTAGACATATATTCCTCTTTAGTCTCACTAATATTATTATCACTATCACTCCTATAGATACTATTATCACCACTATCACTATTATCACTACTATCTCTATCACTACTAATAGTGTCCTTAATAAAGTCTATATCATTAATATCATCACCTTTTATAGCTTCACTTAGAAGCTATAAGTCAGAGTAGGTGCTATTAGACTTGTAGCCATCCTTGATATAATAAGAATCACTACCACTATCACTAAAATCCATATCTATAGTAATAATAGGAATATAGACTTATAGTCCTTGCTATAAGGACCTCTAGAAGTGCTTGGGCAAGTCTATTAAGTCATCTTAGGTTCTATCTCCTGATACACTAGATAATAGTGTGTGGTTAAGAGTTAGCCTGTCTACAAGGCTTGGGGTAGGTAGTGAGGAATAGTTATAAGGGGTGTCTTGGGATACCTACTAGAGCTAGGATAGATATTATAACTAATTTAATAATAATTAAATTCTAAGGATACATAATTAGACATTAGGATGAATAAGATAAACACAGATAATAAATATAATGAAACACTTCTACACATATTAATACTAATGGTATATAGTCTTTTAGTCTACTAACTAAAAAGGACAGTCTATAGTGTAATAGGAAGTATAAGATAAAAGCCAGATTAGTAGTTTATAATTAGTATAGGTATATATCTCCTTATAGCAATAAAAGAGGTAGTCAACTATAGATAGGATGTAGTTAAGTTATTATTTAGTAGTGGTATTAATCTAGATTAGTAGCTGTCTCTCTAGCTATAAATAAAAATTATAGTAATAGGACTTAAAGGTGGGATATAAGGCTAGCTATATCAAGATCACCTTGTTAACTCTATAGTAGGTCTAGGTCCACTATATATACTATATCTATAGTATGGTTTCACTACTACTAGATAGAAATAGCCCTAGTTCCTAGTAGCAAGATATCAGGAGATATTATTACATAAATGTTTACTTAGCACAGCAGATCTTGTCTAGCTAGGTTAGGGGTAGTAGTACAGGAGTTATAGTCACTAAAGGGTCCTTATTATCTCATTATAGCTATCTAGTGGTAATCTAGGCACTCTATATATCACTTTACATCTAGCTCTAGAGATACATCTTATCTAGATACTTCTAACTACTATATTATGTATAGTTATATTTATAGCTATAGATATTATATAGATATATCTCTACATACTTAAAACTATATCTATAGTGTATATAGAGTTAATATATATACCTAATACACTATACCAGATCAGAGTGAGGTTTACTACCATTAGATAACTAGGCTAGTTATCAGGGGTTATATAGAGTAATTAAGTATAATACTAACACTAAATCATAATAGTCATGACAGGGAATATAGTGATATACTTATAGGTGCTTATAAAGCAACTTCAGCTTTGGTTACAGTGTAAATTTATATTCTAGACATGTGTAAATAATGGCACTCTGTTGGTGGTTGATTTTTGGATATAGACTATTCAGGATGGTGGTGGTTAGCTGGTCTATAGTAATAAAGATGATGTGTAGGAATAGGTATCTAGGTCAAGATAGGTAGCTATAGTGTTCCTTCTATGTCCTGGTGTGTTCATAGATTAGTTGCGCTAGATACATAGAATGCGCTTGGCTAGCTACCTATAGTCAAGCCCTAACCCTCGGGCCGGCGCGATTCTGCCAAGTGGGGTGACCGTGACCGGCTGGCGGCCTTCTGAGAGATATATGGGTGCGCGGAGCGGGACGGCTGGCGGCCTTCTGAGACCCATTCCTTCTAGGACAAAGAACGCCGAGTACTCGCGTGTACGGCCTGCGCTAGTCTTGCTTCTCCGGGAGATGATCTCTGACCGCCGTACAACAATCACATTCCCTGATCCTCTCTAGCAAGCCTAATCCTAGCACTAACCCCGAGCACACTGATAGCACCTAGCAGAAGCAAGAAACGATGTTGGCATTGAGGTCTGTTCGCCTGCAGAAGATTCCGACGATTAATAGCTTGTGATTGCGATGCAGAGGAACGGAGTAACCTGTGAAGTCTACTCAAAGCGTAGGATCATGAAAATCAAGCGCATCTTCTTGACCTTTTGTAAACTTGTCACCTTGAAGTACGTCAACGGGCATGACAGAGGTATCCGCGATCAGAAGCGATTTCATAGCGATCCTCCCGCGAGCAAGGGCTGCGTTGAAGAATTACCGTACCTAAGCATCAGAAGTGACCGGCCAAGGCTGTACCCTTTCCAGAGTAGTTGCACAGTTAGTATTGCGAACCACATTCTGCTAGCCGCGTCCGTGGGTCTGTGGCATGGTTAAGAGCAGTCGCGATTGAAGAGCATGTACACGGCTGGTAAACTCGAGCAGCCGCATGCTGGTGCATCCCTCGAGATTGGCGTTGGAGAAGACCGGGTGGTAGACGCTGTAGTCGGTTTGGCCGGGGCAATTGATGCCTGTTGTGCCACGGCTCGGAGAGGTCCTCGCTGTAGTCGCGTTAGTGTGGAGAACGGGTTGGGTCTGTGTTTGAGTGAGAGGCCTGTGCTTGAATGTTGCGCACGTTGCTCGTGCGAGAGCAGGTGAGTAGGGAATCGGTACTGTGTCCTGTGAAGCTGCTAATGGAACGAGCAAGACCAAAGGAATCATGACCAAAAGAACAGCAGGCGATCGAAAGGTGCTCGGATAGATATGTAGAGTATGAAACGTGATATTAATTCCGTTGTAGAAGCCATGCACTGAGTAAGAAGAATTTACAAGAAGTAGACCTCGGTCGTCTATTGGTCAAGCTGACCACGAACGACACCAGCAACAAAGCTTGTAGTGTGGGCATCGGTAAAGAAGTTGGACGGGTTTGCTTCGATCTGCTTGAGGGTGAACCCAGTTCCCGTGTCGGTGCCGTTGGCAAGAACACCTGCTCTGTATTAGTAGTGACATGCGAGAACATTGAGCACCGTACCGGTTGTGAATGGGCCCGTCATACAACCCGAAGAAATCTTGTCGGTCTCAGGACCTGAGCCAGCTGGCTCGGGGTTGGGGAAGGCGATGCGAGGTGGGCCGCTGCGGCCAACGTTGGCTTGGTGGATGTGGGTGGCTGTCTTAGCGGGAGATTGATACGGGCCAGTGACGCCCTTCAGGGTGATGTGCTATATGCCGTTAGCTCGACGCTGCCATACCTTGAGCCGACTGACCCAGCAGATGAGATCCATGTCGGACTGAATTCCATAGTTGTAATAACCAACGGCGCCGGGCTGGCCAGGAGTCGCGGTGTTGTTGGCATTGACGACCTGATCGGGGGTAGCGATGATCTGGTACGTGGAAGTAAAGCAAAACGGGAACTGCTTCATATCTGGCTTTGATGGGCCAGGCTTGGGCTTCGCGACACGGCAAGTACCAGATTTGCCAGATGGAGGAGCCGCAAGGACCGCAGGAATCATGGCAAGTGCCGAAAGAGCAGTGGTGATCTTCATGCTGAGATGTGTAGTGTTGAATGTGTACGTCGCAGGGTGTAGTAGTTGGCCCAGGCTATCCGTCCTTATGAAGTCCTCAGAGGACGGGCATGTAGATGTTTGAGGCCGTTTGAGGAGATGAGTACCGCGATGGAATGTCGCTCTTCTTTTGTTGTGACACGCCAAGGTTTCGAGAGAAGAGAGAAGAGGATCAAATAGCTTGGCTCAGATTGACAGGCAGGTATAGGAACTATGGGTCGTGAACTTACCACAAGCCTTGGGGGGCACTGTACTCGGAGACAAGGACATGAAATCTCCGGCAGCCAAGTAGCAATCATGTGTGCAGCGGATTGGTGTTTTCATGATCGTCGGTGACGGGCTGGGCAAGAATGGGCAGAGATCATCTGGCATTCCGCCCCGTTTTCGTCCTTGGCGTCGTCCTGTCTTGATGCACTTCCAAGGGCTTGCAGCACGGCCAGCCAGATGCATTTCTGACCATCAGGTCTCTGTGACCGCCTCTTGAAGAGCAGACTGTTTAGGATATACGAGTATCCATGGTCATTCGAGGCGAGCAAACCTGAAGTATTTCATAGAATGAAATGATCGAAATCCTTGGCGTCAAGCCACGATATCTGTCAAAATCAATGTCAGCCGATATGGAGGACGTGGTACCAGGCTGCACAGTATTCGGCGGCTGTGTAGAACTTCAGCGCCCCTCTTGCAAGAGAGACAAGAGCCGCCGTCATTAGACGTCACGTTCGCTGTCAGGGAGATTGAGCAGTGAAAGAGGACGTCGAGCTGATCGGAATGCCAAGATAGTTGACAGATGTCTTGGCTCATTCTCGAAGCGCGCAATCATCGCCTTGAGTCCGGTGCGAGCGAGGAGGATCTCGACATCGAGGTCATTGTCTCCGTCGCGAAGTCCGTTGTTTGGCGGCTAGGAAAGACGAGGTTTCCCGTCGTCTACCAGAATAGTAATAATCCTCACGACATCTCCTTGCACGGGCAGGATGGACGGTACGTTGGCCGTTCAGGGCTCGCAACACAATAGAATCATCGCACACCAAAGACGAGCTTCAGCCGAGGCCACGCATGCGAAAGACTCTCAGTCCGAAATGAGCGCACAGCCGCCAGGCGAGCAGAATCGCTCTGCGGGCGAGCGGTCAGCTACCTCGTCTCGCACATCAACGTCGAGTGTCTGCTTTCACAATCTCGTCACCCGTATCTTGCTCTTTATTCGCATCTTGAGCGTTCGAAGCCTGTCCTTTCGATCGGGTGCCGTGCCTGTATGTAGCTGCGCTGCTATCGCCGCCTGCCTACGGGCTAGATCCATCGCTGGAGCTAATGGCTGGGTCGGAAGCACCTTGGTGGTTGTTACATGGCGGATCGCGGCCGGTGAATGCTGCTGTAGAGCGGGCTTTGTGTAGCAGCCATTCGAAGAAGCACGATCTCTGCGTAGCGTCCTATATCCATCGCTTGTGGAGGGCGTCGGCGCGGGATGTAGAGCCTACCAAATATGGTAGAGGACGGGTGCGGCGTGGCATGACGATCGCACCATCGATTGCGGACGCCGGTGTGCGGCAAGCTACTCGTCTGTGCACGAACTGTATCGGACAGACTGCTGATGTCCCAGCGCCCTCGACTGCGGCTACATGGTATCGGGTGCAGTGTCGACGCTGTACACACGAAGAAGCTGTCACGACTTCGACGTATTGTACGATGCGCCCAGCAGAAACGTCTCTTCCCTTACACTCCCGTCTGTGTGCGTGCTCTTGTCATTCCGCGAGGGTCGCTCCAACATCCTGTCCCCGAGATCGAGCGGCGGCTGTCTGGGCGTGTTTCGGTGGTATCGAGATGTCCGAAGGGGAGAGTCTCCGATGCGCGACACGGGATTCGCAAGTAGGCTGCGGTCTCGACAAGAGAAGATATGGTGAAGGGCAGTTGTATCACCAGATCTGGGTGCGATATCACACCACTACGCCGTCTAGATGCCACTTCGCAAGCACAGAGACAAACAATGGACCAGCACGGAAGCAAGCAACGCAACGCAAGAAAGGCAACGCAAGAACGCGACTTACTTCGCGTCGTTGCACCGTAAGCCAAGGCCGGAAGTCCGGAGCGGAAATTAAATTGCCAAGGGGCGCACTCTACTAAGTCGTATGCAAATTCCAACGGATCAGAAGTACCTACGCTTCACAACCAACATATGGGCTCACGTCGACGAAGGAACATACACGCAGACCCGTTCACCTCGCGACGTACGTTCGAGGTCGAGAATTTGTTACCGGTAGCCACGCCACTGCTGACTGGCTACATCTCTCATCCAAGACAAGCATTTATATTCAAAACGGCTGGAATCCAAATCAGCATGTTTGGGACGGCTGCTTATTGAAACGACTGGCCGAAGCAATAGCTTTCTCGCAGCGTGGACAACCATAGGTCCAAGTGAATGTCGCCGGCGCTGCACTTGCGTCTTCGCTTCAACAGCGCTCTCAAGCACCATCGCGCCGGGTCCCTCACTTTGTAGATATGCCAGTGAGAGACCCCTTGCTTGACGTCAAAACAAGCGGTCGCCGAGAGCACCGATGCCTACTAAGCATTGGAGGTGTAAGCCGTTCCGTGGCCGGTTGCATAGAAGGTTGATGCGCCACGGAATCTTTCCGTCGGCTGTTTGGGCCGCACTTTCCGAGATGATTGCGCGTCAACAGCTATGATACTCCATATTCGAGTCGCTGACTACTGACGCATGATTTTGGATCAATTACAGCTCAACAACAATAGTTTGGCCGCAGCAGCTGTCGCATATTCCGTGCGGTAGGTGCCAAACTATTCTTACCGCAAAGCAGTCACCAACCCTATAGATCAGCGATGTTTATCTTGGATCTGCATGTTTCGAAGGCATGGTATTCGCCTTCTTGATCGAGCGACAGGTACAGACGCGTGGCCATCGAGTTTATTTCGCGGCGTTTGGCCGGTTGCGGCACAGAATACTACCCAGACGACCTCTAGTGGAAGTTAGTGTGCACTCTGTTACCACCGACATGACCGAAGTGCAGTTACCACGTGCTGCTTCATCCGAGCTTGGGCACAGCACAGCGATTACCTGGCGCTAAGGACGCTGTATGCATCCACCTCCTGGTCTAGCCCACTTTGCTGGTAAGGAATGGCTGAAGCTTCCCTTGCTGAGTGGTCCTCTATCCCAGATCGTCGTCGCAATCCACAGCAATCTGGGAGCGTGGGGTCCCCACAAAGTATTCCTCACCTCGGTATGTCGATGTCTCCCCATGAACCCCAGACGACAACCGAGCCGACAGGCTCACGCGTGTATAAGTAGGACTCCCTGTTTGATCCCTTCCGGATCGAGCAGACTCTCAATCCTGTACCTTACTTGCACCGCACCACAGCAATGGATACCCCGAACTCGGAGAACAACAAGGAGCTGAACCACACATCGAGTCACGACGATGTTGTTCGCCGTGTCGCAACTGCGGACAGTGTTTGGATTCCCAGGGATGTCTTTGAGAAGCTGTACCTCAACCCTGAGAAACCTGTCGCTGGAGATCTGAGGAAGAAAGTCCGCGAACCCTGCTATTCTACGTACTCCATGGGTGCTGACACGCGCAGTTTGCCAATCCAACCCCAGTTGCCCTCATTGGATTCGTTATTGCGGCGACGCCTTACTCCATCTCAAGCATGGGCTGGCGTGGAGCAGGAGGTCTGGGAGGTGCTCTGATGTGAGTCGGCAATTACAAATATCTCGTGCCTCAACTGACAGAGAAGCCCCGTCATGATCTTCTTCGGAGGTGGAATCCAAATTCTCGCTGCGTGCGCTGAGTGGGTGTTGGGCAACACTTTCTCCATGTGTTTGTTCTTCACCTACGGAACGTTCTGGGTCGTCGCTGGGACACAGCTGATCCCTTGGTTCAATGTCGGCTCGCAATACTCCAACCCTGTTGGCAACACTTTCCAAGGAATGGACGAACCCGCCTACTTCGCCACTTTCGGTAAGTCTCACCCGCCATAAGTTCATGGTGTACTGACGAGACAGGATTCTACTATATGTCTCTGGCGGTTCTCACCGTGATCTTCACAATTTGTAGTCTTCGCACCAACATCGTATTCGTTAGTGCGTTGACGACCCTTATTGTGGCGTTCTGTTGTGGTGCCGGCGCCTTCTGGAACCTGGCGGAAGGCAATGTCGAGATAGGAGGGAAGCTGGTTGTTGTAGGTCATCCCCAGCCCAGCCGCTATCGTGCTACGGCTGATCAATGTCCCAGGCATCCGGCGCATGTACCTTCGCACTCACCTCGATGGTCTGGTACCTCCTTGCTGTCCAGCTGCTGGAATCGGTAGACTTCCCGGTCACCTTGCCAGTAGGTGACTTGAGTAAAGTCATTAAAGGCAAATCAGAACGTGCTCAGGCAAAGATGAGACAAGAATAGACTACACAGAGCCGGCACAGGTTGGCAGGCATGGTCGTGATTGTATGGATTGCACGCGTGGCAGCACAAGTGGCCCAACGTCGTCTGTGTACGGAAGTGCAGTCTAATGGAGGCGCGCTGGCATTTCGTATCGCTAGCTAGACAGACTGCTCCGGCGACCGCGCCCTTCCGTTGACTGTTCAGGCGGATAGGCCCATTGGTTTCCTCAGAGCAGCTTCTTAATTGCTTTGATGACCTCTTGTGGATGACTCTCGTTCAGGAAGTGGCAAGCATCAATAATGCTGACGTCTGCGTCTGGTACATCACGTTTGAAAGCCTCTGCTCCGGGAGGAATGAAGAAAGGATCGTTCTTTCCCCACAGGGCGACTAGCTTCGGTTTGTGTTTGCGCAGATACGCCTGCCATTCCGGATAGAGACTGAGATTCGTCTCGTAGTCGCGCAGGATACGCATCTGGATATCGTGCGCTCCCGTTCGTGATATGTAATACTTGTCCAAGGCGGCAGCATCTGGACCGACTAGAGAAGGCTCGACCCCAAGTTTGTAGGCCCAGTCTACGCCGTCGAGTGATAGAATATGGTTGGGAGCATCTGTCTTGGAAGCATCTGCCCACCACTCTCGGAGGCCTGCGAATGCTGGCGACAGACCTTCTTCATATGCATTCCCTGACTGCGAAAAGATGCCGGCAATCCGACCCGGGTGTTTCGCCGCGATAGTAAGCCCGATTGGCGCTCCGTAGTCGAAGATGTACAAGAAGAACGTCTTGAGCCCGATTTGCTCGGTGAACTTGTCGATAGTGCTGGCGATGTTGGCGAAAGTATAGACATACTGCTCTGGGTCTGGCATATCCGAGTTCCCGAACCCAGGATAGTCGGGTGCCACGACACGGAACGATTTTGATAGCTCCGGAATGATGTTTCGAAACGTATGGCTTGCAGAAGCGTGGCCATGTAGGAGTAGCAGTCCGGGCAGAGAGGTTGCACCGGCCTCGCGATAGAAGACATTGACTGAGTCTACCTCAATGGTCCTGTAGTAAACTTGATTGTTCGACATGATGGCCTAAGAAACGCTTGCAATACAGCTGTGCTTGGTGTGGATTCTCTTGCGAGGGCCTCTACGCATATTCTTCAGCATGCTCGACGAGGCTATATACACCTGATACTGAATCACCTGAAAGCCGTGCAGCGCGACCACATAGTCCAGGATGGGCCTGATGGTGTGCGTGCCTTGATTGGTCCGTCATGAAGCTCACCTAGATCTTTGGTGCATTATAGCGCTGTGCGATGGAAGTCAGCTGGACAGGACAACGTGTTTATCATCTACACAGGTCGAGGCTGTCCACCGAATTCTGCAGTCGATTCGCCAGATGCATGCGGCGCTGTAAGGCACTTTAAAGCAGCCAGCAGGTCACAGGCGTGCTGGTTACGTGAACAACGATATTTATTGCGGATCCGCTGCTTAGAGTTTGGGAACACCTCTCCAATTCTGCGTGATGATTTATCTTGCTGCTGTGTGCTGTCGTCGTCTTCAACCACCCTTTCCGTTAGCTCTCCCTGCCTTTTGGCCCTTGCTATCCTTGCACACCAGGCTCAACCAACGCCGCCTCAACGAAAGGTACAACGCCAGCCACGGGAGCAGATACAGCAGCGCCTGATGTTCGTCCGTGTTTTCTCGATGCAGTCGCGATCAAATGTTCCAGCTGCGAGCTTGATGTACGCGTCTACCAAGGACGGCCTTCCGGTTCGATCTTCTTGTGCATCACTAGTCTAGAATCGATGATCGACCGATGGGTCCGCACTTCGCATCAGCATCCTGGCACAGTCTTGTTGCCGTTCGTTGAATGTTGAAATGTCTCGAACCAGACGTGCGACACGTCCTGCCGACTACCGGGTGAGGGCCATGTCATGAGAGACATACACTTTCATTCACCGCTATCTCTACACTGTCAACCTATCTTGACTACCATTGTTGTCTATCACCATCGTCTTTTCCACAGCAAAAGGCTTGATGTTCTGCTCGGACTTCTCTGCTGCGTTGTCCCTAGGCGCTCTCTGCCATTCGTGTATCGAATATGATACACCACACGAATTACTGTCGCGATAATTGTCCGACAGGGACCATTTGCCCTGGAAGGACCGACCCGGGTGGAAAATTGTTAGTGCGCTTGTTGCAATTACCATCATCCCGCATTCAAGGATCTGTCTGGATATTAGAATCGATCCATGTTTCGAAGGCGCAAGTCATACCATGAAATCGATCTCGCTGTTCGCCAGGGGCCCAGTGAAACCCTGGTGCAGCTCGGCTATACGGAACACTGACCGAGTAAAGACACAGAGAGTTGCCAGAGCAATGCCTGACCGTATCAGCGACTGTGTCGTGGAGTCGGAAGAACCTACCGAACAAGAACTGGCGGAATCGCAGGGACTGCCGCACGCTTCGATGTTGCTCTATTGTCCTCTCCGGATACTTATATATCCGCCACGTAAAATGGGCGCAACAGACCATGAACAGAAGCAGAGACGTGACCTGTGTCGCCAAACCTGCGATGACAATATCTATGCCCGCCTGGATGCCTCTCGGTGTTTGCTCGGTCGAGCTGACTCCGCCTCCGATACCCTGAAGGACCAAGTTGAGAAGGTCACATAAAACGAAGACCGCGAACGTCGCCCTTGGCTGTGCTTGTCAGCCGAAGTATTCAGGCATTTCCAGGCACGTACGCTGAATATGGACAAGCTTCGACCGTAGATTCTTATCAGATGGCCCATGCACAAATAGATTGACGCCGCTACGCATGCAGGCCCGAGGATGAGGGTGATATTGTTCCTGGACAACTCGTTAGCTTCGGACAGACACTGGCAGCCTAGCATACATGAGAAAGGCTTTTCGATCAGATGGATCGGCATGCATGAGAAGTCGTGAGGTATATCCGACGACTTCGAGCACGAGTCCAGCGAGGACTGCACACATAAATCCCCATGTCTTGTAACGAATACCTTGGAAGATTTGGGCAACGGTCTGTATGGAGAAGATAGCAACAACCGCAGCGTTGGCAGCAATGTTGGGATTGTATGCAAAGTGCGTGAACCGAGAGCCTGGCACCAGTGTTTGTGTAGTCATCGCGGCTGCGAGGCCATCTCACGGTCACCGCCTGTCAACAAGCGTGGGGACATAGTGACTTGCGAAGTTGGCAGGATGCGACAGGATCTGATGCAGTACTTACCGGGAATGCATGTTGTCAGGCTGGCTGAAGATGCGAGGAGCTGAGGAACGACAAAAGCATAACATGCAATCGCGTGGAACTCAATGCCGCTTCGAGTGTTCCAAAAGGGCTCTAACTTTGGGCCAGGCACGTGTCGTCCGGTTTTCGCGGGGTCCAAATTGCAATTCAAATCATCGTGATTTAATGGCAGAGGTAGCTTTCTTCATTTCCTGGACAAACCTCGGGTGGGGGGTTCAAGGTCTCTCAACCCTACTCGTGGACCCATTAAACTCGAGTAACGCCCTGTATAGATTGGGCTACATTCCCCATGTGTGGAAGAATGCATGATTGTAACAACAGCAATGTGTGGTCACCTACCAAATGTTTCTCACTGTGCATAGTCGTTCTTGGAACCAAGAATTTTGTGGCACACGTCCTGATCGCGTAGCACTGCCGCACTTTACCTAGGGTCCAAGATTAACAACTGTGGCGTAAACTCTGAGTCCTTGCGCAGTTCGGTTTGGGCCTGTGCAGTTGGAAATTGTGAACACTTCAGCTTTTGGTATTTCTTTGTGGAAGCTACTACCCACTCGACGCCCGATGAAGATCATTTCGCTGTGAAGGCGGATATGATGCCATGCGCAACCCTGCGACGTGGTATACTACCAATATGGCCGGCATCCTGCTGGTCGAGGTCATCGGTGAGTGGCGGTGTGCCAACTCCTTGCACGTGGAAGCTGAAAGCAGAGTTCTCCCCCAGCCTAAAGAAATTGACCCGGAAGCCAAGTCGTACAAGTCAAAGTTCCACAGTCTTTGAGTTCCGAAGAAAGCGTCGCAGCAATAATGACCATGACGCTTCCCACGGTTTCTGTCAGCTCCGTCGGTGACTCGAGACTATCACCACAACATGGAAGCCCATCGCCAGAAGATAGTGCCGCTGGCACAGAAGGTGGCCGAATTTCACAGCCAGAAGCTGCCATTCCGTATCTACCATGGTAGCACAAATAGCACCAGATCCACAACCTTCTCGGATGCGACTTCAATCGATACTTCGACCCTGAACAATGTAATCTCGATTGACACAGAAGAGCGTACTTGTGTGGTGGAATCCAATGTCCCCATGGACCAGCTTGTTGCCTTCACAACACCATATCGATTGGTACCGCCCGTGGTGCCCGAGTTTCCTGGTATCACTGTCGGGGGCGCGTTCTCGGGAACTGGAGGCGAGTCGAGCTCCTTCCGGTATGGCTTCTTCGATCAATGCGTCCTCTGGATCGAGGCCATTCAAGCAGATGGTACTGTCGTCTCAGCATCGCCGAATGAGAACGCCGATCTTTTCAACGGCTGTAGCGGGACATTCGGCACGATAGCTACTGTGACTCTGTTGAAAATAAAGCTCCTGCCGGCTCGGGACTTCGTGGAGATGACATACCACCCAGTCGACTCCTTTCCTGATGCGCAGGGTCTGATGGCGGAGCTGTCATCGCTCGAAGCGATTGATTTCGTTGATGGAATCATGTTCTCGAAGTCACAGGGAGTGATAGTCTCCGGCCGCATGGTAAATTTGGACGAGTACGAATCCTCGGTCGCACCGCCTATGGTGACATTTTCGCAAAGATGGGATCAGTGGTTTTACCTTCACGCCGAGAACGCGATGTCAAGGCAGTCCCTATGCAAATCACCTCACCGAGAGCTCGCTACACTTCCTGAATACCTCTTCCGGTACGATCGTGGCGCGTTCTGGACGGGCAAGTTCGTCTTCCAGTGGTTCGGCGTACCTTTCAACAGAATGACACGGTACTTATTGAATTGGCTGATGGACACCCGTACACTTTACCATGGATTGCACGCAAGTAAGTTGGGAGCTGCGTACATCATCCAGGATTTCTCACTGCCCGACAGCAAGGCTGTTGAATTTCTGGACTGGCTGGACGAAACGTACGAGTTCTACCCTCTCTGGCTGTGTCCTTTGAAGCAGAACGATCGGAACAGCTTGAATCCTCACGTACCGTGTTCGGAAACGCCCGGACGCTCAACAGGGGAGCAACTTCTCAACATCGGAGTTTGGACAAAGTGCCCAGATGAGGGCAGATTGCCATCAAATAGGAAGCTTGAGGCGAAACTGCGAGAGCTGCAAGGTATGAAGTGGCTTTATGCAGACACGTTTTATACCGAAGAGGAATTCTGGTCGATCTATGATCGTGAGGAGTATGACTCACTCCGACAGAAGTACAGCGCCGAGTATTTGCCGAATGTCTGGCGTAAGGTCCGCACTGTTGTGCGGGAGCCGGCTCGTTCACACCCCGGCGTGAGGTCGTTGAGCAGCTACTTGCCTCACAGGATGCTGCGGGACCTCAATTTGTGGAGTCGTTGGCCACTTGTCGGCATCACTGCCGTTCTGTCATATCTGCAAGGGCTCGAGTACCTCAAAGATCCAGCTTGAGGGCGTTCCGGTGCAATCACAACTGACACGTGACCTAAGCTGAGACCCACGGCGAGCGGACCGGAGGACATGCGGCGGACCCAAAGAGGTCGGAAGTATGCTAGACCAGGTAGCAATGCGAAAGCATCGATCTGACTCCGCTGCGCATCACGAAAATTAATGTACAGCGTGCCGATAGCGGGGGACCAGGGGGACAGTCCGGGCAGCTTGCTGGAATAGGGCACTATACGAGCAGCGCCGGTGATGCTGCCGCCTCGATGATAGTGTCGGGCGTCGAGGGTAATCAATAAGAAGCCAGTTCTGGAGATCGCTTCACTCAGATTGACCTCTTGCAACCAGGATCAGTTCCAGCGCAAGTGCTTGTCGCGTGGCAGCAGCTGCGAGGTGGAGATCTGTGCAAGAAATCCATTCACCGTAGGTCGAATGCGTTGCTGATGACACGAGAGAGCTCAGGCTGCAGCACGAAGAATGACCATGTTGCGACGGAAACAAGCCGAGGTAGAAACACGTGAACACGTCGCGTCGCGTCTTCCACGAAGTCGAATTGTCTCAGAATTGGAGAAACTCCTTGCGAAGTTTGCAGCATACGACAACACACCCGCAGTCAAGTGTCGCAGAAGGCGAGCAACCCATGTCTTAACGAGCATCGCTTCCATCACTTCAAGTCTTCTGTAACTCGGCCATGCTTAAACGTCGCGGCAATTTCCTCGTCGGACGCAGACTTCTGTGCAGTTTCCTGCCCATCGATCTCCGCAAGAAGACTTCTCTCCGCAGCAAGCACGTCGCCGCCGGCATCCCGCAGCCTCCGCTCGTACTCTTGCTTGTTTGACGAAACGAATGGGCTCTTCGCTGTGAATAGCAAGTTGACCTCCTCAAGCGAACGTCCCAATGTCTCCGGAAAGAAGAAGTAGACCAATGGCAGGCTGGCGAAGTTGAAGCAACCGAAAACAACCAATGTCTTCCAGCCAAGGGCGCTGAACATGCTCGGGATCACCAGAGTCGTGGTCCCGCATCCGACTGCCCAACCAAACACGCCGTAGCTGTTGCCTCGTGCCCTGACTTCCTGCGGCCAGATCTCTGTCGGGTAGAGGAAAGCGATCATCAACACCGTTTGTGCGAAGAAGAACGTGTAAATGAACACCATCGCCGCCGCAGCCGCACCGTATGCGCCTGAATTATTGGGATGCTCCTCTCCTAGGCGCGACAGACCTCCCGAAAGCATCAATACCGCACCTTGGATGAAAAACCCAAAGTAGAGCGATTTGCGGCGTCCAAAGCGGTCAATCGTGAAGATACTGGCCGCAGTGCCAATGATGCCGAATGTGTTGCAGAGTCCGCTGAGCCACGATGCCTTCTCGGCACTGAAGCCTGCTTGCTGGAAGAGCGTGTTGGCATATACAGTGATGGCCAGAATTCCTGTCCACTCCATCATCATCATGATACCAACAGCGAGGGACACGCGCCGCCCCAAGTGCAGCAGTCCCGAATGCCTTCCGAAAGACATGTTGATCAGACTATAGCGTGGGTGTTTGGCGTTGGCGACAATGACGTCTAATTGCGAGATCTCGTGCTCCAGTTCTGGGTCGGAAAGCGCACGATCGCCGCGAATCTTGGCAAGTATCTCCAGTGCTTCGTCCCGGCGGCCGTCTGCTATCAGCCATCGTGGGGACTCCGGGAGGAAGGCCACTGTAAGGAGCAGTATAATAACAGGGACCGTCTGGAAAGCGAGTGGGAAGCGCCATTTGAAGTCTGTTGTGTCGTTTCGCAGCCCGTAACCAAGCCAGTACGCAATCACAATTCCGACATAGTTCGCACAGAACACGAGAGCAAACGAGGAGCCTCTGTTGTGTGACTGTGCAAGCTCAGAGATCCAAGCCGGGATGATCTGAGATGAGATTAGCGAAACTCCGAGCGCTTTGACAGGGGACATACCGTATTGATAAAGCCAATACCGAGACCGCATACAACTCTGGCACATATCGTCATGTTGCTGCTTTGCGACGCTGCCTGCAAGACTCCACCGATAAGAGCAAGAACACTTCCAACTGCAACGGCTTTCTTCCTGCCGAAACGATCGCCATACCAGCCGCCAATGAAGCAACCAAACATGGCGCCAAAGTAATACACCGCAACAAGGCCTCCCTGTTTCGTTGAGTTGGTGACGACCCCATCGGAACCGAGGCCGACGGCTTCGATGTACCCAGCCGAGCCATTGACGAAGCCCATCACGCCTTGGTTGTAACCTTCGAAGATAAGAGCGATTGCGGAGAACAGGTTCAGCAACCAGAGCAACGCCTTTCCTGGCACGTGGCGCCATGGCTTGAACGTCATTGTAGCTAGCGATGAGTTGCGCGAGGATGCACCAAATGAGAGACTTTCCACAGTCAGTTCTGTATCACACAAAGGTCGAGACGGTGCAGAAGTCCTTCAGCATCGATTTATATTCTGAGAGCCTTCCCCGCGATATCGCCGCACAAGTTTGCCGGGCTGTGGTGCCGCGTTGTACATTTGTGCCATGCCCACATGACTCCCACGTTGCGGCAACCTCCCCAGAAGTGCGCATCGTGATACTGATCGCCAACTGCACGAAGCAGCGCCATGATTCGCACGGGATGGTTTCCGAAGTCTCAAACCCGAGAATCGAAAGTATGGGGACGCTGAACTCAAATTTCGGGCCCCAACCAGGCCGCTGTTCAGCCGTTGCCGTTTAGCCGCGGCCACTCGAGAGCACACCCGTTACCACAGCCAAGAGATCGTCCGAAATCGTTGCTGGAGGTGGCGCGGTCAAGCTGTCGGGAGGGAACGCGTTGATGCGTGCATGTACGCGAAGTCTTGTCCGTGATCAGATGTCCTACACGGCACTCAGCCAACGAGAAAGGCACTGCATATTGAAACGTGTCTTCCAGTTCTACGGCAGCCGTTGCATCTACATCAGCATACTAACGACATCGTACTCATCAAGGCTGCCCAACAAGAACTCAGAAGCTACTCAAACAACATCGAATACAGAATGGGTCAAATCATCGTCGACCACCAGCAGACTCCGGTGAGACACGGTCGTCTGCGGCTATCGACTGGCGTCCGTCTTCACTATTACACTGCAGGAAGTGGTCCCGCCGTACTGCTTCAGCATGGAATCCCGAAAACATCATACTACTGGCGCAAAGTGCTACCGTACCTGAGTCCGCATTTCACATGCGTTGTACCGGATTTACGAGGAATCGGGGACTCTACCCACCCGGACAGCGACTACTCGATGGCGACAGTTGCGGACGATATGGCTGAGCTAATGCAGCAGCTTGGCCACGAGAAGTACCACGTTGTTGGAGAGGACTGGGGCGCCGCAGCGGCCTACCAGCTTGCAGCTCGCTATCGAGACCGTGTACTTTCGCTGATATTCCAAGAGATGCTGCTTCCAGGCTTTGGGCTTGAGGAATGGGTACGAGTCTCCTGTCCTGGCCGAAGTGACCATCGAGAGGACTACTTCCACTCAGTGTCAGAGTTCATGTTTGGCTAACAGTTTGCAGGCGACCTTTGATAGCGCGCGCCCCGAGACACACCTGTGGCACGTCGCCTTCTACAGTGTACGCGATGTACCCGAGCTCCTGATTACCGGGAGAGAGCGAGAGTACTTCACTTGGTTCATCAAGAACGAAGCGTATGATCCAACGAGCATAGCGGATGATGCAATTGAGGAGTACGTCGCAAAAGCGAGTCAGCCAGGTGGCTTGCGTTCCCTATTCAACATCTACAGAGAGACGGCTGCCAATGTGCGAGACAATAAGGCTGCTGCAGAGAAGAGGTTGACTCTGCCGGTCCTGGCGATTGGTAGCAAAGACTTCATTGGCGCAGAGGTGAGATCACAGATGGAGAACGTGTGTGAGGAAGGAGTCGTCACGTACAAGGAGCTAGACTTCGGTCACCAACTGGCAGAAGAGTGTCCGGAGGAGCTTGCAAAATTGTTCTTAGATTTCCTGGGGAAGGCCGCCAAGACCAATACCAAGTAATTCCGCATTCCTCCTGCATTCCTGCTCCGTAAATGATCATACAGGAACCAGACTAGAGCGAGGCCCGCAAGGCCGTACCAACGTCGATTGCGTCACGTATACTGCAGCCGATACGCTCCGCAAACATCATTGTTGTCCACATTGTGTTGCTTGCTGGTACCGTCGGGATGACGCTGGCATCAGCAACTCGTAATCCATCCACCCCGTATACCCGGCCACTCTGATCTACAACTCCGCTTTCACGTCTCGAAGCCATTCTGCACGTTCCGCAGAAATGATATGTCGATGACAGCTGTGACGAGATCCATTCGTCCAAAGCAGCGTCGTCTTCGACAATGGATTCGCGCAGCGTCAATGGCTCCTCGAGCACGTCCTGCATGGCTGGACATGTTATGACACGGTAGGCTTGCCTCACAACCTCTCTTGCAATTTCGCGATCATGCGATGTGTTGAGATAGGCAGGGTTGACCACCGGGTACTCAATCGCGTCAGTCGACCGAATGGTGACGTTTCCAAGCGACGTTGGCTTATTGACATTGCAGCCGATCCCCGCGACATGGCCGGTTGCAGTGCCTGCAAGACTGCGGCCTGTCTGCGTCTCGGCAGCGGGCACGAACAGGTAGCTGAAGCAGACCATTTGCAAGTCGATCGCTCCTGGATGCCGTGTCGAAGACCACCGCGCCTGCATTTCCAGCGACGAGTCTCCCTGTGCATACGCTCCTGGCTTCGGTCTCGACACAACTGGTATGCAAGGATGATCCGACAGATTGCATCCGACAGGTAAGTCGCTGAGAACGTCTATCTGCAAATCCTGGAGCAATGGCGCGGGTCCAACGCCAGAGCGTTGCAGAATGGCAGGAGAGAAAATGGCCCCAGCACACACGACGACCTCTTGTGAGACATGCAGTATCCTCTCGTCTGTGAGCAATACACCCCGAGCCTTAGTTCCCGAGAACAGAACCTTGTCGACTTGCGCATTCGACATGATGGTCAGGTTGGATTGAATCCGGATCGGATCGATGAAGGTATTTGCGGCACTAATGCGAACCTGGCCACGCCGGCAAACTGGCGACGGCCCTGCACCTTCTGCACCAGTGGCATTCAGATCGTGTACTGACGGCATGCCGCATGCCAAAGCCCCATCTAGGAATGCCCGCTGAATCCTGCCAGTCTCATCACGAGACGCGCGAGCGATCGGATGTGGTCCTCTTGTGCCTCGATATGAATCGTCCTCGAGGCTTTGGTACACTTCATAGACACTTCGAAAGTTCCATCGATCGTTGCCCATGCGCACCCACTCTTCGGAGTCAGCCACCGTATTCCGCAGAGCTGTGCCTCCATTGATGCTACTGCCTCCTCCGACGACCTTGGCTTGAGGGATCTGCATCGACTGCCCTCCCGGAATACTAACATCGATGTTCCAGTCGAGTGCTGGGTCAAAGAGCTCAGACTGGCCCTTCATCGGCACACGCCGGGAGTCCCGGACACCAGCAAGCGGCGAACATGTCTCTGGATCACAGTCCGAGCCCGCCTCTATGAGTAATACTCGGAAGTTCCTATTCTCTGCAACACGAGCTGCAACGACACAGCCCGCCGAGCCGGCACCGACGACGATGTGAGTGTACGTCTCGTCGCGCATAGTGATCGTGTTGTGCTTGAATGACAGGACATCGAGGCTCAGGGCTACTGTCCGCAACAGTGGCACGGCATGATCGAACCATGCCCGTTGCTCTCAAAGACCTGCGGTCGGAGCGTCGACCGCCTTGGCGGCCCCGGTCTCGGCTGAACGCCTGAACGGTGGCGGCTGACCCCGCAGCGGCAGATGCTGTGGAGATCTGGAGGCTTGTTCCTGGAAAACCTTGATGGCTTTTCGCTCATGTCAAGGCTCAGCCGAGACCGTTCAGGCGGTTATAATGTTGTTGAAGAATGCTGGTCTGGTAATTCGCATCGAGAACGTCACGGGATCGGATATTCGACCGGAGAGTTTCGACTGTCGGTAAATTGCATGAAATCCAGAGTCCAAGGCCATTCTTCCATGAACTCGCTGGCTAGCTTTGCAGGAATGCTGCTTGACTGGTCTCTTTGAGTGTTCATGTATTGGTCAATCTGCCCAACCAGGTCTCGAAGTCGCTGCGCACTCTTTGTCGCGTGTATGCCAGACTCAAGATTCTCCAAAAGCTGAGCAAGAGCAAGCAGAACGACTCGGACTTGCTCGTAGGCAAGCTCGGTCATGGGCTCCTCGAATACCGAGCCAAGTATAGAGCCAGTGCCCGCCAAGTGGTAAAGCAAAGGCGAGCTTATGGCACGCAGGTATGGGACAGGGATCCGAGTGAAAGCATCGATGACCTCGCTCGCAATCTTGCAACGCTCCTCGAGACTGCCACCACCCGAAGCAAAAAGCATCATTCGCAGTAGCTGTACTGTTGCGATGATATTGGCGGCCTGGAACCCAAAGCGGTCGCTTGCTGGGTCGCACGTGATCTGAGGGGCCTCTTTGAAGCAATGTGGCAGATCATGGTACAGCTGCATGATCGAATCTCTGATAGAAGAGATTGAAGCATCAGATCTGTCCACGAATAGATTTGTTGGAAACGAGCCTTGGTGCCTCTGACGATCCCGAAAGTTCGCCATGACGTGCTCTAAAATCCGATACAGATCTGTGGTGAAGTTCCATCCACAGAGCCAGCTCTTGCTGCTGACATGACCTTGGCGGCTGTTTGGGCTCTGTCGTAGGTCAGCTGGCGATTCGACTGTAGCATAGCCTCGGTCACTGAAGCGCTCGTCGTCAAGCTCCGTGGTGTACGAGACCTTAACCTGTTGCTCGCGCACGCGAGTGACGCTGTCCCAAACGACGGACACGTACACCTCGAATGTATACATCGACCAGAACAGTCGCCTTCTCTCCTCAGTTTCGACAATTCCTATTCCAGCAGGCCAGTTCGACTCATCCTGGAGGCGATCCATGGCAACCAATGTATGATACCTGCCCAGGAACCTTTGCATATCACGGATTTTGCTGCATTGTACGGCAGTCAGAGACAGCAATGCACAACTCCGCAGCAAATCGAGATTCTGGGTACTGCTCTCGGTAGTCACATCGACGCTAGCCCGTATTGCCGCCTGGTAGAACGTTTCCCATGGAACTGTGGTCAGCTCTTCGGTATCGTACGAGTTGTTGTAGAGGGCCTGGTCCTGCACTCGGGCGACAGTGAGTGCACAAAGAGCCATCGTAGCAGCGAATAGATGCCGATCTGATGTGTACTCGGCCCGAGCGATTCTGCGGAGGAATGTGGGTTGATGGAAGAATGGAAAGATTGGGTAGACGATCTCGAAGTAGACCTCTGTCAGGCTCATGACGACGGCCTGAGTCGCGATACTTGGTGCTTTCCATCGCATGCGTGTCTGCGTATCATGCACCGAGGCTGGACTGTGTGAGGCGTCTGTCATTGCAATGGGCGAGACATTGCTCCATCCTGGCTTCACTCCGCGCTTCTTAGCGGGTCGGTCGTATGTACAAGGCTGGTCAAACTGTACGCATCGGACGCATCGCGACATGTCATCTGACCACTGACACCGTATGGCGCGCCGGTGGCAGTAATCACATGCTTTCGTAGCTCTTCTCAGCCTGGCCTCGGGTCGCGGTCGGGTGGACGACATCGAATACGACCTTGAGGCCATCTGGTCGACGCGTTGAGCGAGCTGAGCGGTCACGTCAAACCTGTCGTCTCCTCAAACGTTTACATTCTGCACGTTACTATCGTCGTGTAGCTGATATGCAGTGTCTAGCACGATTGAGCTATGGATTAAGAAAAGATGTTGTTCGCCGCCGCGACCGAATAATGTGGAGTTCGTGCCCGAGGCAGGACCACTCCTGCCCCTGCCGCTCCAAGACTTGGGCTGAAAAGTCAAACCTTCGCCTGCCGCTTTTGCATGTCGCGGCCCCCGCACTTGCGAAGCTACGCCTAGAACGCCTAGAAAATGCACTGACGCCTTTCTTCACCATTTGTTGTCAAACACCTTGCCTCCAATGTAGTTCACCAGCTCTGTAACTGGCTCCAAATGATCATGCTCTGCACCGAATTGCATCCCTTGTCGAAGCACCCTCCGATAGTTGTCGCCAGCGCTGACTTTGCCCAACACAAACTGCTTGTCACTCTCGACGCGACTCGGAATTGGGATACTGCGGCCAACGACAGCCTCCATGCCCTGCCATGCAAATGTGATCGCCTCTTTAGCATCAGCTGGTATCCCTGCTTCGTCCAGCATCACAATCCGCGTCTGTGGGAAACACTGCTGCATGTACTTCGTGATATTCGGGTTCTTTGCACCGCCTCCGCACATAAAGATCTCTTCCAGCGGTCCATACTTTGTCGGCATGTATCTCTCGTAGTGCTCCACGATTGCTTGCGCAGTGATCCGAGTTATTGTTGCGACGATATCGTTAGGTGTCAGACCTTTCTTGAGCCCACGAGCGATGAGGTCGTGTGCTAAGGTATCCCGGAAGACCTCGCGGCCTGTCGTTTTCGGCGGATCGAACTTGAAGTAAGCACGCGAAAGGAATTCGTCAACGAGGCCCTGATCGACGATACCCGCAGCACCCATCTCTCCGTTCCTGTCATACTCCTGCGCACCGTCGGTGAAGTAGCGGACCGCTGCATCAATGAAGACGTTTCCTGGTCCGGTGTCGAAGTCAAAGTACTCTTTGTTAAGTGTGCCATCACTGTTGTCTGGAGGTATGAAACAGACGTTCGCTATGCCCCCGATGTTCTGACATGCTCTGAGCTTCGTCGGGTGGTGGAGAACCAGGGCATCGAAGAAACCTGCGCCTTGCATTAGCCATGTATCTTATCTCAGAACCCCCGCAGTCGTGGGCGTTGCCTCCACGGCTGGCGTCTGGAAGACCGGAATTAGGCACTTACCTATTAATGGCGCCCCTTGTCGTCCCGCAGCTTGATCTGAGACTCGAAAGTCTGTAACAGTAGTAATACCAGTCTCGGACGCGATGAAGCGCCCTCAGCCATGGTCAACGCCGACTTGGTCTGGCCAGGCTCCGGCATACTGAGCAACCAAATAGTCTGGCCATGCGAACCTATTGCATCGACCTCCTCCTTCGGTATGTTGTTCTTCTGCAGAAATGTTGTAGTCGCTTGCGAAAAGGTCTTGCCGAGGAGCACATTGACTTCTGACAGCTCTTCCGGTGTCGTTTTGTTGTGCAGAATCATGTTCATGACCCGTTTTTTTATCTTAGGCTCCAGAGGGACCTCATCGTACGCCAGGAGCTCGAAGTGCATCGGCGCCGATGGATGCTCCTGCCTGAATCTGCAGTAGGCTGCATCGATCCCGTCCATACTTGTTCCGCTGTTCAGGCCAAGTACTCTGAGATCCAGTCCAACTTCATGGTGGCCGTTGGTCACAGCACCATTCGTTCCATTGCGCAGCGCGCCATTGGAGTTGCCATTGACTCCGTTGTGCATTGCGCCGTGTGTATTACCGTTCATTATTGTTCGAAGATCGCTGAGATCGTTGTTTGACGTTGGCGCGATTTGAAGGTGGGTGAATACAAGAGCAAAACCGCATCAGAGATACATCTTTAGTTTAAGAGAGTACAGATATTTTGAAGTCGATCGCCATGCGGAAGGCACGTTGTGATTGCTTTCGGCAGAAACCGTGCACATCGCTTATCGAAGGATGTTGTTCTGGACCATGCTCCACAGATCGAGACTCGAGAACAAAACCAACTTTGTCCTGCATGATTCGCCGACGGAATATTCGGTCTAGCCGTTCAGCCGTGCCGACTGTTTAGCCGTACCGTCCACAAATTTTCGGATGTGCCGCGTGATTGGGCGAATTGACATGAGCCAGTCAGCCGCGGCAGCCTCCGCCCCGCAAATCTGGGGACGTCGGAACAGATTGCAATCGGTCTTCACTCCAAAACCCGGAGAAATCGATACCAATTTACAATCAACAGCTCATTCGATATTCTTGTCAGTGCACCAACAACTTTCTAATTCAGCTCATCTTCATTAGAGTTCATATCTATATGTTATCAGATACGACGACAGAGATATATATCCCTGCGCTGTCCTCCTCGTTGTTCGATACGCACGCACACAGCTTCCAACAACATCTCAGCAACTTCATACACATCAACACAGCCCAGCTGCTTCGCTGTACCAGGTGCTCCTGACAACCAACCATCACAATGGCCTTCAAGCCATGGAAAGCTTTGCCAGGCAAAGGCGTCTTGCTTTCGCTCAACCTCTTCAGTGCAGTCGCCCTCATCTACGAAGGTTACAATCAAGGAGTCTACGGCGCTGTCTCCGGTACACCTGCCTTCATCGACATGGCAAAGATCGGAGCTAACGGGGTTGTTACCAATTCCACAAAGCAAGGTGGACTTGCGGCCGCCTACTACTTTGGCGCTATCTGGGGTGCCTTCATCGGTGGCCATCTTGGTGACAAGTACGGTCGAAAGGCAGGGGCTTTCATGGGTGCTCTCGCGTCCTTGATCGGCTCCGCCCTTCAAGCCGGCTCTGTCAACGCCAACATGTTTATCTGCGCCCGCGTCATCTCAGGTCTCGGCATTGGATTCGTCAACGTCCTCATTCCCTCTTGGGTCTCGGAGCTTTCGGAAGCTCATGACCGTGGTTCCACTTTCTCGTTGGTCTTCGTCTCCAACTTCTTGGGAATCTTCATCGCGAACTGGATCAACTTTGGCATCCGAAACAGCGGCCTCGAGTTCCGATGGCGGTTCCCTCTTGGATTCATGTGCATTCCGATGTTGATCGTCCTCGTCACGATCGTCTTCCTTCCTGAGTCGCCACGCTGGCTCATGGCCAATCACCGCAAAGAAGAAGCCATCGAGATCTTGTGCAAGATCCGTGGAGACAAGGACGTCAACGACCCCTCAGTCCGCGAAGAGCTCGAGCAGCTTGAAGCTATTGTCGAAGCATCTCATCACAAGCGTAACAAGTACATCAACATCACACTCGGCGGCAGATATTCCGGCAAGCTGCACCTTGGGCGTCGCGCCGTGCTGGGTTTGGCGCTGCAGCAGATTCAACAGTGGACTGGCATATTGGTCATGGTCTCGTGGGCCGCGAAGCTTTTCGAACTTGCTGGATTCAGTGCTTACAAGGCATCCTGGCTGTCCGGCTTGCTCAACACTTTCGGTGTTATTGGTACGGCAGCAGCTGCCCTGGTCATCGATCGACTTGGCCGCCGCAAGTCTCTCCAAATCTCGTTCGCCATCCAGGGAGTATCTCTGTTCCTGGTCGCCGCACTGATCAAGACCTCCCAAGATCGTCTTGTCTCCGATCCGAACTTCTCGCAAACTGTGGGAACTGCTGGATCAGCTTTCACCTTCACATTTGTCTTCTTCTTCTGCATGTTCAACATTGTGCCTTGCTGGATCTATGGCACTGAGATCTGGCCGCAGGAGGTTCGTGCAAAGGGATACTCCTACACTATCCTTGGATGGGCCATTGGCTGCGGTACGACAACATTCGTCATCCCCATTATGCTCGCCAACATTGGGTGGTGGTCGTTCATCTTCTTTGGTTGCATGAACTTTGTTGTGATGCCCATCATCCACTTCTTCTACCCCGAAACTGCGCGACGCAGTCTCGAAGAGGTTGATCTGCTCTTCGCCTCAGACAGCCTGCTGGCCAGCAAGAACATGGCTGAACACGACCGACGCGTGGACGAGGCTGGTGGCAATGTTGCTGTTGCTGCACGGAGACTGCTCGACGAGGTCAACGGCGAGACTCATTTGGATCCCAGACGGGTGTCGATTACTGGCGAATTCGGTGAAGGTAAATCAGCCGCATCTGACATGGAGCACTCCGAAATTTCGGCGAATGGTGAAAAGCAGATCTAGACAGAGATGTAGCAGGCATGCTTGGTCGAAACTGATATTCAAATCTATAGATAGTTATCTCACACAGCTTTAGATACATTGTTGATGTGCATACTTCATGCTCCTGAAATCTTGTGTCGCCTTGCAAGCCTGGAGCTCGACAGTGAAATACAGCTGTAGGAAAGTCCCAGGGGCAAGTCTCAGGCGTGGAGAAAAAAATTGATGATGCGCCTATGTTCCCCAATAAGGTGCTTCAAGGCGATCTTAGGCATGGCTTAGCGCTAGGAATGGCCGAGCTCCAGGCATATCACACCTATAAGCAGCGCCTAAACTCTGACCAGCTAAAACCCTGGCTGCTTGCTCGTCCGTTGAGATTGCCCGAGGACTCCTTTATTCTAGTGGACTCTTTGTATGATACTGTTCTGCGTGTTCAAGTCTTGCTACTTCTATAATATCGCTGGATGCTTCCACGAAGACGCGCCGCCGTCTATGAGCAAATCTTGACCTGTGTACCACCCACTGGCGCTGCTGGAAGCCAGCCACAAAATCGCACCCTGGAGTTCTTCCGGCAAACCAATTCGACCGAACATAGTCTCCTTCTTGAACTGAGCTACCAAGCTGGGCTGCTGCTGATCAAGACTTCGCATCATATCCGTCATCATATATCCTGGGCTCAAACTGTTGACACGGATGCCATACTTGGACAGCTCCATGGCGAGAGGTTTGATCAGGCCCTTGATTGCCGCTTTCGATGCGGTGTAGCAGGATATCTGCTGTGCAGAACTGGCAACGTGTGTAGCTATACTGGCAATGAAGATGATGCTCCCGGTAGTCGGTTGAGTCGCGTTCTCGGTGCCATGCTCAGCTTTGTAGCGGTCCGCCATGGCCCTCGCACATGCCTGCGCGACAAAGAACGACCCGTTCACGTTGACGTCGAAAGTCTTTCGAATGGTATTAGCAGAAGTCGATAGAAATGGTTCGTCGATGGCGATGCCTGCTGCGTTGATATTTATGTCGATTCTGTTGAAGTCTTGAAGAACCTGCGATATCGTTCGATCCACGTCTTCGTAGCTTGTCACATCGGCTCTGTAGTACCGTGACACGACGCCATGCTTGCTGGAAAGCTCGAGCACTTGCGAAGGCGCATCGCTGGTGATGTCCAGGACGGCAATGTCGCAGCCAGCAGATGCCAGAATGTCTGCAAATGCTAGCCCAAGGCCTCTCCCGCCTCCAGTGACCACCGCCACCTTTCCTCGAAGATCGTACTAGACACAATTAGACATTCTGCCCTGGTGCTACTGATGGTATGAAACACCATGATTCTACTCACCAGATTCATGCTGTTGGTAGTTTGTTGGTCGAGTATGTTCCTCGTGACTGTGGTCGAGTCACGATGAATTTTCCACGCCCTCTCCAAATGACACGCTGGGTGTAGCCGGTGGACGCACCACCATTCTCGACAAGCCAAGCCGTTGTCAATGTCCCGAAGTCACGCAGCTGTCACAGCAATGAGGCCGAGTGCTCGTGTCGCCGAGAGCCGATCATGCAAAGGAAAAGTTTGAGTGACGTCGGGCGCCGCCCACTGCGGTGTCACCGTCACGCTGTGATTGGACCGGAACTCTTCTGGCAGCTTGCTGCTTCGGCCACGACCATGCGCCGTTTAGCCGCTCTACCGGCGGGCCGGCATCAGAGTTTGGAGAGGTCTTGTGCACGTGTTCTCCGCACGCCCAGAACCCAGAATCCAGAATTCAGATCGTTGCCTTCTCTTCGGAGTGTCGCAAACACATGGCACATCGCGCGGTAAAGCATGTGCCCGCATGCTGTCCTGAAGCCTATTCATGAAGCGCACCACACTCCGTGTGATCTTCGCCCCCACGACTCCACAGATGGTGATAGATACAGGTAGGATGTTTTACCCTTCGCGTTGAGCGTGATATTGTGTCGCTTCACACACACAGCATCTCTCCGGACGAGTTAATTGCTTACAAGCACTTTCACCGAAGCAAAGTCTCGCCATGTCTGCGGCGGCGAACGGCAAACGCGTTTGTCGATGGGCGGCTTTGTCGCTATCGACCATCGCCTCGACATTCTTCCAGGACCTTCTCTCACAAGAGGGCGCGCAGTACGACCACAAACTTGTGGCAATTAGTACTACTGGCTCCGACGAGCGAGCACAGAAATGGCTAGGCGACAACAAGATTCCCGACGCAGGTTCGGTCGTGGTCTATCACTCGTGGGAGAAGATGCTGAAAGAAGGAGACTTCGACATCGTCTACATCTCGACTCCGCATCCCTTGCACTACGAAGAGACACTGGCGGCCATTGCACGCCGGCGCAACGCACTCGTCGAGAAACCTGCGACCATGACCGCTGCCCAGTATCGCAAGTGCATTGCCGAGGCGGAAAAGCAGAAGGTCGTGCTCATGGAAGCTATGTGGACGAGATATCTTCCCGCGACCAGGTATCTGCAAGAAGACCTATTGCCTCGCATAGGTGATGTGAGGCGCGTGTTCTCAGATTTCTCTTTCCCGATTGTCGGCCCAGAATTGCCCAACGACTCACGATTTCTGGATAAAAGTGCTGGCGCTGGTTCCTTGCTTGATCAGGGCGTGTACGCTCTGACATGGGCAGATGTTGCGCTTAACACAAGTAAGGCATCGAAGGCCGATGTTGTGCACGCGCACACACACACTGTCCCGCAAAGGCCAGGAGATGTTGACGACATTACAACAGTCATTCTGGCTGGTGGCGATGCTACCGCGGTTGTGACAATGAGTATGACACTTCCCGGTTCAAGCAAGCCCGCGTTCTACCAGCGACTACAGGCAGAGAAGGCTGCACCATCAGTCAGGATCGAAGGCTCCGAGGCCTCCGTTGCGATTCCGTTTCCATGCATTCGGCCAGAAGAACTCCGAGTGCAGTGGTACGGGCGGGACCATGTTGGTGAAGACGGGGTCGAGCGGGAGGAGGTCATTCGAAAGCCAGTGTCCGGATGGGGGATCTGGTATCAGGCTGATGTGATTGCCGATGCAGTATTCTCTGGGAAGCCCCAGACCATAGGCGCGGACGAGTCCTTGAGAGTGCTGGAATGGATGGACAAGGCGCGAAAACTCGCGGGAATAACGTACGATGCGAAGCTGGAACAAGTTTAGCTGATTAATAAAGATCGTGTGCTATGGCCAATTTCAGAAGGCGCCCGCCACGTCTTTCACTCGTTGGCCACCCTGGCCACCCATTTGGAAGATTCATCGCGATAAACCAAAGCTAGTATACATGACTCTCCGCCCTATGCGCCAAGTCTACGCCAGACATTCCCTTCGGCTCTCTAGTGACTATCGTAACCACCTCAGCTGGAGCCTTCAGCCCGCGGCGAACTTGCTCCTGGCCCGGAGACTCGCTCCAAAGAAGTACAGCATGAATATCCCACCAACACACACAATGTCAAGCCCGGCCAACAAACTAACGCCGCCCTGGACTGTCAAATTGATAAACATCGGCCGAGCAAAGACAACCGCGCCTGCTGCGAACGTGCTCCGCGCCAGATCATTCGCGGCGAAGAGTGATGCCGTATACTGTGGATACGTGAACGGAATGTACAAGAAGAGAACCTGCATCACGATGTACAGGCCAGCCGAATTCAGACCGACACCGATAATGCTGACAATCCAGTGTACAGATGGCCTGCTTGTCCAAGCTACGCTGCGTTAGTATAGACGTCATTGTTCAAGGCTCAACTTACCATAGATGAAGAGGCCGATCGGCATGATGATTGCCCCAATCAACCCTGGTACAAGTCTCGACTCTGGCGATCCAAAATGCGGCTGTGACTTCATGCGCTCCTCGGCGTAGAACCAGAAGTAGGCACAGTACGCAGGGATGCTCAGCCCCAACGCGACCAACACAATGAGAAACACAAGTCCGGTCTCGCCCAGGTTGAAGCCGTACTTCTCTGCGTAGACCAGTGGAAAGCTCTCGAAGAAGGAATAGTATATGCCGTAAATCAAGGCCATGTATACTGTCGTGAAGAGTACGGCCGGATCTAGGACATTGATCTCCCATGGTTTGATGAGCGCCTCAAATGCAATCTGGCGTGCAGTCATCTTGTGGATGCTGATCTCCGACTCCGATTTCAGATTGGTCCGCCCAGTCAGCTTGCGCAGCCGTCGTGCTCGTCGCAGGAGTATAGCGTCTGCAGAAGTCTCGGGAAAGCACGCAATCATGAGTAGCAGAATCGGCCCTGAAAGCCACAGCAGCTCCCATGCACTCCATCGCCAGCCCATCTTGGTCACAGCAAAACCGGTAACGGCTGGTCCAAGCGCGGGTCCAAGAGTTGCAGAGGCGACCCAGAACATCAATGCGTAGGGCATCTTGGTGGGCGCGTACATGTCTTGTAGTGTTGCTCCTCCAGTCGCCAGGCACGGGCTACCGAAGAAGCCCAGGAAGAACCTCAGCGCCAACAAGCCGCCAAAGTCATCGACCAGACTTGCTGCCATAGCGAGAATGACGAAGACCGTGAAGGTAGCGATGTATAGCCAGTTCCTGCCCAGTATGGGGATCTCAGACAGCGGCGAAAAGATCATTGGGCCGACACCGTATCCCAACACGTACAGCGCCAGCCCAAGCGACGACGCAGCCGGACTGACATTGTAGATACGCTCGACGTCTGTCTCTGCGGCCACATAGAGAGACGACCCAAGGTACACCGTGAAGGTGTAGAGACAAAGCTGGATCGAGATGAAGAGTTTCTTGCCAAGGGACCAGTTCTGAGGGTTCGCTTGATCGCTTTCGTTGAACCAGGTCACCAGAAGAGGCACCTGCGCAGCTGGTGTGGGACGGCTTCCGTCAGCCTTCTCGATGTCATTCGGTGTACCGGTGCCGCCTGTATTCGATACGGAGTCGCTCGTGTCGGCATGTGCTTGGTCGGGTGCGCCGGATCCTGCACTGTTATCCTGCTGCGGCTTGTCCCATGTGGAAGGCAAGGTAAATCCAGACTTCTCTTCCGGATGGCAAAGGCTGCCACGGACGCCCAGAAATTGCAGTGACTGTCCAACGGCTGATTCTCTGATGATTTCCCACATCATGCAACGATCTCGACGGGTTACACAGAGCTTAGAAGACGTTGTGTTGTGGGTGCGTATTCAGAGAACCCCTTGCAAACCATCGCTTTTGTATCTTGAAGCGCTTCGTGTGTTTGCTCATGGTCAGACCAGGGTCTCGCTCAAAGGAATTGATCGATCTTGATTGAGCGATGAGTTTCTGCCAGATGCGGCACGAAATTGCAGGTCTAATCAACATTGTTCCTCTTCGGGCAGGATGTTCAGGGCAAGGACAGAGATTGGTCGTGATGACCAGTGATTACCTCTCGTACGAGTCGTCGCAGAGTCGTCCTGGAAGCTCTTACACCATTAGATGTGATGAGTCATACCATTGCACTTCATGTCGCACCGCCTTCACAATGTTGAAATGCTGGTCTGTGCTGAGCGTTGTTTACTCAACATTGCCAAGAACTTTGGTACACTTCACAGCATGCGTCGTTACGTGACCCGACAAATGCTTGGCTAATTTTCCGTTCAGTAATCGACCAAATCGCCCCAAAGGCAAACGGATATACACTCACAGATGGGACTTTTTCTAGTACTTTAATTGAATGCTGTACCCGTCGCATCGCTCTCTGCCCTCCCCCGCTCCACCTTGTTATCACTTCTTAGCAGATCGCACTCCACACACACGACAGTCGACAAAATGCCGAACGAACTCGTCCTTTTGACAGGAGCGTCCGGTCAGATAGGATTCCGTACCTTGATCCAGGCCCTGAGCTCGGGGTATCATGTTCGCGCCGCCGTACGCTCACAGCGCAAGCAAGACCTGATCGCCAATGCCTCTGCAACTCAGCCGTATCTCAAGCAGCTGTCATTCGTCCATGTCACAGATTTCGAGAAGGACGGCGCTTTCGATGATGCTGTTCAAGGAGTCAGCTACATAATCCACATCGCATCACCACTGTCGGATGCCGGTACAGACGTCCAACGCGACATCGTCCAGCCCGCAATTCGGGGTACCTTGAGCATCCTCGACTCAGCGAGTAAAGCCTCCTCTGTCAAACGAGTGGTCATCACATCCTCTTCGCTTGCAACATGGTCGTTCGCTCCGGACCCTTACACGGCCAGCGACTTCCAGCCTGATCCCGAGGTGCCAAAGGAGCCCGGATTTTTCGCCTATGCAGCCAGCAAGAAACTTGCCCTGAACCGAACGCGCGACTGGGTGCAAGAAAAGAAGCCAGGCTTCGCGGTCATCAACATCATGCCATCATTCGTTTGGGGGAGAAACGAGAATGCAACAACAAGGGCTGATTTGGCGCAGGGCTCGAATGGCATGCTCTTGAAGTTGGCCTTGGGAGGCGCCAACATCGACCAAGGTTTCCCAAATAGCGCTTGCCACGTTGATGATGTAGCTGAGGTACACGTGCGAGCTCTGGATGTACCAGACGTGGGCCCCCTTCGTAATTTTGGCGTGGGTTGGTCGAAAGAAAAGTGGCAGTGGGACGACATTAAGGAGATCGCACGCAAACACTATCCGGAAGCTTTCGAAGATGGGACTTTCGTGTCCAGTGGATCCATCAAGTCGGCCGAGATGGCATTCGATGCGAGCGAGACGGAGAAGACCTTGGGCATCGAGTTCAAGTCGTTGGAAACGGCGATCAAGGACCTAGCGGGCCAGTATCTGGAGCTCAAGTAAACCCGGCGTCATCTTTCGAAGCTATATGCATCAGTTTACCACGGAATCAGGGCCTTATGTCCATGCTCCGTCAAGTAGCGGTTGACTTCCCTTGTAGTCGTATCCCAGAATGCGCTGCACTGCTTCGGATCCTTGACAATTGGATGTGCAGGCGTGACCACGCCTATGGGAGCGATGTACTTTCCCTTGTACTTCTGTGGCTGGCTTCTGACCTCAGGCGCCACGGCGGCGAACACCGACGTTAACGAGCCCGTGTCTTGGTCAAGCATCGTCAATCTCATCAGCGGCTGTACCAGGCCTGACCAGATGCCCACAGCATTGTCGCTCTTCACGTTTCCCGGGTCCAATGACATAGAGATGATGGGCAGGCTTTGCTGATCGAAATGTCGCTGTAGTTCCTGGGCAAAGACAGCGCAGGCAAGCTTTGCCATTGCATACCGCAGACCGTCGATCTTAAGCATGTTCTTCATGGTGAGCCGGTATTTTAGAGGCTCATAGGGTAGTTTGCCTTGCAGAAAGTCTGGCTTGTGGAAGTCAATAGCATAGTCCGGGGGAAGGAAGACCGAGTGCGCGCCAGAGGAGACCGTAACTACCCGCACATCGGCACCTGGAGCTCCGGCAGCGGTCTTCAAGAGAGGTAGGAGGCTGTTAGTCAAGATGAAATGGCCGACGTAGCTGCATAGTATAAGTAGAGACACATCACGAACGCATTGGCTAGGATTTACCAAACGGCCATGCATAACTCCCAGCCAGCATCATTTTTTTCCAGATCTTTTGTGGCCAGACCTGCATTATTGACTACGACGGACATTGGTCAGCCCCTGCTCCATGACCGCAGAGTTAAAGACAAGTGGTGATCCTACCAAGGATATCAAGCTTCTGCTCCCTCGCTTTGATCTCGTCGACGAAGTTTGAGATACTCTGCACCGAGCCCAAATCCAATGCGAGGAAGACCAAGTTCTCTTCTTTGATCTGCGGAGAGCTCTTCAAGATCTCTTGGCGCGCTTTCGAACCCGTCGACGACGATCTTGCAGTGATGTACACCTTGGCGCCCTTGCGAGCAAGGTGTTTAGCAGTGTGCAAGCCGATCGCGGAACTGCAGCACATTCAGTCAGGCTGACGTGAGTTGCCGCTGACCCAGAGTCGTACCTCGCTCCTGTGACAACCACTACCTTACCAATTAGGTCAGGGACATCCTTCGCACTCCAAGCTTTCCCCATTGTCGTCGCTGTGGCGAATTGAGATGACAGCTGTATTCCTGAAATCGAGGAAAGAAAGGCGTCTGCCACGGGGATCATTGCAGTTGGCACCTGTAGCTGAAACTCATGGGCTTAAATATGCGCAACAATAGAATGAGAGCCCTTCATCGGTGCGTCGAGAAGCCAGTCCGCCCATGAGGCTCAACAAGTTCCGGCTGCCTTCAACAAGACCACCGAGTCACTGCAGCACGCTTTGTCATTGATTAGAAACCCGCAGATCCCGCGCACCGCGACAACTCTTCGCACTAGTACCTTGCAGTCCGTCAATGGTGTGCGTTGAGTTATGCATGGCGAGAGCTTCGATCAGCAACGAAAGATAAAGCGCTCGCACTTTCACGCGCCATTCCGCTCTTTAATCAGCTTGACGACCTGATGATCGGGCCATAGCGTGATGTGGCTGAAGTGCCAGCGCAAGCTCAAGTTCGGCGCGCCCGTTTGTTCCACAGAAATCATTGATGCAGTGACAGGCAGAGTGTTGACAAAGGACGCACGAAGGTCGTGACGCGATTTTCAGATTGTAAAGTGGCGAGCTTTGACCAATCGGCACCTGGCTGTACCGATCGCTTCGAGAAACAAGCCTAGCGCTCTGACCTTGCGAAACTTTATATGCTCGACAGCAGCATAAATTATGCACACTTTCGAGTGGTGTACTTTCGAGGCACGGCCGGACACCATCGGTCTCAACGCATGGGCTTGGAGCCATCGACTCGATCGACGCTACGAGCGGTACTGCCAGACCTTCAGTCATATCGCAGTCACGCTGGAGGGGAGTGCGGAGTTCGCAGAATAGGAAGTCACAGCCAGTGCAAATATATCAACGTTCTACATATAGGCTGAGTCTCTGTGAGAGCTTCGGGGTGCAATGCAGAACCTAGGGACGAGAGACAACCATGTCGGCCCCATAGTCATCTGTGTCTGATAAGGCAAGAATCTGCCCAGCATCAATCCATATACGTCCGTCTCCACCGCTCCATCCTGAGCAAGGCCAGACCTTGTGCGATAGTAATTTAGGCGCTGATGGTGGTACATCTGCGACCACTTGTCGTCATTGGCCGGTGGGATCCCTTCCTCGATGGTGCTGCCAATGTAGTGAATCCACATGCGAAGGCGCAAGCTTGCCGGAAATTTGTAGGCCTTCCTATCGACATCAAACTTTCCTTTGAACAATCGAAGAGGTACGGCTGGTTCACTCTCCTCCATCAAGGTCTTCATGATCTGAGCCAAGTGCATGCCGTCTGTTACACATAGCTCAAGCGTCGTCGGCGTGCGGTTGGACCGATGTCCTGGCTCAAATCGCGTCAGCGATCTCAGCCACCATAAGGCCGCTATGGCAGCTGCAGCGCGTTGTCTGCAGCTAAAGGCTTGTATTGCAGTACACCGCGAGAGCGTAAGAGCACCGATCACACGCTGTGCATACAGAAGGAGTCGTCCGCAAAGCAGCAGCAGGCGCACTGACAGCTTCATGGATGGGATGTGCTGAGCTAACGGCATGCTGAGTAGGTTGTGGTAGTGTCGAGCCTCTGTGAAAAGCTCCGCAAGATATACATCCTCAAGCGCCTTCGTGTCTGTATGATCAAGTTTCTCAGGACTCGGCACAAACGGTGGATAGATTTGCTCGTCGTCGAGTTTCGTAAGCCAGTCATCGTAAAGCGCGAGATCAATGACAGGCCTTGTGAAGGTCTGTGTGGCACGCTGTATTTCGGAGGTGAGATACACATGGCGAAGGATGTCAGAATTGATCGTTGGGTAGTCCAGATGCGCCGCACTGAACACATGAGCAGCGAGAAACATGGAATGGCTCAACGCTGCCTGGTGGTCCTTCGCCAGAATCTCTGTATTGAACATCAGTAGAATGCAGTTGAGAGCATCAGGACTCGGCCCTCGCTCTTGGATCTCCTCGCGTAGTATTTTGAGTGCAGTTGACCGAGCACGTATCTCAGACAGCCTCATTGTGTTTGACGAAGTGACAGTCGAGTGCGTCCGTGCGATGCACGTGAGAAGCGCATGTCCGCCGAAATTACTGAGCAGGATTTGGAGCGCATGCTCCCAAACGATACCACCCAAGTCGGAGGATTTGGGAGACATGATGATTCCTTTGCATGCATCTTCAATCATGCATGCTCGCCAGAAGTGTATGAGCTCGCTCACATCTGCACTCATACGAATACGACCGAGATATGCGTTGCCGTACTGACCCTGACCTGGACTCCGGGACACGTGACTCGTCAAGAGCTGTTCTTTGGCCACGCGGTCGAAGGAAGCGATATTGACGTCAGATCCAGCATTCACTGCGGAGCATTGTTGAGACCTCTGTGAGACGCGGGCCTTCGCCACTGCTGAGGAAGCATGACTGTCGACCGGGTGTGGCGTACTTGAACTTTCCGAGTGCAATATCGTCGCTGCGCTGAATCTTCGAGGTCCGCTACACCGCTCTCCGCGTAGTAGACAGCGATGACATGGATTGTGCAAGTCGCATTTCACCCGTCGTTGCCGGCAACGTTCACAGCCGCCCGAAGGACCATGATAGACCATGGCATGTAGGAAGACGGATAAGCTCGCCGGCTTGGTGCTTCATCTCAATGAGTGCGTAGAGTCTTGGCCCGTATCGAGCATCGGATAGAGAGCTTCGTGCCACAAAGGGAGTTTGTAAGCATATCAAGCCTTATCTTGGGGGGCGCCAGCGCCTGAACCTAAACCTTGCTTTAGCTCTTTCAGCCGCATTGGCCCGCCCCGACTTGTGGGTGGTCCCCCCCGCGAGCCCGACGATGTGCCGGATTAGAAAACACTCACCAATCGGCCTCGCTCCAGTGGTTCATTTGATTGTCGAGGATGAATCTGCTGGGCATGTTCGCAAAATCCGCGCGCAATGGTTGAGCAAAACCATACGAAGACTCAAGCGAGCCGCGGATAACCCTGTCGAATAGCTTCGTCTTGCCATTCAAGTATGGCAAGATACTTCAACTCGGCCGCTGCTTCAAATCCCTTAATTGCAAGAGTCCGAGCAATGTCAGGCCGATCGACCACAACGTCTGAAAGAATCTGGCGCAGAAGGTCGACCTCCTCGTCACTCCGCGTCGCAGCAGTGATCAAAGGTAGTGTTGGGCTTTTTGCTGTCTTTGCGAGTATTCGCACGCCAGCTGTCCGCTCCGGAGCATCTCGCTGCAAATAGCCATAGGTGACCGCATCCACAGCTGCAACGTCTGCGAGGCCTTGCTGCAACATTTCCATGCTGCGTATGTGACCGCCGCTCTCGACCACGGAACTGAAGAACCTGCCCTGTTGCGAAAGAGGCGCGATAGCATGTCGAAAGAGATTCATGCCGCTATTCGAATCTTGGCTGTTGATCGCTGCTCGTGTGCCGCGCAGATCTGCCAAAGATCTTGCTGGGCTTGATTCAGGCACGAGAACGAAGGAACAGTGGGTCGCGCCCTCACAACCAGGCAGTGTGTACTGCGGGGACGCAACCAGCTTTGCCTTGCCTTGTAGACTCGATGCCCACGGGAAGCCACACGTCTGGGCGAGCAGCAAGTCCGGATGCAGCCACAGCGAGGATAAATCTGCTTCGACGAACGGCTGCAATGCAACGCCGAATCGTCGAGCGACTTCCTGGACCAGTCCTTCGTAAGCTGCTCGTACCGCGCCGGGCTCGCTGTACATAGTGAGCGCCGCGACGGCCATTTCGAGCGGCTCTGCTGGGATGTTGGCTTTCGGGATTCACGAGAGAACGAGCAGACGGCATGGTTTCGCACTTTCGCACTTGGAGACTCAAGTTTGCCGATGACATCATATCGCTCTTGGTCGGGGTTTCATCCGCTGTGAGAGGTGCTAAGAGTGAGATGCTCATCGTGTCATCTGGTTGCGAGCAACCTTTTTCACCTGCCGTTGGGAGCGACGGAGAGGTGTGCTCTCTGGCGCGGCATCAGCAACCACTATTTGTGCCGGTCGACTTGCCTTCACAACTTTTCTTCGCTTTCGCGTCGGCTCTGCGAAGTCGTGTCCATCATCCAGGACATTAGGAGTGTCCTGCAGGTTGCTGTCTTCCAGCGAGTCGGTCTCCTGGTCTTCGGGATCCACAACTGTCTTCTTTCTTCTCGCGGGCAGCGGTATGTTGCTGTAGTCGCCTAGGACTTGAACGCTCGTGATCGCTGTGATCCGACCGTTAATGCGATCATGCGTCACTTGCGTCGATGTCCCATCTTCCTACAGATAGAAGTCAGTGGATGACAGACGCGGCGATGAGAACGGTTCACCATTGTGAAGGCCTGTCCCACGCCATTCTTCCGCCCGTAGCGGTGCTTGTAGAGCCATGTCTTCGGAAGCTTTTTCGTGTCTGCATCTATGTCCATGACCTTCGCGGCGACGAGCTCAATGGCCGAGCGCAATGCGATGGTCTGCTCCATGTCCAATGTATAGGCCGGTTGTCTTGGATGAATGCGGGCATGAAACAGGACTTCGTCCACGTTGTAGTTCCCCAGGCCCGCCACTACGGCGTTCTGATCAAGCAGTACAGTTTTTATCGGTGCTGTGCGGCAAGTCAGATCTGCTCTGAAGTCCTCTGCACTTGGTAGATCCGACCACGCATCTCGCGCCAGCAGCGAAAGCGGCGGAACGGAGACTGCGTCCTCGGCATCCACTGCTCGTATGCGTCCGAACCGCGAGGTGTCGATTGTGCAAACTTCAGTGCCATCACCCAACTGCAGCAGTATCTTCCATCGCCATGGAGGCCATGATGCGCTTATACGCTTGATATATCGCGGTCGTCGATAGTGAAACTCCCCATCCTTGATAGCAACCGAACCTGTCACTATGGGCGGGTCAGCGGTGCGCGTGAATCACGGTAGCAAGCGTACTGCCTAGATGAAAGGCCAAGGTCGGGCCGTGACCATCGAGCCTCAGGTATATGTTCTTGCCTCTTCGTTTCACGGCGAGCACGGTTCGGGTAGGGAGGGCCTTCGCAAGGATCGAGGCAGAATCATCGACAAACACGCGTGGGTCTTCTTCAACTGACACTGCTACAATTCTTTTGTGCAAAATTGCATCTTCCAGGAGACGCCGGCCTCGTTCAACTTCGGCAAGCTCTGGCATGCCTCTCGTGTGCGATTGCTGGTCATTGTGAGGCGGCGATGAGGTTTCCTGCAGCACTTGTCCGATCAGGAAGGAGAGGGCAGACGGACTCGGATTTTCGGAGTTGTGAGCCCCTGCGGCAGGACTGTCGCACTGAATCCAACACAGCAATTGCCCACAAGAAATCGCGTCCGGATATCTGGAGAGATTCGCCGCAGGCACACGTCGAGCTAGCCTGAATGATGACGTTCGCCCAACTTGGCCCGAATCCTAGAGCCGAAACTGCCTAGAGCAGCGCCACAACCACTGCTCGGATGCGGGGATTCTGCGGGGGAAGTCCCCAAGAGCAGCATGGGAAATAGAATGGAAGTAGGTACGTTGGGAAGGTAGATTGCAACATCCGACCATTCTCACATCGAACAAGAGCAGACGAACCCGTGCATCCTTGTTCGAGATCGTGTCCCATCCTTCCAAATTCATCGATCAGAGGACATCGACGTAGTGCCAGACTGACGGAGCCGCAAGCATGCCTCCATCAACAATGAGAGCAGTAGTGCTCAAGGGCGACTACGAAGTGAGCAACCTCCTTCCCTGCAGTATTCATCGTAGCGCGCTAACAACATCCAGGTTGCCGTCGAGGACCGCCCATACCCAAAGTTGCAAAAGCCGACTGATGCTATCTTGAAAGTTACCAGCACCGCGCTCTGCGGCAGCGATCTGCACTTCTACCGAGGTCATCTCAAATGCCCGCCAAACTTCATCTGCGGACACGAATTCGTCGGCGAGATCGTCGAGAAGGGCGACGAAGTCAGCAACTTCAACATCGGCGACAAGGTCGTCGTGCCCTTCTATACGGCCTGCCAGGAATGCTACTATTGCGTCCGCGGTCAGGCTTCCCGATGCAGCAAAGGTGAGCTCTTTGGGAACAGTGTTCCTGTCAACACTGTGGATGGTGGCCAAGCGGAGTACGTACGATGCCCGCTCGCAAATACTACCTTCGTCAAAGCACCAAAAACCATCCCGGAGGAGATGCTTGTGCTTATGGCGGACATCTTCCCAACTGGTTACTTTGCCGCTGCCCGCTTCCTCAAGAACTTGAATGAGCGGGATCGAAAGGAAAGCACGGCTGTCGTGATCGGCTGCGGGCCAGTTGGAATATGCGCAATCACTTCTGCTCTGACCATGGTGGACACTGTGTACGCTATTGACTCCGTCCCGGAGCGTTTGGCGGAGGCAGAGAAGGTGAGTACTTAGCCCTTGGTCAGTACGCGCTGACTCTCCAGATTGGCGCGAAAACGTTGAATCTCAACGATAATCCCGCTTCCAAGATTAAAGAAGCTTCCGGCGGGCGAGGGGCCGATGTAGTCATCGAATGCGTTGGCCATGCGGACGCGCTCTACCTCGCTATCGACATGATCCGGCCGTTTGGACAGATCAGCTCTATCGGCGTCCATACCGAGAAGTGGGAAATTAACGGCTTGCTCATGTACGGCAAGAATGTCACAATGGCATTCGGCCGTTGTCCTGTCCGCTCAATCTTCGAGGATGCTCTGAAAGTACTGGTCCAGGAACAGAAGAAGGTGGCGTTCCTGTGTGGGAAGACGATGTCGCTTGAGGAAGCGCCACAGGCGTACAAGGACTTCGAGCAGCGGAAAGTGCACAAGATCGTGTTCAAGTTCGATGGAAAGACGGGCGAGTCGATTGCGGACAAGGTCTAGTCAGCCTCACAAATGACGCCTGGTCTGGCTTCGCGCTGTCGTTGTAGCACTTCAGGCTGGGCTATGCTTTCCATCTTCGGCCGTAGAATCAGCACATCTCCGCGAGCAGACTCCTCAAAAGATCGGCCTCCTCCCATATCTTGCGAAACTCATGCTGAAAGACACGGTCGACGTAGTAGAACCGAACAAGTACGGCTCGAACCTGTAGCCAATCTCGGAACATGCCTCTCTGCGCGACTCGAGCAAGCGCGGTCACGAACCACGGCCGCTCTCGCTGGCTGAAGCTCATATGCGCACCGAGGAACAGTGCCAAAGGAGTGCTTGCCATGCATCGCCCCAACAGTTTCGCAAGTCTGTCGCCTCCAAAGCGCGTTTGAGGTCCTGCACGAGACAGCGCCCAACTTTGCTGGCAGCCTGTACCACATTGTAGTGCGCATTGCTGTAGATGATAAAGGCTTGTCTGCAGGCTTCCTGAATTGGGCGGAATGCGTCGAAATGGTCGAATGGGTATGAGGCGAAACGCTGATCGATATCGGCTCGCTTCATGCTGACAGTACGCTTCTCGTCAAATGTAAAGGTGTGGATCCCAATCCGTTCGAAGCATATCCACGTTGGCCTGGCATCTCTGAAGAGCTTCAACATAGACTCGCTGAGACAGTCCCTGATATCGGCGTCAAAGAACGCTTCGCCCATATGCGCCGTACTCGGTTCACACCCGCTTAGAACAGAATTGAACAGTTCTTCGGAAATAGAAAGATCATCTGCAATCCTCGGGAGTATCGGTCGAGTCCGAGTCCGAATGGAGCGCCAAAAAGAGCCCAGCATGACACCTTCGATTCCTTTGCGTGGGACACCCGAGAATCCACCCCGAAGCTGGAGGATCTTCAACACACCGTCGAGATGCACGCATTCGTCTCCGGCGAATATTTCGTGCCATAGGAGGTAATGGACTGCGAGCAGCGTAGAAGGCTTCATGCGTTTGTCTCATCGGCGAGGCATTCGTTCAATGCTTGAATCGCTTTGATCCGGTACATCACTCTCTCCGTGGTCCATGATTTTCGAGCAGTGGGCCCAAAACCATACGCGGAGCCCATCTCAATATCGTAGGCAAAACAAGCAGTCAGAGCATACAACAACGCAGGTTCTGCCATGGTAGCTGGTACCAGCCACTTGTGAAAGTCGTCCCGCTCCGACTGTATTGGCTCGATGACTGGAAGTAGCACGTTGGCGAAGTGCACGAAGATCGATTCCATGTGCGGCGTCATAGGAGTTCTGCCGCTCGAAAAGGGATCGAGCCTTCTACAGTCGAGAACATTCCGCAGGCTCGTTGCATGGACATCGTCGACATTTTCAGTAGGTTGCGTAAGAGCCAGTTGCTTCGTCGACAGCGGCTTGGGAGCATCCTCTGCCTTTTCTTCAGCTTCCGGCTTTAGGACATGTAGTACGCGTTCCATCGCCGGTCTTGCAGGCAGAGGCCTGCGGTGACGCGCCTCTTTCCTTGACTGAGCATTGCGCTGAGCATGGCGGTTGATCTGCCATTGGGATTCTTGCGTCTTGATGCTAGAGTTGCCGGATCGCACAACAAACAAGAGCTTCATTTCCTTGCGGGGTGGCGCCCATGGAGCCGCGATGATCTTCTCGGCGTGCTCGCTGATCATTGATGGCGATTGAAAGCCCACGCCGGCAGCCATTTGAGCAAGTTGAACGCCAAGGGCGTCGTGCGGTCCTTGTGACAAGCACAAATCTTTATCATGTCGTTTGTGGATGATCCGGCGAAATCACGAGCCTCTCTAATTAAGCGAGGCCGAATGCGCACGCGCGATCGTATTTCGGGCCTATCTTTAGTCATGGTGCAAAGTGCAACGAATGGCGGGCAACGAGATGCTGATCGCTTGCAGTTAGGTAAGTGCAGCGGATGTTTCCTCCGACGACTGAAGCCCCACGGTTTGCGCTTAGAAAAATGCAGCCCACGCCCCGCAGACACCAAAATGAGGTGCGACGCGCCCGCCGTGCCTCGGCTCGCCCGGGTGACCTTACGCGACAGCAACATTCAAAGTCAATTCGACGTCGCGCGGCTGTTGAGATTACACAGATTGGATGGCAGCGGAAGGCGCGGCGATCGGCGCAACGACGACCGCTTTCGTACGGTCAGTCGAATGCACTGGATGGGAAGACATTATTGACGTGCTAGCTAGTCATTGGTATGCCACACGGAGCAAGAGCAGGGACCAAGTGAGCGCCTGTTTGTTGCAGAGAGGCTATGATTGCAGCGCAGCCTCCCTATCAGGCGGGCGTGACTTCCGAGATTAAGCATGATGTTCTAAAGCCGTTGAATGCTTTGCGCGGGTCTGGCGCTTTCGTATGTCTGATACCGCCATGATCTGCGACTTAACGTTGAGGTATACAAGACCCTTGGCCGACTTCACCAGGTGCGCGGCTGCCTCATGCTGGACGCATCCCTGGCAATGAGACGTGCAGCTTGCGGCGAAACCGCCTCATCAGGGTTGATGGCCGCAGCCTGCGCAAATCTTTGCCGCATACTGCTGCGCTGCTCCGCGTTGACCAGTACAGTCCTTCCTTCCCTATTGTGCTCCTCCAAGCGCACGACCGCAACTTCTGCGACCTTGCCCATTTCCGTCACACTCTCGCCCATGGGCGCGTTCATTGTGGTACGATCGTCCAGACCATGGAAGAAAGCGGCCAATATCGAGTTCTTCCACAGTCGAGCATTGCGCTTCCGGCTGATCAACACAGTTGCAACGAAGAATGCAGTCCCTGCTACAATCAGGCATCCTGGAAGAATGAGCCACTCCCACATGACATGTACGTGCGGCAGTACGTTCACGGTCGCTCCCGTGATGGTGTGCGGACTTCGACTGCTTCCCAGCAACGTGATGGATGCGGCGATGTTCTTCAGGACTTCCTCGGCACCCATGCTGTGCATTTGCTGTGCGCCATCAGACGACGAAGAGACCACTGTGGCGTTATCAGCCCCAAGTGGCATTTTGTCTGGTTCAAGTTATCGACATTGCAAGTCACGCCACGCCCAAGCGAAACGTTGCCTTCGAGTTTCTGACCAACTATATGGCCCCATTTCCGGAACCACGTATTCGAGCAGAAGGCGAAATGATCCTCGTCAGCGACTACAACTCGAGACCACGTCTCCGAGAGCTCGTTAAGGCCGTCCGCCACACTCCCGTTTCCAGTAGATGTCACACCGGGGTCCTCGAAAACATTGTCATGCGGCGACCAGCACCACCACGACTCCCTGTCATCCGTCTCCCCTGTCAACGCACCCGTGAAGAGAACCGTGAAGTTGGCGTCAAGGGAGTCAGGTGGGTGGAAAACGTTGCCAAAGGTGGTATTCATCGTTTCGACGGACGTAAAGCCGTTTGTGACATTGACATGGTGATCCTGCAGGCAAAAGCTGAGCACACATGTCTGAGCCTTATCAATCTTGAACTCGTCGAGGTCCACTGAGACAGCCACAGAGCCGATCGCCACTAGCGGATTAGAAATCCCCAGGATTGTTCGGTTCGATGGTATGAGAATGCCGTTCTGATTCCATATTGGGAAGAGCTCTGTGACAACCAAGTCTGGCGCAGACATTTGGTATGTGATCGTTCTCTCCGTTGAATTGGAATAGGCCGGTGATGTCTCTATTGTCTTGTAAACGGCGACCGTGATCTGGCTCGAAACATTGTAGTCGGAATAGCTGACATTACACGTGGTGGAATATGGCGAACCGCTTGACCAGTCGATGCTAAGGTCGCAGCCTTCGAGAATAGGAGCAACTTCCGGGGGACCACAGGAGCTGCACAAACCAAGCGACGGAAAAGGGTCCCAGGTACAGTTCGAGGCTGGGCAGAAAGGCTTTTGTGTGAAGTCCCCGCCATACATTCCAGCACCAACCGCTTCGCTGATCGCTTTGTCCATGTCATCGGACAGCAGCGTCTTTGTCTGGTTGGCAATGGCTTGGGTGGAATTGACAGAAGTACTCCAATTTGGGTACGTCAAGACCTGCTGGATGGACGGCTCGAAGGCTGTGAGGAGTACTAACACGGCAGCCCCGATCGAGGCTATGGTGGTGACGCCATGTCTGAACAACATCTTCAGCGACCCCCACGGGCCTCGTGCGGCCTCCTCGAAGACTTCAGCATCGACCAAAGGCCGGCCGCGTTGATACCAGACCCACTTGAGTTGACTGATTGCGCTCCCGAGGACGAGCAAGAGATTTGACTTCGAGATGTTAGCTAGGACGGACACAATCGCGTTCAGCGTCACGCCATGCGGCAAGTGAGGAACTGGTTCGCCATTGTAGAGCCAAAGCACCACGCCGATTGCAATTGCGGACAGGACAGACACGGAGAGTGCGCAAGATTCGACCACCCAGGTATCGGTGCCGAGGCGGCTGAGACGCTGCCATTGTCGTTCGTGCCAGGGAAGCTTGGCTTTCGCCACCCCCGACTTGTCCCTGAGGGATGATCGAGATGGCGATGAGGTCTCACTCCTTGAGATCCTCGGATGGAGACTCGTGTCAGACATGACGGGCTGAAGCAGATTTTGCTGGTCGTGCAGCATACGACCGTGGGTCGCGAGCTAGCTATCAACTTCACCAAGCAATGTCATGATATAGGTAGGAAAGTGTCACGAACATGCGACTCAAGATGTCCGGAAGGCAGAAGGACAAGGGCTGGCGTTCGCTGGCACCGCATTCAACTTACCGCGTTGGAGTCCGCTGTAGTCTGCAGTAGCCTGTCGAGACCGTTGATCGATCTGCAGATGGCAAAAAGCGTGGCTTGTCTATGCTTGTATCAGTCAAGCTTTGGTATCGTGGCACAATCTGTTGCGTGCTAGCCCGATGGCAATTTGAAACCAGTGCCATGATGTGCTCGCTTAGGGCCAGGGTGACATCATAGCGGGCGACTAAAGATCAGAACATCAAGCTTGTAGGCAGGACGAGGGCCGTTCCTTGCGGGGCAACAACTGCTGCATCTGCTAGCACCATTTCGATACAGGACGTGCGATACACGGCCCCCATGAAGTGTGCGCGTAGGAGCGGCATTGCGACGTCTGGAGTTTGCTTTGAACGAAGACAGCATGGTCAGCATTGTGCCAGGCCTGTCTAGCAACAGGGCTGTCTGGTCCTGCGTAGCTGATTTGGACGGCGTAGGTCGAGAGGAGATAGGTCTGATGGAGGGTGCAAAGACCGAATATCGTAAACTTGGAGGTCTGAGGATGTGGTCGGCTTCGGGGACGCACAATGCATGATGCGTCGCAGTACACATGTTTTCCAGGCCGCTATGTTGGCTCTTTTGGGCCACTTGTGCACCTGCTCTTCTGCATAGGCTCTCAGTCGCAGGAAACTCGATGCCTTCGAGAGACAGCTCGAAGAGCTCGGCACGACGCTCGGGTATAGTAATAACGACTGGTTCTGTCAGAAAGGACGGACTGCAGCTAAATGGCGCGCATGTTGGTCCTGCGTCTGATATATTCAACGCAGTTGACCGTGAAGCCAGTCCGTGGAGAAGTACAGTAATGAACGTTGAGCGCGTCGAGTGGTTCAGGTCGCGTCAAGAAAGGCACATGCAGCCAAGCATCTGCGCTTGGCTCGCCAGCTGGTCATCCGGTCTGAGTAAAGCCCCAAGACATTGTCCTCCCCGAGCTTATGTCGGTGCTTTGGCACCCTCTCCGGATGTCAAGCTGGTTGTCATCGAGCTATTCGAGGGCCATGTGGTCACAGAAATGACGGGGAAGCTCTGGCACGAAAACGCAGGTGTAGGTCTATACTTCCCGGCATGGTGTGTGATTGCAAATATATTTGCATGCATCCGTGCTGTTCAGGGTGCAAGAACTGCCGACTCTGAGTAGATTCCCATTGCTACAACATTCGCAGCCGGAGAAGTTCTGCGCACTGGGAACTCTGCTGCGGCGTACCCAGAAGGCTGATCAGCCCTTGCCTCTCCAGCACGACTGTGCTTGCCTGGTGCAAGATGTCTCGGTGGTGCAAAGTGCAGTGTGGCGGTTTCAGTCAACCGGTCTTATTTAGAACGGCGGTGAATCAGTGCCCGTGCCAAGCCTGTTACCGATTTCTTGCTTCCACTCGCGTGTAAGAACTTTTCGTTCCTCCTTCATCACATCAACCATAACCACAGCACCTTCCGCATTCGCGTCTTATGATTGATGCGACTACCACATAATGATACGCTTCTTAATATGCTAGAGCTGGCCGTCTACAAATCACATCAGGACGAGTCAGTGTGGACAGGGAAAGCAAGACCAAAACATGCCTCTTCAATCTTCTTCTCGAGGCTTCCAAAGATTCTACTTCCGCCAAACGCTCTTCGATAGCTTTGCGGCTGATTCAAGGAGACAGTCATATAGTACACCCACGCTCATCGGAAAGCACCCGCGCGACCACCGAGATCCGCGAAGTCTTCCTTGTTGACCCCCGCAGTGACACCCTTGTTTCCATTCGCTTCCAATATCATCGCCCGCAATATGCTCTCATCAACATCCTCCTTCAGCGTCCGTGCGACCTGCCGTAGGTCGTGCAGCGTGATCGGTCTCTTCTGCCATTTGTGAACAGCTTCATCGCCTCCTCTACCTCCGCATCGTGCACCGCCAGTTGATCGTCCTCCGAGTCACCATCACCTTCGGCCTCCTCACGTTGGTGTTGATGTAACGCCGAAACCTCAAAGAAATGCTCGAAAGTGATAATGCCCTCGCTCTCGGGGTCCAGGATCTCGATGGCGTCATTCATATCGGCCTGGGTGAGCTTCAGATTCTGTGCGGTGAAAGCCTTCTTCAAGTCTTCGGTCCGCATAACACCTTCCTTCTCCTTCTCGTAGTTTGGAACGTGGAGAATACGAAACGCTTCCCACGCGGATCGAATCTCGCCTTCTATCTCAACACTAACATTGTTCTCCTTGGCGATCTTGGACCGCCGTGGCGCCGGTGCTGCCGCCGGCTTGACTTGTCGACGCGGAGGCTGCCATGAGTGTAAGTTCAGCATGTTCATCATTCGAATTGACAAAGCGCGACATACCATACTGCGCGTGGTGCCCGAGAGCTGCCAAGACCCGCATTCACGGGCTGTCAAGTCCAGCCATCATGCACTAGTGTTACTCTTCGAATCGCTGTTCTTGCTGGTCTCCGGCACTGCGGTGCGTGATGGTCTGGAAGCAGCAGCGGAAGACGACGTCACCGCAAATGGAAGCACAGTGGCGAAAGAACAAACGAGGCTGCGCAAGGCTGAGCAGATGACGAGCCACTTGTCGCCTGCCAGGGTGTCGTCGTGAAGGTTGCCTGCTCTCATATCACTTTATCTTCGTCCTCGCCTCTACATGAAGTCGCAGTCACGAATAGTTGTCACTAGAAACGCGTCTATATGAATAGCAGCCAGCGAGGTGACCACTGATCTGATCGTTGATCTGACCGGAATCTGGAGTCCGCCTCCGCCATTTGGCGACCCAGGCCGCTCGTGGCACACTCCAAGCATAACGTCCGGACATTGTGAAGATACAGGACACGTCGCCATGGACGTCGAACTTTACGTCTATGATCTCTCCGGGGTAGGTTCCCCATGTCGCTCCCTCAGACCATCCGCTTACAGCCCGGCAGGGGATGGCCCGACAATTTTCCATGGCCCTCATCGGACAACAAATCGACGCGATTTACCACACGTCAATAGTCCTGGATCGCGTAGAGTACTTCTTTGGCCAAGGGATTCATCGCAAGATACCTGGAACCACGCATCATGGCCGGCCGATGAAAGTGGTCAACTTGGGCAAAACACATTTGACCGCCGATGTGATCGAGGAGTACCTCCAATCACTGGAAGCGATATACACGCCTGAGTCGTACGATCTTTTCGTCCACAACTGTAACAACTTCTCGCAAGATCTGTCGATGTTCCTGGTCGGTAAGAGCATCCCAGAAGAGATCCGAAGCCTGCCTGAAACGTTCTTGCGGACACCGATGGGCCAGATGCTACGAGGGCAGATCGATCAGAGTATGAGGACGATGACTCAAGCACCAGACGCCGTGTCCGGTCACAATGCGCCCCGACCGCAGACGAATGGCGCAAAGCCTGCAGTCTCAGCCCCGCTCCAGACCAATGGCACAAGTTCGTCTGCTCCTGTTGCCGCACAACTCAAGCCGCTTCTGATCAACGGCACCGCACCCACGCCACGGCCAGGGCAGGTCTACAACGTTACATCTATGTCGGTCTTCGACAGTCTGATGTCAAGAGCATCCACTTCAAGTGCTATCGTGTTCTTCACTTCAGCGACATGTCCTCCATGCAAGATACTCTATCCACTCTATGATGAACTGGCCGAGTCGACACCGGAGGAGAAGTGCATATTCATCAAAGTCGACGTCTCCCAGGCACAGACATTGGGTCCAAGTACTCGATACGAGCAACACCCACCCTCATCACCTTCCTCAAGGGCCAGAAGCTAGAACAGTGGTCGGGCGCCGACAGCGCTGCTCTCCGAGGAAACGTTCGCCTGCTCATTCAAATGGCGTCGTCATCGCATCGACACGCCCATACCAATTGTCCCAGCTTCCACAATCTCGTCACTTCGCCCACCACGTTCGCCAAAACCCCACCACTGGACAAACTCCTGGCGAAGATGGGCCATACGGCGCGCACATCGCGATCAAACAGCTCGTTGAGTACATTCGACGACGAGACACCGAAGGGATCAGCAACGCCCCGCTTCCTGACCTCGGGACAATCACACACGCCATCACCAGCGTATTCCCCAAAATACCCACAGAAGCCCAATTCGCCCTCGTCGACCTCGTCCGCATCGGTGCCATCGACCCACGCGTGGCCTCATACCTAACAACCAATCCGACACTACTCACCCTGCTCTTCCAGAACAATTCCTGGTCAACAGCACCAGCGAACCTCCGCCTCGTAACATGCCAGCTCGCTTGTAACCTCTGGACGTCGAACGTCTTCCAGGAATCACTCAGCCAAACACCAAACAAGCTCCGCGATAGCTCGAAGAGCTGGCCGCTACCTGTGTAGTGCCATCCCAGGATGCCACCACCAACGCCACGACTCAGAGAGCACGCCAGGCTGCTACCGCAGTGATCTACAACTTAGCAGCACTCAATCACAACGAACGCGTGCAAGATCGAGCCGATACATCTCCAGTTTCGGAAGACGTCGAGGCTGCCCTCGTGAGCGCAGTGTTCGAGGAGACCGAAAGCCGGGAGACTCTACAGAGCATGTGTATGGCTCTCGGCATGCTGCTCTATGGCGCAGAGGAGGGCAACGGCGTTGAGGCGCTGTGTGATGCGATGGAGCTCAGCGACTGTCTCAAGGAGAAGGAGAATCTGCCGGCATTCAAGGGCGACGCTCTCCTCAAAGAGCTTCGAGAATTACTGGCGCGAAAGTGACAGGATTCCCTATTCCTCGTAGAACCGGCGATGTCATAGATAGAAGTAGATAGAAGGATAGATAGATATATTGAGCGTTCCTTGTTCGAGCAATCACTGCCAACGACTTCTCTCGTCAGTGTGAAGTCCTACGCGCAAGAACAACCTTTCAACGTACCCCAATCAGCCGAGGTGAGGCTTGGCACTGGCGGAAGATCACGTCAGTCGAAACACTCTGCATCACATCAACACATCAACGAGCATAGCTTACAGTGTTAGCTGCTGAACAATGGGCGCAGACCTCCAAGTCACGATCGCCTTCGTACAGATATGTCCGAGTGAAGCAGTATCGGATCCGGCCATGGATGGTCGATGACTAATGCCGCGGTTCGGTCAAACACATGTTAAACGGACTCTCGACATTGGCTTACTCTAATACCACCATGCTCTTCCCAAGCCTTGGGACGCGGGCTACGATTTCGCAATAGGCACATCGCGGCTTCATGTGGAAAACAAATGGCGCTCTATTACGAATTGCCATCATCAAGCACAGCGTTGACACCGGGAATATATGTATGCGCCAGGAGGAAGGTACAGGTAAACGGTAAGTCTCTGCAAGTACTTGACAGAATTTTGCGCAACTATAGCTCTTGACGCCGTTATGACCAAGAACATCGGCCTTATCCGCCGAGGCACCGGCCGTGCCATCTTTGAGGAGATCCCAACACCACAGATCCGCCCGGATGAAATCCTCGTCGACGTACGCACTATAGCGCTCAATCCAACCGACTGGACGACGCTGAGGCACCCGGCGACGACGGCACTCTGGTAGGTTGTGACTACGCCGGCTACGTCCTCGAAGTCGGCAAAGCCGTAAAGCGAGAGTTCAAGAAAGGCGATCGGATCTGCGGCTTCAGTCATGGAGGTACGGAATCCGCACGACACGTCCAGCTCACGCCGCTAGCAACTCACTCACATCTGAATACAGGAAACGACGCCCGGCCCGAAACCGGCGCCTTCGCCCGCCAAATCGTCGTCAAAGGCGACATCCAGTTCCACATCCCCGACCACATCACCTTCGAAGCGGCCTGCACCGTCGGCTGCGGCCTCATGACGGCCACGCTGGCGCTGCACAAATTCCTCGACCTGCCCTTCCCTGCAAGTACGACGAACGCCTCAGGCGCAGCGATCAATGGCTCCAGAGAGCACCCGACAGTACTGATCTACGGCGGCAGCACAGCAACAGGGACCCTTGCGATTCAACTCGCGAAACTCTCCGGTGCGAATGTCCTGACCACTGCCTCGCCCAAGAACATGCAGTTCGTGGAAAGTCTCGGCGCGGACCGCGTCTTCGACCACACCTCCTGCAACATCGCCTCCCAAATCCGCGAGGCAACAAATGACCAGCTGGCTCTGGTCTTCGATTGCGTGTCTATAGACAGCACAGCCACAATCTGCGCTGAAGCGATCGGCTCGAATGTCACTGTGGCGAAATACGTCAACCTCCTCGACGTACCCTGTCCCCGAGCAGACGTTGACTCAATTTTCTTCCTCGCGTATGGCGCGAGCGGGGAAGCGTATATCTTCGAAGGGGAGCACTACCCCGCCGAACCGTCGTATCACGAACATGTCCGAGCTTTTGCCCCGATCGCAGAGAAGTTGTGGGCAGAGGGGAAGTTGAGGGAACATCCGCAGCGGTTGGAGGGTGGCGGGCTGCAGGGCGCGATTGAGGGGATGAGGGTGATGAAGGAGGGGAGGTATAGTGGGGAGAAGCTGGTTTATCGAATGGAGGACACGGTTGAGGTGTAGGGGCAGGATCGGGGAATTGGCGCACTGGTGGTTGTTGATTCCGATTGAACAGGCGATTTATTGCTTGATGAGACAAGGCGCTATAGCGTAGGATAGAGTACCTCTCTGGTATTGATACGAGGTCTGAAAAATGCTTTTGGCGTCCAGTCGCCACCCCCAGCGCCGTGCGAGTAAAACAAAAATGCTCTTGACGACCAAAAACAACCACACTGCTGCCGCCATTACCCAGCCGCGAACTTCACATCCACGACCCAACCGCCCCCGAAATCAACGCCCTGCCTCCTCCTACTCCCACTCCCATGTCGCTGCCAGCACTCGTACTGACACCAATATCGACGACCACCACTTCCCACGCCATCGGAAATCCCTCCGCATGCGCATTCGCCATCGTCTGCAGCAGTCCAGTCTTCGGCGCAGCCAGACAGATCACACCTTTCACGTCCATCACAACTGCTTGCCCACTACCTTCGTCGGCCTCGGAAAGGAGGCCTGAGCTGGCGGACACGCCGCTGGGCACGTCGATTGAGAGGATATTCCCGTTCCGGCCCGCCCAACGCGTCATTTCAAACGCCACGGCCTGGTCGTCGGTTCGTAGCTCGTCGAAAGTGGTGTGGATGCCAAGGAGGGCGTCGACTATTATATCTGGCGTTGTGGCTGCTGCACCCTTGGTTGCGGTCGTGGCTGCGTTGGTGAGTTTGGACTGATATTCATCCCACTTCTCCACCCACCCGCCGCCTTTCTTATAAGTGTTGAGCTGCCGCCTGACACTTTCGAGGACGCTGTCTTCGCGCTCGCCGCCGAGGAGGATGACTGTGACGCGCAGTCGGCGGTTGCGGAGATGGCGCGCCGCTGCTACGGCCCGGGAGCCTGTCTTGTGGTTTCCGACGAGGAAGACGATGCATTTCGCTTCCGGGCTGGATTTGAGGATCGCTTCGGCGATGCTCCGTCCTGCATTCTCGGAGAGCTGTTCTTCGGAGAGGCCTAGATCGGATGTGCAGAGCTGTTCGATTTCGAGCATCTGGAGCGGCGAGACGCAGTGAACGGGCTTGTTGTTTGAGGCGAGGCGGAAGGTTGCGCGTGGGAGGCCATTGAGGGACGACGTGCGGCCGCTTTTGGAGAGGGTCGTGGCGGTGGCGACGCGGGATAGAGGTCGAGGACTTGCGTTGCGAGGATCTGCGACGTGGCTGGAGAGTAGGCTTGCTTTTCGACTTGATGTGTGCGGTCTGCGTGAGTTTGCTCTTCTCGAGCCCCGGCCACTGGAGTAGTGATCTGGCTCGACGTGGCCGTCGTCCTCGGTCTCGCCTGCCTCACTCTTCCATGGATCGTTGTTGCCGTTATTTGTTCCATCCAGGACGTTCTCGGAGAAATGCAGGTTCTTGCCGCCGTTTGTGCCTGGTCTTGCTAGTCGATTAAAGCTGACAAGTCGCTCGTCAGTGGGAATGTGGTCGTCTCGGCGGAGGTCGTCGAAGACTTGTCTCTTGTCGAACTTGGAGAGGTTGCTGGCGAAATCGAATTCGGGCATGTCCTGGATGTCAGTGGCGTCCTCAGTAGCCCACCCGTTGGTCTCTTCTGCTTTCCGTAAGCGCTGACGTCGTGTTGGCCGCTCTTCAATGAGAGGTGTGCTGCGCCAGCCCTTGCCCTTTCCCGGCTTCTTCTCTTTCACTGGTGCCGCTATGGAGGGCGCGTGCATACTCTTGACATCGATGATGCCGGGCACGGCCTGTGAGGGTGTAGAGCGGTGCTTCTTCGCGACCTTCTTGTCATTGACTCCCAACGCTAGAGCATCGAAGGGCTCCGTCAGAATCGCTGTAGCTTCCGAGTCTCGTCTGTTGGGCTTGAGCGGCTGCGACGTGGCTATACTCGACACAGAGCTCTGCTTGACGATCCCTCGGCCTTGCGGCGACACTGGACTAGGGACAATGCCGTCTGCGATCATAATGGGCGAGACAGGTTGATGTGACGGCTTGTGGTAGCTGAGAATGGCAGGATCTTGGTACGCCGTTTGCTGATACGTCTGCGAGCCATTTGACGGTACATGCTGCGCGGAGGCCCCGGGGTATGGGTGTGATGTGGCAGTCGGTGTGGGTAATGAGGAAGAGGATGGCTGTGAGGGTGCCACCTCGAGGTCGGCGATGAGGTCGGCATTCAGGGTATACGAGGGGATTCGTTGGCCGCTCCAAAGTAGCAGGACTGTCTCAATTAGCTTGCTTTCGATATCATTGTAAGAGAAGACTCACCATCCTGTAAGATCAGATTCTGATCAACGACATTTGCGACGACTCCTTGGAGTTGCGCGTTTGCCGGCGTGCGGAGCGTGACAAGAATCGTATACCCTACGAATTCGGCGGCCATATTTGACAGCGCATGTCGAGGAGGCAGTGTTATTACAGAGAACTAGTAGACACAACTTGGCAGACAGGAAGTAGGTATGGCAGAGTACAAGATCGGCGTCTGGCAGTCAAGAAATTGAAGGAGCGAAATGGGATGCCGCAGCGTCATCGACGCCAAGCCCCAAATTCAGCCGATGTCATGCAAAGAAACAGAAAGCGTGAGCAAACGACAAAATGCAAGTCCTCTCAATTCAGACTCGACGATCATCTTTCCGTCGCTCGTCGCTATCCCAACGTTGTCCGACTCTTACTGTTTGTTCTCGAGTGTTCCTTCGACCGAGTGCCATCACTTGCACCAGCCAGACCACTCTTTCCACTAGTAGTACCAACCTGCTCGTCTCTCCCCCTACTTCTCGGCAGACCAGGCGCCCCAATGACAGAGCCACCAGGACCTGCCCGAGCAGCAGCCTCCTCGCTCAGCTGCTGCTTCACGATCTCACCCCATCTCCGCTTGAAGTTCTCGTGCATGGTTCGATGTGACTTTGCGGTCGTGGCCTTGATGTAGACTGACAAGACCTTGTTGCATCGCGTCTCATTGTGCTCGATGTAATGAATCAGCCCTGTATCGTGCGCACTTGACTCGCTGTCCTGAGGTGGCTGGTTTGTCGGCGCAGACGTATCATCTGACCACCCAGGAACAGTGTTGGGTGCTCCGGAGCTGTAATCATGTTCATGGCTTGACGACGGCCGCGACTTTGCAGCATCATCGGCCTTAGTGATATTCGTCGGATTCGAACTCAGTCGGCCAAGTTCATGCGGCCTCAGGATCTCAAACCGCCCATATATCCTCACGCCACTGCCCGCACTGGTGACTGACTCGAACCCTCCTGGTATCCGCCGCATTGCTGTAGTGTAAACAACGTCAGAAGTACCCAATCCCCAACTGAGTTTGTCGGTAATCTCGAATTGCTGCCATTCGTTGCTGATGCCCCGTTCGGGGTCGCCGTGGTGGTTGAGGTTGAACATTGAGCACCACTTCGGGACATCGATGTAGAGCTTGGAGTCGGACGGGGAGTGTACGCGGCGGACGTCGGTGACCAGTGGATTGGACCTTATAAATTGCTCGGGACTGTGAAGGATTGAGACAGCAGCATCGTAGCCGATCGCCGATATTTGTGAGGGTGTTAGAGTTGGCAGTGAATGTGGTGGTGGTAGGAGGAGGTCGGTGATGAAGGCGGCGCGGAGGGTTGATTGCATCTTTGCGCCAGTGTCGGAGTCTCAGCAGAAGCTGGTCGAGTAATACTCGGTGGTAATTGAAGTTGTGACGGTTCAGCGCATCGCGTCGTCCTCGTCACTGATTGCCTACCTAAAACGTTGAGCTCCGGTTCGTGGGATTCGCAAGAGCCGCGGCAATGACGTCTCGCTCAGTGCCCCGAGCTGGGTGATTCTTGAGAAGAGAGAGTTGTTCTGGAGTGTCAGCATGATCTCTACGAGTTCGATTTAAGATTCCACGTAAGTGAGACGATCAGATCCCGCGGTTTAGAAATAGGAACTGTGATTGGTTCGAGTGGCGATGCCTTCTTGGGTTTTGCGAGGGATCTATTCTTAGCTTGCGGTTACAAATGACCTCAATTCTTCGTTGAGTCAATTCCATGAACGCAAACACGTAGCGTAGGACGCACTGCCTCTGCAGCTGGAGTGAAGCGCACAATGTTGTCCGAGTCAGCACAGCCGGTGACTGAGATCCACGGACGTTAGGCTAAGCTCACAGCCAAGACAGATTGCCGGGAAGAGACCTGGGGTGGACGCGAGAATCACAGCGTTGGATAACTCGTTGGAACCAGCCAGCTCTGAGACCGGGCGTTCTTGACGTGGAAGAGAGCGTCGTCCATGGCAGTTTGAGATGAGCGACCGCTTAAATCGCAAGCATGGATGCCATGCGCTCCTTCCTGCACCGCTGGCAGCGTTGCTACGATTACATGATTACCAGCCATCGAAGTTGCCAAAGCCGCCAGCACTCTTCACCTTCTTCCGTGAGGGCTCCTGGAACAGGTTCTCTCTATCGACAGCATCATCGACCGTGCCGCCATCCCCAGCAGTTTGCCTCAAGTACTTACCGACGCCGCCTCCGGTATCCTCTACCGTGCCATCCCTCCTTATTCGCTTGCCAGTCCACGTCGTGCGCTCGTCGTCAACCTTGCCTTCCCGTCTGAGATCCTCCCGCTCACGATCCAATTCCTGCTTCTCGTTCTGCTTCTTCATGAATTCGTCAAACGGATCGACGAGGATTTTGACGTCTAGCATCTTAATCTCCTCGGTAGGTCGATCTTTATCATCAGTTGGTGCGTCCTCGATTGCTTTCAGCGTGGGCAGGCCTTCAACGACGCGTCCGAAGATGGTGTGCTTTCGATCGAGATGCGGTACTTTGCGGTACGTGATGAAGAATTGCGACGAGTTGGTGTCCTTGCCCTTGTTTGCCATGCTGACCACGCCTCGCGCGTCATGCCGCTGCGGTCCTGTTCATTCCATTAGTGGAATTTGCACTGGGAGCATATGCGGAAGGCGATCGCCGATTACTGGGCACTGAAGGAATGGAAGCTCATTTCGCGGAGGGTAGCAACCGATCCACGTCAACAGGAAAACTCACCATCGAATTCATCTTCGAAGTTCTTGCCCCAAATACTTGCGCCTCCTCGACCAGTGCCAGTCGGATCTCCGGTCTGAGCCATAAAGTTCTTGATATTCCGGTGGACGACGATGCCGTTGTAGTAGCCTTTTTGGGCCAGTCGAATGAAGTTGTAGACAGCTTTCGGTGCGTGCTCTGGCAGCAGCTCGATCGTTATTTCTCCTAGGTTCGTCTGAACGACGGCGAAACCAGACTTCTTGATGCGTTTAGGCCGCAGCAGATATTCCTCGTCCGACATCAGAGCTAGCGAAGCGGAAGTGTGGACCGATATTCCCGTAGAAGTGAAGGAAGCGGCGGCCTGGCCTGTGGTGTAATGTTTTGCGTTGAATGGCTTCTGCACCGACTTCTGTGGTGCCGCAGACTTGGCGAGGCCTCTCGATGCCGCTTGCTGTACCGCAGCGGCTTTGTCACGGTCTGCTCGAGCTTTTGCAACGGCCTCCTTGGCTTTCATAATCTTCAGGCTCGCAGCGTTGCCCATGGCGCCAGTGTTTATGCTAGCCTCCTCTTTCGGCACTCCAGAGTCCTCTCCATCCTTGAGGTACTTGAAGTCGGCAAGGTTGCGAGACCCTAAATTCTGAGGATCCTGCAAGGTGATTATGTCTGACCGCTGGAACTTCTCGTCCGAGACCAAGTCCTGCCACATCTTCGCTTTGATGTTGAGGCGCTCGACTGTCTCGTATGCGAAGACATTGGCAGAGTCACCATGCCGTACAGCCACAATGTGAGTGTTATCCGTGAGTACTTTGTATGTGACCGGGTCCACCCATTCCTTGCCCTCATTCCGGGCAAAGTTGAGCTTGATCAGATCAGCTTGCTTCAGCGGTCCGCCCGTGACGGGATTGGTGTCATGCTTCATGAGCCATCGGATGATGTTCTCGTGGTCAAATATGAGGCCCTCGCTCGTGCATACTGGTGTCTCGAAGGGCTGTAGACTCAAGGCGCAGTAGTTGAAGGGCAGCCGCTTGAAAGCCGCGTGCTCGCTTTTGTCGGCGCGAACATTGGACCCGGCGGACGCTGAGTAGGCGTCATTCGAGTTCCACTCGCTGTGGGTGATCTGCTGGTATTAGCTACTCGCTCTCAGGCTGTAGGGACTGGCGCGTACGTAGAGCTTGTCGGTTCCTGTCAGAGCTCGTCAGCATGCTGAAGCGAGCAGAGTTGGTCTGGGGACGCTGACCTTTTCCCATCTCCGTTACATGCTCCTCGAGTGTGTCTTGTTGGGTGGCATGTCTGAACAATTGAGGCAGTGGAAGTCGAAAAGAGAGGCGCCGGCGGAAGGTTTCTCCGATAGCCGGGATATTTTTCGAAGACGACTTGATCTACTGCGCATGAGGCAAATCATCTCTAGCTCAATCAAGCAAACACGATTGCATCGAGCAGGAGGGCAGTCATCGTAGGTGGACCGGCAACGATGACATTCACTCGCTCTGTCACGCAGCTGCTGCGCTCCTCCCGGGTCGCCGGCCAGACCTACGGCGGCAACCCTGTCCTCAGAGCTTTCGGCCACGACAGACTGGCTGCGCGTCACTATGCAGCTGTCTACCAGCGGAACAAGCCCCATGTAAACATTGGTACGCTATAATCGCTCCAAGGTCCTTCAACATGCTAACTCGTTCAGGCACGATTGGCCACGTTGATCACGGAAAGACGACACTAACCGCAGCCATCACGAAACGACAGGCCGAGCAGGGGTTCGCCAAATACCTCGACTATGGCTCTATCGACAAAGCTCCGGAGGAGCGGAAGCGTGGTATCACCATCTCGACCGCTCATATCGAATATGAAACTCCCAACCGACACTACTCGCACGTCGACTGCCCTGGTCACGCCGATTACATCAAGAACATGATCACAGGTGCTGCAAACATGGACGGCGCTGTCATCGTTGTGGCTGCCGGTGACGGACAAATGTATGCAGAACGGCACGCATGGTAGGGACTCAGCTGACGTTGCTAGGCCGCAAACTCGAGAGCATCTTCTGCTCGCCCGCCAGGTCGGCGTCCAGAAAGTTGTCGTTTTCATCAATAAGGTGGACACAATCGAAGACAAGGAAATGCTTGAACTCGTCGAGATGGAAATGCGCGAGCTCCTGACTTCCTACGGCTTCGAGGGTGACGATACCCCCATCATCTTCGGCTCCGCCCTCTGCGCCATCGAAGACAAGAAGCCCGAGATCGGTGTTGACCAGATCGACAACCTCCTCAAATCAGTCGACGAGTGGATCCCCACACCCGAGCGAGATCTCGACAAGCCGTTCATGATGTCCATCGAAGAGACCTTTTCGATAGCCGGCAGAGGCACAGTCGTCTCCGGCCGTGTCGAGAGAGGCACCTTGAAGAAGGATTCCGAGGTCGAGGTCGTGGGATACATGGACACCCCGATCAAAACCAAGGTCACCGATATCGAGACCTTCAAGAAGTCTTGCGACGAGTCTCGAGCTGGCGACAACTCCGGTCTGCTACTGCGAGGCGTCAAGCGTGAGGATGTTCTAAGAGGCATGGTCGTTGCTGCACCAGGCACAGTCAAGGCTGCCAAAGAGGCACTCGTGTCTATGTATGTTCTGAGCGAGGAAGAAGGTGGCCGCAAGACAGGTTTCTCGGAAGCTTTCAGACCGCAGGCTTTTATTAGGACAGGTGATGGTAAGTCTTTCGCGGACCCCAATCCAAGTTGCCCGTTGAGCTCAGGCAGGACCTGAGGATGTCTCCGTTTCCGTCGCTAACACTATGTCTGCAGACGCCTGTGAGTTCAAATGGCCAGAGGGCACCGAAGATACCACCAAGCTCGTCATGCCTGGCGACAACGTCGAGATGGTCATGAAGCTCCTCAAGCCAATCGCCCTTCAGAGTGGCGACCGCTTCAATGTGAGAGAGTCGGGCAAGACTGTGGCCACAGGTCTGGTTACTCGAGTCATCAAGTGATCGTCGACGAAGGCCTGTGTACATTTGTGACCATTTGTTGTAACATTCCAGCGTTTGCATATTTTGGTGGTCCATCGATAGTGGGAAAAGCTGGACGGTCACGATACCCTCTCTTCTCTTCGGCAATGTGTTGTACTTATCACATAGATGTGCAAGGGTGTACAAATGGCATGCGAGTTGGACAACATGGTTGTGGTTCAAAGTATCATTGAATTGTCTTCCGTCATACCTCTCAAGGTCACTGCCTGCTAACCTGTTTGTTTGCTGACTAGTACGCAACGAAGTTGCTTCCCCGCGGAGCGACAGCAGCGACACGTATCGCGAAGTACGCCTTCGACGATGCTGTGGCATTTCGCCTTTTCATCGCTGGGCTCTGCCGCTCTTGCCGGATGCCGTCAACCTGAACCTTGTATGTGGTCACCATGGTTCGGTCCGGCGACGACATCAGCGCTTGTAAACGCGCTTCGGTTTGCGTGAGTGCGTATGTGTGGGCAGCTCAATCAGCAACCAGTGGCTGCGGATATAGTCCTTTCGATTCCATGATACGAGCTCTAGGTTCGCACCATCCCGCGACAAACTTTCAAGGACCTTCTGCGTACATCATCATGCCCATCTGCGGCTGCGGCGTCGTCACCCTGCTCAGATCGGCCGCACCAGGCATGAAAGTATACCGCAAAGTGCGGATCTCCATCATGAGTCGGGCATTCAGTTGCATAGCAGCGTCCCGTTCTCGGCGGAGACCGTCCAGCTCGCCTTGCAGATCGGTGATCAGACGCTCTTTCCGGGCGCGGTACTTCTTCTGCGCAAGTCGATTCTGTTGGCGCCGACGGTCTTTCCGTGTGCCGGCGCGCTGGATCAGGTCTGATGATGTGGGATTGGGATTGTAGTTGACGAAGCCTTTGCAGTTGAGTTCGAAGGTGGATGATTCGTCCTCCTCAACGCCGGGTGTTGATGGGTCGGGACTGGAGCTCAAGCTTGCGGAAGAACTGGCGACTGTTGAGAACGAAAGCTGTGGACATGATGACGAGTTGAATTCATTTGTGATGTTGGTGTACTGCATTTGGAAGGCAAGGTCGCTGGGATCTGATGCTGGTTGCCACTACCGCGGTCGTCAGTATGGTATCACTGTCTATGGAAGGAGCGACCTACCGTATCGACGTCCGACTCGTACATGTACATGAGCTCTTCCACCGATGGGGTGACCTCTGACTTGATCTGTTGTGCTGCCATCACGATAATCGTGGATGTTGGTGAAGCGTGTCGATGTTCACAGAAGCTTTTGATATCTCGAGTGATCGACTGGCGATCGATTCGAAGAGGAAGTTGCCTTCCCTTATATCTTTCATACTTCACATCTTGACCCTCTCACCACAATACGGTTTCCTTCCGCATAAAACCATAGCGGCACGTCCCTCACTATTGGATTCCCGCAGCTGGAACAAGAAGCGAGTACAAAAGGATCAACAAAAGAGCCCAGACAATTCGCTCAGCTGAAGCCACAATCACATCACAGAGTGTCCAAGCTCCCAACTTCGCTCTGCTGCTACGGCTCCCCCTTCCAGAAGGCTTCTATTCTCGAAAACCCAAAGCTCGTGTCGCCCTGCTGTCGCAACTCTATTTGACGCAAGAGGACCAGAATGAGGGGGAAAATCCTTGAAAGAACATGGCAAATGAATACCGCCGCAATTTTGAGCCAATTGCCGCACGTTCATGGGCTGTGTTGTTCTGCTTCAACCAATTGAATGCCGCTGGAAGTGCAGGCACATCTCCGCGAGAACTTCGCAAAGTGTCAAAATTTTGAGTTGCGACACCAATGCAAGCATCCTTCTTAGTTACTTCGCTTGGTTCGGAAGACTGCACCACGAATCATCGCATTGAAGATGGCACAGATGCATCTCGCATGGGCTGCTGGATGTCCTTCTCATTGGCGATAAGGTCTCGCTAGCTTCATCTTTTGCTTATCTCAATCGCAACTCCTTGATGGTGTTCTGGCATATACCTGTGTTGTAGGTAGATGACACGTGGCATTGCGGGCCAGTAGGGGACCAACACGATTCCCCATTACTGCACAGACAGGCCCTGGCATATCGAGACCACAGCTTCATGTAAGACTCAACCTGGCAAGCCGTTGCGATGACACGAACACGATACGCGACGTTTAAGCGACAGATTGGCGAGTGAGAAGCAGGCGAGAGGCCGCCGAAGCGACCCCGAGATCCGAAAATTCTGGTCAGAGCTGAGGCGTGGCTGACTGGCTACGTAAGGGACTGTACATTTGCCCCCAACCAGGCTGTGTATGAATAGAAACTGGAAACACTTTTCCAGCATCACAGCGTCGCCACAGTGGGCGTACTTGAATGTCCATGCCTATGATGTCGTTGCTGGTATGTCTCATCTACGCGCATCTGCATTCTCGATGCAGCTGGGCATCGTCGCTAGATCTCAGCATCCAGCTGAACACTTGATCATGTCGTCGCGATCGTTGCCTTACCAGTCGAGTCGCCTGCCTCTGTGGGCAATGCATCTACATGCCGCATGGTCTGATGGACTGGAGCTTTCCGTGAGTCTCAGGGCGTGAGAGCCTCTAACAGGCTCAAATTGCCTCGCCGCTCCCACACTTGTTCAGTGATTGGCGAGTGACATCTTATGTAACAGAGCTGCCGTGAGTCGGTTTCATGAGCTTGTCTTGGACGGCGAAGGAGGGCCTTGCGACTCCGCAAGGATCAGCGAAAATGGACTGAAGTCGCCATCTGGCTCTGGACTACCACGCCAGCCACGATCGGTCGTGTCTCAATGTCGCTGTTGCGGAACATCTATGGTAAATACCATTTACGGGCGGCGTGCTGTGCAGGGAGATCGAATCACAATCTCGTCGTGCCCCTGCCAACTGCAAGTATCACCGCGTGGCCCTGCGTGACGGAGACTCGCCTACGGCGCCAGCCACGACTGTCCGATGCCTCAATGCTGTTGTCGAGAAAACACAATGGCACAATCATCCACAGGCGAATCATCAGTGGAGCTCGCTTTACACTCCTGTCGACCCCCTGCCCTCTGCATGCATTGCCGTGTGCCCCTGTGTGATGGAGACTTGCCTCGAGCGCCAGCCACAACACGATAACTCCTCTCTGCTCCCACACCATACCCAGCTGTATATAGAAGTGATCATCAATCTTCCCTTCCACTCCAGCCGGTTGATCTTCGCAGCATCCACGGGTCATTGCAGCTGTCAACAGATTGTCTCGCCAAATCGTTCGAGACCTCAACACAGACAGTGCAGCATGCCCGCATTGGCACTATTGAAATTTGCCTTTGGATAAGGCGATCTCGATGCTTGGATGAGGGGTCGTCACCTCGACGATACCCTGTCGTTTGTCCACCACTCGGACATCCATCCTTTGGTCCACGAAGCCGAGGATCTCCCTTCGTTCGTCGGAGACACTGCAACCCAGTCGTTCATGCATCCGGACTCGACACAACCTAAGATGCCCTACTCCATCCTGCGTCCCATCTAAGCCCTCTATATGCTTGCCGCTCGGGGGAAAAACAAAAACACACTGGTTCGGCATACGATCCCTCAGAGCAGTATGAGACAGTTGCGACGACTCCCCCATCGGTCTGCCTCCCGGTTAATATGTGCTGTGACGTGGTGCTGACGATCCGCTTTGGGCTCAAGCAACGTGGTGCCTAGGCCACATATCACTGCGCAAGTAGTATGTGTCGCATCATGCGAATGCCGTGCTCTTCTCCGTCTTTCGCATCAAGCAGGCTCTTACGTCCTGCAATGACAGCAACCAGTGTCCGACTCAAATGAGCGTTGGCTGCACCGCATTCACAGATCATCAGTCCTTCTCCTGTGGCTTTTCACTCTGTAACCTTCTCTGCTCAAGAACATCCTCCCGCTCAAAGTCCAGACCAGCTCGATTCCTTGCCACTCCATACACCGAGCTACTGTCAAGTCCACGTCCATTACTCTCGCCCCAATCCCTTGCATCTTTGAGCCTCTCCAGAGCCAGCTTACCTACCTCAAGATCAACACCCACCGCTCCAGCAACGTCCACACCCACTTGCACGTCTTTCACCGCCAGCCGTACATCACTGCGTGGCCTCTCACCCGAAGCAGGCGCATACACACCCGTGCTCAGCTTCTCAGCTACACTCGCAGCATACGCCCCATAATTCTGCTTTACGAGTTCCTCCACGATGGACGTCTCGAGCCCAGACTTCTCGGCCAGCACGAAGGCCTCGCTCAGCAGCTGTGCTAGGCCGGCAGTGATCAGGTTGCCTGTGGCCTTCAGCATCATTGCGTCTCTCGGATTCGGTCCGGCGATGATGACTGAACGCGCAAGACAGGCTTCGATCAGTGGCTTCACGCGTTGGATCGCGGTCGAGGGCCCGGCGAGTGCGAAGAGTAAAGAACCTGATACCGCCACAGGCGTCCCGCCGAAGACGGGGGATGAGAGGTAAGTGCCGGAGGCAGTAGTCACGAGGTCGGAGATGGCGGTGGTGGTGTCTGGGTGGATGGTCGTGGTGTCGACTAGGAGTTTGCCTTCGAGTGAAGAGATGTCTGCAAGGATACCTCCGATTGTGGACTGTACAGCGGCGTCATCTGATAGCTTCACGTGACGTCAGCTAACGGCGCGGTGTGAGCGATTTGGGAATCTTATCCTCCGCCAGCCTTTCAAGACGACAATTTCTTAAGGCAGGATGACCCATGTAAGCGTACAAAGATAACGGACTGCTGGAAACGCATCCACAGCAACATCAGCATCTCCAGTATGCACTCACAGAAAAGAAAACAACATCGCTCGCCGCCACTACCTCAGCCGGAGTCTGGAATGCTCTACCGCCCGACGCGGCCAGACCATCGCCACGTGAGAGCGTGCGGTTTGTGTATGCTAGCGGGGCTCCCTCGGATAGAGTAGACAGATGGCGCTGGAGGTTCGTGGCCATTGCAAGGCCCATGTTGCCAAGTCCAACCCAGCCGTAGCGGGTTGCTGGCTGGACGGTCATGTTTGAAGCCAGTCGCGAAGGGTAGATTCACTGCTTGGGTCGGACAATCTGACTCGCAGCACGCAAGTGCTCCTGTGCTCTACGCGGCGGACTGCTGCTGTTGCATAGAGGAAACCGACTCTGGGAAGAGCAGAATCGCGCCGAAACCTTACTTCTTGCTCTCCGCTTGCTCCACTTGGCATGCTTTTCTGGCGGATCTGATGTTTGCTGCACCTTGTCAACTCGAGGACTACTCCCGTGATGGCGAAACTGTCGCTTGCGCTCAGCCCGCTCCTGCCATAGAGTCGCGGTGCAGCCTCTCTCAGTTCATGGGTCTTGATGCGGAAAGCACAGTCCTCGGAGGAACGCCGAGCCACGATGCACAAATTTTATGTGGTAGCCTAGATCTCGCTTACGGAATCACACCCGACCAGGGGCCGATTGAGGCGCTTCTGCAGGTATTGTACCTTTTTGCGACGGCCACCCTCGTAATATAGCACAATCACACTCCATGGACGCTTCAACTACTCCCAGCCGACTCCAGCGCACAGCATGTGACCGCTGCCGCTCGCAGAAGCTGAAATGCCTACGCGACGAGGACAAGCCCAGCTGCTCCAGTTGTCGACGATGCCTTCGCATCGGCCACCCATGTACGACCGGTGCGGCACGCAAAGCCGGACGACCGTCCACGAAGCTGAATGACATCGCTGACCTAACGTCCATAATCGACCCCTCGCTGAGGACTCCTACGAGCACGGCACGGAATACGCCCTCCTCGACCTCGGCACACCATGATATCTTCAGCACTTCGCAGCCTTCACAAACCGCCGACAATTCACGACTGCCCACACCAGGGGCAAATGACTACGTCTCACTACTGGAGCGACGCTCGCAGCTGATGCGCAAGCTTGGCGAACTTTCACATGGTCTGCACCTGGATGTGGATGCCTTACGAGGCTGCCGCACTATCGATCAATGCAAGACTTTACCGGGCCAGACGTTCGATGATGTGGACCCGGCTTTCTTCGTGAGTCGATTGTTGAACAGTGGCAAGCTTTTGTTAGAGATTGCATTGCAGTTCCGCTTCACCCACGAACCTACGAGCCTGGTAACGCAGACAAACACGGCAATCACGAACAGTAACGAGACGATAACGCCATCACCCGAGGCGAAAACCTCCGGCGTTGTCAGCGTGGAGGAGGCCCTTCCGAGACTAGACTGTGACATTGCCGTGCTCCTCTCGATCGGCACCTCGTTCGTCATGCTTGTCCGCCTGTTCCGCGTCATACTGTGGACACTACTCGACTCTCTTCCAATCGTTCGTGCTCCCAACTACAGTCCCGCGAACCACAATTTCAAGAACCTCTTCCACGGCCTCACGCTCGGCGAGTATAGCCTTGAAGGGCGCATGGACCTGCAGATGCTGTTTCTGGTGCAGGCCAGCGAGGATCTAATCGAACGGCTCGAGCTCGCGCTAGGTATCCCGGAGGCGACGATCGATCGATTGTCACAAGGAGAGCCTGTCAAGGCCGCAGAGGTGGTCAACGAAGAATACAGGGTCGTGCTGATGATGCTGCTGGCTCGGGAAGCGAAGGAGCAGCCGCCGATGGATATGCCACGGGGTCACTGCGGAACGCTGAGGGAGATTGTGAGGTCGTTGAGAGGGGAGTTAGCGCCGAATCGATGAGGAGACAGCGGTTCATTGCTGTGGTTGGGTCCAGAATCTCAGTCATGAAGCCATTGTCATGGACATACGACAACGTGTTTGGGACGCTCTGTCTACCCCACAGTGCTCGCAAGTGCCCCCCGCGAATATTATCCTTTCGCCCACTGCCGCCGTCTCCACACGAGGTTATTCATACGTGATCTCATCACTACCTGGTTCCCTCAAATTTCTTTCACCCCGGGAATTTGAAACCACGACTTGCTAGCAGCAACAAGCAACAATCGTCATGTCCAACAGCGATCCGTCATCAGCCAGCGCGCCGCGCCGCATAGGTCAAACGATCTACCTCAAACCGTCGCGCCTCGAGGAATACAAAAAGCTCCATGCCGCGGCGTGGCCTGAAGTCCTCGAACAGATCAAGGACAGCAATATTTCTGATTGTGAGTGTTCCTACGAAGACATCGCAAGGCTGCCCATCGGCATATCTGCAAGCCGAGCTCAGCGCTAATCACCACCATCACCGTACCAGATTCAATCCACCTAATACCGCCCTCCTCACCCTCAATACTATACACCCTCTTCGCGACCTTCAAATACACCGGCACGGACTTCGACGGAGACATGGCGCGAATGGCGGCGAACCCGAAGGTGCAGAAGTGGTGGCGGTTGACTGATTCGATGCAGGAGACAAGGGTCGAGGGGAGTCGGGGGAGCACGGATGTTGAGAAGGGATGGTGGTTGGGTTGTGAGGAGGTGTTTTACCTTGCGTGACTTGGGCACGGATGAGGAATGGCTGGGTAGTACCTTGACGAGCAAGCCTTTCGCAGGAAATCGGACAAAGATGGATGGCTGAGTTGGCACAATTCGAAAAGGTGCAAATTTGTTCTTACATTCCCCTCGTTGTTCACCTTTCCTTATATCTGCTGTCTGAGTCCTCACCTTCCGCACTTTCGCGTGTCAGCATCTTTGTCTTCACGATCTTGCCCTGCTGATTGGTCGCGGTCTGAGCCTTCGCGTTTTGAATCTTCGCGGTCTTGGTCTTCGCGTTTAAGTATTCGTTGACCGAGTCAAGATCCGATATCAGTCCTCTCGAGCACAAGTCATGCAGCATACGCCACCTCCTTGCCTAAATAGCATCGATGTCCTCGCCGTGGTCGTAACCACACCGTTGGCCGTTCATGTATGTGAAAATACGCCTTCTCCGTCGTCACCTTGAGATTGAAGCTTTGCGCTTGCATACTCGTAAGCCGAATCCAGGTGCTTGACCCCGACGGCTTATACATATTTGCTTCCCCGCCCAACCGCCAGGGCTTTTCAGCAGACCAAGGCAAGTCGCTGACTTGCTGCTCAATTAGCCACTTATCTTGGTGGAAGAGGCTATGAATATAGTCAGCAGCCCAGCCTAGCTGACGTGTTGGCCCGATCCGCAGAGATCGATAATTGCCCTCGCGTCTCATCATTATTCGACGAGTGCAAGTCTCATGCTCTCCCACACCCTGATTGAAGTAACTTCGCGCTGTCTCAAGGGCCCGTGCGCGCAAGCTGTCTTCGGCAAGTAGCGAGAAGATGCCATAAGCGAAGAAGTGTTCCCAGAAAGGATGGTCCTGGGTCTGCCGAGAGGCATCTTCATTTTCTACATCCGTCAATGAAAGAATCGTACAAGGATTTGTCAATGCCAGCAAGTCAAACAGACTCTCAAGGGCCTGCTGCTCGGAGATGCATACGAAGGCGTACGCAGCAGCGACCGGCTTCAAGGTGCCTTCCACACGTTGGATTCGTGGAAGTAACCAGTGGCGGACTATTCTGACGTCTGGCCAGCATATTTTCACTGCGATCTGAACATCGAGCGGCAATGCAGAACAAGTTGGTGGCTCGATGTGAATGTCTCGTGGCCACCATCTTAGCTTCTGCCGACCAAAGTCCTTCAATGGCAAACGGGTCGCGAGGCGCTGAACACATAAGTCCGCGATTGCACAACACTCGTCTGTACGGTCTGGGTCTTGTAGAGCATAATTCAGGCCACTAATGAAGTCAGACAGCATGTCACTAACGTTGACATTTTCGGTGTCGGCAAAACAGGTATCGTCCAGGCTCATAAACCCGATACTAGCAAGAGCTAGGAGAGCTAGACCGTAGGATCGCTTCATGGAGGCTGCGCTAAGACTGAGAAAAGAAGCCCCTTCTTCGAGCAGGAAGTCGTGGGCCGTTCGATGCACGAAAGTCACCTCCTGGTCTAGAAGAGTCCATAGAGACTGATGATCGCTCTTACTCCGACGCACGAAGTGATTGAATGCATAGGAGAGGGTTGTTGTTGGATTGAACGTACAGGGGCGAACGATGACCAGACCACCGCATCGATCGACTACTTCGTCGGCGAAACCAGCAGCGCGAGTCGTTATAGCACCAACAAAATCTTCCGAAAAGGCGTTTCGCATTGGTTTGAGCAGTTTGTCGACCGAGTAGTCCCCACATGTCAGCAACAGCAACTCAAATAAGGTGATGCCCCTCTGGGCACCCCGTGGAAGCTGCGTACATATGTCGATCAGATACAAAATAGGCAGAGGTTTCGACCTGTAGAAATGATCTTGACGGGCGACCATATGTCTGAAGAGATCGCGCATTTCGACAGGGCAATGGTCCAAACGCTCTGTCAGCTCGATACGACCAGCACCACGGCGCGCAGCCTTCGCAAGATCGTGGGCAACGATATGAGCCCACAGGAAGATACCATTGGCACGGTTGGCGACGTCACGAGCAAATTCGAACGCCTGTGTGCCATGTAGTGTCGAGAAGGTAAATTTGGATATATCTGTATCATTGACATCTTGAAGTCTGAAAGACGAATTCGTGCGGAATGCGCTTTTGAACGGTTCGACTGGTCGCGAAGAGCATATAAGCTTCACATGTGAATGGTCTGTGCTTAGCGTTTGAATAGTAGCAAGGAGCGCGCCGTGGCCTTCATCACCACCTTCGAACTCTTGGAATTCATCCAGCCCGTCCAGTAGTATAATCACGCATCCACTCGTTTGCGAAAGCATGTAGTTGAACCAGCTCCTGAAGTCATCGCTTCGCCATATGGGCTTGGCAATGCGATCCTTTGACGTGGCAGCTCTGATACCTTGGGGTGTTCTGGAATCGTCTAGCACATGTTGAACCAGAGATTCGTCCATGGATAAAAGTTGGGCACACAGTGACCTCCAAACACCTTCGAAGGACCTGTCGAGCCTCGACGTAGCTGGACGAAAGAAGAAGAAGCTCAGTATCCTGCATGGCTTGCCTTCAGCCCATTCAGACACAAGGCGACGAGCTCGTCCACCCTCTTCGAGATTCTGGCGAATAAAACTCATGAGGCTTGACTTTCCACACCCAGGTTTTCCTTCCACGAACCAGATCCCTGAGCCAGTGCGAATCCAGGTCTCGAAGCTCTTGTACACAGCATGTCTGCGGTGTCCCTGCATGTCATTCATGATGGGATGGCCCTGGCTGTCTTGACCGCCAACACTTCCGAAATCACCGAAAAGCCATTTGGCAGTCTCACCGTAGTCGTTTACGCGTGCTCGGATACTGTTCTCCCTTTCGTGCATGCTATCATAGTATAGTATATTATAAAGGCGCTCCAATGCATGGCGTTGCCTGTCGTCCAGATTGAGGACCTTGAGCTGGTCGATGACAATGGCTTCGGACGCACTGATATGGTTGTCGACTGAAGCAAGATGGGTTGTGATCGCTTTTTGAGTCGACATCGTCTGCGCGTTAATTGACTGAGACATTTGCGCTAGCTCAATTCTATACAACTTTCTTATGTCTTCTATCGCGTGCAAAAGCTGCGCAGTTGCTGCTTTGTTTCCATCAATGACAGCGTCAATACTGGTGTTAACTGCTGTGAGTTGTACAGCGGTGAGCGCTCCACTGTCCCGGATGTCGCCCCGTATGCCGTTCAGTAGTGAGGTCTGGAGTGTCGACTGTAGCTCAACGAGCTTTCTCCGTTGCGCTTCTATTTTCGAGCGATTCCGGAGGCTTCGAAAGCCTTTCTCCATGAGTGTCCGTTCTGTCTTGTCCTTCCTGTGTGTTATGTCGCGAGCGAGCGTTCCTAGGTCGGACGCCGCCTGCAGGGATCGTGTGGCGCACTCCTGGATCTGTGTATCGATCGCATTACCGGGCGACGTAATGGGTAGGAAAGTGCTGCTTGCGTTCGAGATTTTAGTCACTAGATCGCTCAGTTCTGTCGTTGTTAATATGTCCCTCGTCGAACCTGTAGCTGATATTTCTTTGCACTCTTTCGCCAGCTTTATTGCCACCTCCACCAGCTGTATGATGTTGCAAGCCAGGCCGAGACCTGCGAAAGCTGAGAACGGATCCATTTCGCTGCGGTTGTCAAGATCAATGTTCGTAGCCTTTTAGACACTGTCGCAAACGAAAAGGTTGCCCATGAGTCTGCCGCCGCGTCTGCTTTCGAGCATAGACGCTGCTCACACTGGGATCCTCTGGTGCAGATCTGCTTTCTTGCAAACTACAGACATGCCTCGTTGCTCTCTTGCGGCTCGGCCAGAGCCTTTGACGGACTCTGGGATGGTCGTGGGTAGGACGCTTCGCGCCGAACGTCGATATCTGTGTTGCTTCGATACTGCACGGCAATTAGTCGTCGGAATGTGGACACACTGGCTTGTTAGCAGGCTTCGAAATCATCACGAGAAAGTCACTGTCAGCGAGAGCAGGCTCTAGCCTGTCAGGCTGTTCGCAAGGCACAAATCATTGGAAGACCTCAAGTCAGTCAAGACGCCGGCGCGCGTCCAATGGCATCGATTCATGGCAGTTTGCGCTGGCCCTCTCACCGGCTGTTGTATTGATGAGGGCCAACGAATCAGCGAATTTCTAGGCGCAGCGCAGCTGTAGCAGCTGTGGGCAAGCATGCAGCCGGTGTCGAGGATGGTGAGTGGTTGCACAACGTGGGTTGGACTGTGGTGAGAGCCCGGAAGTAGCTGTTTCAATCTCCGACCGATGAGAAAATGGATCTTTCATGCCTGGATCTCCCCGCAACTTGAACCGTTCCTTGGAAGTCGAAGGCATCTTCGTTTCCTGGCCGCTGCTCATCTTTCGGACGCCTTTGCCCACAAGTAGCTTGAACAAGCTCGTCGGAACAGAAGACTTATACAGTAAGTCCTATGGAGCTCGGTTCGATCCGCTTTTGATGCTCCGATGCTGGAAAGCAGACGCGACTTCGTGATTTCTCGTATAGAAGCTGCAGCCATGAAAGTCAAACGTCGCAGGATCTTCAACGTCATCCAGGAACAACGCACTAAATCTTTGAAACATTTCCTGAACAGGAACATCGTACAAACTTGAACGAACGATGATCTCCTCGGACAAGATGCGACTACCATGCTTCCATAAGTACTACACGTCCTCTCCAGGACCAAAAGTATTGCCGGAGTCTCGAAGGCTCAGGTAATCACGATAATGGGACCGAGCCAAGACAACAATGCAGAAGCGTACCTGGATGCCTCTTTCCGAACATGGCTGGAGAAATTGATGCGAAAGCATCACGTCCCCGGCTTCTCGGTCGCCGTCGTGTCACAGGGCCAGATCCATGCCGACGGCTACGGACTGGCCCTTCTTCCCGATGTCAAAGCTAAGGGCGACACATTGTTTCCAATGTGCTCGACCACAAAGTCTTTCACATGCGCATTACTCGGAATATTGATCGCTGAAGCTCAGTCGAAGACGCCCTCGTCCAAGACATACCCGGGACTTGACGTACTGAAGGACAGAGGCTGGCAGACGCCCGTGACACAAATTCTTCCGCAGGCTTCGTCACCACATCCCAGCTCCTGACGAGATACTTGACGCTCCAAGATCTTGCCTCGCATCGTTCGGGCCTAGCTGGTCACGACTTTTTGTGGGGACCATGGCAAGGTCCAGATCTGGCGCGAAACACCAAGGATTTGCGACATTTGGAGCCAGCAGTCGAAGTGGAAGATAGTTTTCGGTCAAAGATGCAGTACAACAACATGATGTATGGGGTATTGGGGCAGGTCATTGAAACAGTGACTGGGCAGTCCTTCAACCAGGTACTCCGCGAACGGCTACTTGATCCATTAGGGATGGACGGCACCTGGCTTGGTATTGAACGAGCAAGTGTGATAGTCGGACCAGAAAAGAGTAAGTGGTCAAGACCATACCATTGGAGAGATACGACAGAAGACAACAAAGACCCTGACAAACCAAAGAGTAACGACGACGACAGCGAAGAGTCTGGACTTTACTATCCGAGCCACTGGTCGACACTTGCTGGCCTTGATCCCGCTGGTGCTCTGATCTCAAGTGTCAGAGACTACGCCAAGTGGATCAAAGCTATGCTCGAGGTTGCTGAACCTCCGCCAGAAGCCATTGACAACGCAGATGGCGACTCGGACACCCCCAAAACCAAGTCAAAGAGCCCCAGCAACCCCTTAACAACCCATCTCTTCCGAACCTTGACAACTCCGTTGATCGCTATGCCGACGCACACCCTCCAGCCATCACCACTGTTCAAAGCCACCCCCAATGCACACGCCCAGCCTATCGGCTACGCCATGGGTTGGTACTCCGATCCCCATGTTTTACCCGGCGACATCATGATATCACACGGTGGCGGCCTTCCTGGAGTCGCCACTGTGATTGCCATGCTACCTAATCACGACTTTGGGATGGTACTTGCTGGCAACAGTAGCAACGCAAACCTCTTGATTGAGGCTGTCACAAAAGAATTGATGGGAAGGAGAGCGGGCTGGTCGGAGGGGAGGCGTCGGAAACACCATGATGATGAGGCGAAGAAGAAGGCGAAAGAGGCGGAAGCCAGAGTTCTGAAGGAACTCGAGGATATGCCGGGTCCTGGATCAGCAAGTGAAAATGATGAGGCAGCTATCGATGGGGTACCTTCGGAGTCCTTCGACAAGCTTGACTTTGCTGGCAAGTATCACCATGCCGCGTATGGTACATTCACCCTTGCGTCCACCTCCCAAGCCACTGCGCTCTCTCAGCGAAAGCCCACCTTGGAAGATCGAGACATGTTACGCCCAAAAACGGAGCCAAAGGACATAAAGAAGCCGAAACTTACAGTGCCGCCTCTCGTGATGGCTCCGCTTGGTCGGAGAGGACTTGTCTATCGCTTCTTGCTACACCCATCGACGTCGAAAATATCAAAGCACCCGAAGAACGTGATACCGTTGTCAATGGAATGGGCCATCTCGCACGGCGAGTTCTCCGAATGTTCGTTTCCCGAGCTCGACAAAGGCTGGGGCCTGCCAGATAACGACATCTGTCCTGGACCGCCAGTCAATAAGAGAGAGGGAATATGGGAGACCACGCCGGTGAAGCCCGGTGCTGGAGCTCTCATAGTGAGTGCTGATGAGGACCAGAAAACGCGGCGGGTTTTGGAAGTAGGCATGCGTCTGGCAAGGGTGGAAGATCCGCCTGAGGAGGAAGAGCCAGCAGATAAGACTGACGGAACTGATGAGAAAGCTGCAGGTAATAATGAGGGTAAGCAGCCCAAAAATTCAGAGTCAGAGAAGCCAGAGCTGGAAGATGGTTGGCAGAATCGGATGGTATGGTTCACAAGGGTACTCGAGTAGCCATCGAGGCCTTTGTAAACTTCGCCCTGATCGCTCTATTTACGTCGGTGACTGCTGTTCGCTCTGTAGAACACTTACAAGTCTCTGTCCGTAGACAAAGCCAAGCGCCCAAACAAAAGTCCAATACGAATCGCGAGTGCAGAGACTGTAATCGAGCCAAGAGCGGATACGTGGCAGAATCTTCACCTTGGGGCTGGGCATGACGTTCAGCTCCACCGTTCTTGTCGCCTAGCGGAGCGGGATCTTTCTCCCAGTGCTTTTATCGCAACTTCGTGCTCACACCACCGAAGCTTGGCCGTCATCCTCCATGTGCTTTGTGGACTGCCAAGTCGATGGGCGGGCACGCACCCATGTCGGGGCTGCTGTGCGTGCTTGTCAACGATAATGGAGGTTTACATTTTCAACCTTGGCGAATGTCGCGAGATGACGCGAGTACTACAAAACGCTTGGTGGACTCGTCGCGGTCAGAATGAGGTTCTCGAATATTTCTGCGCTCCGCTTGGCTCTGCGCATCATCTACTGCCGTACTGCAGCTCTGGTCTACGCACCTGAGCAGGATGGCTAGCACTCTTCGAAAAGTCGGAGCCTGGCTGGCTCCTCCTCCAGCTAAGTCGGATGATGGACGTGATCAATGGCCCTCGCGCACAGCGTTCCTGCTGGCAGCTATGGAGGATGTGCTGGTCAGGGCAATCTCCTTCGGTATCCTTCTGTCGTCTACAACAACTATGGCTTACAGTGGTTCATCCCGTACCTGCTGGCCGTGTTCCTGATTGCCATTCCAGCTCTCATTCTGGAGATCTCTATCGGCCAGGCCTATCGCGGAGGTAGCACGATTGCATTCAACAACATCAACCATCGCCTGAAGGGCGTTGGACTGGGACCTGTCTTCGTCAGCTTCATTGTCGTGCAGTACTTCACTGTCAATCTGGCATGGATTATGAACTACTTCCGCAACTCGTTCACTAGCCCGCTGCCATGGGAAGGCCGACTTGACGACTTCTATAACAATGATGTGATCGCAAACCCATCACCAATACCTGGCTCAGCAGGCATGGACGTCGACGGCGAACCCTTCAAGTGGATCGAGTATCCTTCGGTCGGACTGATTGGTGAGACAGTCGGCTGGAGCGCTTTCATCTGGTTTCTCATCTGGATTTCCATCTTCCGCGGAGTTGGCATGACTGGAAGAGTGGTGTACTTCACGATGGGCCTGCCAATCATCACCACAATCATCCTTGTCGGCAGAGCGCTGTCGCTCGAGAATGCTGGCGAGGGTGTACGACTCCTCTGGGCGACGTGGCGCAGCGATCAGCTCGCTAGCGGCACGGTCTGGGCAGACGCTGTTGGTCAGGTGTTCTTCTCGACCGGCATTGGCTTCGGCTATTTCACGAGCTATGCCTCGTACAACGCGAAGCATTCGAATGCTGTGATGGACGCCATCCTCATCTGCGGCAGCAATGTACTTTTCGAAAATTTTGCCGCCTTCGCAGTCTTCGGCGTTGTTGGCTACCTTCGTCGGTGGCCGCAAGACGGGGTCCGTCTCGGTGCATTTGTCGTGGGCTTTCTCACCCTCCCGGAAGCAGTCATCCAGATGCCTGGCGCGAATTTCTGGGCTGTGCTGCTGTTCTTCACGCTGGTCGTGCTGGGCTTCTCGAGTGCATTCGTGATGCTCGACGCGACAGCTACGCTCCTGGTGGACGCAGGCATGAAGTACTCGAGGCCGGTCATAGTCACAGGTCTGACGCTGCTGAGCTTCCTGCTCTGCCTTCCGTACTGCACCGAGTTTGGCTACTATCTGCTCGATGGTATCGATCGTTGGGTCAACAACGTCGCGCTCATCTTCGTTGTCTGGTCCGAAGTCGTCAGTGCTACCACAATCTACCGCTGGCGAGACGTGATCGACCAGACTGGGCTGCCAGCTTTCGCTGTCTACAACCTTGGCTATCTCGGAGGGCAAGTCATTGGCGTTTCTGTAGCCCACGGCGCCGGGAATCCTGGTGCCGGGGCCGGGGCTGGCTTTGGCTTCTATGTCATCTGTGCTGTCGCTGCGACAGTCATGGCAAGAACGCCCACCGTCAGGGCTCCGAAATTCTGGGGCAATAATGCCTTCCTTAGCAAATTGTGGTTTCTGGCTTTCTACTCGGTAAGTCACCACTCTACTGACCAGTATCGCTTGCACTTTACTGACATGTCTCTCAGGGCAATCAACTCCGTCGCGACCTTAACATCATAGTCGGCACAGGTCGCAACTGGTCGATCCCATCCTTCTGGCCAGTGCTATTACGCTATGTATCCGGCCCAGTCCTGGCCATCATCTTCTCCTTCGCTTACCCAGAGTTCTACACGCTGAAGAACGACCCTCTCATGGTGCTTGGCTTCGGAGTTGCGCATGTAGGAATACTGCTCATTATCCTCGGCTTTGTTATGCCGCGATACTACAACATCATGATTCCACCTCAGCGACGCGATGAGGGCTTGGAGAGGACTGTAGCTCTTGAGCCAAAGGGCGAGGTCGTGGCTCGAGCTATCAACGATGGAAATCTGCCGGATCACGACCGGAGTAGCTCTGAAGAGAAGGGTCTGGATGGTGGGCGGAAGGGCGTGACTGAAGCAGGCTCACCGCGACTATAAATCATGTCAAGAGTTGGAAAACAAACCTAAGGAGCAAGCTAGTCGCGTGTATGGTACACATTCCAGCAACGCCAGCGTATGATGGTCGCAAAACATATGGAGCGCGAAGATGTGCCGTCCAACGTCGATCGAGAGCCTTCGCAAAAGATGTACAGGTCCTGTATGCGGATGCGCGTTCAAAAACAGACTGATCGATGACGTCGCGAATCTTTAAGTCGTTTCCTCACCTCGTCTCATCTTCTTCAATTGAATAAAATTACACGCAACCAAGTCAGAGTTCTAATGGCTGCCGAGCGAGGTGAAGAGAGCTCACCTTGACTCGCAGTCATCATGTCGCAACCCACTCTCGTTGTACTCAACCTCGTGAAAGCTCCACAACAGAGAAGTTACAGACCGCCTCGCAAGGAATGTTTGCTATCACTCCAAAGGTTTGCTCACTCCTTTTATTCAATCCTTTATGCGATTGACAGTCCAATCTCACATCCCCTACACAGCACGCTTCCAGCACATCAACATCGCGGCCTATTCGCCGGCTCAACACCAGAAGCCAGCTTTCCATCCATCCGCAGATGTCATCTCGGTATCACCATCGCTAAGTCGTCACTCGAGCGTGAACATCGCATCGCAGACGACACGAGCTCTCGAGACTTGCCGTCATAACAAGAAAGCCAGCAACCCCTTCACCTTACCCTCAACTACCCAACCCTCCACCACAAATGCCGCCCCTCCCAATCGAAATCCAACCCTATTCCGCCTCTTGGCCCGCCTACTTCTCCCTAATATCCCACCAACTCCACACATGCCTGAACACCACCTCCGTCCCCTACACCTCCATAACGCACATCGGATCCACCAGCATCCCCCACCTAGCCGCCAAACCCAACATCGACATCGCGATCCTCGTCCCCTCCCTCCCTGCCGCCATTCTTGCCCGCGAAGCCCTCATCTGGGAACCCCCTGGGCCCGAACACTACCGTTGGATCGGCGACGGGGGGATTTGCGGGCGGTGGTCGATGAAACTGGTTGATTGGAGCGGGTGCCGAGGAGGAGTGTGTATATTATCCGGGAGGATGATCCAGAGGCGATGTTGGGGTTTCGGGGATATGTGGATTTGAAGATGGTTCTAACAGTAGACGGTGGGCTGCGTGAAGAGTATGCAGCGGTGAAGTGGGAACAGGTGGCGGTTGGGCAGAGGGATGGGGTGGCGTATGGGAGGGCGAAGAATGCCGTTGTCGCGAAGATTTTGAGGGTGGCGGGCTGGACGGATGAGGAGGTCAGGAGGAAGGAGGCGCTGGATGTAAGGGAGGAGGGGGTGAACTGGGATGATGAGCCGTTTACCTGATCAGCGCTGGTGGGTCGACTGTACTGCATGTGTGGACTTGTCATCGAAAAGTCTGGGTCGAGCTAGATGCTGCCCATCTTTCCGCGGGCGCAGTAGACTGATGTCTGCTAATCCGCGTTGGGCTCCCTTGTAGTATAAATGAGCTTGTGCAAGTGTTGAACAGAAAGGCATCTGTTGTATCGCAGCATATACCCTACCAACTTACTGTACATCACTGCGCGTCCTTGCTCGCTTTTACATCGAGTTCTTCATCTCCCTCAGCTTCCCCATAACCTCCACCGCCCCCGTCTCCCCCGTCGCCTTCTTCACGACCTCATCACCCACCCGCATGAACGAATTGTACTTCTTCTCGTCCCCGATCGTGAACTTCCCCTGCGTCTCCTTGTTCTCATTCGCAAACTTCTCTAGTCGTCTGACATCAGGGTTATCCCCCTCAACAGTAACCAAGAACTTCACATTCGCCTTCGTATACTCATGCCCGGGGTACACCTTCGTCTCATCCGGCAACCCCGCCAAGACCTCGTTCAACGCAGTATTCATCTCCTTGGGCGTGCCCTCGAAGAAGCGCCCGCAGCCGCCTATGAACAGCGTGTCGCCCGTGAAGACCACTTTTTCGTCGGTTTTGGTGTCCCGCATGTACCAGCAGATGCTGTCCTGGGTGTGGCAGGGCGTATGTAGCGCTGTGACTTCGATGTTATCGCCGATTTTAAAGGTGGAGTTGTGTTTGGGTGTTTCTGTGACTTTGGCGCAGTCTTTGCCGCCTATGATGGGCAGGTCGTATTTGGCGAGGATCTTCTCGTTGCCGCCGGCGTGGTCCCAGTGGTGGTGCGTGTTTATGAGTTTGGTGAGCTTCACGGAGGACTCGGCTTCTTTCAGGACTGGGAGGACTCTGTAGTGGGTATCAGCGAGGGTTTTGTGCGCTATCTGGTCTCGGATGCGCATGTGACATTATTGAGGAGGGCGCGAAGGTCTGGAATAGCGGTCGTCTTACTCTTCAGGGTTGGCTGGGTCGATGATGACGGCTTCCTTGGTGGCATCGTCCGAGACGAGGTAGGCGTAGTTGTTGGACGAGCCAACCCCTGGTCATGTGTCAGCGTGCTCGTGCAGGCAGTAGGCGTGTCAGCGTACACATGGGGATGCTTTGGATATGCATGGCTCGGAGTGTGTTCGACTTAGTAGGCGTGGAGCGCTGGAGGAAACTCGATGTGTAGCTGGTCAGCGGTCGTGTGGCTAGTCGTGACAGGAGCATGAAGGGAACAGAGATCAGGAGTCCAAACAGTACGCGCCGGATCAGTAATTGCATGAGAGAGTGAGATGATGTCGTTCTACTTCAGGAACAATTTGTCGCTGCGGAGAAGACGTCGTTGCTGGCTGCGTTCCCCTCATTGACGTAGACGCTGCGGAAAGATTCCCATCTCAGGCAGTAAAATCGTCAGAGTGCAACGACGAGCGTTCTAAGTCGGGGAACAAACACGGGAACACAGCAATCGGAATAGCGGCCAACTTCGACGAACCCTGTGATACTCGAATATATGAGAGACAACGCTCCCTCATAACGTCCCCAAAGTCCCATACTCCGTCGTGCTCCGCCTATTCATCTGATGGCCACGACTGTCACCAAGCAACCTCTGGCTCTCAGCCAGGTCGACCACCTTCTCTTTGCCACTGATCGTTGGGATCCAGCCTCGCATCCAACCATTCACCCTTTCCCAATGACTATGTCCCTTCCCATCTCTGACTTTGACGACCTTCTGTTCCGTCTCTCCGTACATAAGGAACTGCACTCCCATCGTAGCGTCGAGGAACAAAACGCCAAACGCACCCAAGAAGAATGGCGCGGCGCTCGCAATCCATTCCAGACGCTTCGAGCCGTGCTCATCTGCCCAGCCATGTCCTCCGTATGGCTCGAAGTCGTTCCACGCGTACGGATTCGTGAGCATTGAGCTTGAATAGAAGAAGTTGCCACAGAACGCCGCAAAGAACAATAATGGCGATAGGCCTGCCGTTGACTGCCTCGTCCAATTCTTGTACAGCTGTGGGAGGCGTGAGCCAAGATAGAGCAACGTTGAAGACCAAGAAAGGATCATCCCAGCAAGCTCCAGGTTCGTTCCCGCTCGGAAGAGATGTATCTTGCTCAAGTCCGAGGGAGGCGGGATTGGTGCCGATGCAGCAGGTCTGGTCAATGTGGATAGAGTCGTGGCAAAGAGCATTGTTCTTGGTGATGCTAGCCAGCTTGTCCCGAACTTCTCGCCCATACTGGTCGGTCGCGGTGCAGACTGCTCATAGTCAACATTGGAGAACTGGGGCGCATTGACTGGTTTGGTCGGCTGCTCGTCCGCTCGGCTCATTTCCTCCATGTTCGGTTCCGCGTCGTCACGGAAGCTGGTGTTGATCGGCGACAGACTATTGATCATATCACTGGCGTCGTCTCCATCGATACTGCTACTCGATGAGTGCAGACTCTCTGCATACACCCATCGAGACGCGTATGTGTACCAGAAATATTGTATGACCAGACACACGTCCACGAAGACATAGTAGCTGGCTATTATCACCTGCCACGTCGCCTGGTGTGTGAACAACGCCCCCAGTAGATTGGTAGCATCTCCCAACAGCCACTCAACCAGGAAGAATAACGAGAGCCCCGCCGTCGATTTGATCTGGTAATTCTTGTATATTTGAGGCATCTGTGCGAACAGCCATGATACGATCGACAAGGTCCCAAGACCGGTGGAGATGGCGGCCTGCGGTGTCGGTATGCACGAATGGAAGTATGAAGATAGGTCGAACAGCCAGGGTTCGGTCGGTGTACAGTGTGGTGGTAAGGATGGCGCGAATAATGTCGTGAATGGTGTCATCCTGGATGTGCCCGCCGGGCTGGGCTATATAGGTGCCTCGGCTTGAGGTTGTCAATCTCGTCTGCTTCTGGAGAGACTTCTGTGTGTGGTGTCGGATGTTTGGCAGTCCTATTTGATCTGGTTCGGCAGGTGCTGCCCTTGAGGCTCCACGACTGCGAGGAGCCTTGTTCCGACTCGACCGAGGGAGACTATTGACGCTGATTGAGACTTCAGAACGTCGCTGGCCCAAAGATGATTTCTAGATATGTGCTGCAGTCTCTACTCTTCTATGCGTCTTACAGTTCACCGATGAGCAGACACCACCGTGACTCCGGGAGCGATCGGTTTGGATGCCCAACTCGTGCTGGTTGATAAGCGGGCTGAGTATATGGATGGGGGCGGCTACGGGCTGTGCTGTGGCAGTTGCTGATAGCTGGAGCGAGTGTACGTCGCTGATATACGTGTGTCCGATGTCCTGCGGTGGGTGAGAGAGCGACATCAGAGTTGTCGAGTACGCGGCGGCATGAGTTGGGACGGCGAGAGTCACAGTATGGTCGCAGGCACACCCCGCGCCAAATCTCGGGTCTGGAGCCTTACCTGTGAAAGCGGCCAAAGGAACGAGCCGAAAGATGGCTTACCAGATTCATCGTGCATCAGCTGGGTATGACAGGCGTCACCACCACGAACCTCGCTATCTAGCATGTGTCTTGTGTTGCATTTGCGGTGGGAAACAGTGGTGGTGTTTGGGTAAGAAGAACGCGACGTGGGGTTGAGATAGCCCTCTCTTATCTTTAGGCACCCTGATAGGCTGCAAATAGGCATCAGCTGCAAGCCTAAATACGACATGTGCGCGCATCTCCTCGACGGCTTCCGAAGTCGCTACGATTTCATGCACGACATCTGCTTCTATAAACCTTGATGCATCGTTGTGAGCCCCTCGGTAATTGTCAACACAAAGCATTGACTAAATGGTGGACCTTTTCGCTATGATAAAGCCGTCCGTCGCCTTCTCCATCTTCTCCGTCGCTTCTGATGAACAATTACAGCACGGCAAAGATGGAGCTTCAACAATTGTTGTTACATGATAGCGTGTCGCGTTTCCGGTCATCTGGAAACCCTCGATGATTCAGCCACGGGATCAATGTGATCAGTATTACATCCTACACAGTATCATCTGGCGGGAGCATCTCATACTCGCTCACATACGGTGGCCTGCAAAGCAGTCAGCCAGTCGCACTGACACAGATTCGAAATAGTGATGATTACTTGGCCACATTCCTCGCCGTGACAATGCCAGCAGCGCCAACAGCATACATCGACAGCCACGTGCTCCAGCTCCCAGACCCAGCAATCCCAGACTGACCAACAGCTAGTGCTACAAGATCATACACCAAGCAACCACCAAAGATCCAATCACTGAAGGCACTGGCAACCCCAAAGCCAACACCTGTCAACACTTTGATGGGCAGAGTGGCAGGCTGGTTCCGGAAGAAGCCGGCGCTGGTGTTGTGAAGCAGATCGAGCACGCCGATGCCAGCGAAGGTCTTCGAAACGATATGTGTAAGTACCGAAGATGTCGATTTCGTGTTCATGGGCGGGAGCTTTGCCATGATGTAGTATAGCTGGGTCAAGCTGTTGACGGTCACAAAGATGTTGCTGATGTCCAGCCGCTCGTTGTTCCATGCCAACATCCATGCTTCGCGAACGTCAGACCAGTCCGCAGAAGAGGGTAGTATTACTTACCTGCGATACACAGATTCCCGAGACTGTAATAGGGAACAAAGTCCACGATCTGTTCCAGTTCTCTCCGCTGCTCGGGCTTGTTCTCATCCAGCTTCCACAATCTATACAGCCAGCCAACCTGGAACAGCTGTTGTGGAAAGAAGAATCCAGCAATGAAGAAAGGCTGCGGGCTGAAGAATGATAGGTTGCGATCGTGAATGTCCTTCATGTTCGGCGACGAAAGCATGCCATACTGCTGTGCAGCGAAGTCGATGAGGAACGATGCCGGCGCTAGCCAGCGCGCTGTTGATAGACTTAAACCCATGCTGTGCGTTATTGTACCTGATTGATCATACATCAAAATGTCTAGGTGGCGCACAGCTTCATATGTACTTGTTTAACCGTCGTCTATCACAATGGACAGGTACGTAGCCTGAAGTTCCGTCCAACAGCGTGAGAGCCTCATGTCGTCACCACTATTCACGTCTACCCTGCCTGTTCCGGCGATGCTTCGGGCCCGAGCCTCACACATACGCAACTTGTTTGCAAACACGAACATTTGCTCACTAGGCCATTCCAAGGGCGATAGGACTTCTGTACTACTCGCTGTCGTTGTAGGTAAGGGCATCAGCAGACTCTGCTAGGTGCAAAGAGAAATGTCGAGTCTCTCCTCGCGCTCGTTCACAGCGATGATCTCCGTCTCATATCAGAGACCGCATCTTACGCACTACGCAAATATATTCATGGCTGATCAGGCCTTTGCAGCGCACATTATTGACAACTCATTCTGCACTCGATCATCAGCCCTCGCAGATGTGTAGGTCTGCATACCACATCCGCTCTTGCCTTCAGATTTCTGTTGAGCTCATGCTACCCATGGCAAGCTGACAACAGGCACGACGGGCATAGCAGCACATGCGACATATTTCTTGACTACTTTCAATGACACTCTTAGACTGAAGCGTTTCCAAGGGCAGAGAACCCAGAGCCTGGTCTAAGAACTTCATCGCCCAATTCTGCGTCTGTGACTACACGCGAGGAGCGACAGCAAACAGGGATTCTTGCAATTCCAGAATTGGTAGGCCCTGAACAGACAACGACAATGGCCAAACGCCTCCGAGTCGGCATCATCGGCGGCGGTCTCGGAGGCCTGGCAGCCGCTATCGCTACCGCTCGCACGGGTGCAGATGTCACAGTCCTCGAAGCCGCCACAGAGCTGGGTGAGATCGGTGCTGGCATACATATCTTCCCCAATGCGTCACGCTTTCTCCTCCGCTGGGGCGTCGACCAACTGATCGGCGATAACCTAGTCCAGCACGACGAGGCGAACACGTGGAGTGGCGGTCCAGGCTTACACCCAATCTCAAAACTCGACGCGAAGGCAGAAGCCCGAAAATGTGGCTTTCCATGGCACATCGTCCGTCGTGACCACCTCCACGCTGGCCTTGCACAATCCGCCCGGCAGCACGGCGCCCAAATCATCGTCAATGCCCGCATCACCTCCTTCGACGACATCACCTCCTCCACCACCGTCACAGTCCACACGACCCCCAACAACCCCAATGCTCCGACCCCCAATCCAACCTACACCTTCGACCTCCTCATCGCCGCCGACGGCATCAAATCCGCCACCCGCGCTCAACTCTTCCCCACCATCCACCCCATCCCCTACGGGCCCGCCTGCGCCTATCGTCACACCCTGCAGACCTCCCACCTCCTCGCTTCCATACCCGAAGCAAAAGGCTGGTTTTCGCAACAACTCAACATGTGGTGCGGCCCACACGGCTACCTGGTCACCTACCCGCTCTCCGGCGGTCGGGAAGTCAACATTACGGTCTGCTTCTACACTTCCTCCCAAGGTTGCGACCATACCGACCCCTCAACCTGGCCCGACAAGATTGTCGAAGATGCTGACCTAAGTGAGCTGCACGAGCAATTGAAAGTATACCCGGAGATCGTGCAGAGGATGTGGGCGTTGGTGCCAAGCAGTAATCGGACACGCTGGCCATTGCTGCATATCCCCGTGCACAAGCTCCCATCGTTCCGCAACGACAAGGGAAATATAGTGTTGATGGGCGATGCATGCCACGCGATGAATCCGGCGTTGGCGCAGGGCGCCGCGACGGCGATCGAGGACGCGGCGTTTCTGGGGCATGTAGTTGGAGAGATACAGAAAGGCTACGTGAGTATCAGTGAGGCGACGAAGCTGTATGAGCAGAGGAGGCGGCCGAAGGCATGGATGAAGCAGATGAATGCTTTCGTTGGCGCAGACATCATCTGCGGAGGTCCCGGGCCAAGCTGGCTGCGCATTTCCAACAGCAATGCCAGCACGGGCGCAGCCGTCAATGGCCATGAGAATGCCGAAAGCACGGCCAATGGGCACGTCAAGCAGTCAATCTCCAAACCAGCGACCACCGACACTTCCTACACTTACTCCTACGACGAAGTGCGCAATCCGCGCGACGCCTTCATCCACAAACAAGGCCGCGAAAGCTCATGGCATCAGTCCTTTCAAGTCGAGATTAATCCACGGCATTTCTACTACGATGCCGAGGCCGATGCGGACGACGCCGTTGCACAGCACTTGCTGCGGAAGGCTACACTCACTGACGACAGAAGAGGCACGGTGGACTTGCTGGAACGGAAATTCTGGGGCGGGTTGTTTCCCGTTACTACTGAAAATGAGGATGGCGGGCAGGTCGATGGGAAGATCTAGTCAGGCCGGGCGAATAGCTGGAGCGAATAGATATCCCTGGAGCTCACGGAGATGCATACAATGACCTGATACAGCAATCATGGGCAATGAGACGTGGAAATGCGAAATCTGCTTCAACTTAGATCTACCATATGCTTGCATAGACCTGCGCCGCCAGCAAATGTCCTGATCATACCGGGTATCTAGTCCCTTCCCATCCTGCCATGCAAGTCATATCTGGCGTTGATTTATCTCGTGGTAGTTGCGGCTCCTTACGAGCTGGTTCTTGCCCATTGCAACCATCCACGAGCTCTAGGTCCTCCTCTTCGATACTTGTCTGCTTCGTGCCTCCAAGGTCCAGGCGGACCATGTCTTGGCGGTCCGTGGCCAGGAGGACCACGGTGTTGTCTGGGCGCGCCCTCGCGGCCACCTCTACCACGCCCACCTCGCCTGCCTCTGCCCCACCAGTTACCTGGCCCATCCTCCCAACGATCGAACCAACCTCCTTTCTTTGCCTCCCACAGGTCATCCACATTCAGGTAGTCCGCGCCTTCTGTGATCATTACTCTCCAGAGGTACTCCCTTAAACCTCGTGGCCAGTCCGGCACGCCCCAATACCGGACTTTCAGACCTCGCTGGTGAGCACCACGGATCTGGCTCTGATCTTCTCCAGCTGCTCGTCGGTTAGGGTCGAGCGAAACGGGAATTGCCAGGGAAGTGGAAGCTTGTGGAAGAGCGCCTTTTTGAAGCTGACTGAAGCAAAATATGAGTTTGCCGGAGAGTAGGCGGCTGGATTGAGAGGCGCCGCGCCCGAGCGGCCTTGTCCCTGGTCGACTGCTGAAGTAGCTCTGGTGGTCTCGTACAGGTCGGAATCGGCAGTCCCATTCTGGTTGGCAACCAGAGAACTGAGATCTGTCGCTTCGGATATGGTGGCGGAGCTTGCGTCAAGGTCTGCCATGAGGTCGAGAGGCGCGTCAAAGAACATGTCGCGGTATGTTGAGGATTCAACAACGCGATTCCACGGCGCATTCCCCGTCAGAACGACAGTAAGAGGCGCCTGAACGACATCGGTCCCGTTGAAATGTGTCAGGTAATGCCTTTGACGAAGTGGTTCGAGTTGAGCAGCCACAGCCGAAAACGTGTCGTCGGCGTACGTCTTGAAATCGATAAGGAGGATGAGAGACTGCTCGGGTTTGGTGTCGAAGATGCCATTGCGAGGCTCGTCCAGCTCCGGATGCAAAGCATGTTTCGGGTTTTCCTTGTCAAGCATACTGAGGATCGGATCGAGATAGAGTGAGCGTAAAGTTCGATGGGTGGTCAATGATGCAGCATTATGTCCAACGAAAAGATCGCCTTCGTGGAGCCATACATCTGCCTCAACGCTCTCGCAACCCACAGACAGTGCAGAAAGGAGCGGCTCTTTGCGCCAGTAGTCGTTATGACTGTGGCATGCTATAGGGTGAATGTCGGCCGTCGTGTCAGTGGGCCAATGTCGTAGGTCGTCTGGGATACTGGACGAATCGAAAAGGAATTGGTCGTCGTCCTCGGAGTAGAAGGTGAGCCCAAACCCGAGGACAACGGTGATGAGGTTGATGAGACCGAAAATCATCAATAGGAAAGCAATCGACCGCAATGTACGCCTCAAAAATACCGATCTAGGTGAATGCTCTAGAGTACTCCGTTTCGACCTGCGAGATCTACGCAGTGTCCTTTTCACGCATGGTATCCGCCATTTGGAACGAGTGTGGGCGTGCTCTGCCGCTGATGTTAAAGGTTTCTTCTCGTCGAGTGTTGACAACAACGGATCAAGAGTATGGAAGCCATTCTCCACGTCAGTGTCAAGCTCTGAGAAACTCAGATCCGGACTAAGACTGGCATCATGCGTCGATAAGAATGGTTTCGATTCTGGCGCAGTATATCGGGATGATCGGGATGACGATGATATGTTTGATGAGTGAGATGGTACATTTGAAGGCATCATCTTGGAGCAAAGTCGCACTTTGTCAGCGGGCGAGCGCCCCGACTGGCCGGTAGGCGGCGATTGGGCGGTGCCTTGGAAAAGTTGGCCCCTCGCCTGCTCCTATCGATACCCAAATTCAGAGATCTGGTCGCTTATCGCCACTGTTGCATAGACATATTGGTGAATGTCGACAGCTTGTCCTGAGGGTATCCTTTTGAGAACAGATAGTGAAGATGGATGAAGCTGTTGGAAAGCGCAATCGGAAGGGCTGCAGTCCATTCATACTAAAACTTTTAGTGTCCTCCTTCGACCGCACCCACAGAATCGCAAATGCTACTGACCTACACAATCTAGATCGGGGAACCTTTGGAGACGGAGGGGTGTAGCCGCGTCCTCATCCTGCGGTTAAAAATGGTTCTGGCCCGAAAACGAGACTCCTCCAGGCAATCCACCACGTTGCTTCCACTTCCTTTTTCGATTGGCCTTCGCCATGATTACACCAACCTCAGTAGAGCTCGCTACCGTTCTTGGACTTGCAAATGTTCTATCAGTGTCTTATCACGTTGCCTTCTAGTACTCACGCTATGCTAAATGCCACAGTCGACTTTTACGAGCGGTGTCGAGCACGCCATGGCCAACGGCAAAGCCCACGCCAAGGCAGACTTTTCAGCTGCTTGAGGTTTAACCGCTGCCCGCTTCTGGTCCCGAGGCTCGTCGCTTGTCTTCATATTCGTCCACGCTAACGACGGTACGAAGTGATGCTTCATGCCTTGGACGATCCGGAGAAGCGCTACGAACTCAGAAGTGCGCAGAGTACTGCTGTGGTCTCAGGCAGCACGTTACCACATCGAATAGGAAGCTCAACGGACATTGACAGCAAATCCAAACGGAATTAGCGTTGACGAGGGAGTTTCCGACCACGCAATCCTTCGTCGTCACCCTAACAAGTTTGATCCTTCGCGTTCCCCTGAACGCTTTCTTATGACAGGCGACCAGATCACCAGGCTTCTTTTAGACGCTCGACGCAGCGGATCGCCGAAAGTCTCTCACGTGCAGGAGGGCACTGTCTTGCTAGCAGTTTTTGATTCGAGCAACTGCACTGCCATAGTCTTACATCCTGGACCGACGGTAAACAGCAAAGCTAGCCCCCTACTTTTCAGCCTCCTGTTCCTCAGAAGCCCCCGTTGGGATGAATCAGCACCTTCGTGTACCCGTCAATCCTCTTGTCGAACTTGTCATATGCCACTTCGGCGTCCTCAATACCAATTTCGTGACTGACCACAAAGCTCGGCTTCGCTTTACCAGAGATGATCAAGTCTCTGAGGTATCGGTTGTATTGCTTGACGTTGCACTGGCCCGTCGCCAGTGATAGACCCTGTCAGACTTGTTAGCAACCGAGCAGGACAACGTATGACTATGGGAGTCTCACCTTCTCAAAGAGCTTGCCAAAACTCAAACTCAACATGCCCTTTCCACTGGCAGCGTCCGGCGCGCCCGGATCGGTAGGTACGTACAGACCTGGAATACCTAGTCCTCCGCAAGGCCGCGTAATTTGGATCATGTTCTCGAGCACGATGTTCGGGACCTCCTTGGTGTCATTTCCAGCTGTTGCTTGATAGCCAACAGCATCGACACTGCGGTCGACCATCCCGCCGTTCTTCTCAATGATCGTCTTGACGACGTCAACCTCCGCGAAATTGACTGCAATGCATCCGATCTTCTCTGCCGCTTGCAGGCGCTCTGGCACACGATCCACGACGAAGCACTTGCTTGCGCCCCGCAGCTGAGCAGAATAAGCCGCCATCAGTCCGACAGGGCCGCCGCCGAAGACGGCGATACTCTCGCCTGGCTTGAACCCGCTGAGCTCACGCCGTGCCATCCTGTGGGAAAGATATCGGCGAGTAAGATGAAGTCCTTCTCGTTTTCTGTTCCAGGTGGGAGCTTCAGAGCATTGAAGTCTGCGTACGGAATGCGGATATACTGCGCCTGGCCACCGCGGTACGGTCCCATGGCGACGTAGCCATATGCGCCGCCCGCAAAGCCAGGGTTCACACCGGTGCAGAATGCGGTCTTGCCTTCCTCGCAGTTGCGGCAGCGACCGTCGGCGACGTTGAATGGCCTGTGAAGGTAAGTCAGTCAGACACAACAGTCATCAACGCCAGAGGTGAGTGGTAGTGCGTACATGACAACGCGATCACCCTTCTTCAGCAAAGTCACACCCTCGCCGAGCTCCTCGACTATTCCCATGTTCTCATGACCGAAGGTTATGCCTGCCTCTGCGCCTGTGCGGCCCTCATACTGTTGTGGCAACTGTCAGCTCCTGCATCCTTAAACCCACAAGCCCGCGAGCACAGTTGGAGGCCATGTCACAGCAAGGACCATGAGATCTTGGACACAATATGGCCGGAACGTCGCCTTCTGTGTGCACACCATGGGCTCGATACGTACCATGTGTAGGTCACTACCACAGATTGCAGCAGTAGTAACCTTGACGATAACATCGTCCGGGTGCTCAATCTTGGGCTTTGGCACCTCTTCCACCGTGACCTTGAACGGGCCCTGATAGTTGACTGCCTTCATTGTAGCCATCTTGATCTGCTTTTCCGCTTGTCCTGCCTCCGGGGGATGAAGTGGAAGATAGGCACGGTTCGGATGCTGGAACGGTTCGATATAGGTGTACGATGTGCTATACAAAGTCTGCTCAGATCACGCGAATCCTTGTTGCGAGTAATAGCTACCTGAGACGATTCACTGACATACAGCAAGCAACAACACGAAGCTGACCACCTACTAAGGATTATATATGGTCTCTGTGCACACAATTTCTTGCCCCACTGACAACACGACCCCCTCTTTCGAAGGCGCAGCCCATCTCCACGAGAGTATCCAGAGCAAAGCTGGAGCTGAGAGAAGCTATCATTCGAGCGAAGAAACTACGCGGCAGTCAGCAAACCAATATGTCATACCATTCGAGTCTTCGGTACTGTGTTCCCCGCAGTTTTGTCACCAGTCACGTACAAATGCCGTTGAGACGTGTCTCTTGGCCTGGAATGGCTTGCAGCCCCGCGCTTTCCGGCCTTATACTTTGTTCTCGAACTGTCGACTGCACATCGAATGAGCTACCATCTATGCTGCTCGGTCGATGTGCACCGAGGTTGGCGTAGCGAGGAGAAAGTCATCGCGTCGTGAAAGTCAGGTTGAATGCAGTGGACGTTCGGTTTCTCCAAAACGGGCGGATGGCTTTGCCGCATGACTTTCTTCCCCGCAGTAGAGGATGAAAGGCAGAATCTCGTGGTCTTTGAACTCTGTACGGTCCTCCGATGTCACAGCGAGTATGGGGTCAGCGAGCTCAATGAGATGTGACAGTCAGTAGCTCGTGATATGCTTCGAAGCTGCACGTTTAGAGATCGAGCTATGGAATACACGAACGCGAAGCAGACTGCTGAAGAACGGTCTAGACAAACGTCGCGGGGTAGACACGGAGCAAGAGCCGATTCGCAAATATATTTCCCAGAGAGTAGCAACCAACCATCGACTTCAGGCCATTCCTGACACGAATTCGACTTTCCGCTCGCGAATGCCGCTTCTGGCTTTCTCGAGCGACTTCAATGATCGTGCATGTACCGGAGCTCCTGCTCGGTCTCAACTGGCTCGCGAGCTCGGAAAGAGGTAGTATACGTCACTCGTGCCAATTTCGAGCCTGGAAGCTGTCATAGGAAGAACACATGCTCATCGATAGATCAATTCCAATGCAGAGAAGCGGGCCCGTCGGGCGTGCAGCGGCTGCATATTCATTTAATGGCATCAATTGAGAATTCTGTGTGATGTCTCTGTCGCTCTTGCCTCGTAGGCGAGGGCGGTGCTATGGACATACTGTGCCAGGTGCAGAGTCACTGAGCACCCAGGAACCTAGCTTCGCCTGATCGACGCGGAGGCCTTCCACTGCACTGATCAATATAGGGCCCAGCAACATCTCATCTCTCTCTTGCAGCGCGCAGATACCGTACTGGCTGAACCCAATCCTCCATCCCCGTCTAGAACTTCATCGTTTCGAAAATACTCCTGAAGAAGCCCATGCAGTCCGAACGCGCGTGAAAATATGCAGTCAGAATGGGAAAGCTGAGGCGAAAGGTGTGGCGGCGCGGCGCGTATGCAAAAACTTCTGGTCCTGGGGCAGTCACTGTGTCGTACAAGATTGGGCATCTGATGGGTCGTTGGGGTAGTGCTGAAGTCGGGCAGGTCGTGGGTGGTCGTGCTGGTAATGCGGAAGGGTATTGGGTGAAGGGAGTGCCGGAGGCTGGGCAGTTCCTCGTCGGCAATTGATCGAGTTTGACAGGAGCTCTTGGGATGTGTAAGCGCTGTTCGGGAGTGTGGTTGAACTCAGGTGCATAACGCGAGGGCGCATCGGGCTCGTGTTAAATGGTATCGGTCCTGAAATAGTGGCGGTATAGAGTATGCATGATCGGACTTTGACTCAAAGTTCTGGCGAGTGAATGGTGCACCTCTGATTCTTTGGCAAAGGCAGGTCCTGTGCGAAGCGACACGATGAGGGCGTCCAGGAGCATCATCACAACATAGATGCTCACTTGAGATGCTGAGTATTCTTGGGCGTTGAACTGGCGGACTGAGCGAAAGTCTGATATTTCGATCCTGGTAAGCGTTTCTGAGCAGGACAATGGCCGCTCACATATCCATTGAGTCGCCACCGTTAGTGTTGAAGTTGAATTGACCAGCTGGAGTTTGTTGGTTCAGTGTGTAGCCTTGTTCATTAACCTGAGGCGCGAGTTCTTCGATGTCGGCGCCAGCATCCTCCTCATCCGAGAAGTAGCGTTCGATAATGTTGTATGCTTTCATATAGATCTCCTCATTTGCATTGTTCTGGCAATCGTGAATCTTCTCCATGCCGTTGGCTTCTTCGATGAACAGAGCATAGCGGTTGACCTGAGCGTCGGCAGTGTTGGCAGCTGATGCCTCCTTGTCCATCTCACCAACTTTAAGGATGTTCTCGAGACCGTCGAGGGCGACTTGGATGATCTTATTGTCGGGGCAGGCCAACAGATCGCACAGCGGTCGGATGCAACCGTTCTGGACAAGATATCGGATCTGCTCGGGCTTTTGGAGGCCGCCTGAGGTAGCATTTGAGATTGCCCAGCAAGCTTCCTTGCGGGTCTTGAAGTCGCCATTGGAGAGCAGGTTGATCAGTGGGGCAATGATGTTCGCATCAATGACGCACTGAATTTGTGTTGAGTTGCCAGCAGTGATGTTTGAGATGGTCCAGCAAGCTTCCTTGCGGATCCCATCCTTGGAACTACCAAGGAGAGAAAGTAGAGCAGGAAGAGCACCGCAGTTGATGATAACCTGGGTTTGAACGTCGTCACCAGTGACAATGTTGCCCACTGAGCGAAGAGCTGGTGTCTGGACAGATGTGGAGGCGTGCATGAGCAATTCGACGAGTCTGCGAGGAATGCCAGCTTCGATGACGGCCTGAATTTTGTCATTCGATCCGTCCGACAGGTATGAGATGGCCCAGCAGGCATCAATGAGGACCTCGTCGTCGAGCATGTACACCAACTTTGCGAGGACGGGCAGAGCTGGGTGAATCTGGTTCCAATCTGGCTGCGGTGTCTTACCCCGGCAGAAGTTGCTGAGGGTCCATGTAGCATTTCTGAGCATGCTGAGCTTGCGACCGTCTCCAATCAGATTCAACAGCGGCTTCAAAGCACCTTGGCTGAGAACGTAGTCTCGGCAGGCAGGAGAGTCGCCGGCGATGTTACCAAGAGCCCACACCGCCTGTTCACGGACGTCAGGCTCATGGCTGCTCAGCAACTCAACGAATATGGGCACAGCGCCAGCCTCAATGACGACCTGAGTTTGCGCAGCCGAACCGGAGGCAATGTTAGTGAGGGCCCACGCAGCCTCGAACTGAACGAGTGTGTGAGGAGAACGGAGGAATTCGACGAAGCGACTGACGACGCCGGTCTCGATGACCTTCTCGATGGGAGGATTGCGTTCCTTGGATAGCAGTTTGCGGAATCTGGTGGTGGCGGCAATCTGAGACTCGATTTGGTCGGAGAAGACACCTTTGACCATTTCAGGGAGATCGGTGGACAGCTGCAGTGTGTTAGTTGGTGTAGACTTGGTCCCAGGGATGACACGTACCTCGCTCTCGACTGCTCCACCATCATCATCGCTATCACCATCGCTGACAGCACCTACGCCAACTTCGCCATCGGCACGTGTGATACCCCGCCGCTTTGACAGGTTCTCTTCTCTCTTTTGACGACGAATCTCAACCTGTTGCTCTTCGCGGCGACGGCGGAGCTCATCGGGCTTGAACGAGTTCTTGGCTTTGTTGTTCGTTCGTCGATGCTCTGGGATATATCGTTCGGCCATGATGGCGTTGACTGAGCGAGTTGTTCCTGCATGAATCAGTACGGAGGTGTCAAGGTGGGGACTCTGACGCCTTACCTTCTGTGACCAGGGATCAACGATGGTAGTGGGACTGAGGACTTCAATCAGACCGGCACAGAGTCCTCTCGACCAGGAATATGTGGGAAAAGCAATGGTCCAAATGTTTGCGTGCACAATCGAGAGAAAAGGAATAAGGCAAGCGCAATCTCAAGAAGGCAGAGAGGTCCAATTCAAATGCCAAGCCGCTTGGAGCCGCAGATGAGTCAGGGAGAGATCACGTGAACACGTAGAGGAGTTCAAACTCGAGCGCGTCCAAGTTGGCTCGTCGCCTCGTGCTACGCGTTGTGATGATTGCCCGACTGAACGCAGTGGAGTCGACGGGAAGGACATGTGACGCCTGCCAGTCTCCTCATCACCTCGCCTGCCCGATTGCCTGGCTTAGGACACCCGGTCCTGCAATGTGAACGCCTCGAGGCAAGGCCGAGGCGAGCCATTACCATACGCTACATAATTCGCAATGGCTTACCCAGGAATACCGATTCCGCCGAGAGGCTTCACCGACCTCAAGTCAGCATGGGACCACCCACTGGCAGCACCAGGAGACAAACACTTCTGCTATATGATTGGAGTTTGTGTTGACTTCCTACCCATTACCAAATCGCGAGGCTCGGACTACACAATGAAACTTACCCTGCATGACCCGTACTGGGTTGACGGGATCGGCATGGCATTTCAATTATTCGTGAAGAAAGAATCTCATGCGCCACAGGTCACAAATCAGGGCGACGTGATCATATTCCACAGTGCTGGCACCTTGTATAATCCACGCATGGGCAAGGTTGCCTTGTCCAACTACAGCAGCACTTGGTCCGTCCTTGATTACGATTCACTGCGAAATAGCACCGCTGATGATTTCTCCGACGTTGTCATTCACCGAAGTGATCGTGACGGCGTCAAAGCACCAATACCCAATGTTGAGGAGATCAAGTACGCCAAGGCCATCCTTGAATTAGAGGACTCTTCCTCGTGGAAAGGGCTACAAGGGCAAACCTCGCTCGAGACCAACAACATCATGGCAGCCAATGGCGGCACACCGAGTATGGTCAGGGGTAAAGAGCGCTCGATCAGCAGCCTCACTATCCCTGTCGACAGGGACTACTATGTTGACATTCTCGCCGAAGTTCGACGTATCTATACTACAGACATGCGGATGGAGCTATCCGTGACCGATTACACAGATGAGAATCCTAGCCTGTTCGATTGCAAGCCTGAGTCCGATGAGAATGCACACGACCCTGGCGATCAGTTCGGATATATTGCTAGCAGCCACAAAGCCTGGCCAGGTCCATGGGGTCGACGAACGTTCAACATCACTTTATGGGAGCCACACCGCAGCTACGCCGTTGCAAGCGTGACGCACGGCTCCCTGATCCAATTCCGAAATGTGCATGTGAAAGTCGACCAGCAAGCTAAACTCGAAGGCATCGTTCACCAGGACAAGCTATACCCCGACAAAGTACTCGTCTCAGCCCACAAACCATACGAAGCCGAGACCAACGAGCCCTTACGCGACCTCCTCAAGAGAAAGAAAGCATACGAAGACCACTGCAAAAGGTCTGGACTGCGCTTCGTCCGGGACGCCGACCCGAAAAAGCTGCCATCTCATTCCAAATTAGACCAGGCCAATGGCCGAGCCATATCACCACAGCTCGAGGAAGCGCCTCGTGATGCCAAGGCTGCAAAGCGGAATAAGAGAAATAAGCAGAAGCAAAAGAAGAAAGCAGCGTCGGCGGCCAAGAATGGCCTCGACGACGCGAACGAGCGTTCAGCAGGACTAGCCGAGAAGGCAGTGTCGTCCCTCGCGGCCAATGCACACGTCCGTACAGTGACGTCGACGCAATCCCTCATCTCAATCTCCTCTATCCTTGAACCTTCCACGCGACAGCAGAAGACCATGGCCGGCAACATCTGGATCGCCCCTTTTGTCAACCAACGGTACAAATCCAAAGTGAAGGTCATTGACTTCTACCCCAATAACCTCGAGGACTTTGCCGTCAGAGCGAAGAGAAAGAGCGAATACGCTGAAGCAGGTATCGATAGCGACGATGACGAAGAGAACGAAAAAGCAGACAATACCCCCCATGACCATGACGAGTCTAGCAGTGAAGACGCCAATAGCGATGGCGGCAACGATAGTGACGCAATGGCCGTCGACAACGAAGAGGGCATCCCTTCCAACAAGAAAAGAAGAAGCAAGTGGGAATGGCGCTTCGCCCTTACTATCACCGATCCAAACACAAGCCCCACGAACGCGAGTGATGACAAGGTTATTCGCCTGATCGTTACAGGCGATGGAGCCGAGCATCTCCTGAGAGCCTCAGCGTGCAACCTCCGCAAGTCGCCCAATGCGCTGGCTCAACTGCGGGAAAAGCTGTTCATACTTTGGGGTAATCTCGAGGAGCTCCTGACTGAGCAGCTCTCCACCTCCAGATCTAGAGCAGGCTCCGGCGACGTAAACACGGATGCCGCCGACCAAGACCGGGACAGGCGATCGGCCCTGAGTTTGGTACAGAAGCATTACAAATCGCAGCCCTTCGAGTGCTTCATCGAAGAGTACGGCGTACTGAAAGCGAAGAAAACGCGGATCCGAAACGATGGAAGTATCGGGAACGGAGACCGCATGGAGGACTGGGAAAGGTGTTTCCGTATCTGTAAGACCACTATTGCTTGAATTTGGGAACTGGGCCCAGGATACAGGTGCGCATCTGGTCGGTGCCCGGCTCAAGAGGAAGGAAAGGGAGATATGTAGAGTCCCGTATGAGCTTCTCAATGTATACTAGAGACCACCTACCGAGGCTGTGAGCGATGCAATGATCTTGCATTCATATCATGAGCAGGGTCGGGATAGCATGCGTCTGCCTGAATCCGATGAGTGAATGTGCCAGAGATGTCGAATCAGGGTAGTCGCGACGTGATGCCAAAAGCGGCTCAGTTCTCGCCCTGTCAGCCGGTGCACTCGACCTATGCTTGCAGCATTGTATTGGCACGTTAATATTCCTGTGCATGGACGAAATCTTGGGTCAAACCCTTGCTGTCAACCGGTCTTACGTATCGACACGGACTGGTTTGAAAGTACTCTCAATCATCTCGCACGGAGTGTCTGTGCAGCTTACCTGCGTCGAGTACTCTGGCCGTCAAGCAGATGACCTCTCTCAATCATCGCCCTGAACATACATGACCTCAAGCAAACCGCAAACCTGGCGCCCACCCGTGGGTTGCTGAAGCGGAAATCTCTCGGTCTTGCACACACAGTTATGCATCGGCACGGATCGAACGGACAGCCTAGCAAGTACCGGTGGTATAAAATGTGGCGAACATAGCTTGCCAATCCCAGATACCGATACTCAAGTATCGCCATCGTGTTCCGGCGGAACTCCTAGCATTTGTTCTTCGTCCATTGAGCCGTTGGAGAATTGCCAATTAAGCGATATCGATAGAAGAATTGCCCCGCGGTAGGATGGTGGGGCAGAATTTCCCGTTCACGAGGACGAGGTTCGTGATTTCGTATCTGTGGCAGCCGGCGTTGCTTGTATTCATGGATGAGAGGAACCCCGAGGTGTTGAGTACGAAGTAGTAGTGCTAGGTACGGTGGCTGTAAACTAGGTAGTGACCACCCGTTGTGATTCTCTGGGCACCTACCTTTGATCGCAGGTGAACGATCTTTCTGCGACGGATATCCGAGTATTTGAGATTTTGAGGCAGTAGCCATACTTTTCGAGAGATCGGCGACTGATCAGCAGCAGATCTCGAGGCTGGCTTACAGGGTTTGGCCTATCGAGTTATGCCAGTGCTTCTGCAAGGCGATCAGTTCATTATTATGCTGATCTTGCATCGATCAGCATGTTCAAGATATGGACGCATTTGCCGCACTTCGTCCTCGTTGCACAAGCCTAAGAAGCGCCACGACGAGGATCACCAGACCATCGGCAGGCCGGCGACGTGCATAAGCAGCATTCCTCAATGCATCATTGTAGATGCAGCCCAAACCGCCCGCCGGAAAGGAGCTTGACGACATGCATGATCGAGCCAGCGTTGACTGAGTACTGCCTCGCAGTCTGCAGTAGGTTTCGAACTTGCACAGTTGGGTTGTACCCAGGTCACGGTTCTGCGCAACAAGCATGTACATGATCATGTGTTCTGTTAATGCACGTGGATTGAATGGATTTTGCATGGTCGCAATGCTTGCGATTGGAGAGCTGATCATGCCCATCCGGTAAGAACTGCAGTGTTCTTGCCGTCTTGGATTCATACCTTTCATGCCACAGGTGACCCCAGTCTGCAAGAGGCGAGACTTGACGCCCAGATCTTGTCTGGAAGTCTGTCTGGGGATTCTGCCCACAGTTCTCTGCGCTGTCGCAAAGTGAAACATGAGGCCAAATGTACACCGTGCTGCAAGAGGGTGTTCTAAGCAATAGTGGTCTCTGCTTTCTTACGCCAGGTGAGTAGAGTGCGAACGCGAACGCGAGCGCGTGACGAGAGGAAGAACTCAGAAGGACCTTGGTTGGCAGCGAGCCGCGTTGCCGGGCACGTTTTCTTGCAGTATTGCAGGATCGAGTCAGACCACGCTTGAGGCCCGTCTGCGGTGACGAATGCAACGCACACGGTGGTGTTTTGACTGGCTGACCATTGTGGCTATCGTTTGTGGACCTGCCAGGGCGGAACAGTCACTTGCGAGCATATGGTTCGGCACTGGTAGCGTCTGCTTAGCACTGCAGCTCCATGCCTCGTAGAATAGATTTGTGGCGGACGATCGGCGTTGTGAACATCTTCCCCAGATTTTGGTCCCTTATGCTTCCAACGACAAGTCAATCAGAGCAGTACCTACGTTGTTGCAATAAGCACTGTGTATCAGGCCGAAGACAGTGTATGCGCCAGATGTTATGGAAAATACACACACCGTCCTTGCACATTCATCAAAGTGCCCGTAAATTACCGTGTATGCCGTGTAAACTTGCATTGCAGAAGTTGTACCTAGCATGTAGTAGCCCCAAAGCAGTTTTTGCGACGCTTCCGCGGGCAGTCGCTGATGTACCTCTGCAGGTGCGAGAGTAATCCTTCGGGCCACAGACGCTGGCCAGCTGACGCACATGTGCGGGTGGGCGATTATGGCTCCCTCTTGCTCGGGCAAAACGCCACGTTCACGGCAAGAATGTTATCGGCGATCTGGTTGCGGTGACCGATACTTAGCTACAGTTCACCTGAAGCAAGTCCAGATGTCGTGCAGCTGTTAGCTCACATAGACACATACTGTCGCAGACAACTCTGGGCTGGGTATCAATAATGCCGTGCAGAGACGGAGTATTCTGCAGTGTCAAGGTATAGCTTTGCCCACAGATCCATACCCAGCACAGCCTAGCTCACAGCCGCGAGAGAACTGGCGGCGCTACGAGCTTGGACCACCTCGTGTCACAGGGATTGCGCCTGTCATGGTACTTTCGGGCTACTTCTCTGCAGAGGCTGGCAGCACCCATATATACTCGAGAGGTTCGTTGGAAATGCGCAAAATCTGTTTGTTGTCTGGTGTCGGGGCCATCGCATCACACCAGCGACACTGGCATCTTTCGACTTCAACTGCTTGGAACAATGGTATTCAGAAATTCGTCCGCAAGGTATCAGCCCCGGGACTCTGACAGCCGTCAATATCCACAGCCTGCTAGGCGAATGCAGAGGTGCTGGGTGGTCGTCACGGGGTTAGGCTAACATATAGTGTGTCTGGAGTATTGTCTTACCATGCTCTTTTAGGTGCTCTCTTTTGTCTACTGCGTACTCGGTAGACCGCAGCCTAGACGAGGGAGAGGACTGTGACATGGTGAGCGATACCATGGTCAGTATGGTGGATTCGACGTCACGACGGGTCCTGCACAAATGTAGAGAAGCCCGATAGCGGACAACCGCCGCTGGTAGAGCACCTGAAACCGTTCGCGCACAAGTGACCTCCGGTACCCGAGGCTCGATCAAAATTGTGAAGGAACGAGTCACTGACATGGCAATCAATATTCGATGCGATGCCGAGTCTCGTGCTAGTTCGTAGTCTCTGCTCCTTGTGGCCTTCCATTGCCGATCATCTGTAGGCGAAGCGTGGCCGCAAATCGTGGAATTTGCTGCTGAAGGCAACGAAGAAAGAGTGTGGTGGATTGACGGATGGGTGGCTTGAACGGATCTTCGGTACTGGAGTTTTGATTGGAAAGCTGGCTTTAGAGCTGCCTATCCTGGCAAGAGCGACCAGCGCCGCGAAGAAGACCTCCAGCGCCCCGTAAGACGCCGCACAATTTGGCTTCCTAGGGCCGAACTCAAGGGTCTTGAATACCCCAGAACGACACCCCGGTCCCCAGAGCTACAGCACGAACCAATTGACGAGAAGCGCCAACCACCGCTGCACAGCGCCTGGGTCTGGCAAGCAAAGTCTGATGCAGCTCTCGGCCAGGTCCATCATCGATGCAAGGTCGGCACCAGAGTCTCGCACCGGTAGAGACCCAAGTCTGTGCAATCTGACTCCGGTTGCCGCCTTCTCTCATGCTGTCAACATCGCAATATCAACCTGTGCCATAGACTTCACCGACAGCGAACGTGAGCTCAATCTAGTAACATCGATTCGATTCCCAGCGAATGCATTCACAGCACGGCTAGGTGCATCTCCGGCTGTTCACCATCTCTAGTTACCCCAAAGCCATCCTTGTACTGCCTCGGACCATCAGCAGCGCTCTCATACGATTGTGTTCTGTCTCTGGCTCTATCTTCCAGTCTCTCATTCGGAAAAGTTGACATTCAGTCGAGGGACGTCTCCGAGCAAGCGTTCAGCGATCTATTGCATTCCAAACATCCTGTGGACTGCGAATCTGCGGAAATTATACATTATACATCACCTCGGGCTACATCTGCTTGCCTGGACTCGAGCATTTCTTCGCGTTGCCCCACTGGTACGATCGTTCTTTGAAGCGAACAATCCACTGCGCGCATAACCGACGTCAGCAACACGTGCACAAGGTCGCATCTTCCTTCTAGGATCTGTCATCTGCTCGCTGGCTTCTGTGGCTTTCAGTGGCGACATAGCAGTTCGACGACCTGTGTTGGTCGAATGCTATAGCTGAACAGAAGCAGCCACCAGAAGCAGTCGTAGTAGACCTGACAAAGCCATGCAAGACGAGAACAATGTCGATGTACTTGCTGGGGTCTCAGAAACGGCCGTGGAAGATGTGGCCGCTCATGGTATGTTTGAGGCGCCTCCAGCCGGGACAGAGAAAGGTATGCTCGTGCACGTGCGGCAGCCATGGTTGCTCACTGACATTCTTCAGTTCCCAAGTCGCGACGGTCTAACTCCTCTGCCTCTTCTGCCATTCCTCCTGTTCCGAATTTTCCAGCGCCGAAGACCGATAAGCCACGACCACACGTTTGTACAACATGTATGCGCTCTTTTGCTCGCCTCGAGCACCTCAAAAGACACGAGCGGTCACACACGAAAGAGAAGCCCTTCGCGTGCTCAGAATGTACCCGGTGCTTTGCTCGGCGAGACCTGCTCCTCAGGCACCAGCAGAAACTCCATTCTACGACGACCCCATCAGCCAGACCGCGCCAGGGTCGCCGAGAAAGCGTTGCAGGTGGTGGTCCCAGCAAAGTCAGGAAGAACTCCATGGCTTCTGCCAACCCCGGGATGCGACCAAGAGCAAATACCCTGAGCCACGTTGATGCTGCCACAATTGGCATGCTGGCCAACGCCGGGCCTGCCATGAATCGGCACTTTGCTTCGAGCCACAACCATCACCACAGTATCTCAGGCATGCCCTCAGCGGCAAACTATTCATATCGTGGCATGTCGACCCATCATACGCCAGGCCTTCCAAAGCTCGAAACAGGACTCCCAATGGATCTGTCGAGCGGATTGCGCACTGCACCTCCCTATGGCGGATTTGGCAACGATTTTCCACTTGGATTCCCGCACAACTCGGGAAGCACCATCAACCCTCATGCGCTGCACATGAGCGACATGGATATGGATCAGTCATTGAGTTTCCAGCAGATGTTCTATGCAAACGGAATGGCCAACGGCATGAACGCTGAGGACCATACTTTTGATTGGATAGCTCGAGGCTTCGAGAACCAGATGACCTTCAACAATCAGGGCAACGAAAATGCGATTGACGACTCGTCGCCCTCTGCGATGAGCACGAATAGTCCTTCAAACCTGCAAGACATGGTTGGCGATGTGCATCCGGCATCCACACAGCATCAAGGTATGACGAATCCACATGCATGGGCACAGGTCATGCCAAATCACATCAACACCATGAGCAGTCCAGTGAGCATGGATTTCACTAATAACTTGAACGACATGATGATGGGACACAATGGAATGCTTTCGCCAAAATCAATGCTTGCGCAAAACCACGGAGTCTTTGACATGAACTTGCCAACGCCTCCAGATATGGCCAGTATTGACATGTCGAATTTGCCTCCAGGAATAGTGTACAACAATGCTTTTCAGTTGCCTGTCGGCCGCCAAGGCGGAACCTCCAGCGCTTCGACTGCATCCATGGACAGTTCGTTACGACAAAGCTCGGTGACGACCACGTCTGGCGAGCTTGTGACCGACAGTGTCCGCAACACCCTGGTTGCTGGGCTCTCACAGAGCAACCCGTTCAATCAGCGCAAATACTCGCAGCCGCTCATCAGCTCACCACTTTCTCCCGAGTCGCCATCAAAGGTCAAAGGGTTCAGCGCCTCAACTTTTCCAACGACACACGATCTTCAGCGATACGTGGCTGCTTATGTCAAGTTCTTCCATCCACATCTTCCATTCTTGCATATACCTTCCCTTAACTTCGAGTCCTCGGAATATGGCTTGCCAAATCGCTTCAACATCAGTCAGCCGAACTTCGGCCCAGGCAACATGACTGGCGGCGGCAGCTGTTTGGTATTGTCGATAGCCGCCATTGGTGCGGTATACGAGCGGGAAATGGATGCTTCGAGGGAATTGTTCCAATGCGCACATCGCTTCATATTCAGCTACCTTGAGATGCGGCGAAAGGCTGACATGCACCGGACTCAGTTTGCGCCCCGACATACATCCGAATCTGAGGAGACGCCGTTGTGGCTGGTGCAGGCGATGCTACTACATGTCATCTATGGTCACAATTGCGGTGATAAGACTGCCGCGGAAGTAGCGAGCAACCATTGTTCGTCGTTGGTCAGTCTCGCACGCGACGCACACCTTGCTCGCCCATCTTCAGAGCTGCATGGCATGCGCAAGGGTAGCTCAGGGCCCGTCGGCCATCATCCCGACATGAATTCGTGGACTTCGATGCTTAACGAAAGCGAAGAAATGGATTGGATCGAGTGGAAGGCGACCGAAGAGCGCAAAAGGACTCTTTATGCTGTGTTTATTCTGTCTAGCATGTTAGTCATGGCTTACAACCACGCACCGGCTCTGACCAACTCTGAAATCCGACTGGAGCTACCATGCGACGAAGAGCTCTGGTCAGCCGAATCGTCGCAAGCTTGGCAAGCTCTGGGAGGAGCCAATCATCCCAGCTCCAGATCGATCACCTTTGCCGCGGCACTTAGTCACCTCTTGATGTCATCTCAGAGGCATCGCCGGAAGAGTATGAGTGGTGCGCAGGGTTCTCAAGCGCCCGAGCAAGACCTCAGGCCAAGCACATTCGGATGCCTCATCCTGATAAATGCGCTGCACAACTACATTTGGGAGACCAGGCAGCGACATCTTGGCAGACAATGGACCGAGCGAGATACGGAGCAGATGCATGCACACATCGAGCCTGCGCTACGAGCGTGGGAGGCAGCTTGGGCCAGCAATCCGACGCATAGCCTAGAGCGACCGAATCCCTTTGGCGCTGGTCCTCTGTCAGCCGATAGTGTACCGCTGCTGGATTTGGCATATGTGCGATTGTACATCAATCTTGGCCGATCGAAAGAGGCCTTCTGGCAGCGTGACTACAACTCGATGGCCGAGGAAGTGGCTCGTAGCCCGGAAATCGCGGGCTCTGATACCGCAACAGTCAAACAAAGGCGAAAGTCGTCGACAAGTCAAGAGCACAACAGCCCAGATACCAAGATCTCTTCAACAAACGGAGGAGAGGTTGACATGCACCAATCCACTCGAAGGGAACGACAACTTCGCCGAGCAGCATTCTACGCATCAGATTCCTTGCTCATGTCAGACAAACTCGGGCTCATTTTCGAAGAGAGCAAGTCTGAGGAATTAACTGCGCAGTCCGCCTTATGCGCTTTCGATTGCGCGCAAGTCCTGTCGGAATGGCTGACAACTGTGCAAGAGCGAGTTGGCAAGTACGTCGGAGTCCTGGGCCAAGACGATGTCGACCTAGGTCAGGTTCCTGCTGTTCTCCTGCTGGAGGACGAGGATCGCCAATTGCTGGGCAAGATTGACGATTTCGTTCGTCGGACCGAGCAAAAGGTGCACGCCGAGGTCACGACTGTACGCGAGGGCGGCTACAGCCCACGGATTCTCACTTTGACTGCTCAGCTACTGGAACGTGCGGCAGTCTGGCCAGGTAAGTCGACTCACCCCCACCCCCTCGAGCGACAGCTAACAGATGCACAGTGACCAAACTCATGGGTCAGTCGCTCGAGACGCAAGCGGCACACATGCGGGATCGTGCTCGAACGTCCACTGTCTCGATACAAGACTGACGACACTACCAACCAAAATTCCCACCCAGCCGGCTGAACACAAGCGACTGGTTGCTTATACATAGCTCTAGTGGGCGAGATGAAAGGACATATGCATGCGAAGAAGTAATATGCCCCAATTGACGAAGTGATGCTGGAGATGACACAGTTTATGATGGGATATTTCTATTGAAGGGCGGTTTTGTAATCTTCGTGTTGCTGAGAGCGGTCAAAAGTTTCTTCGGGTCATCGGATTTATGTGGAATTGCTGGATTATCTACGCGACGGGGTGGGAAAAGCAAACAGAGGACGGGGAGGATTCTTTCTCGCACTCTCTTCGCGGCAGTCGTTCGTCGCAGCTCCGGCTTGGAGACACGATCATTCCGAGTTGAAAGGTCGCAGTATTGAAGCAAGCGCGAGCCTGGAGACAGAGGCCGAGACGGCGACAACATGTCTGTACAAAGAACGAGAGACTTCTACTCTCAACACTGTCTGTGACTCGAATCTATCCAGAAGGAGGTCGTTTGATCAAGCCGTGGAGCATGATATTGGCTTCCCTTTGCCACGACTTGAACCGTGTCTTGACTTCTTTCTCGTGCTTATGCATTGCTTGGCTCGTCCAGATCCGAGACTCAGGAGATATCATATCATGATGTCGTACAGAGGCAACGGGAAAGGCGGCCATGGATGAAGCGCTCGGGGCCGACCTGGGCGGAGATTGTCTTACAGTGGAACTCGCTTGGTGCAGGTGGGAAAGATGGTTTCCGGCATGTCTGCACAGCCCGGAGCAAAGTACACGAACAGTCCCGTAGCATCATTCGATCACAGCATCATGGATATCAAGTGCAGCAAGGCAGATAGCAGCTGATTCAGCCGACTGAAATGAACGCCATAGCAGAGGACGACTTCCTACAGTGGCCACATGCTGCAGGAAAACACGAAGAGGAACAGCCGTTGACCTATCACTGTAATGGACCAGGAGGACTCCTCGGGCGTATTGGATGCCCAGCTTTTGCCCAGAGTCTTAGCCGTGGCTTCCTCGTCTGGGCGCTGCTGGCAGAAAGTTAGAGGGATCCGGAGATGCTGGGATCGCACAACGTCTGCGCGGTCTGGTGTGGGAAGAAGAGTCTATCACACAGTCCAGGACGCGGTTGCATGCGATGCACTACTCGACATCGCAATGCCGGCAGATAAGTCTACAGAACCAAGACAAATGTGAAGTTCAACATCTGAAGAGCCGTCCAATCTTGCCCCTCCATCGCCCCCCGGATGTCGGCGCACCTTTCCCAACCCAAGTCTGGACTCCTCCTCCCCTAACCATGTCCTCTGCTGCGGCGCTGCCGCCGCCAGGTGGGGATGATTTCAACCTGTCAGATACCCGGATACTTTGATGATAAGTCATTTTCGCTTACTACTGACTACCTCGCGTTATCGCTCCAGAAAATGTTGACGCAAGCAGATGCGAGTGAGGAATGGAAGGAAAGAACTCGGCGAAAGTCAAGTGCTCGAGTGGAGGCTTCGAGTCCTTCCACCTGTCATCGGAGCATGATATCTCTCTCTTCCTTCATCACCACTACTGTCGTCATCAGCAGTCGTGGAGGTGACATACCAAAGTTGAGAAGTACGGTACAGCCCCGTTAAGCTTCACCAACCTGTCGAAGTTGACTTTGCTGCACGGACGAGAGTTGCGGCCTTGGCGGACATCTTGTACCGCGAAACTTTTTGAATCGGCCTGCACCTCTCGCGGGTCACGATCAAACAACTGCGGGCGTAGATCAAACACTCTGGGCTGATCTACTGACTGTTTGACCGGCACCAGCTGCTATTATAATTGCTTCGCAGACGATCCGATATCATCTACGGCATCTCTACGTTGACGTCCTCTTGTTGTCGACGATATCATTCTAGTTCGATACATCGGCACCGACCCGGCGGCTCGAGTACCTTCACGTCTTCACGGTGGCGGCACAGTCTCGGACTTTACGGCAGGGTAGTAACGGCCTTCTTCTCGTCAACAATGCGTGCATGTTGACCCTCGTACCTCCGATTGCCTCTATCGAGTCCTCCAATAGCGACAAACCTCCAACCTGAATGCATAGCGTTCAGTATCAAGATATTCACGAAAGAGAAGGCGGCGACTGGGGTTAACACGACTCCCGATCTTCAGACATTGCCTTCTGTACATAAGTCTCGACTTATAACGGCCGCTGCGCTTAGTCTTCGAAATGGCGTGGGAACATTTGTCGATTAACAAGCCGCATCTGGTCTACATCATCCTCGGCGGCTTCACTAGCATTTTCATGTTGGTGTCCCTCTTTATCAAGGAAAAGCTATACATCGGTGAAGCCACGGTCGCGACAATATGCGGCGTCATCTTTGGCCCGCACGCTGCCAATCTGATCAATCCGCTGGACTGGGGTAATACCGACCAGATCACGCTGGAGTTCTCTCGAATCGTTCTGGTTGTGCAGTGTTTTGCGGTGGGTGTCGAGTTGCCCAAGGCGTACATGGAACGGCATTGGCGGTCGGTAGTGTTTCTGCTGCTGCCCGTTATGACTTTTGGCTGGCTCATATGCAGTCTGTTCATCTGGTGGATGGTCGTGCCACTGTCGTGGTTGGAGTCTTTGGCCGTGGCTGCGTGTATTACCGCTACCGATCCTGTGCTGGCCTCGTCCGTGGTCGGCAAGGGTAAGTTCGCCAAGCGTATCCCGAAGCATTTAAGAGATCTACTCTCCGCGGAATCCGGATGCAACGATGGCATGGCTTTCCCGTTCATCTACTTGTCGATCTATCTCATCCGATACAGACCCCACGCTGATAAGGTGGCGTTCCATTGGATCTGCTACACCATTCTTTATGAATGTATATTTGGCGCCATCTACGGCGTTATTGTTGGCTATGCTGGTCGTCGTGCCATTCGTTACTGCGAGGAGAAAGGTATCGTCGACCGCGAAAGTTTCCTGGTGTTCTACTTCGTCTTGGCTCTTTTCTGTGCCGGATCTGGCAGTCTGCTCGGTATGGACGATCTGCTTATTGGGTTCTGTGCAGGAGTAGGCTTCTCGAACGACGGCTGGTTCTCTGAAAAGACCGAAGAATCCCATGTGTCCAACGTTATCGACTTGTTGCTCAATTTGACATATTTCGTCTACCTCGGCACGATCATCCCGTGGGCACAGTACAACTCTCCAGAGCATGGACTTGAGCCCTGGAGACTGGTGGTCATTGCTATTTTCGTCATCTTCTTCAGGCGTATTCCAATAATGTTGGCTTGTAAACCTTTTATACCGGACATCAAAACGTGGCGAGAAGCGTTGTTTGCTGGACACTTCGGACCCATTGGTGTGGGTGCCATCTTCGTTGCCATCTTGGCTCGAGCGGAGCTTGAAACGGAATCGACCGATCCGTTGGATGATCTACCTCCTCCGGGGAGCAAAGACTACGATCTGATCTATCTGGTCTGGCCCATCGTAACTTTCTTGGTCATATCATCGATTGCGGTCCACGGATCTTCGATCGCCGTGTTCACACTTGGCAAACGAATCAACACCATGACTATAACCATGTCGTATACTAAGGACACCGAGGATGGCCCATCTTGGATGAACCGGCTTCCTCGGATCTCTTCGCAAGGTCGATCCTTATCTCGAGCGTCTAGTTTCAGCATCGACGAGGAGAAAGGCCAGATGCAGATCCCGAAACTGCAGCTCCGGCGGCAGAAGGAAGAGGAGTATGATGAGAAAGCTGACATGAAGCCCGCACCCGCCCATACCAAGCCGCGCCGCAGGAAGAGAAAGAACGCAAATGACTCCAGACTGGGCGGTCCTGTTTCCGCAAGTGCTATTGCGCCCGCCAAAAGGTCTGATCCTGCTTTGCTTCAGCATACGGACACAGGCTTCAGTGGTTCCGACACCCTTTTCGATAAATCCAACTCATCCCCCGATACGCCACTTCGCTCTGCGGAAACTTCGCCCGAGCGAGGCGGTCCACGTGATCGTAATCAGTCCCGGTCGCGGTCGAGCAGTAGCCGGCCAGTGGAGGTGGAAGCGTACGACGAGGGCAACGAGCTTGTCGTGGAAGATGAGGAGGGCAACGTCATCTCCGCTACGGACGCAACAGGCAAGACTCCCGAGGAGAAGGCAGCGATTGTTGAGTCAGCAAGAAGAAAGCTGAAACAAGATCGAAGTGGCGACTTCACCAGGCATCGTGGTGAAGCACATTCCAAAGAGACTGAAGGCGAGCATTTGGCTGAGGAAGCTACCTCCCCTCAAGCTACTGGAGACGGTGATCAGTACCGTACATGGGCACAGCGACTGGGTAAATGGAAAGGCTTCGGAGGTGGCGGCGCAGCCAACGAGAAGAACGAGGAAGCAGTACGCAAAGACATCGAGAAACAACAGCGAAAGCGCGGTGCGGCCCACGCTTACCAGTTCGGTAATACCATTATCGTTGAGGACGAGGATGGCGAAGTCATCAAAGAGTATACTCTCCCAGAAGCTGAGGGTGGCCGCAAGCGTACTTACGGTCAAGATCAACTTCGCTCAGGTATGCACCGCATGGGAACATACCTCGGCGTAGGAAAGAAAGAGGAAATGGCGCCTCCGGATGGAGAGGCACCCACAGCGCCTGCTATTGCCGATAAAGTCGACACCGACTCCGCAGAAAAAGAGAGTGATGAAGCGGAGCAAGAGCCACAGCCCAAGCAGAGCAAGAGGCCCGGCCTGAACGTGGATGACGACGACGGTCTCCGCCTCACGATCTCCCGGCGCCAGGAATACGGATGGACTGGGCAAAGGCGAGCTTCCGCAACTGGTGCATCCTCGATAGCGCTCGGTAGCGGTCGTCGACTGTCTACGCGCGACTTCCTGAAACAGATGCAAGAGCTTGATCCCAAGAATAAAATCAGGGAGGTCGAGAAGAGCGACGCACCTGAGCATGTCAAGGAACAGCTTCGGCAAAGTGCAAAAGCAGAACAGGCAGCTGGTGACGCTCTGGGCGTTGCCAGGACGCCTGCAAGCCGGGCTGGCAGAGGGCCAGGAGAAGGCGGTGATTACTTCTCGATGCCGACGCGTCCACAGGCGAAGCGGAATACAACAAAGAGCACGATTGAAGAGGAGTCGGAAGACGAGACCTCCAGCAACGGTGACGTCGAGACGCCTGCTCCCGGCAAGACTCCTGCGGCTGTACCGGAACGCCAGATCCCGCACCACGATGTGCGCTCTGCGATTGCCCGCCATGGTCCTCGTGGACCAGGCGCGAGAACTGCAGCTGATGCTCGTCGCGAGCGGCTGTCAACGATAACATCGAACGAGTCCGGCGAACGAAACGATGATGACGATCAGGGTGAAACAGCAGCTGAAAGACGGCGACGCCTAGCTGCTTTACACGGCGGGGGCGACGACTCAGATGAGAGCGACGGTGGAAGCGTCAGACAGGTCAAGTCTGCAGTCAAGGAGCCGTCAGGTGATGGTCCAAGCAGGGCACCGACGGTGACTTGGGGCGGCGAGACCGGTCGGGATCAGCCGATGAGGCGCACTAGAGAGGCGCAGCCGGCGAAGGAGACTGATGCTGTTAGATCTGATAAGGAGGGGTATGGAATGGGCGGGACTGCGCATAGAGCTGGGGAGAGGTTGAAGAGTATTTGGAAGCGGTAGTTGGGGTGTCTTGCGGAGACTTCGGTGTATACATCGATCATACGTCAACAATACACATATATCAGCATCACAAACTTCGCTCTTGATATACGCGTGGCCCTGGAATAGGGTGGCTTGTCGGATGAGATGGTCCTGAATGTGACTTCTTGCAATTATATACTGTGCGGCAGGAAAAGCCTGACAAGCGTCAAGACATTGCTCAGCGCCAATACTTGTGGAACCTACAGGCTTCCAGAGTTACTTCGGCATGTAGACGTCGAATTGGCAGACAATCAACTCGAGATCGCTGTACCTCAGAATCTGAGGAGCCTGTAGAATGAGTGCTATTGGGTAGTCGCCTGGTTGCCTCATGTATTTTGCCTGGACTTCCCCACGCCTCTCCAACACGCAGCCTGTCATTTCGAGCCGACATCGAGGACTTGCCATATTGCACAAGGAGGTAGGCTCGTGCTCACATACACAGCGCACGCCATGGCCGCTCCGCCAGTAGTCCCGCCATCGTACTACTCGCAACGCGCCCCAACTCAGTCGATCTCCTCCCTCAACTCGCCCTCACCCTCCGCCAACACATCCAATCTCCCCACACGCCCGCTCTCCTCATCCACCAGCGCCTCCACATTCCGCACGCCCGCCTCACGCAAGACAATCTACGACCGCCACCCGAACCGCTCCTCCCGCACCGAACTCTCCCGCTCCGCCTTCGCCTTCCTCATCAGCGAATCAATAGCATACCATCAAAAGCGCGTCACCTCCGTCTCCGACTTCGAAGCCCGCCTCAACTCCCAAGGCTACCTCCTAGGCTCAAAATGCCTCGACCTTCTCCTCTACCGCTCCACACCCATGGGCAGCGGCAGCGGCACCTCGTCCTCCTCCACCTCGACCTCCTCGAACTACTCCTCCAAAGACGCCAACTTTCCAGTCCGACCACTGCGGATTTTGTCGCTGCTGAATTTGCTGACGACGAAACTCTACCCCCTCCTCTTCTCCCGGCCCGCGGATAGTCTCGAGCAGAGCACGACGAATAAGAACGAGTACATGATCATCGACAACACGCCGATGACGAACGCGTATATCTCTGTGCCGAAGGAGCTGAGTCAGTTGAGTGTGGCGGCGTGGATCGCGGGCGTGATTGAGGGGGTGTGTGATGGGGCTGGGTTCGATGCGAAGGTCAGCGCGCATAATAATGGGACGGATGCGTGGCCGGGGAGGACGGTGTTTTTGTTGAGGTTTGAGGAGGGGGTTGTGAGCAGGGATGGGGAGTTGGAGAGGCAGGGCGTGAAGTGATGGGATGCTATTACGGTCACGACGGGATGAAGAAAGGCATATGGATATGGCTTAGTGATATGGTTTCGAAGCTATGAAGCATGGCTGTCATGGACATGCCTCGCTATGGTATGCTATGCTAACGATACAGCGATAATAATACGCCACTCGGCCTAGGCGAGGCCTTCTGGTGACCAGAGATACTTCGTCCAGCGCCTGTTCAGCCTGCCCTCAGAGCGCTCAGGCATCAACTTCAACCATCTTCGGCCCATCCGGCTGAGGACCGTGAGGACCCCGAGGGAAAGGATCCCGAATCGGATCGCCGCTCTCCTCCAGCATCACAGCAGCTGCATCTCTGCCAGGAGCGCCGTCGGGGAAGGTGGGTTTGGGTCGAACGGGCTTCTCGGGTCCCAGCTGCACAACATCTCTGGCCGGGGCACCGTCGGGGAATGTGGGTTTGGGGCGGACTGGTTTGTCGGGTCCCAGCTGCACGGCATCTCTGCCCGGTGCTCCATCAGGGAAGGTTGGTTTGGGTCGAACGGGCTTGTCTGGACCGTCGTCTAGGTCCAGCTGGTACCGGCCAGGGGCTCCAGGCGGACGAACTGGCTTCGGCTTTACGGGCTTTTCTGGATCATCGTCTAGGTTGAGCTCCCCGACCTTGGCAGAAGTCAATGAAGAGTCCATTTGCAGCACGTTTGGAGGGTACGGAGGCGTGATGGGGTATGGTTGGGGCTTCTTGGGGCCGGCTACCTGTTGAGCTGCTGCTGCCAAGAGAGGCTCAGCTTCGTTGTCGGACCGACGAGTGCTGCCGCCGCCCTTAGGCTTCGTTGGTCTTGGTGAAGGCCTGCCGTCAGTACCATCAAGGGCCACGGCATTGGGAGGAGGAAAGCCTGGCGTTCCTGGCCATGGCTTGGGCTTCGGGCCATCTTCGTTGTTGAGCTCTTTCGGGTCAGGCTTGGGCTTGGTGCAGCCGCCACTGCCGCAGCCGCCCTTTGGCTTGCGGGGCTCGACGTCCTCTGGTGCTGTTGTTCGTGTCAGTCGGATGCACGAGAGGAGGTGAAGCCTTGGGACAGGAGGGAGGCACTCACATTCGACCGCATCGTCATCAGGTGGCGTGGGGTAGCGCTCAAGCGGGTCCATGGAGTCGTCATCTGGAGGAGTGGGATATCGCTTGAGCTGCTCCATGGAGTCGTCGTCAGGTGGGGTGGGATAGCGTCCGATCTCAGCAGCCATCCTCTCGGGCGACTCTGGCATAGGCACAGGCTTGTCTTTGCCGGGCTGAAAGGGCTTTGGGCTGGGCTCTGGATGGAGCATCATGATGGGAGTGGTTCTCGTTGAGCTTTGAAGTCTGGTGGAAGATTCGTAAAGTTGGTTTGATGGAATAATGTGTCAGAGAAGTGGGTGAAGGTGATTTGTCGATGGATGACTGTCGATGGAGGGTGAGGGTGGTTGATACTTATGCCCCAGACGACCCAGCGTGCGCCTCATGGCGTTGACGAGGGACAACGACATCGTTGGTTTGAGAAACGATGGCAGAATCGATCCTGCGACTGCGGAAGACCTGGAAGGATCTGGACCAGTGGTATAGGGCAATGATGAAGCAACTTCAAGACACAGATGCCTTCTGGACCGTAATCGTTTGACGGTCCTATGATGTCACGTGGACAGATGAAGATTCTGGGAGCTCGAGACGTGCTCCAGCATATCTGGCAGACTGGCAAACCTCTCACTGCTGCCACCACGTCAGAACACCTTTGTTCATCCTGTTTACAGGACTGTCTAGACGGCTGTTTGCAAAGGGCGCAGCCATGGCAGCACAATGGAATCTATTCTGTCACTTCACGTTAGCGCTGCTTCCTCATGTTGCCAGGGCTGTCACATTATGTTCCAAAGAGCAACGACGAGCTTTCCCTTTGACCTCCGTCACAATGCGGGTTGAAGGCAAACAACTGCTTGGGATCGCACAGTTTCTACACAACAGGGTGAAAGTGAATTGACTGAATTGATCGCAGAGCAGGCAAAGGCACTGAGGATTCTCGTGTACAAAAGCACGGTGCTTTGCCTACACAACCAACATTTTCTTTACTGTGTCGCAAAGCCCTCTCGTACGCTAATAGCCCGCCCTCCACGCGAGAGCTGTCGGGTCTCCCGGTCTTTCTTGCCCTATTGAAGGTCGCCGACATGGCCGAACCGGAGAGCGAGACACATTCCGCTATACCACCTACCTCACAGACCACTCCCGAACCACGAGCAGCCCCAGACATATCGGTCTCACCGTCAACCGCAGATATCTCAGACTACCTACTGCCAAATTCGCCTGCTCGACCACTCCAGCCTCCTACTACCGCAGAATGGTGGTCCACAATGCCGAGCTCTGATTCAGTGCACGAGCAGAACTATCCGGCTGCACTTGAAGTGTACAGCGGCTTCTCGTCTGAGGTCAGAACCAAGGCAGACACTGCTACAGAAGAGTCACAGGCACAGCCACCGAGTCCGCCTCAGAACTTCACCTTCATGGGCATGGATCGCCAAGATCCAACCACCATCGATTGGCGTAGCATCAGTCTCAGACGGCCAGGTGCCATGCCGGCAATTGAAGCTGATAACATCGCCAAGGGCAAACCTGGCTGGATGAGAGCTCCGTCTCCACACTACGCGACTGATAGAAGCAACCTTCCTACCACTTCAAGACCTGTATCGCCAGAAGGGGCTCCGGAGAAGGCTGAACCACGAGAGGCAGGCGAACAAGAAGTGGGCGCGATTGAGGGTGTTGACTATGGTGTTCCGACAGGCAGTAATCGTCCTGTGGTATTCTTCGACAAGCCTCGCCAGTCGCAAGTCTTGCCGGTGTCAACGTCGCCAGCATCCGCTTCGCGTCAGCGCCGAGCAAGCAGTAGCTTCGACAAGCCCGTTCGTGGAAGGGCACGCACGCCTGTGCCGTGGCTTCACCGCTCGCCACTGGATGACGAGCCCCTTCGCCAGGAACGCAGCCGCAGCGCCAACTCAGCGCCCTTCGCTCACCATCGAGCAAGCAGTATCCCATCACTGCCAGAGCTCCCTCCAGATCGATCCGCCTTCGAGCCTGATATCCACGCTTTCCACCCCTCCTTCCTCACTCGCCCGATTCCTAGAGCCAACAATGTAGTCCCGTCCGTGCTCGCTCGCTCCATCATCAGACCCAACATCCATGAGCAAGAAAGCATGTTCAACGACTTCCTCAACCGCCACCTCAGCCACCACGGCCGCAACGACGACCACAATCATACGCCGTTCCGCAGCCCATCTTTGCCTCATGTGCAAATGCACGGCAGCAGTCACGGTCTCTACGAGCGCAGCCCCTACCGTCCGCTTACGCATACGCCCACACCGAGCTTCACCAACACATTCGGCAATGATCCGCGGAGACCGCAGACGCTGAGGGGATTGTATTCGCCCGTAGTGCTGTTTCGGTGTAATTTGTGCGTGGAGGAGGATGGGGCGACGACGTATGGCAGTGTCGAGCGGGTTGAGCGGCATTTGAGGGTTCGGCATGGTTATGGCGGTAACGAGTCAATGAGTGGGGATCGCGAAGGGCCCGTCGCGGAGTCTGCAGTGCGAGAGAGTCATGCCGATTGGTATTTCGGGATTGACAGTGATGCTGTAGACAGTGATGCGGTGCGTGAGATGGAGGATATGTATGGCGTTAACATCAGGATGGGTCCAGAAGACGAGTCCGCTGATGGTAGCGGGAACGCTAATTTCGGAGCTGCTCACGGCGGTCACGATGGCGATGCTGATGGGGAAGCGCAGCACGATGCGGACGATGCGGACGATGAGTCTGACGATGAAGTCCCCATACCCGGAACGATCGTCCCGGGAACGACATCAACACCGCCAACACCAGGTGACAGATGGTATTTCGGCCGTCTTGAGAATGAGAAACTCCGTGGCCGACAACCGGCCACTCGATTCTGGGCCAGACCCAGCGGTAGCGGTTGCGACGTGGGTACTCAGACAGACATGTCTACCGCGGAGCAGGGAGGAGAACTGTATGACGACACTGCTGCTGCTGCTCCTGCTTGTGGAGTGGCTCAGGGCGCTACTGGCAGATTGGTGTATGCTCGCATGCCGGGGTCGTTTGAGGCTTCTGGGTATGTATTCTGATGAGTTACAAGAGCTGTTGTTTGTGCTTTGAATGGAAATGTGCGCGGAAAGCTTGGGGTACAGTGAGGACGAATGCGGAGGGTAGTGCTTGAGGCAAGACAGGTAGAGACCATCGCACGAATCTTAAATTATTCTGGGTGTCTGTGTTGGCCTATACGATGAGCAGGCCAGTTAGCCGTGAGTGGCTTGATCCCCTGTGGTTTCAGCAGCACTGTTGCAGTACCCTCCTCGTAGGGTTTTATTGTGCACTGTTTATCGTGCCTCTACCCTCCTCCGCTTATCCCCATCCTCGTAGTCGCGGTAGCGGTCGCGTGAAGCGCTCCGTTTCCGTCTTGCTGGTGGTGATCTTGAGCGTGAGCGTGAGTATGATGATCTTCGTCGTGCTCTGTATGAGTCGCCGTCTCTGTCGTACCTTGTTGGGGATCTCGACCTTGATGTCGACCTCGACCTCCGCCGCGGCGGTCTTCGCACGCCCAACGGCGCATTATTCGCGCCCGAGGACATCGGCCCTCCACCTTGTCTGCGGTCATCGTCTGGTAGGAATCGTGCGTCGATGCTCCGATAGTCCATTCCATCGTTGCCACCGTCCCGCCTGGGTCCACCAGCGCCCATAGCCCCCTTCCAATGCCTCACATCATTCGCAAACCCACCGGTATCCTCCTCCCTCAAATCCTTATACCTCGTCCTCCCCTTCTTCCCTAACTTATTCATATCCCGTATCCGCATATACTCCGGCAGCGCACTCTTGTCGACTTCATCCTCGAATCTCGCACCCATGAGATCTCGTTTCCTCAGTGCCTCTGCATCTGCTGTATCCTGGAAGAAGGCGCCTTTATGGTGATACCGCGCTAGGAAGCCAGCTTGTGCTCGCCCGTCCTTCTCTGATTTCTGGGCATCGAGGTGTGCGCGGTCTTCGGCTTCGCGTTCCGCCGCGGAGAGGTTCCGGCGGCGCTCGACTTCTTCGATTTCTTTCTCTTTGGCGATGAGTAGATCGCGGTCGCGTTTTAGGCGGTGCAGTTCGCGGAGGCGCCAGGCGGCGTGTTCGGCGGCCGGGTCGAGGTCGTCGGTGTCGTCGATTAGGGCGGAGGGGTCGAGGTTGGGGTCGTCGTCGTCCCAGGCGCGACGGCCGAGAGCGCGGGCGCGTGTCGCGGTTGATCTTTTCGGAGATGGCAAAGTCGGTTTCGGCGAGGCGGCGGGCGCGAACCTCTTCGCCGAGTTCGGGCGCTGGAGTGGAGGCTGAGAGAGGGGCTGGGGTTGGCGTGTGGGTATCGGTAGGGGTTTTGCCGTTGATAGTGCGGTCAGCCTTCTTGATGAAGGTTGGTCGCTGGAATTTGCGGGCTGGCGCAGAGGACACGGAGGAGGAATCAGAGTCGGAGCCTGATTCTTCTTCGGAGTCCTCCTCTGGTTCTGCCTCTGACTCTAAGTCGCCGGCTGTTGGAGGTGGGCGTTGAGACGTAGCAGCTGGCCTAGCTGCAGCCGTGAGGTATTGTGAAGGTAGAAATGCGCCTCCGTCAGCGTCTTCGTCGTCATCTGTCACGAAGCCTTCCTCGTCGCTGTCCTCTTGCGTGGTAGTTTTTGGCGGAGGTCTCTGCTTCTGTGGGCGCGGCGCCGATGTTTTCGTCGGAGGCACAGCCTGTTGCTCTTTCTCGGATTCGTCCTCGTCCGAAGACTCCTCGTGAATCGCTTTCCCAGGTCGGTATCGAGCGACTGGTCGGGAAGGCTGCGCTGTCATGCGCTTCGACGAGCTCATCGTCGGCGGCGCTATGTCTTCCGAAGAACGAACCAATCAATGACGTCCCGACCGTCTCGACCAGTTCTCTGCCCGGTCGCCGATGGCTTCATACGTGTTGATTAGAGTGTTCAAGCTGGTTTCACGTGAAGTTGGAGATGCCGCCTTAGAAACATTTCACTTTGGCAAGAATCTTGGCGTATGTCATTTACGCTAAAGGAATAGTCACTGCTAGTGCTGTAGGTATGGATGAAAGCGAGACCAAATATCATTGCAAAAATTCATTATCGAGGACTATAAAATTGCATATGGATCTACTAGCTAGCTACTGTCAGCATCGCATTCTGGTACGGTAGCTCCAGCTGCACAGCCGGCACAGGCGCCGGGACCTCCTTCAGACTCGCCGGCTCAACATAGTCCTTATACCCATTGACCTGCAACCTCAACTTCCTGCTCTCGGCATAGACAACTCGCCTCGTGCGATTTGTGCTGCCTAGTGGACGGTGCTCTACCAATCCGTGCCAGCTGTTGCAGGTGATGCGGTCGTCGAAGAAGACACGGAACTCGGGCAGCCAGCTGTCCTGAGGCTCGAATTCAAGGGTAGCGATGTGCTCGAAAGGGTATTTCTTGTCGTCCCACTCGATGCCGATGTCTTCGACTGGCTGCTCTTCGAGATTCTGGAGGAGCTGGGCGCAGAAGGCGTAGGTGACTTTGTTCTTCATGTGGTACTCTCGCGTGTGCTGGGCGAGGGCATTGATTGGGTCGTCATCTTTGAGATACGTGTGCTCGAGATCCTTTTGCTTCTGGGCAAGTGGCAGAACAGCGTACTTGGCTACGTAGTCGCCATGGCGGTAGGCGGATTGGGAGTATTCTGGGGTGGCGACGAGGTACTGACGAGGAATCTTTGCGGGCGCACAGGCAACTTCGGCGTCGGGTCGCTCACCGAGCTCCTTGGCAAAGTTTTCGAGTTGGTTCCAGTTGCGCTCTAGTGAGTCTGCGATCTCATTTGTCGTTTTGGCGTCACGTAGCTCGAGAATGGGATAGTTGTTGAATGTCCAATCTTGGGTTTTCTTGTCTTCACCCCATAGTTTTTCGCCTTCGACGCCGAAGATCTTCATTCCGATGCCGCGGGGTGCGGGGACGTTGTCGGGGACGAGTTTGGGTGTCAGGGAGGAGTAGCGCATGATCATGTCGTGGACGCCGGGCCGCTTGAACATGCCTTGTGCGAGCTCGGGTCGGAGGTTGTCGTGAATGATGAACTTGCCGACTACGCAGCCTTGGGTTTTGGGGTGAGTGCCGCGCAGACAGTGGTGGTGCTCGTTGAAGTTCATCATCTGGAAGCGGTTGAACTGGGCGGCGGTGTCTTTGATGATCTTCTCTTCGCCATCAGGCACCTTCTCGACGCCCGGCGCGTCCCATTTGATGTAGGTTCCTGAGGCGGGCGTGTTGTGGCCGTTCGCTTTTGTGGTTCCGTTGACCTTCTGGCCGCTGTGGGCTACTGGGCAGGCCATGATGGAGCGATGGATGTGTGGCACGAGTTTCCTGGTGTGTTTCGCAAGGAATGGAGGGTGTCTACGATCTGGCTCACCTGTAGTCGGAAGTCGGAAGATTCGAGCATATATACCTTGACATGGTGAACACTTTGCAGCAGCCTGACCCTACGCAGTCAGCTAAGTCATCGACCCTCATCCTCCGTAGCACCGTGGTCAATATCAAATTGCTTCTGGCCAATCTCATCGCAGCTAAAGTGATATCCTGCCAGCCCCGACGGTAAAGTTCGCGGGGAAACTTCAGCATAGCATGAGGGGCTGCATAGTCGGGAAGGTCTAGCCATTGCATCGATGATCTCACCTGCAACCTAGATTTGAAATAGTTAATGGCCGTCTGAATCCAGAGGGCATTCGGCTTTGGTGAAGTCGAGATCTGTGTCGTTGCTTGCGCGTCAGTCGGTTATGAAGCGAGTGAACGAATTGGAGATGGCGAGGTCTGTCCAATTGTGGTGGTCTCGAAGTTGAGTGACTCAGCCAGGCGAGCCAGGCGACCAGAAGTGCTACGGCGAGCCACACACCGCTATTGATTCACCCGGCCTTCGGAGAAAAGTGCTCCGTGAATCTCACCGTGTACCTGCGCCCGCCTCGGTCGGATGAAGCACGGAAGCACGACTCACAGTTGACGCCATTTCCTAACAAGCACGAACAATCTCATCTTTGGTGCTCTGTAGGCGCAAAGCAGCACGCGATACGTTCTTCATGATAGCAAGGAAGATCTTGGCGATAGTATCTTCAATGATCTGAAGCAAGCGAGCCGTGACGCCTACGGGCGAATAGCGGATTGCCATGGAATCAGCGTCGCATGCCATTTCGTCCGCTTTACCAACAAGCACTGGCGGGTTCCTGTCACCCATATTTGCTTGGACAGACAGTGCATCGGATACCCTGTCTTCAAATTCGACGTTCTTTGGCCTGAATTCCACCAAGGACCTGCTCCAGATCCCGACTCTCCTCCTCGACTTCCCTCGGTATCTGCTCGAGACGACCGGCTTGCTCGCAATCGCCGATAACGACATTGCAGCACCGGTCGCAGAGGCTGTGGGAGAGGGCGCTGCGCAGGCCGCAGATGCCGGCCCTGTGTGGCTCAACATCGTCGCCGATGCGTTCTCTGCGTCTACTTTCAAGAGCTATCTGGGAATGTTGCAATATGTGACGTCCCGGTGGGCATTCACCTGCTTTGCGGTGGCCTCATACTCAACAGGATAAATGTCTACGGTGCTTCGAGGCAGCGCATACAATTGGCATGGAACCGACGGCTTGCGCTACGGATAATACCAATCATGATCCTTGGAACGCAGGTTTACCACTTGTTATGCGGTATCCACTGTCAGACTTCGCCTGACTACTCGCTATACCGACATGGTGACAACAACAAGTATAGCACGCTAGACTGGTCGACTGATGGAGGGCCGATGTATACAGTGGCTTCCACTGCGCTGTTCTTTCAGTCCGACCAGGTCTCGTGCTCAGTTGCTCGAATGAGCCGTCCCGAACCAGATGTGAAGGCGTCTCATGGATCGTTCTCGCTGCTATGGCCCGCGTTCCTATCTCTGGCCGTCTCTCATTTGGTAGAAAGCCTGTCCTGCTCCCTGCAGCAGATTCCACTGATGACCGAGGTTGCTATGTCTGTGTTCGAGCATTCGCTCGCCTTCGCAGAGGCTGAGACAATGATCACTTCCACTCTATCCATGCTGGCAAAGGAAGTCCGAGCGGCAAAAGCGGCCAGTGCATCGTTGTCAGCCACCTCAACGACCACCACTGCTATCGCGGCAGCAACGCCAAAAACTATGGTAATGGCCTCGGGAACCATGATGGCCTTGAGCGACGCTCTCAGTGCCTTGGCGCGCCCTCACATTCTCGATCGCATCAATGTGCCTGTCGAGGTCCTCTTGGTCGCCCTCTTGTCTACTTGTAATGCTCTGTCCTCGCATCTGCTCGCAGTGCTTGGGAAACAGAAGCAGTGGCGTCTGGTCAACACAGCAATCTGGGGCTGTCTGTTCATGAGCTCCTTTGCCTGGGGCTTCTCGAACACCAGTCTCATGTCGCGCGTGGAGGAAGGCGATACGAGACCAGTGTCCAGCTTGTTGCATTTTCCAACAGTTGCGATTGTTGGCTTCCTACCTCATATGCTTATCCTTGTCGGCATGGCGGTATGCTTCGTGATCTACTGCATAGCCCTCACTCTTACGGCGGTCTCGCTGAGCACCAATCCAGCTATTCCGCAACCAAGCAGCCTCAAAGAGCGCTTTACGATAGCCCACGACAACTTGACAGCTGCGATCCAGCTGCGTGGTCTTCAGCTACGTTGGTCTGAGGACTTCTACACAGCCCTGCTACGAATAGGCTTCACTGCGTTGACAGCTGCTTCCGAAGCTGTATTCCTGAATGAGGGTCGATCGGTGGAGATGAGACACTTTACATGGCTTGAAGAGGAACGTCTCGACGAAATACAACAGTCTCGAAATCCACCTTTCCAGATCCTCGAAGAGTACGGCGTGCCCTCTTCAAGTCCCGGTGGCGTCGATAAGGGAGGTGTATGGGAGTCAGGATATGCTAAGGAGCGGAAGTTTGACAAGAAGGAGAATGAGCTCAAGGGCAAGGACTCCTTTGCGTATCCTACGCCGAGGCAGGATGGAGTCGGAGCTGTGCAGAGAACTACGCGTTACTATCTGCTTTTCATCTACATTCGTGGCATCATGTTTCTGGTCGCTGGTTGGGTTGCATATGGGTTGGGAAAGCTGTTAGATGGGTTTGGCATAACATCAAGGCCAAGGTGGCTGAGGAACATTGTTGGCAGATCTCTCAAGGAGGCGACGTTGCAAACGCAGAAGATTAATTCCGAAGCCGCCGACGGGACAGAGCTGTGGCAAGGCCGAGCACCCGATGACTTGGCTATGGACATCGAAGAAGAGATGCGAAGAAATATCACCGAAGAAGGAGAGGAGGCTGCCCGAATACTCGACGACAGAATGTATGGGTGGTGGAAAGGTGGTGGCTGGTTTGGTACGCAGGACAACAGCGGAGACTTTCGCCCTCCTTTCGTCGACGAGGACACCACCAGTATTATCTCAATGTCGACGGCTGCGAGCAGCACAAACGACGAGGCGGGTTGGGAATCGGAGCCAGAGGGCACCCGAACGCCTACTCAACAGACTACAGGCAACCAGTGGTCGTTCTCCCGGATCGAGACCTTCACACGAGAGTCCACTCCATTCGCCGAGTCACACATCGACACCCCTCTCGACCCAGCGACGCTGGCACGCCTCCTCAATCCACCAGACGCCGCATCGCGAGAGGAAAGCCGCATGCTTGCTGCACATCTCTCAGCATCAGCTTCGTCTTCAGGCGCAGATCAGATCATGACACGCTCCCGCTACCGGCAGCAGCTCGAACGCGACCGCGCACGTGTCTTGCTAGCTGGTCGGCGAACAGCCAAGGGCACCCCACCAGCAGGATCTCCGAGTATACCACTCTACCAATCCCCATCATCGAAAGCGTCCCGACCGCTCACAGCAGACGAAGAATCCACAGCACTAGAAGCATTGCTTCTCAAGCGGCGAGGCACAGTCAACCCGTTCGCTGGACCCGCAGACAGAAGAGACGTCGGTACGCAACAAGACGGTGGCGATACAGATGCTGGGTCCGGCGTGCTATGTGTGGTATGCCAGACGAGTTCGCGGACGATCATTGCCTGGCCCTGCAGATGTCTTTGCGTTTGCGAGGACTGTCGGGTCAGTTTGGCGATGAACAATTTTGGGAACTGCGTTACTTGTCGGCGGGGGGTCAGTGGGTTTGTGCGGCTGTATGTGCCTTGAGCTGGGGCCCATATGGGCAACATTCTTCGAGGCTGCGTTGGGACGATACCTATGACCACCACGAAGAACGGGTCTTCGTTGCTGGTCGGATAGTCAATCGTTCGCATCATAACGGCATTCATTAGCATAGAGCATCCATTTTTCAACGTGTACAGAAAATTCATCTTGACCGCTCTCGCACCGCCTTAAAGATGGGGTTCACTCGCATATTGGGACTCCCAGTCTACCGACTGTGGCATGACATGCCAGAGTCCAGCAGTTTTGGGCACCAAGCTTAAGGCGTCCCGTGGATCTGCAGAGGGTAGGGCATAGGTGCTCGACACGTAACTGGGAAATGCCAGTGGACGCCTTGTTTCTTGAAACCCGACTTGAGTGCCGAATTTACCTCTAGAGCTTCTTGCAGTGCAATGCGTGTGGGCTTCTAGGAAAGGAATTCGACACACTGAAACGCCTACCTACGAGTCTACCAGCCTTGAAGAAATCGTGATTCTGACACAATAGAATGGCAGCAACAAGAACAGGCAGATGTCTGTGCGGTCAAGTCACGTACGAGTGTGGTGACGCGGCTTATACTGCCGTATGCCACTGCGACGACTGTGCAAAGATCGCCCACGGTCCGGTCCACCAGGTTCCCAAGGAGACGTTCAAGATAACCTCGACCGCTCAGCCGAAGGAGTTCACCATGGTTTCCGATCATGATCGGGTAAGCACATTCCACTTGTGCCCTCACTTACCTTCATTCTCCCTCCATGAACTTCATTCAAGGTTCTGCTGCTCATGATTGACTATCCGTACAGGAGATAACGTCACACTTCTGTCCGAATTGCGGCACGACGCTCTACCGCACTGGTGGAAACCCTCAAGTAGCCAACATGATTGGTCTGCGCGCGGGAACCCTGGACGATCAAGAGCCTCTTAGAGCGCAGGCACCGATGATTGAGGTCTATGTTGACAAGCGGGCGAGCTGGCGGCCGAAGCTGGAGGGAGCAATGCAGATGAATGGGCGGTATGAGGCTGTCTGAGAGGCGTCGATAGGTGTCAGCCCCGAAGTCGTCGATAGAAAGCGCAGTGATATTAATGAGATGCTGAGTTGGATGTGGTCATGAGCTTGATCCTGATCTGCTAGAAGGTGGCAGTCGCTGTCAGCGTCTTGGCGTCGAACTTTCCTTCCTTCTACTCCACCGTCCTTTTCCATCATCAAACTTAACTCGTTGTGATTTACAAACACGATTGCTGGCCGCGTGCATGTAGCTTGCCGCGACAAGTTTTCCAGAGCACTAGCACGCAGAAGCGCTATCGAGATGCGCCGAGAGATCTGCAACTTGTGGTGCAAGAAGCAGTGACGCGGACTGAGCTGTAACGAGAACGCGTTGTGGCCGTGTCTCGGCCCAACCAGCCCCCATTCCGCCTATGCTCTACGGTAGGCTCGACTTCCGCCCCGTCCAACAGCACAAGATGGGGGCGGTGTCGGCTGCAAGCGACATGCGCTTATAGCCTCTCTACACGGAGTTCCAGGTGCAGATTAGGTAGGGGCATTTACCACTGTGGCTCTTTCCCGTTCTCGTCCAATCAAAAGTACGGTTGTCCGCCCTGCAAGGCGACGTGGAGGTTCGCTCGTATAACACGAAGCACAATCACGACTGTCCAGTCTAGCCTTCGCCCTGCAGCGAGTCGTCCGCCAGCTTCATCTTCCTGGTGCAACCATTTCTGAACCAGAACACAACTTTAGTGCCGAAAGAGCGCTTTCAGGCGTCGAGGAAGATGCTTATCACATAGCGCCGCCTGTCAGGCGGGACGACACAATCCTCGCAACATTCAGCTCTTGGCGACGACCTCGGTGTGCATAATTACTGCTAATTGTCGAGCACTGGATCTATTGCCGTTACGGACTAGACGACTGCTATGGCACGGCATCATGCTTTCGGGGCCAGCAAAATCGTACTTTCTTCGTGACATACTGCATTTCTGTCGCTCTTTCCTAATGGTGACAGCTGCTGAGGAGGTACATGGCGTATATACGACAGGTCGAAGGCAGCTGAGATGCGTCACGTCGTCTAGCCTGCCGCGGCGAATCTCGACCAGAATGCTTCGTGCATGAAATCAGCAGAGAATGTTCCCGCCATTGCAACCTTACAACCATCAGCACTGTGATAAGTCCTGCTACGTACAGACACGTTGGATCAAATAACCTCTGCGATCGACGACCTCGCAACATGGTCTACTTCGGGGCGTCTCGTGGCTGCGTCCAGTGTCGCCGGAGGAAAGTCAAGTGCGATCTGAACGTGAGTCCACTCTCTTACGCAAGCCTGGAACAGGACGTATCTAACCATTTGTTTAGACTCCCTCCTGTGCTATTTGCGTCCGCAGAGGAGAAGATTGTTCAGGCCCACGAGTTGGTAAAGGAGAGCTGGAGTTCCGTTATGAAGGTGGGAAATTCAACACGTATCCATCTTTCAGTGTGTCGCACCGCAAGTCCGATACGATCAATACTACATTCTCCTTCGTGCCACAACCAAAGCCAACGAAGTCCCGAGGCCGACCCCGGTCAAGCAGAAAGCATGCGTTCGAAGACTTGTGTACCGTGTTTCGAGCCATCAGGCCCGATATGGCAACAGATGACCTTGTTCTCGAAGATATGCTCGACGTGACAGATGACGAGGTATCAAGAGCCATTCTGGAGCTACAGCAATGGCTCGAATTTGCAGCTGCGATCATGCCCAAAGGTCCTCCTGGCGGGCAGTACGGCAATGGGGATGTCGGAGTCTTCCCTGCAGATTCATCGATGGCCAAGCTGATCAACTTTTGGCACGAGGGTCTGGTTCCACCTACCTCCAAATGCACCATAGTTGACGGCGTCAAAGTTCCAGAGCGGGCGTGGTCACTCGCACGAGCAACTATGGAAGATCTGAGCCACGGGTATGCTTCGCTAGCATTCACGGCTTATTGCTACACTGGCCTCGTCAAGGACGCGGAGATCGCGACATATCTGGCTTCGAGCCGCCTGCGGGCCATCAGACACCTTAGGCGACAGGTGGACCTCGGTATAGTCAATCCTGGAGCAGTCACAATGTTGCTCGCGCACGAGTTGATCACTCGAGATTACGATGCAGCTACAACTCATGCGAGTTTCCTTTTCAAGCTCTTGGAGCAAGCTCAGTTACTGGCTGCCAGCAGTGGGGGCATTAAGATAGGCATGAATCGTCACTGTCTCTTCTTCGTCGAGACGATGCGGACCACAGCCTTGATGGTGCCGACGCATCGTCTAGTAGACGAATGGCAAATCAGCACACGAGATCTGGATCGGTGGGCCACGACCTCTCCTGACACTGCACTCGTAGAACGAGCAACCTCAACGGCTCTGCTGGACATCACAGCACTCAGTGATGCCACACTAATTGCACTCTTCGAACAAATTCGAAGGCTCGATGCATACATGCACGCTAGTCTAGACGCGAACTACGTGACATACTCTGCAGCTTACCAGCTGTCCTGCTCACTAATCGTACTGTCTGGACGGCTGCTGAACTACAGCCTGGATCTCACGAACGATCCGCTGCGCAGGGCTGCTGCTCTGGCAGCGCTTTACTACCTACGCCTCCGTGAGAGATCCGAGTTTGTCAACTTCAGCAGCTCAGCGTCTCGAGGCGAAGCGTTCATGCTGAAATGCTTCTCACAGGGTCCGCTCATCGCTGCAAACCTGTCAGACTTGCTGGTTCAATCCGATCGCGAAGGCAGTGTGCACACAGTGCCGTCGGCTAAGGGCTCACCGATGCTGAGCAAGGACGAAAGTGATTGGGAGTCTATTGGACCCGAACTCAGACTACGTATCTGGATTCTTTATGTCGGCGCATTCATCGAACAGACTGCGGACTACACGCAATCGCCGAATCTGCGTCGGACACATCATCATGAAGGCCTTCAATTCCAGCTCGTATTGACCAGCCTGTTGGCGCGTGCGTATGCAGATCTTCTGGCAGGTTTTCTCGTTCTACCGGTTCAGCCTGGTGCTGCAACGGTGCCATTGTTGGAGGATCTGATAGAACCAGAGCTGCAGGGCATGAGTGAGATACCCGCCAGCATTCGGCGGAGTACCTCAGAAACGCACGCCAACCAACAAGGCGAGCAAGATAACTTTCAGTACGTCTACGGCCCCAAATGGCTGAACATGGTGCTACGCACATGGGGCATTGGCAACCGCGATGGCGGCAAGGGCGTGGGTGGGTTCAAGCTGCCATGTGTGGCCAACACTGCTGCGACGACTGCTCACAAGTGAGCGAGTTCCTTGAAAATAAAGAGTGCCTGTACTACACGACGTCTTGCACCACTCGGTGTCTCTCTTGGCAACGACAATTGGAGATGCGTTAGTCTGGAAGACCTGTGTCTCTTGGCAAAGGGCCAAGGCACTGGCATGCATGACAAGATAGACTTCGGGATTTGATGTCACTAAAAGTTATCGTCATCGCAATCCCTCGACACATGCTTCCACTTGCGATGCGACCCTCGACTCGGGATGTGAGCCTCCGAGGATCTTCAGGGCGATTCGAAGCATGAACTTGTCCAAAACTCGCGCCTGGCAGGATTGACCTGACCCAACTCGATACTGGCCCATGTGCCTATTTTGAGGTTCTGGTGACCGGTCGTGCAGTCGGCGAGTTGCCTTGTTTGAACCCGAGCAAGTCTCCCATTATGCTTTCCCCTGTAAAGCTACCACGATTGACCTCGACAGGAAACAAGGAAGGCGCATTTGCAGCTGCAGCTTGAGACGGCATATAATGCATGCTGCCTGTCGCAGCGCATGAAAGTTGTCGCCATCGCATTTATTATCTTGTGTAGAGCATTCAATACCCAATCTCTGAAGCAATGACACTCATTCACGAAAAGCCAGACACCGAACACGCCTCCCTCCAACCCTCTGACGCACAGCCTTCGGATCCTGGTGAATCGAACACCAGCACCTACAGCCTCCTCGGCGCAACAGGTCAAGTCGGCGGCTCCGTCCTACAATCCCTCCTCTCCCAGCAGCCCATACCCAAAATCAACGTTCTCGTCCGTTCCCGAAGCAAGTTGCAAGCCCAACTCAAGACCGCGCCCTACTCCAGGCTCGACACATCCACCATCACAATCTTCGAAACCTCATCTGGTGTCTCCGACATCGACACTCTGTCAAAGTGCATCCAGCGTACCGAAGCCGTCTTCCTCTGCGCCGCCGCAAGCACCAACAAGCCCGGCACGACCGTTGCGCAGGACCAGGCAAAGGCTGTTGTTGCTGCGTTGCGCTCGATCCGAGAACAGGGGAGTCGGTCGAGCCCGACAAAGCTGCCGCGCTTGGTCGTGCTCAGCTCCGCCGAAGCCGAAGAAACTCCCTACTTCAGCGCCTCAATCCCCTGGCCTATCCGACCTATACTGTTCGCGTCAAACTACCACATCTACGTCGACCTGATCGCCGCGGAGGTTTACCTCCACCAGGAACGCAAGTTTGATGGAGATGACTGGTTCGAGTTTACTATGGTGAAGCCCGGCGGCCTATCCCACGATATCTCACGTGGCGACGCCTTAAGTTTCGATACGCAGCAGACGTTTCTTAGCTATGTGGATTTGGCGAATGCAATGGTGGAGGTGGCGAGTGGGGATGATGCTGAGTTTGGGAAGTATAACGGAAGGGCGGTTAGTGTGGTGAGTCCGGGCGGGAAGGCGAAGGTTGAGTTGGGGAGTGGGCCGTTGTTGTTCAAGGGATTGCTGGTTTATGTGGTGCCGTGGCTGCATGACTGGCTTTTCTGATAGTTTCGAGGCGCCATGGGTCCCATAATGAGCCGAGCAAAGTGATTCATGCACAGCCTGCGATGCTCAACCCGTAGCTCCTTCATTCACCTTATTCCATCAAGACGGCCAACAGGAAACTATCTCAGACGTGGAATTACACATGCTCAGCGTGGATAAATTAGTCCTCCTTGCACACCATCACAGCCGCGCTAAGTCACGGGCGCGGTGTACTTCCGTCACGGCCCCGTGTTTCCCCCATAGGTAGTCCAGTTGTGATTACTGACGAGCAGATATCAATGTAGCAAACGGCATCGTGATGGGACGCGAGGATTTATGGCTTGCGGGCGGGATTCTTGCAATCGGAATTCTGGCGGTTGGGATGGTCTAGACTACCGACGGTGAGGTCGTTGATGACCCGGTTCCTTCTGGACTGATTTCGTAGCGACACAATCACCTTCATAGCCTCGCCATCAACAGTCGCCAGGACTCCGTTTCTGAGAATATGTTCCCGGATCCTGGTATGCAAAGCTCGTTCTGGGCACTCCGTCCACTGATGACGCGGGACGAAGCAGTAGCTGCAATACTGATCAAACTTGGCTTCTTGTATCCATTTTCCCCATCTTAAACCCGACGAATATGTCGGTACTAAATCGCGTATTGCCGTCCTGGAGCTCGGCACTGGTGTCAGGAAATCCGAGCATTGCTCTATAGATACGATTAAGGTTGAGGTTAATGGTCGCTAGCCAAGCAATAATAGCTACACCACTATAGGTGCCAACTACTGTAAAGTAGTCTTAAATGCTTGCACCACAGGCCGCTGCTCAGCCAGTTCCTATGTTTAATGCTGCCGAGCCACTGTCGGCGTCTTAGTATTCACGAGAGTCTCGTCCCGGAGAACCTCTGCCCGCGGTATACGTCTGTGGTAATCGCAACCTATCTATGATCCTTCTAGTAAGTTGGCGTATATGTCCAAGCTCGAACCCACGACGTCCACGATTCCCCAACACGAATTACCTTTGAATGTCCGCGCCCAAATCCTTATGATTGTGCAGGCTACTTGTGTCATCTTGGCGGCATCTTTGGTGAGCTCCGTTACTGTGTGGCCTTCCATGGGGCACTCATTCGCAAGGTCTGCCTCTTCAATTATGCGCTTGATCCACAGAAATAGTTGTTTCTCGTGCTCAGAGATATCCACTGATCCACATGAGGGAAGAGTGAGAAGCCATCTACTGAGTAGAAATGCATACTCTAGGCCACTTAAAGAATGTTGTACACTCCAATACAAAGAGTGAGTTCTCGCAACAAACTCAACACCAAGACGGACCGGTATAGAGAGGCCATGAATGGCGTGAAGAAGTGCCATCACCAACCCAGGTGTACGGCGGATTGGTGGTGCCGACATCAATGTTTCAGCGATCTGAGCTGGTCGTAGCGACTTGAGTGCTCGGAACGGCCCGATGTCGAGATACAATCGTATGTATGCCTGACCCAGGAACGAAGTAGACGTGAAGGCTATCGGGCCAGCTGGGTTACGGGGGTTCGTACTTGACTCCGGCGTTTGCTGCCATCGAAGTTTCCAATTGTGAAGGACATCTTCGAGTGTCGAGAGGTCTTCATTCCGTAGAAGCTGTTCCACGGGTGGGTAGACGTAGAGCTGACGGGCGAAGTAAATTTGTTGCAGAATTGCATGCATAAGGACGTGATTTCCAAGAGGGGTGGAGAACGATATGCTGGCGGGTAGAGTGTGAGCGGGGCTGAAAAGAAGCCGAAATGCCGTTTGAAAAGGTATTTCAGAACTCGGGTTAGAGTCGTAAGCCAGTCGCCACTCCGCTGCGTTCGAAGCCTTCCACAGTGGGGTTGGACACGGCAGATTCAGCTTGATATCCGAACTGAGAATCAGTGGTGCAGTGTTGTACATGAGGCAATGAGAATTGTGAAAGGCAGAGGCAACAAGCTTCGTACGCCGAGCGCGTTCCTGCGTGACCCATCGATGCCAGTTGTTGTCATCTGACGACTCAGCATCGATCTGGAATGCTGGTGTCCTCTCCTCGAGGCCGTGCTCGTGTAACATCGACGCAAACACCCCTTGCAGAGCCAATAATTCTTGAAGTATGTCGGAATTGCTTCCCCACGTTGCAAAGATAGTGAGTAACAGCGATACTTGAATGAGCTCCGTCAGCTCCTCGGTCCTATCTCTAGGAGTAATCTTTTGAGACTCAGACTCCCGTTCTCGATGTTCTATATGTGCCGGTGCCAGTGCTGGTGTATTGATATACTTCTGTTGACGTAGATCATCTAGCAGGAGTAGCTGGGCAGCTTCAAACAAAGATAAACCCCTTTGAGTCTCAAACCGATATTGAGAACCACATGCTGCAATGGCAAGAATGAGGGCTGGGTTGGACTTGGCAACTGATAGCATCGGAACATGTATGAATGGTAGATGTTCGTTTAGCCCGTCCACGAAACCATGGATGTAGCGTGATAAAGAATACCTGGAAGGTAATCTAAACGCCGGTATCAGGCGGTTCACACTGGTTAAGAGGGACTGGTAAGCATTCTGTCCAATTAGACATGACGATAGAACATTTGATCCTGGCGATGTGCCAGAGTGAATTCTCCATTTGAGGTCAGCAAGTCCACTCTGTGAATCTGCAACAGTGTGAACAGGTAGTACACCGTTGTGATAGCTTAAGGGGTGATCGTCGTCTACCTCAGATTAGACATGAACTTCAAGAGCCGTCCATTGCTATCTTACCGTCATCAGGGTTTGATTCACGTTGCAGTGAAGGAAGACGAGAGCCAAAGTTGGAAAATGGCGCTTCATCAGACATCAATCGCTGGTCAACGACAGCCTGTTCAATATCGGAGACTCCTCGCCGTGGCGAGCTGATTCCAAGAACACTCTCGTGCTCTGGAGCCAATATCTCTGGATCCCAATCAAAAGATAGACCAAGACTATCAAGGAAGGAATTGAAGTCCTGCATTGGATCATTTAGACTCCCGACTGACGAGAAAGGCATCAAATCCTCGTGATTGTTACCAGCTGCGACTGGTACCTGATTTAACGGTATCGCTGTTTGCGAAGCCGGCGATGATTGGTCGACTGTACCTAGGAATAGATGGGATGACATGTCAATGAGGGCATTCGGTTGCTGCGGGCTCGACAGATCAGCATTGCTGGTTGACCCTGCAGATATCTCCGGCGCAGTCTCGCTAGTAGAGCGTTGCCCTGTGGCTGACAACTGGTCGTCTCGTGCATTATTAGATACATGGATGAGTCGTCTGTGACGGCTCAACAGGTCGCTGGAAAAGAAATTAGCTTTATAGAGAACTGTGCTCCGGGACTGGCAATGAGAACTTCCGTACCTCCTACCGAAAGTTCTGTCACATGTTGGACATGCAAATGGTCTCTCATTTGTGTCTACCTTGATGGTTAGCTATCACATCCTCGATTGCCACGAGCTCAGCGATACTAACGGGTCCGCAGATGACGTTGGAGGTGCTGAAGGCGGGTGAACGATTTTTGACAGTATTGACAAAGCGGCGGAGTCCTGCGACGCGGGCTTCGCCTGGAGCGACTATCCATAACGAGTGGTGGCTAGGCCCTCTCGATCAGAGCTCTGAACCATGGGGAGGCACAGGCACGAGAGAGCAAAGGCCAGAGTACGAGAAGATTGGAGAATTTCCGGAGACCGGGCTTTAATAACTGCGCGAGGCAGAGGCTCGTAATTCGAGCCCAGTTCGTGCACTTTATTGCCATTTCACTCGTTGATTCGGAATCGCCATCACGTGACGACATCCGCATCCCAGGCGCAGGTCATTTTGGGCCGTTTTACCCCTCGATATCAATTCAGGAGTAGCATCCCTACTTACCTTAATACTGCTGAACCTACTGATACTCCTATTTTACACGTGGTACATTCTTTGGGGAGTGTTAGGGAGTTCCCGCGCTGTATTGTCCCATGCCCACCCAAAACAAATTTGTTCTAGATATGAGTTCAATGATAGAAGTTTTGCAATCCAGTCTTCGTATAGTAACTTCTCGTATGATCATCAGAACCAATGGGATGATTCGGCTCGAACGGTTGATTGAATGTTTATCCTCTAATTCGAAAGGCGTTGACGCATGTAATGACCAAACTTATCGAAGTGAAGACGTTGAGCACACATTCTATAGTGCTTTTGTGGGCTCTTGCAACGTGTGCTCTCCTAGTGACTCCTCCTATACTTGGTTGATTGTGATAAGGAGCGTTGACAAGGTTATCCATGAAACGTCCAAATGGCGTAGACGGTACTAAATTTTGCCGTCCATTCAGATCGTGTAAATGAAATCTGGTCTCTTATCACCCGCAATCCAGATTTCATCCGCGGATTTCCCTTCGTGCATATTATCTCGCTTCCCAGAAAGTCTCCTTGCATTCTCTCTCTTGAGAAGCGTGACCATAAGAATACTTCCACAGAAAGCCCCGAAAAATAGGGAACCCAACACCACACCGTGACCCGTCCAGAATCGTGGGGACTCGTTTGTTAGGTAGATATTGGAACTGACAATGCCACTGAGATTTCCACATCCAATGACCACTCCCATCGATACACCTCGTTTATACAACCCTTCAACGTTGTTTGCTACCCAGGTGTTCACATTACTGATAGCTGGATAGATCCCAATAGCGGCCAAGAATGTGCCAGCGTATTGTGTTTTAGGGCTGGGTGACGATACAAGTAGCAAGAAGCCGGCAATCCCGAGAAGTGTCACTGCGATGTTGCAGTAACCGCGACAGCGTGTCCTATCGGCTAACCAGCCAATGGAGATCGTGGCGACCGCAGCACACGCGTAAGGCGGAACGGACAGTAATTGCGCCTGGGTACTATGGTATCCCATACCCCGAAGGATTGTTGGAAGGAATAATGAAAAGGCGTACAGTGGAATGATCGAGCCGATATATATGATACCGTAGACCCAGGTTTTCCAGTCTCTGAATGCGGCAAAGATGTGGCGTTTGTCGTATTCCTCTGCTGTCGATGGTTGCTTATCGGCAGCTAAACGACGTCGCAACCGAAGTCGATCTTCGGGTGTGAGAAATCTAGCGTTGTCTGGCCAGTCGTATATCATCCAGTAGCAGGCAATACCAACAACAACTGTTGCTAAGCCTTCTATAATGAAGATCCAAGCCCAGCCAGACTTGCCGCCGATACCGTCCATTTGCGCAATCTAGCAAAAAGGTATTAGCGAATTATACCACTCTCGTAGAACATATGACCAAGATAGGAAACAACTCACCGCGGCGGCAAGCAGTCCACCAAAGGACCCTGCAAGAGCGGCAGCAGAAAAAAAGACCGCCGCGCGTATACCAAGCTCGTCACGCCGGTACCAACATGACAGGTAGTAGCTAACGCCTGAGAAGTGTGAGTGTTGTAAATCGGCAAATAATAACCTGGACACAGGACGGCCTTACCTGGATATAGTCCAGCTTCAGCGAGTCCTAGAAAGAATCGACATGCCAGAAGCCCGGAGTAGTTAGTAACAGTCCCTGCGCATACAGTAATTGAGCCCCATAGGATTGTGATCGCCATGAAGAAAAGTCGCGGTGTACAACGTTTGAGGATAACATTGGTGATAGCCTCAGCGATTGCGTAGCTGACCTATCCCACAGAGGTGAGTATGACAGCCTAAAGCCAGGTAGGTAGGTATACACTCACGAAGAAAATGGTCAGGCTGTTATTGTAGCCGCGTCCCGTCATGCTAAGATCGTTTTCCATCCCCGCGAGTCGAGCGTTTCCTATATTTGCCCTGTCGAGGAACGAGCACATATAGAGACTTTTGCCTTTTAGCTGGAATACTCGGCCGCGTTAACAGCTTTAAGCTAATGCACTTACAATGAAAGCCATGGAATGAGATAGATATCAACCTTCCGCATTAGCTTGCGATCCTACGACAAGTTCCATGTTAATGGTAAGAACGAGTGTAGTGGAGATTGTGGACCTACAATTGCGGCTCGTTCCTGGTCTGTCCTGCCTTCATCAGGATCAAACAGCTCGTGAAGATTCTCTGATCGCTCAATCTGTACTGTGTAGGGGGCTTTGTCCTTGCTGCCATGCTCTGAGTCATTCTCTGTGCTGGAAGCCATACTCTCGGTCGCGTCAATTCGCCAATGTAGAATGTCAAGGCCATCTCCGGATTTGCATGGAAGTCATCGGCGTTTTATAAGGGCATAGCCTGTCTACTTCAGCCCCTCATACATTCCCACACAGAGTGGCGTCAAAGGTTCTGGCCGTTGCGATTGTGATCCGCATACGCAAGCGCTATGTGGCGGCAATGACAGGTCTCGGAGGGCACTAGTCCCTCTTTCTCCATACTCGAATGTGTGAGACAGAACAACTCGTCCAAACACTGCTTCGATAGTGCGCCTTGACACATCTTGCTCAGTCTGTTCCGCGGTGTAGTGCTTGCAAAATGGCTCGGAGGGGCCCCACTCACGTGCAAGGTGGCGCAAGATAAACAACGATTGCGTGCCGCCACTTCGCCACGGTCCCAGAGGGGTAAGACGCCACATTGAGCTTTGGCTTTCCTAACTCTTCCTGCAACCGTGGGCCTACTTCTCAGCGCTCTGTCTAGAGAATCTGGAGAGAAGCGCGAATGATAATCGCGGGGTTGTAGGCCCGTTGCGAATATCGTTGGTTGGGCTGGATACGGTTTGCTCCATGTCTCCGCTTTCCCTGTATCAAATGGCCCCTCACGGAGGAGACCAGTGCACTCCTTGGGGATATGTACAGCCTACCTATATAGAGGACCCGCCGTTTAGACTTGACTTCAACATTGTATCGTTTTAAATCCATCACTGAGAGTGCATGCATGATGGATACCTCCTTACACGCCTTCGAGATCCCTCCGATAATCCGAAAGCCGTCTTTGGAATCGGCCTCACCATGGGCTCTATATCTTGCAGTAGCATTAGTCTTACTCGCAGCCCTTGAGGAGGCTTTGAGGCTTCGTCACAGACTTCCTGTGATCAAGGGGCCGGTCGGTTACCCGATCTTTGGCAATCTGCTTCAACTCCGCCCAGATCCCTCAGAGCAGCTCCGGCGTTGGGGAGAGAAATATGGAGGAGTCTATCAAATTATGATGGGCAATACACCTGTGGTTGTCTTTAACTCTATGCAAGCGGCAAGAGATGTCTTTATTGGTCAGGGGGCCGCACTTGTTGATCGGCCAACATTTTACACTTTTCATGGTGTTATGACCAGTGTCGCATCCACGATCGGTACGACCGTATGGTAAGGAGTACCACAGTCCCCGGCAAGCTCACAAGGTCTAATACATAATCATAGGAGCGACTCACTCAAAAAGAGGCGTAAAGCCGCAGCAAGTGCCATGAACAGAGTCGCAACTGCATCATACGTTCCCTTGATCAACGAAACCACTCAGGATTTCATTTCAGATCTCTTACAAAGAGGAGACTCGGGCCAAGTTGCGTTCAACCCCAGAAGATCAATTCTTGAGTCTATCCTTGATTTAACAATGACGGTCAATTACGGGTCTAGACTGCCGAAAGAGGAGGGACTTTTTGATGAACTTATTGATGTTGAGGACCGAGTTACTCGATTGAGATCCGTCACAGGATCCTATCAGGACTACATCCCATTCATGCGATGGAATCCTTTCAATTCGAAATCGTCTCACGCTAAAGAGACAAACTTACGCAGACTAGCATATCTGCATCGCTTCAGTGATGAACATAAACAGGAGATGAAGGTTGGCAAGGATAAGCCTTGTATTCAAGGGAACATTCTCCAAGACCCTGACCATAAATTTACAGAAGTCGAGCTGACATCAATCAACATGTCAATGGTATCTGGCGGGCTAGACACCCTCGCTAACTCGATGGCTTGGACTCTCGGTCTACTAGCCCGTCGTCAAGATGTACAGGAGGTTGCATATGAGGCAATCATCAAGGCTTCAGGTGCGAATGGCTGGGGCGAAGCCCACGGCGATGTACCTTATATGGGTGCTCTTGTGAAGGAGTCTTTACGATACTTCTCGGTACTTCGACTATCCCAGCCACGACGAGCGTGGCGCGATATTGAGTACAAAGGTATTTTTATTCCCAAAGGTACAACTGTTTACCTCAACGCTTGGGGATGCAACCGCGGTGAGTTTCCCTGACACTCGAGACCAAAGTCATCTAAAGCTGATCCGCGAAAAGATAAATCGTACTTTGGTGCCGACGCAAATGATTTTCGCCCTGAGCGCTGGCTAAAAGAGGGCGATGAGCGACTTGACCATTGCGCTTTCGGTTTCGGTGAGTTGCCCACAGTTTCTTATGTCGAACCATCTACGCTAACACCTACAGGTACTCGAATGTGTGCCGCATCCCATTTAGCAAATCGACAACTGTATATCATGATTGCTCGACTGATTTGGGCTTTCAAGATCGAACTCAGTGAGGATCCTTCAGACAACGAATGGGGTATCGATCCATTTCTGGTATGAGATATATCCGCTCATAAACCTACTTGCTAACAACGAGACTTAGGACTCTACTGAACCCGACCAATTCGCTGCGAGGCCGCCTCTTTACAAGATCCGTTTCGTTCCTCGTGACATCAATACATTGAGAGCCCAGCTAGAGTCGACCTAACGTGGAAGATATGTTAGTGCCACAGATTAAGCCCACATCACGCACGACGTCGTGCCGCAACGCGTTACTCGCCTAATCAAGGATGGCGTAGCCTCATAAGGACGCGTCCGACGGCCGTGATATGACCTCTGCCGCAATGCACGTCCTTAGATAGCTCTTTAATTCTATAACTCAATCGATAGACAACGTGAAGATCGAATCTTCGTGAAGATCGAATCTTCTTGTACACTGAGCCAGCCGTTCACCTCTAATGAAGTATTGTGGTAGGCACCTAGAAGCGATCGACCGTCGAGGACATCGACACGTGAAAATAGACATGGTCACGAAGTCTGGTGCCTGTTAAGAACTCTTTTAGTAATCTGGGCTCTGCCTAGTGCCAACAGTCACGGCGACCAGCGAAAGGCCAAGGCTACCTATAAACCCAGGAGGACCCGTTCGTCAGAGTCTGACCCACGAGGGGGCTACCCACAGCAGCGTGCTGAACCACCAAGCGCAATCAGGTTCAAGGAAGCATTCTGCCAACCATATAGTGCACTCGACCCAATGCGCCATCTTGAAGAACTGAGCGCAAGGCCTCTGGCTGACGCCGCGTAGCTCTTGAATGACGCGTGCTCAGCTGGTCTTGGACGTTATTACAAGATACCAGCAAATCTTAAGGGCTCCCCACGTATAGGCTCTCGACCTCCGTGGCAAGCCAAGCTGCGATCAAGTCACACACATGGTAAAGGGCAACCAAGCAGCGTATGATGAGGCTGCGAAGAGACCGTGGCGACGACTTAGAAGATTTCTCAGGATCCATGTTGAGAAAGTGCATCCGTGGTTGAGCCTCACTCCGAACGAGTTGACAGTAATCATTATGTGTAGTAGTCTGAAATGCATCGTCGAACTAATTCATTGTCACGTCTTCCTAGTTTACACTGCTCAAAAGTCAGCAGGCTGCTATTCACATCAGGGCGGGACGAGAAGAAATTTCGTCTACAGTTCTTCGCAATCCTGATATAATCTTGGGGCCAGAACACAAGCTTGAAACGTTCGGGGCTGACAGTGGTCCTGACCCTTCCCTTCGCGACCGAGTCGAAGGGCTCAGTATCGCGATCCTTGAAAGCCATGGAGAGTGCATTAAACACGCTGATGAAGCATCCCGGTGACAGCGACTGTGCCACATAGCTCTACCATCGTCTACCTACATCCTGGCACTCAGCCAAAAAGGTACAAGCACTTGGTCGCGGCCAAGCTTATCGAAAGCTTTCCATCGGAGGGTAGAGAAGGTCGATCAAGCTCTGGCCTTACTCCAAGCAAGGCAGATGTCCTGCCCGCGCTGATGCTATCGCCATCACCCGAAACGCAAATGATAACATTCGAACAATTGTACCCGACATGAAAACTAGCGGTGAAAGGGTAAAGGCAACGACTGAGTATACACTCTCCCGTATCGGAACGCTTCGGTCAATATTTGCCTTATTAGGCCACGGCGTATGTAGAAAACACCTCGTGCCTACAGGCAGCCTATAAGTACCTTTCAAAGCCGCGCAGGGCTCACGTGAGTGGCTCACGGCCTCGGAGTTTATGCCGCTTTAAATTGTCGCTGCACCTTCGCCTCACCCTCTCCTCACCCTGAACCCTCGCCTGTCTGCCACGGCGTCCTGTAACGGAAACTACTGTGCGACATGACCTCCCAATGCATGTCCCAAGTGTAGGCGAGGGCAGGCTGTTTATGGTCTAGCATCTTCCACACGCGGACAGTCTAGCTGCACGCTACCCACAGCGATTGAAAGCAGAGCGCTGATGGCAGGAAGAGTGCTAATGTGCTTGCGTTGCCGTGGTCGAGGCCACACCGTCAATGATTGTTCCTTGCAGCAATAGCAGCCAGAATATGACTGGATGTATTCAAAGATGAGGATGGAACTGGATTTCGACAGCGCCTGGACAACCTCCGAGCAGACTTTGTGCAACAGGTGCGAGGAACTCGCAGTTTCGGACGTCCTTAATGCCTTTCCACCATGGCATTCTCAGCCCGAGCTGGAAAAGGCTGTATCGCGACGTGGTGAAAACATTAGATGCCTTGGCAAAGTAGCTGATGTTCAGTTCTGGAATGATCGCTATTTGTGCCGATGTATCTTCGCCATGACTCCCAAATCCAAGCTCGATGGAGCAAGACATCTTGCTGGTTCCTGACTGGACCCTGTGTCGTGTTGCTGGCGAGTTCGGAGTCGTGTTGGACACCGTCGAAAAGAGGCAATATGCTACTCGTCTCGTAGTAGCTCTACACCCAAGTCCATCATCGACCTCGTTTGCTATCAGCGCTCATCGGAGTGACGCACCTTGTCTCCTGGCTGATGATCTGCTGCCAGGCAGAACTCTCGGCGGAAAACGGCTGACTGGAGACAGTACTAACATTCAGATGATCAATGAATGCATAGATCGATGCACAACGCTCCATGGCGCAGACTGCGGTCCCGTCTTGAGCGAAGAACTTCGTCGAGCACGACTGTTCGACGTTGAGGAAAGGAGATCGTGGAATGCGCTGGAACCAGCCATGGGTACGTCGCTCTGCGCTACGTTTGGGGCAGGATACCAGCACAGTGTTACAGACCGGGAGACAGGGTTGGCAGATCGCCCGCGACGCTGGAAGACGCGGCATCCTTCACCAAGGCTCTTGGGCAGAAGTACCTCTGGACGGACTATCTTTGCATTGATCAACTGGACGACCTTGACAAAAAGGACCAGATTGGAAGGATGTGGAGTATTTATCGAGGGGCCTATCTCACTGTTTTTGCTATGTCAGGAGATTCTGCAGATGCTGGACTATGTGGCTTCAGTCGAACTGCATCTTTTCCCCAGCTAGCTTGTTGTGTGAAAGGAAGGAGGTTGGTCGGTACAATGCCCACCTTCTCTCTACAGTCTTGGGCAGCACCGTGGTCGGAACGAGCTTGGACTCTTCAGGAAGCCTACCTTTCACCCCGATGTCTGTTCCTCACCGACCACCAAATGTATTTCGACTGCTCGGCAATGTTGTGTAGCGAATCTTTGGACCATGCGAACTCCTGGGCACACAACTTGAGTCCAGCCTCGAATCCCACTGATAACCCCTCTTCTCTTGGATAACAGACCAGATCGGCGCTGGAGGATACGGAATGCCCCTTCGTGATCCACGACAGCGTCTGGAAACATGGGGGGTGAAGCTGAACATGTACAGCTATCGATCTCTGAGCAAAGACGAAGATGCACTGCGAGCCTTTGACGGTATAGAGCAGCATTTGCGATCAGTATATCCTCGAGGATTCTTCTACGGTCTGCCGCTGGAGGACTTCGATTGGGGCTTCGTTTGGTGGTCCCAGGAACCATTGACTCGACGCGAAGGATTTCCTTCTTGGACATGGGCCGGTTGGAAAGGGCTTTTATGGTTTAGCGGACCATCTGACGTTACGAAGACTCGCGAGTTCTCGGTGCCACTTAGCATCTATGGCCTCAGATCTGGTCGAGTGGACAGACTCTTCGAGGCAAAGGGCACGACCCCCCGACATCCCTCGTCGAACCACCTGTTAAATGCCGACCCTGTCCACCAAGTTGCGCAAAGTATCCATGAACAATCGAGCTGCGAACCATGCCTGGCAACATGCCGCGAAGGCGTGCTCGTGATCGATGCCGTATGTCTACAGTTCACGCCAGACTTCTCAAAACCCCGTCCGAGAGCTCGTGGCCGTGGGCAATTCGCGATCTTTGATACTGTCATCAAAGGTGCGGCGTGCATTATCATTATAACGAGTATTGATCACTTGATATCAAGTCCCGTCGAAAGGAACGAGACCTTTGTGGTCATTGCCCGTGGTTCACGCGGGGGATTGGTTAGCCACCATCTGCTATTGGTCCGCCATGACAATGAGGCAGATGCAGCGACCCGAGTAACCACAATTGCGTTGCTCGTCGATCCGGATCGGCTGGATGCTTTGCAGGCACTCAATCCCTACAGGCAACGCATTGTACTTGCATGAGACATGCACCAAGGATACTCCTTCGAGCGGTTAGGATCAAGAGCTGTGACCTCTCAGTACTGGGTGTTTTCTCCAGGTCGACCACGTTCCATTCTTGAGATACAGATACTGCTCATCATCGTTTTCTCGGCACAATAGGGCGCTAAAGCCCCGGCACTGTCACCCTGATCGACTTGGCGGGCTTGAGATGAGCCTTGCGCGAGCGTCAGTGCGAAACATCGATACCCCGTGGACTTTCTGGCCAGGGAGGGCGCTGTAAGGTAGGAAACCGCCCAGTATTTTTAGTCACAACTTGGCAGATTGATGATTGTTCGAAACTCATCTAGTCTATTCTACCAGGCAAGCTGCAATGGTGTCATAACAAGATACACACAGTCAAATCCCGCCCGAAGGCCACCCCGAATCTAAGGTAGACCCCGGAACCTCGTCCTCGTCCTACGAGATCTCCTTGACCTTACAACTCCACCCGCTTCCGGTTTCTAACAAGGGCAAACTCGCGCCCAGACACCAACCCAACTCATTCCCCTTGATCTTCTTCGCTATTCGCACCTCCCGATCAAGCGGCATGTCGTAGCCTGTGTGGAGGAGGGCGCTCATGAAGCTCAGGTCGAGACAACTCTCCGCCCTCCCCTCCAACTCCATAATCGCACCCTCGATACCTTCAAAGGCAGACCAACCCGCTTTCGGCCCGCCACAGACTTTGGCTGTGAGGTCGTGCAGTTCGCGCAGCGTGAATGATTCAGGCATGCCGAGTTCGGCGGTGCGGTCGTAGAAGTAGCTGAATATAAAGACATCTTCTCGAGCAAATGTTTGTGCCAAAGAGGGTTGATGAACGCCATTGAATGAGCATGGCGCTATCGCGCATGCGGCGTCTTTGTGCAGGATCTCCTCGGCCAAGGCGCGGCATTGTGCGGGGAGGGCGTCAGATGGTCCTGTGAAGGTGACCTTGTGTTCGCCCGCAAACGAGGCGTGCGTTGAGGGGAACTTGACTTTGATGGTCTTAGTCTCTCCCGGGGTGATGCAGGGATTGGAGATAGGAGAGTCGAGGGAAGTGACTTTTGCCTTATCGACGACGAGCGCGTGTAGGGCGTCGCGGGCGGACATGAGGCCGTAGCCTAAGTGAGAGTGTTGGTAGAGCTCGAAGTCGCGGCCGCCGAATGTGAGACGGTACTTATGGTCGCCGTCGGCCATTTGGGAGGTGGAGGGCATACCGCCGGCTTTTGCGTTGGGAAAGGTGGGCTGGAATACGATCTGTGTGCTGCCGCCGCCTAAGTCGAAAACGGCTGCGGTGGGCGTTTTGTCTGGCCCGCCGATTTTGCCGAGCAGGTAGTTTGTGGTGATCCAGGCGAAGACACCTTCGTCCTCACCTTTCATGATTTCGACGCCTCCCTTTGCGCGGGATACGACGGGGAAGGGGAATTGGGTCTCAAGGCGGGTGCGGACAGCGTCGAGGATATTGGTGCTCTCGATCTCGCCTAAAAGGCGGAGGCCCGCGGTGGCTTTGACGGCGATGGGGGTGCAGGATTTGTAGGAGTCCGGGACGGTTTCGAGGGCGATTTGGAGGAGGACGTCAAGGGATTTGGCTGCGCCGTCGGCGTCAGAGCCGTAGGAGGAGAGACCAGATCCGCCGGGCTTCTTCTCGGTCATTTTGAACTCTTCAGACTCGAGTTCGGGAGTGGCGCCGCAGTTGTTGAATTTGTAGACGTGGATTCTGCTGCCGGTGCTGCCGGCGTCGATCATGATGGCGTATTGCACCAGCGGTTTGCTGGGGTCGTGTGGTTTCGTACATTTCGTCGTCGGGCTGCTCTCCTTTGTGTATACATTGTTCCCGCCCGCATAGCCCACTGTTGATGGTGAAGATAAAAACCAGTATATGAGTACAATGAATGTAAATACGCCGCCAGCCTTGAGGTAGCGCGATTGCCTCGACTGGGTCATCCAGGCGGCCTTTATGTTGTCCAGCGTGCTCGATTGCACGCCGCCAGCGCTGTGCCGGTCGGATTTCTCGAATGGGTCCCAGGGAGTCGACGAGGATGAGGAGGGCCCTGTGTGTTTGGGAAGGGACGAACGTCGGCGGGTATGGGAGGCGCCGGGGACATAGGACCAGAGAGAGGCCGCGGCGTTGGACATGAGGTTCTCATTCAAGAGGGTCTCCTCCGTACACTTGTGTCACGCATTGCAAGGAGGCTCGAGCGTTGAAGGAATTGTGGAATTATATTCGAACAAACTTGAAGATTAGCCAATCGGAGTCCGCCCTGGAGATCTGCTCATTAAGGACGCGAGGACCACAGGCTCGGCTCTCTCAACTACCATGCCTCTCTGTGTCGCCTTGTTTTATGACTCTTTGCTTCACTGTGAGATCTGTGCTTCTAAGAGTACTGAACTATTGTACGCGAAACAAGTCCGAATTGGTGTTGCGCGCTCACTGTTCACGGTATTCGCATGCGCTGACTAGTTGAGGACCTCTACCACTGATTTACTCCTCCCGGTCGACCAACAAAAACATGCTCGGGTGCCTACTATCGAAGCCGACCTAACCACACGCTTTTGACGAATCGACTGGTCGGCGTCTCGGACTAGCAATTCTCTGCACCGCCACTAGCCATAATGACGACTTCGACTGCCTCGACAATTGTGTGTCCACAAGGACTCGGAGTCTTGCTCGCCTTCCACTTGGACCCCAGCCAGCTCGCAGCTGCTAAGGGACCCGTGATATCAGGACTTATCGCCTAGGATGCCTGTTGCGCTCACAGATCTAAGAGAAACGCTCGGCGCCGTATGCTGCACGGTAGTCGAAGAGAGCTTTGTTGGGCTTGCAGTGACGAATGTCATCAGCTCCATCGATCCCATCCGGACGCAGTGTGCCATTGATCACTGGTGGCCTTTCAATCGTAAAATCTGCCTGGCATAGGAACGTCTGTCGAGAATATGAGCAAATCTATGTATCATCACTCGAGGCCAACATACCATGCGCAGATAGTCCAAGCAATGAGGCCAGTGGCTATTGTCTCGCAGGTCTGTTCCGATGTCTTCTCCGTCTTGTGCCCTTTGCAACGATTTTCTCAGCCATGCAAGGCAGTGGAGCTGATGGAACCTGTAGAAGAGAGTGAGCACAGAACAATGACGTTACTGCGTGCTCAATGGGCCCAGCTTACATCGCAATTGCGCCAATCGAGGTATCGCCGTCAGCAGTATCGGGCAACTTTACGATGCTGCTATCTTCCGGCAACATATCGTCCCAGAGATGATCGTACTTCGCACTCAATGTCATGTAGCGCTGGTCGAAGCCGTAAGTGCTTATGGTCTCGTTTGAGTCGCTTGTGTCGCTATAACTATCGAGTCCAAAGTACTGCTCGCTGCTGCTGCGCTTAGTCGTGTTGAAATGCCACAGCGCTAATGTATTGACGAGTAATAAGACCAAGAGGCCAATTATGGCGAGGTCGTTGATGAGCCTGCGCGGGCCATATGCTTTGTGACTTGTTTCCCAAAGCCAGGCATGCTGTATGTCCCCGTGTCCGCCATTATTCTCGGCGTCGCTGTTGTCCACATCGGTCTGTTGAACCTTCTCGTACAACATTGTTACCTTGTCAATAATAGTCCAAATGATGGTTGTGTCTAGACATCACGAGCTGGTCTCTGGACACTTATGTTGACTGCTTTGCGTGATATACCATTGTCGTGGCGCAGAGGTTACTGAATCCGTCCTAGTCAGTAATCCGATCTGCGCTAGGTAGAAGTGGTCGCTAGATAACAGCAAGCGGTACCCTATGACGATCTTGCCCAGACTGCCGCAAAATCAGCATCCAGCATATGCTGCATTGCCGTAGCCCACGCCTGGGTGTTTCTAGCTCCAAGTGACTGAGAGCCATGTCACCGGAGATCGTATCGGCATGGCCGTAGCTCTGCATAGGAGGCAGCCATGTCACCGCAGATCCTACGGACATGGCCTCAGCTCCGGGTAGTTGCAGCATGCTAACGAGAATCATACCAGCCTTGCTTTGAGTCCGAGTGGCAATCAACGATGTTACAGAAGATCATATCAGCATGGCCTCAGCTCCGAGTAATTGCAGGCCGTGTCACCGAAGATCATATTGTTATGGCTTCAGCACCGTGATATCGAAAGCCGTGACAGTATACCAAAAATGCTACCTCAGACGGCTTCCGCTTCCCTAAACGGTACCTGGTGACTTTCGTGCCCGGCTGCAGAGAAAGCAGACCAGATTGACCAGGAAGTCTCGTCGAAAATGGTGAGCCTGATCTGAAATATATATTAGCATAGTCTTACCAGGACGTCCTCTTCCTTTTAATAAATTCTCGACAGCATCCGGATCTACGTCTTTGAGTGCCATTTGAGGGTAGTCGCGCTCATATCGTCCAGTATGCGTTTTAACGTATGGTCCTTATGCCTCTTGGTGGTACTTGTTGGAGTAGTGGAGGCGTATCCGGTAAATTTTGTACAGAAGGTGTGTATATATGAACTCTGCTGGTGTCTTCCGTCACTTATCTTCATGAAAGGTGTCATTGAAAAGACGCGAACCACAAAAAGCTGTCCGCAAGTTCGATACCGAGCTCGATGAACCGGACAGGCGTAAAGTCGTACGCTAGCTCGACTCGACTTCGATCGGCATCCCCGTTGATATCCTGGGAACTTTCAGCCTCGGCAGGGCTTTGTTGAGGTCAAGATAACACGCAAGGTCCGACGACGCATTGGCCCTGACAGTCACCAATCGAGCGTGTCTTGTTCCGGAAAGACTCATTGCTTCAGAACGGATGTAAAGATGGGAACGTGTACATAGTTGGTCAAAGTCACTATATCTAGGGAGCACGCCGAAGCACAGGATTCGAACAGCAATTGTCACCCACCGGATGTGCATGTTGAGCAGTAGAAATGAGGAAATCTACCACCAGAAGTCCAGCCTGATGACAGGGACAGTGATTCTTGTTCCTTGGTAGCGCAGACTGCCGTGCACCGCAAAGATATCTGTCTGTGTACTCCTTGCTCCTGCCCGTTGACGTGAGCAAACGCGAGTGATATGTCTTCGGCTTCCGGTATGGCCACAGGGTGCGGAGACGCAGCGAGGCGGCAGAATGGTATACTGGTCGGGAACCTGTCGTCGCGCTGCCTGAAGGTGTGTCGATGGAGTACGTCGCAGAGTTAGAGACCGAAGATAGGCGAGGCGGCGTGAGCGACAGTCGAGATGTCTGCAACAACTTGAAGGCAACTTTGAAAGAGAAGCGCCAACGTGACCAGCTTCCCAGCCAATCGGAGTGTGTTCTGGGGAACATTCGGTCGACCAAGTACCTATACCCATGCGCCCTCTCTCTCTGCGCATGATTACGACTTGCCGTCTGCCTCGGGGCTGTTAAGAACGAAGCCCCATGCAGGACTGCCAATAGTCCGGAGACTAGAGCTATGGCGCTTGCTGTACGACACTCACCACGCCTCCTCTCTCCCTCCGAGGCCGTGCTCTACGCTCTACTCCCAAGCGCAGCTCGTACACTCCCTTGCCGCCAGCATGCTCCCCGACTCACTACGCATACGCAACGGCGCAACAACAGAGCCGCTCGCGAGCTCCCACCAGACTTCAACATCAACAGACTCCTCTATCAAGAACGTACGAGCAATGGTCTTTCCCGCAAAGAAGCCGAGCTGCTCTCCGACACCGTGCTCGACGAGGCAATACCATTCCGCTGGGTCGTCGTGAAAGAACTGGTCCCAACCTCCGCGCCTACGACCACTACCTCCACCCTGTTTCCCAGCTCACTGGACGAACAAGAAGGAGCACCCTCCTCATCGGCAGCCAACGAAGATCAACAGCCCTCCAGCGCCCCTCTCGAAAGGCTCTCCGAACCCAAGCTCCTCACCGCCGTCCTCAGCTCCATCGACCGCCGCACCCACTGCGTCCGACTCCTCTCCGACTCCGGCCCTCAGCCCGACACTGCCATAGTACAAGTCGTCCCGCGAGCCGGGCTTCTTGCTTCACTTCAGGAAAAGGTCGATAAGCGCCTCGCTCAACAACAGCGACAGAAGCTCTCAAAACCCAAACAGATCGAGATGAACTGGGGCATCAGCGAGCATGACTTTGCACTGAAGCTGAAGAAGATGGAGGAGTTCCTTGTGCAGAAGGGCAGGAAGGTGGAAGTGCTGATGGCGCATAAGAAGCGGGCGAAGAAGGCGACGCTTGAGGAGGCGGAGAGGAAGGTTGAGAGTTTGAGACAGAGGATTGAGGAGTTGGGGCTGCTGGAGGGCAAGTTTGAGGGACGGGTGGGGGAGACGGCGAGTATGGTCATTGAACGGAGAGGTGGGCCGTGAGCAAGCAAAATCCTGGCGACTGTGATGCTTTGCAGTCGATGAACGCCACGGGCGTGGACGCCTTGCGCGCTACGAGGTATGAACTGGCAGATAATGCCCATAACTCACACCCTGCGACGCAGCCTCAACTTTGAACTGCACGCTCACCTCCCACCGCTGCCCACCACGCCCATATCCGCCAGACAGCCGATTCCGCACCAAACTAGCAATCCGCTCCCTCAACTTTAACAAACTCTCCTCCGTCCCAGTCACCCGCAGCCGCAGATTCGCCATCCCAACACCATAATGCGCCTGCCAGAATTTCGCCTGCTCGACCCCCCTCACCGCAGGGTCAGCCTCAATGCTCTTGATCACCTCCGCAACCCCCGTCCCCGGGTAGGACATGAGCAACATCGACCCAACATTCTTCCCCAAGTGGACGCCCAGCACCAGCATCGCGACCGCAATAGTCAGGCTAAGCAACTTGTCGATCCACTCATACACATGCAGCTCCAACAGCGGCAGCAACAACAAGATCGCACTACAGCTTATCGTAAGGAAATGGCTCGGGTTCCGTAGCGTCGGCGCCAGCCACTCTAGCTCATCCATCGCGGCAAACCGCATCGCCTTCCCAATTCTCGCATGGTTTTTCAGTCCAACCGCACTCACCAGCGTGCTGGCCAACACGATCGCAGCCGTGAAATCCACCGTCCCGCTCGCAATCTTCTCGTGTTTGTGCGGATGGTGTGGTTTATGGCTTCCAACCCCTTCGAGGGCGTGCTTCGCGTTATGGCTGATCAAGTCGAATCCGAAGAATATCAACAACACGGAAAGGGCGAAGCCGGCGATGACTTCCATCCGTTGCAAGCCGAAGGGATGGCGGATCGAGCTGCGGGACCAGACTTCGAAGTTTGCGTAGACTTCTACGCCGACTACCAGCAGCGCACCCAAAGAATCATAGAAGATCAGATGGGACAAAGCTTGCATGCCGGCGCTGCCGTGCGTGTTCCAGGCCGTGTAGCCGGCGACGAACATGTGGCAGAGGGACCAGTAGAAGCGGAGCTTTTGGTCGGAGGTTAGGCTGGCGCGGAGTTCGGTGAAGGTTGGGATTGGGAGGGAGTTTGGGAGGGAGAGCGGGGCGCGCGGTGGTGGTTCGAGGAAGATGGCGTGGGAGACGGAGGAGTGCTTGTATTTGTGGCCGCGGCGTTGGCCGATGTTCTGGAGCAGAGCAGTTAGTTGCTGCGCATGTTATGAGAGAGAGGGAGCGGAGGGTAGAGGCAGTACGGAGCAGAACATAGCCAGAACATAGTAGAGAGCAAGCCAAGCATGACAAGTCCTGTCTGTAGGTATATACGTACCGATTTCACACCTACGCTGACTCCCTCCTTCGCCAGCGTCGCAGGCTGGAAATTGAACGGCTGCGGATCTACAGCGCCTGTCGTATCTCGCTTCTCAGGCGACGCGGGTGTAAAGTACTGTGTGCGCGCGGAGTCCATCGCGTCGTGACCGTGAGGCGACAGGGATCTCGGGTCGAACGTGGGGACGTGGTGATGTTGACGGTGGTCGTGATCTATGGGACCAGGACCGTAGGAGGACTCATCGTTGAGGGGAGGAGGTGTGGGTGTGCGTGGTGGCTGCGGGACTATTGTGGGAATCGAGATGGTCATTGCTGCGAGGGTTGCCCACCGTGGAGCTTGGGTGACGGTGACGGGCGCGGACAGCAGCAGGAATGTGAGATCTACTTGTTGGTCGCGTTGGAGGAAAGGAGCGGGGCAACGGAGCACTCTGATTGGCTGCGGTGGTGGACAAGGCATCCTCATATGCCAATCGCTCGAGCCACCGCCGCCATCATATACCTTCCTCTCATATTGCTTCTGACATACGTGATGTGGAAACAGTGATGCCGCAAGGCGATGGACAAGAAGGACAAAGGGTGCTATTCTTCTTCCTAATCCTCTTCTTCATATACGCCCAGCCTGCCGCGCCGCCACCTCCAGTCCACGGCGAGACCAAGAAATACTGGGATGACGAGCGGCAGCGGGATTTCGATGTGCTTGCGAATACGACTTATGGAGATTTTCGACCTGGACACTTTCTCAATTTGACGGCGTTCCGCGAGGATGATGCGCATCAGTGGGAGGTGCTCCCGAAAGTGCAGGACTTGAGTCGGAAGCAAGTTGAGGAGAGTTGGCGGGGATTGGAGGATGTGGGCTCTTACAAGGACATCTCGGGCGATGTGCGCGGCAACTTCAAGCGATCGACCCTGTCGGTGACATCGTCCCCGCTGCTGAACCTGACGGCGTTGGATCCAAGGAAGGAGTACATCATCGACCACTTCCAACGGAACATCACAGAGCCCTCGGGCGAAATCACCCTATCATTCACCGACGACGAAGCACCCAAGTCATCATGGGACGCCCGTCCCCTATCCGCCGAGATCAGCATCTGGTCAGATTCCGCCCCCGGCACCGGCTGGCAGACTATGCTCCACGGAGTCCACTTCCCAACCGGCGCCGCCATCCTCACCACATCGAGCACAAAATTCGACGCGCTCCCAGCCCTGCCGCACTTCGCGCTAGATGTCTTCTCCTTCATCGCCGCGGTTCCGGTCATGAACGACACCGTCACTGAAGCGTGGAAGCGCCATCGCAGGCGACCGGAGACGTACGATGTCGGTGTCCCGCGCTGCGAGATGATTGTATGGCTGCAGCCCAAGCCTCTGGAGGGAAGCAGCACGTATCTCGAGATGATCGAGGACGAGCTTGCGCATCCGCAGGGCGCGCCGATCGGGACGCCACCGGCGCTGTCGTTCTCGATGGTGTTGTTCTCGCCCGATTGCGGGTATGTGCTAGAGGCGGACACGCTGACTGGTGCGAAGACGGAAGTCTTCACCCAGCTTACGAACCGCTTGCTGTCCGCGTTCGCGATACTGTTAGCGGTGCAGATTACGCTGATCAAGCGGCAGATGAAGAAGGCCTCTACGCCGTCTACACGAAGCAGGATCGCCTACCAGAGCATCGCTATCGCGGCATTGGGTGATGGACTGATCATGTTGGGCATGGTATTGCTGCTGTCGCTGAACGAGACCAGTTTCATGCTGATCGCGACTGTTATTTTCTTGGCGATTATCCACATGGCGGTGCTGGAGGTGAAATTTGTGTATGATCTGTGGACCGTGCAAGTGGGCGAGCCGCAGCATGCGGAGGCCGAAAGGGAGAGGAGGGAGGCGGTGCAGAGAAGGCAGGCTGCTTTGCAGGCTCAGCAGCAACAGCAGTCGACACAGGCGCAGGCTCCGGAAGCGTCGAAGCTCCAGATCCTCCTTCGACAGACATGCCAGGTGCGCCACCAGGCCCTCCAGGAGCCTTTCCCCAAGACAACGACACACGACTACCAGCTCCACCACCACTACCAACAGTATCAGCAGCCATCACGCCTGCTCCGGCACCAGCGCCTGTTCCAATTGACACTGGAGCTACACCGATACCTGTGTTCATGCCCTCCGACCAAGAAGACCTCGAGCCGTCGTCGACACTACCACCAGCCCCGTTCTACCCACCACCAACCCCGCCATAAACACCATAATCGAACGCCACCGCCTAGCTCTCCTCCAAGTTCCCACCCCTCCTCCAAGGGTCACCTTCGCCACAATCTACGCCCGCTTCTACTTCCTCCTCCTCCTCACCCTCCTCTTCTCCCTCATCGCGACTAGTTTCCCCCGACCCCTCCGCAGCGCGTACACCAACTTCCTCGCGTTTGCGTATTTCAGCCTGTGGATCCCGCAGATCTACCGTAACGTCCAGCGGAACTGCCGCAAAGCCCTATCCTGGGAGTACGTCCTAGGCGCGTCAGCATGCAGACTGGTAGGCGTGCTGTACTGGTGGGTCAGCGGGGAGAACCGCAACCTGCTGGGCGTGAAGAAGGGTACGACCGGCGCAGTCGTGCTGGGGGCCTGGATGGCGGTGCAGGTTTTGCTGTTGCTGGGGCAGGGCGTGTTTGGGGGAAGGTGTGTTGCGCCGAAGTGGCTGTTTCGGGAAGCGACCCCCAACGAAGTCGCAGACAAGACACCGAAGAACAAATTGGGGTGGTTTGTGCTGCCTAGAGCGTGGGAATATCATCCTGTTCTTATCGAGAGCCCACCAGACGCCGAACAACAAGACCTTGAAAGTGCGGGTGGCGAGGAATCGGCCCTGCTTGGTGGCGGGAAGAGTAGGATGTTGAACAACAGCGAGATGAGCGTGCATTTGCTTGCGAGCGCGGGCGAGGCTAAATTGGACGATGCTGGGCCATCGGACGTCACGAACACCGGCGATGCGAGCAGGAAGAGTAAGAGGACGTTCGACTGCGCGATCTGCATGAACGAGATCTCCATCCCGACTGTGGTCCGAGACTCTTCTACTACCTTATCCTCGCATACGCAGGATACGGAAAGTGGTCCGACAAAGGGCAACAACAAGGCGGCACCCGCGACCGCAACAAGTCGGTTCGGTCTGCCAAACCTGACCATGGGTCTGTCGCTCGAACGATCAGCCTACATGGTGACGCCTTGCCGACACGTCTTCCACACGGCCTGCCTGGAGGGGTGGATGGACATGCGGCTGGTGTGTCCGGTTTGTCGAGAGAGCTTACCTAGCCTTTGATGGATACATAGATCGCATTTTTGAGTTCGTCGGTACGGCGTGCAAAGCCGGGCTTTGTGTATGACATTGGGGACGGAACACGTGTTGCCTCCCATCGTCCGCGTACTTGTGTATATATAGATGCAGCGTGGAGTTGCTCGTTGTATAGTGGATAGAAGTTGAGGATGAGTGTAGTCCTGAGACTGGCTCGTCCCACCTGGCAGCTTTAAGTACTGCACAGGCATGACAGCGTGTTTCCTTGCTGTTTCGGCAGTTCAAACAGAGGAGGATGAAGTCGACTCGGAGGGCAATTGAATACTTATGGCTCATCAACAATGCCATGATCCGGGACGAACCGCAACGATCACTTCACTGATCGGTCAGAAGGCATTCACTGGTCTCTGCTGTTTCCGAACCAGTCGCTGCGTGGTTCATTGAATCGACTATGCCTTCGATACTCGAGCTTGAGTCGTCTACGACCGCAATAAAGGCGTCGTCTCATCTCTATCCCCTCTGCTGCCGGGCTCCCTTGCAATGCCATTTCCCTGCCTCCTGCTACTGTCCTCCTCCTCTTCCGCCAATGCTCGCTCCTTCCGCCGATGCACAATCTCAAACCAACTCCCCATCACAAGCACCACTCCCTGCAAACACCCCGTAACAAGATAAACCCCCCATGCACTCCACCCGCTCGGCCCCAACCGCGCCGCCAAACTCGCACTCCAAATGAAACTGCCCGGCGTCTGTATGCACATCATCGGAATACTCAAACTCCCGACTCTTTTCAGCTTGTAGGTCGTAAAGATCTGCGGGAAATATTGGATCGAGGCGAGGATGGTGGAGAGGATACCCAGGAAGTTGGCCCAGGCTTGTAGGTGGGATTGTGCGGATACTGTGAAGACGAGGGAAATGATGATGGTGGCGAGGGCGTGGACGATACAGATTGCTGCGACGATGAGGGCGGTGCGGAAGGTTGGTGCGGTCGGGTCTGTTTCGGGGTCGGATGTGGTTGAATTGCGGGGGAAGTAGAGGACGAAGAGGAAGAGGCTGTGACGGATCAGTACACAGATTAGATCAGTCGCAGATGCGTAGAGTAAGGGTAATAAGACAGGAGAGGACGGGCACTCACATCAAGCAAAAACAAGACCACTGCATGCCAACCTGCGAAATCCCCAACAGGCCCGCAAAGCACGGGAACGCAGCCACCTGTTCGCAACATGCCATATCGGCGCGTGACGCAGGTAAGACTAGGATGTTTGCGAACGCACAGGTGCCGGATGTTGTGCCTAGGAGGACAAAGTACGGCGAGATGCCGTAGGAGGACTGTCGTGAAATGATACGGACATGCTGCGGCAGGTACGAGATGAGGATGCCAATGAAGAGGAGGAGGCTGAAGACGAAGTTGGTGTAGTTGACTTCGGAGAGTTGAGCGCAGTGCTCGAGGAGGTCGTCGGCCATGGTGGGTGGCGGTCTCGACTATACAGAGTGGGAGGGAAGTCGCCTACGTGGAACGAGAGCAATAAGCCGTCACGGTGATGGCTGGTCGCGTTTTGGGCCAGGTCAGGCAACGAGGCAATCGCGACCCCAAGGATGACGTCAATGCCGCGGTTACTTTTTTTTATTCTACGCGTTCGGGTTTCGTGTTCTCGAGCGTCATGCCTCTCGTTCAATCTGACTTCGACAGATGTACATGCAGTCCTCCCTCCCGCCCTTTCTATCTACACTTTACTCTCTTTCAAGCCCGGGACAGGCGAAGTCAATGGAGTTCCTTCAGCAATCGAATGTACCTTGCCGTCCGCCATAGCCGTCATCTCTTCCAACTCTTTGTCGGTCGTGCCTGGCGTTGCAGGCTGCCCACTCTCACTCGTAAATCTCAGCTCCGTCTCATCTATGCCGTACTTTTGGTAGTCGAATTGCTCTAGCGATTCCAGCCTCTCCGCCCACCCATCGTCGATCTCGCCAACTTCACCTGGACTTCCCTTCAGTGGCTGGCCAGATGTAGAGTCCAGGTCATCGTCCTTGTGCTCGCCTGTCCTTCCTGCCAGTACTTCTCCGACTCTGTCCTTGTACACATCCAGCAAGCCCGGATGAGGTACCCAGACGACCCGCATACCAGCTCTCCTGCCTGCCTCCACACCCGGCACGCTGTCCTCGAACACCAGACATTCCTCTGGCTCCACGTGCCTCTCTCCCGAACCCTCAGCATCGATTCGCTCATTGATACACTGCAGAGCCAACAGGTAGATATCCGGCAACGGCTTGCCTCTCCCCTTTGGCACCCTCGGGTCATCACCCACTACCCGTAGCCTAGCGGGAAACACTCTGAACAAAGGCTTCATATGCGCAGTCTTGATATCATAATTCCTGCCATGACTACTCGTCGCCAGCGCCAAGCGCACCTTCTTGCCTCCTCCAGCCGGACTCCGCCCGAAACTAGGTATCTTTGTATGCGCCTTCTCTAACCTTGCAAGCAGCTCCGGCGCGCCAGGTAATGGTTTGCACTTTGTGAACGCCTCCGCCTGCAGCTCTTTCTGCCGCTGCATGAACTGCTCCTCGGAAATGGGCAGCTTCGCCCACGCGCGAAAGATCTTGCCTGCCGCGGGACCCGGCCGGCCTTGTAATTGTGCTTTGATGGTCCACGGTATGTTGGGGCGGCCATTTTCGTTCAGGATAGTGTTCGTAACGAGCGTGTAGGCGTCTTCGGAGTCGATTAGGAGGCCGTCCATGTCGAAGATGCAGGCGCGCACTGGTGGGAATCTGCGGTATATCATTAGTAGGGTGCTAGCCTGGTGGGGTAGAAGAGTGTAGCATACTCTACTTTCTTCGCCATATTTACGGCTCTGTAGTGGCTGAAAGAGAAGGAAACGTATGCACGATGCACAAGAGGCCGTAACGAACGTACAGAATGAAGGAAAACCTGAGCTAGAACCCGAGAAAAGGTGTGGGTAGACAAGAGAGGAAAGAGGTCGAGTGTGCGGAGTCAGATGGACGAAATCTTGATCAGCACTTCAAGTTTCCCGATCCACGTCTCCATAGTTGCCTTGTTCTTGATCAGGCAAATATATTCATCAACTTACTTACAAAACGCTACTACCTTCCCACCATCAACCAACCACCACATCCGAACATCATGTCATTCAAAGCCACAGGCCCAAAAACACGTCCAGACCGTGTGAAACCAATCCCACCCATTCCATCACCACTGCCATCCGGATGGACCGCCAGCACCAACTACAACACTACCTCCCACCGACACCGAAGCACATCGAACGCATCCACAGACTCAACGACCTCATTCCACTCAGCAACCTCACAACACGACAACTTCCACGACCCTGCAGAAGCCGACCCAGCGCGTTTCTCTCCGGAGGAAGAAGCCACCATGATTGAAGCATCTAACACCATCAAGCGTCCGCCAACGCTGAATTCGCCAAGGCAGACTATTCATCCGCCATCTCCACATACGACAAGGCGCTTGCTGAACTACCCACGTATCTCGACTACGAGCTCGCTGTGCTACAGAGCAACATCGCGGCATGTCATCTGAAGCTGGAGCAGTGGAAGGAAGCGCTCGATGCATGTGAGGCAGGCTTGAACGGTCTGGAACGCGAATTGCCAACAAAGAAGCTTTCTGCGACCAAGAATAAAGAAGGCAAGAACGGTCCGCAGCCCAATGGAGCGAAGTCCAGCTCAGACCTTTCCGGAACAGACGACGCTGAATTCAACGGGACCCCCCAAGTGGTAGAGCTGCCAGACGACGCCACCGAAGCAGAACTCTCCCACCAACTCCAACAACTCAACATCACCGACTGCCCGCCGCCAGTCCATAACCCGCATCCGCATAAAACTCCTCCTCCGCCGCGCCCGCGCCCGCTCCTCCCTGACCCCACAATCCTGGTCCCACCTCGCCGGCGCCCTCGAAGACTACAAAACCCTAGCCACAGAACCCTCATACCTCTCCCAACTGCCTCCCTCAGACTTGGCAACTGTGCGGAAAGCACTCGTTGAGCTGCCGCCGAAGGTGAACGAGGCGAAGGATAGGGAAGTCGGGGAGATGATGGGAAAATTGAAGGAATTGGGCAACGGGATCTTGAAGCCGTTTGGGCTGAGCACGGATATGTTCAAGATGACGCAGGATCCCGCCAGTGGGGGATGGAGTATGAACTTCGACCAGGGCGGCGGCGCCGCTACTCAGAGGAAATAGTCGTTACGAATCGAGCATGATCGTCTTCCAAGCGACGTTCGTTGTTCCTACTCCAGTTCCTTCGAGTCTTTTCTTTTCCTTGCCACTTAATCGGCCAAATATTCTAAACTGTGATTCAAGCATGCCGCCATCCATTCTCAATCAACAAGTGCATCTCATCGATCAAGCACATCTCTCCGTTCTTTCCCAACTCCCTCGCCTTCTCTGCTCGCTCCGCCATCGTCCCCTCCTCACCCAACCACTTCCTCGCCGTCTCCACCACTTTCGCCTGCTGTGCCGCAGCAGACGATGTCCTCAGCCGGTTCAGTCGATGCAGCCACGTCGCAAGGACGTACTGCACCCCACTCAGAAACCCCTGACTCTCAGGCCCGGCTAGGCTTACACGCACTCCATTATGCTTCGTTCTGGTGATCATGCCGCCGCCGAAATGCACCAAGTTGTACGCTTTCGTACTGTAAGCCACACGCACAGCCGGATTGACGTACAGGGGCAAATGATTCGGGTTGATGGTGGCGTGGTCGACGTGGATGAGGCAGCATTCGGAGGCTTCGAGATGGTGGGCTGCCAGTCCATCAGAGATCCCCCGAAACGGCAGGCCCAGAGCCGTGTCGTCGATAGGTCTGGGCAGCGTGGTGGTGGTCTGTAGCGAAGGTAGAACGGCGCAGAGTCCATAAACAGCATCCCGTTCCAGCAGGACGTCACTCGAGCAGGCTTCCCGGCCCAAATGGCGTCGAGCGAGTCGGAAGGGCGAAAGTATGGGAACTGTAGCGATAGATGCGGTTGGTGTTTAGTGTCACGAAGGACAAACGTGTCGTAGTACGGCGCGAGCCCGAAGCGGGACTCGGAGTGGAAGTCCAGGGCGCAGGCTGTGCTGTACGAACCCTGATTGGTGGCCAGCAGGGTCAACACGTCGGAGGGAGTAAAGACGACGTCGTTCACAAATAGGATCTTGTCGTAGGTCCGACCCAGTGCTCGCTCACGGAGAAGTGGCTGGAGGGAGATGTTTCGCAATTTGGCCAGAAAGGGAATGCGGCGCAACTGCTTCTTTTCAGTTTCGGAGGGGGGCAATACCCATCCTGGTCGTGGGTTGCCGTTCCCATCGTAGGGGCCGACATTCATCTCGTCCTCGTGGGTCGTATTCTCCATTCGTATTTCCTTGCGGAGGGTGGGGAACCGTTGTTCGAGCTGCCGTTCTAGGAATTCGAGCATCTCCTTCGTGTTGTCCAAGCTACCGGACTCGTAGATGCTCAGGAACACATTCTCTGGGCCGAGAGCTTCGACCATGTCTATAATGGCATCGCCCCATCGGTAGTAGACGACCTCGGCATTGGTCCATACTTGAGTGCATATGAATATTTTCTGATCCCGGACGGGGCTCGGAAGGGTTGTTCTATCGGTATGGATATGCGCTGAGAGGTTCTGCTGGAAGACGCGGTAGTGTTTGAGTATTGTGAGTATGTCGATGAAGAGGAGAGCGGCCAGAACATAGAGGCCGTATCGAAGGGTGCGGTTCTGCCGCGAATGCCGGAATCGGCGTCGTGTGAGCATCACTAACGGCTTCGCAGCGCTCTGCAGCTGCCATCATCGCGATCGACGTCGTTGCATGGCGGGACGACGACATTGTGAGCAACAATGCGGGTTGCCGCGTAGTGAAGTGAAACTCGAGCCTAGTGCTGTGGTGGATCTTCACTTGCGCGTCGGTCCTTCTGCCAAGCCGCGAAGGAATGGAAGGGCCTCAGGTACCATTGTACCCAAAGCTTCCCTCGTGAACAGCTGAGACTCAGCATGATAATGGTGGGAGAACCTTTCTCAACTCGTGAAAAGAGTATAACACTGTGACAGACGACATCGTTAGCGTGAGACAACATTGCTGCAGCCGCGATTTCTTTGACTGTATATATATTCAACGACTATATGCACGACCAGTCTGTACAAATGACCCTTTCAGATCAGATTGTTATACATCTAAGACACTTGGGATCCCTCTGCCACCATACCTTCCGTCTGTAGCACATTGTTCTCGCGCAATCTCGCCCGAAGACACCGCCTCAAGCATAAGCAGCCCACCCCGAGAACAACAGCGCCAAATTCTTCTCATCAGTCGCCTGCCGAATCAATTCATTCACCATAGCCTCGACACTCAGACCCCGTCCCAACTTCTTCGCCACCACCGCAAGCGCTCTCGCCGCCTCGCCACTCTCATTCACCTCCCCAATTCGCTTAATCGGCGCTGGCTGCGCGAATGCTGCTGCTGCCGCGGACCTCGTGCCGTTGGCCGCGCTACCGGTAGTCATGACACTATCTTGATGTCCACCAGCAGCATGTGAAGTTTCGAGGAGAGCTGCTCGTTGAGCATTCTCCTGCATTTTCGCGAGGCGCAGAGGTGAGACCGACCATGAGTATAGTGGGTCGTAGCGGAGGACGTCGAGGATCGTCATGATCGACTCCTGCTCTAAGCGTAGCGCCTCCAACGTGAAGTTACAGCAGCGGCGATACACGCCCTCGAGACCCGAGATGCCCATGCCATCGACCATGTCCCGCGTCAAACGGAAGGGTACTGTTTCCGGGATCGGCAAGATCCGACCTTGTTCGAAAGCAATGCCCAGATCGATATGCACAACCTCACCACTCATAGTGTCTAAGAGTATGTTTTGCGTGTGTCGATCCCCGATACCCAGGACATGTCCGAGCATAGACGTTGCGGCCATGGACCGGCTATAGTTGAGGCGTCTGTAGAACCAGTCATCTGGACCGGGAAAGTTCTCCATGAAGAAGAAGCGCATCACAGGGTGGAATTTCTGGATGGCCATGCGGTATGCTTCAACGCGTTCTTTAGGAGACTTGTCTCGTGCGTTGTCAATGTACGAGCGGCACCGGCCGGAGCTATGGTCACCGGGGAAGTAACGCTTGTGGGCCGGGAAGAGGTAGTCTTGGAGAGACATGGTATTCTGGACGAATTCGATGATGCCGGCGTTGGAAAGCAGAGGGACGACTCTGTATGTTCGGATGCCTAGCTTGCGCTTCCGTGTGGCAGGATGCTCACCGAGGAGATTCGAGACTTGTTCGAAGACTTGCTCCATGATGCTGTCTTGTCGAAGGTCGTCGTTGCCGCCTTTCATCAACATCTTGTGGCGTGTGCCGTCTGAGATGAGTGCTGTGGCTATTTTGGGGGCGGAAATTCCTCCAGCCACGGTGATGGTTGACTCTAGCTTCACCATTGTAGACACTGACGAGTAGTCTTTGTCTCGTCTTATAGAGACACGCATGGTTGGAGCTGGTGTCCTGATCCTTGCATTTGCGACATCGGCGATCAACTTCTCACCTCCTCTGACTTCCCGCAGGGATAATTTGGAGTTCTGACGGACCACTTTCTCGTCCAGTCTTGCCTGTGCAACGCCAACGAACGCAACATTCGTGTTATGAATGACGGCCCACGTATCTCTCACAGGACTCTTATGCTGCACAATCTTCGCAAGCTTGTTGACCGCATCGTATCGGGATTTGCCTGCTTCATCTCCTCTCGCGCTTCTAGTCTTGCTTGCAGCGAACAGCTGGTACAGACTATGGTAGGGATGATCTGAGCAGATGCGGAACGTCAAATCAACGAGACATTGCTGGAAGGCATCCTCTGTGTCCTGCAGGCGGGAGAGCAGTTGACTCATGAGTCCCGCGAACTTCCACGACGGTACGGACCTAATGTGATTGTAGACGACCTCCGTAGCTCCAGGATTGTCGGCTTCCTCAAGCCAAATTGTCAGCACTCGGAGTGTGTCATTCTGGTAAGTGTCACAGACTCGCATCGATTGAAGGTAATTCTCCAGACATTGGGCCACAAGATTCTCGCGGCTTTGGCGAACCCGCTCCCACTCGATATTGTCCAACTCGTACCACCTTCTTGCACTTTTGAGTGCCGATTTGTATTGGGCTTGTTTGCTCGGATCCACCGCCTGTAATCTCTCGAGCTCGGATACCTCCGAAGCTTTGGCATCCCTGATCTCAGTCAGGCGAATATACTCATCGCGGTTCTCCTGGTCCTGCAACTGACCGTCGCAGAAAGCAGCGAAGACGTGATACGTGTGGCCAGCTTTTGCGTTGTTCGAATCAGATTTGAGTTCGTCTGAAGCGGGGACCAGATAGTTCTGAATGACATCGCGAGCCGGTTCTAAACGTGCTTGCGAAACTTGTTGTCCCAATTCCGCCAATAGCTCTGAGCGCGCCACAGGAATGTCTTGAGTCGACAGATCCTTCCGCACTTGCAGATCCTGCAGAATCTTGACCGCCGCAGCACGTTCATCTTGTCGCCAGAGCGTCTGTGCCATATCAAACTGTGAGGAAACACGGATACTGACACCAAGTCGCTCACCAGCTAAGCTCAACTTTGAGAAGTATGTTGCACGCGCGAGACTGAACTGATGACTATCATGTTGCCGAGCAAGCAGAAGTGACTGCCTGACCACTTTGGCCTCGCCAAGCAATGCCTGAGGAGCAGTCAGATTGACTGCTGCTCGTAGCTGTGGACTTCGAGACACGCAGCCAAGGATGTACTCTCGAGCATTTAGAAACTGAGAGACTGTCTCAAAGTTCCCTTTCGTGCCCCAAACCTCGACTTGGGAGAAGCCGTCAAGGATGTCATTGTGTGCAGCCTGACCGGACGCGTGCAAGACATCTTTAGCTTCAGTCAGCACTGCAAGCCCGGCCAATCTTGCTTCGTAGTCTTGCCGGATGTCCTCTTGGACCGACCATCGAGCTGCAATCTTGCCAAGACCTTCGTCCAACGTGGAGAGGAGAGAGTGCTTATCTGCAGCACTGGACAGAACCTGGAGATGCCGAACAGCGACCTTAGTGACGGCTCCCGTATCTTCCGGTCCGATGTCCCAATCGAGCATACTCCTAGAGAGGTCATCTCTTGTCTGGCCGCGCGCGAGGGAGTTGTCATTGCTCACGCTCCTGATCGACTGAGAAATCCCCTTCATGTTGGCTGTGCTCAAAGCTTTTGCTGCTGCGAGCGTTGCGGAGGCAAAATGCTCTTCATCGGCACCAGACCGAGCGTATGAATCATACAGAGCAGACTGGAAAGAGAGCAACTTGTCGCCGGAAGACTCGTGTCCCAGTCTCCTGACGACAGAGTCAACATCCACGTCCTGATGACCAGCGTAGAAGTAATCCGGATCATCAACGTGCTGATATATTTTGGCGATGACCTCTGTCTCTAGAGCCGGCGGTAACGTGGATCTCCTTGATGTGCGAGTAGTTGTTAGATGTGCGTGAGCCTGCTGCCACTCGATGAGTAGCAACGCAGTATGCCACCACTGGCAATGTACCGCCGTCCGGGACGCTGCCGCCCAGTCTATGTCTAGCCACGTTGAGCGTTGGGTGATCGTCTTCTCGTTTGGCATGGCACAACGGCGCAGGTAGACCACAATCTTCAGCGCGTATCGTGCGCTCTCCGACGCGGCATCGCTGCATTTGTCGAAGACCTCCGCAAATATGGAAGACAATGCTTGCCGTGTTGCCTGCTTCTTATCGAGCTCAGTCGTGAGGATCAGATGAACCGCGTAAGGCAACATCTCTTTTGCAACGTGTGGCTCGTAGAATGCAAATTGCTGCACAACTTGTAGTACGGGATTATCCAGAGCCTGAGCACAAATCGCTATAAGCAAATCTGTTGCCCAGTCCTCGTGCGACTGGCTGCTCCAATCTTTCAACGATGGCAGCTGTTCATGTCCCAGCAGAGGTTCCCGCATTGGTGGACAAGACAAACCGACGAAACGCAGCTCGTCTAGCAAAGTGGCGCTTCGACTTGAGCCAATAATGGCTGCTGCTTGAGCCTGGTCGAGCTGGCTCGCGATAGCCTGGAGACATTGTTCAGCAGATGCTGCGGCTTTCGAGTCCTGCTTCCACAAAAGTCGTTCCCAGAATTCTACGATGCTTCGATAGGACGCCACATCGTCCAGCGCCTCTGTAGCCTTGCCTGACAGGCCCGAAGAATCGATGCTGCCAGGCCTTGTGAATGGTCCTTGCCACGAGACTCCTCTACCGATCGACTGTGCAGCCCACGTTCGGAGCTTTTCGTTGATACCAGCTATCCGTAGTATGCGCTCAAGTACTGGTCGTAGACGCGCAGCATCAGCACCAGAAGACAAGATATCGTCTGAGGGATCCACCGCAGGTTCGAAGTTCTTGGACAGAATCTCGATTGACAAATCAAAGTCGAGTGCTTGGAAGAGAGGATCCTCAGATGCCTGGTCGTTCAAGAGTCCTAAGAGAACGGAACCGTGATGCGAACTCAACGAGTTGGATCCACTGCCGGTCATGGCAGCAGCGTGTACGATTATACCCTTGCATAAATCGAACTTGGCAACATCCCGTGGTGGAGGGGATATCTTATCGAGGTAGCGATTCAGCCAACGCCGGAAGTCTTGAGCTTTTGACATCGTGGAAAGGAAATGGCTTTCCTGTGTTGTGCTGTCTTGTGAGCTTGCGATAAACGTCGTCAACGCAGCAAATATCGAGATGCTCAGACCCGCGAGAAAGGACAATCGATGTTGCAGATGAGTCTGACCATGCTCTAGCAAATACCGATAGATCACGATCGCGTCCCCAGAGCTTTGGAATACTGTCAGGTAGGGTCGAAGGTTGTGGAGCAATAGCTCCAATGGGTAGCCGCTGACCGCATGGGCACCGCCGAGTGCGATGACGATTCGGATCCTGCGAAGGATTCCAACAGCATGCAAAGGGCCCATGGCAGGGTGCGCAAGACGAAGCATATGTCGGTACAGGCGAACTAATATTGCCGGACTCCAGATGTCAGAGTCCGCGATGTCGAGACGGGTCCGCAGCCAATCAACCTCGTCGAGCAGGTATCTGGACCTGAAAGAGGGCTGCTGAGCCGTGATCTGGGTTGTGTGCGTTGACGTGGTATCTGACATTGCTCGGAAGGCTCGTTTGGCGTCCTCGAGCCCGGGTTGGCTGAATGCTTTCTCGATGCCCGTGTCGTCCTTGAGTGTCTCAATTAATGTCGCGACAATGTCGGCGAAGCTCTCGTGGAAGCAGAGTCCGGATTCGACACTGCCCAATACCTCGCGGATGGCGGCTTCCGGCTTTTCTGATACTCGTTCCCTCGGAGGCACAGTGATCTGTGATGCAAGACAATATGCTTCGGCTTTTGCAAAGTTGCGCCGCAGAAGAACCTTCCAAGGTGTCTTGAGGACGTTGGCAATATCAGTAGTATGCTCCTGCGAAGCTCTCAGAGCGATTTGAGCGACAATCTCTGCTTCGTTTGAGACCAGCAGATCCGTCAATGTGTTGTAAGAGAACACTCTGTGGGGAATCTGTCCCAAAGATCCTATGCCGAGCCAGGTATAGAATATCTGGGACGCAAACAGGTCGAAAAGCTGTCTCGGAGACTTCAGTGACAGCGATTGGCACATTCGGGTGACAGCCGCGATCTGTAGATCGACGATGGACGTTACGTGGGCGGCAGTCTCGAATAGACTATATATTGCCTGCTTCAAGACAGAATGCCATGTCGCTCCAAGCTGAGACAGTACAAAGAAACGTGTACCTAAGCCGTCCAGATCGTCTGGGTCACTGGGTAGTGATTCCACCACATCGTCGAATATCGCTCCATGTTCACTCAGCACATAGTTGCCAAAGACCCGATTCAGATTCGATGTGATCTGCAATCTTGTCAAGCACGATGCATCTTTGAAAATCAGGAACAGGTTTGTCCTGGTTGATGGCAGTGCACCCTCGCCATAGGAAGGGCTTAGACTGGCAACAGCATCAAGCAGATGAGCAAGATGCAGTAGCGTTGTCGAAGAAGCCACGCCTTTGCGGAGTCCGGTCTCGACAAACCATTCGTACATTTCGTATGCGCGATCCCCAAGCTCATCATCTTGGTCTGACACCCAGTACTGCGCAAGATAGGTCATGGCCTTCGCACACAAACTCAAAGCTGCCTCGCACCGCTCGAACTCGCTGTCTGCTAGGCAGGCGTTGCCCAGAAACTGCAACAGCCGCAATACCTGGTTCCGCGAGAAAGATGGCCGCGTATCTAGAAAGCGATACACTGCATGTCGAGCTGAGATGAGTTCGGCACTATCGAGCCTGAGTATGTGGTTAAGGAGCACCTCCGTTGCTTGGGTCTCGAGATGACCCTCTGATCTCCCTTGCTCGATCAGCAGTGCTATGTTCAACACACTGCTTGCAAGGGTCTCCACAAATGTTGCATGCTTCGTAGCCTCGTATCGGAGAACGCGAGTGAGTACAGAGTCTCGCTTGTTATGAGCATTTTGCGATCTGCCAGTGTGGAATGAGTCCATCTGGTCGTCATCGTCTTCATCGTCGTCCTCGGCATCCGATATCTTCTTCAAAGTGTCCAATGTGCTTTGACTACATGGCAACATCTGCCTAGCCACGAAAAAGTCATCACTGACCGTGGCGTCTCCTAAGCGGGAAACGGTGGCAGCCAGTACAGACGCTCTTTGTCGCCTGTCTGGATGTCGTTCCGAGATGAAGACCTGCAAGCTCTGCCACAAGTCTTCAACAAGTCCTTGTGTCGGAGAAGATGCAGGAATGTCCTGAGTCGTTCGACCCGTGCTCACCCGAGTGACGACGCAGAGACAGGCTGTGACCCCAAGCATGTCGTTACTGATCCCGCCAAGTTTGCCGGCCACATTGTGTGTATTCCAGGAGTCTGTGAAGTCGTGAAGCCTATTTTGAAGCATTTCAGAGACGGCAAACTCGATCCGGCTGCGTGTCCGCGCGTTCAGGTGGATAGCATGAGCCGTGACAGACCACCGCTGGTCTGTCGATAGTTGGAGGTCGGCTGCGCCCATAAGAGTTGCCAGCTTTTGTGCACTGTGGGCACGTTCTTCCAACTGATACAATGGCGCGATATTGGGACTATTCAGCAAGTATTGCAGACAAAGCTCAATCCCTTTCAGCGATGCAAGGAGGATACACAGTAGCTCAGGTCGAGCGTGAGTGGCCATGTGCGCGTTGTGCGAGCGATCAGCACTCGCGGGAAGCGTCCACGATGTACCGAGCCAGCCAATCACCCGGACAGAAAAGTTTTCGAAAGCGTCGTCGTGAAGGAAAATGCCGGACTGCAATGCAGCGATGAACATCCAGATCGCCGCATCTGTCAACTTCGCTGGCCCAATCTTGCCGGTTGCAAACAACGATCCTTGTAACATAGCCCCAGTACACATGATGGAAAGGTGTGGGCTCGCGATCACTGACGCCACGACAAGACAACCAGCACGAGCTGTCGAAGTAGTCGCTGTTGCTCGAAGGGCAGCATCCAGAACGCGCATCCATAGAGAGCGAAAGGTGTCCTCGGACGCCAAAGCGGAGCCGGCGAGCCTTGAGAAGATGAGAAGTACCCATGTTGTAGAAGATGGGTCTTCTTTTGCAAGGATCTTGAACAATGCTTCAAGGCTATCTGCGAAGAAGCCGCATAATAGAGTATCCTCTGCCTGGCCAGCGAGCGCAAACAGTACCTGTAGAGCTGCAACTTGACGCACGCCGGAAGAAAGAGTGGCGTGCTGCATAAGCTCTTCAAGCGGTGTAGAGGTCTTGCGGCGTTTGGACACATGTTCATCGATGTCTGGCCCTGGTGGTGCTTCGTTGGGCACGCTGTCTAACAGAAGGCTCCGATGCAATGCTGTAAGTGTGCTGACAAGCATCCACTGGGCCACAGCATTAGCCGAGATTACCTGTGGGATGAATTCGACTTGTATACTGTCTCCTTGGCCTGTGAACTGTAGTGTAATGTCATCCGGAACGAGGACATCTCTTTCAGTTCTACTCTGGTACTCGTGATACAGTGTCTGCATGAGCTGGAGTCTCAAGCTGGCGTCCAAAGCAATAGGGGACGTTGGTTTGGCAGCAATAATACTCTGGCACAAACAGAACGTGACAAGAAGAGGCTCGCGGACCCCAGGAAGCTTACCAGACCAAAGTCGCCTCGCAATAGGAATGATGAGTGCAAAGTTGTCTCGTAGCAGGCGCACGTTGTGCCGAGTAGAACAAGCGCTACGTTGTTGAATGTCTCGATGGCGGAGGCATGCGATTTTGTTGCCGAGTTTAGACAATCTAAGATGCCTTCCATAATCGCCGAGGCTCTGCTAGGTATTGGTGCATTTTGTACTGCCGTCAGAGATTTCATAGCGGCGAGAAGATCGTCAAGAGTAACGTGCGATGATGCAGAGCCTTTCTTGCTAGACTGACTGACCCGAATCGACAAGGGATTTGTGTTTCGCGACGACGCCAGGTCCTTGTTCGATGCAAAAGACGAGGAAGAGTTCTCGTCCACAACTGAGATCGACATCACAGCCAACATAAAGTCGACATACGTCCGCCATTGCTTGACCTTGAGGTGCTCGGCGAGCGGAGCGTACTCAAATAACGTACGTAGAATCTTGATGTAGTCACCTCGCAGTGGTTCACAGAGCTCATCTTCTGAGACGGGAAGGATTTCGACAACGTGGTCCAAGACTGAGATGGCTGTTCTGAATTTGATTCGTGTGTAGCCAACGTCGACAATTAGTTTGAGGGCTGCCGAAAGGCCTCCAAGCCTGTTGGCGGAAGTGGACGCTGAAACCGATCCTGATCGTACATATTTGAGGTAGTTGGACTTCTCCTTGGTCACGGCCTGGTAGATGCCTTCAAGTGCTCGATGGTATATGTCGTCGCGCAGGGTATCAGCAGATCCAGACAAGAAGATCTTCCGAATCTCGTCGAGGCCATGTTCTCTCGCAGCGATTGTTTTGCCGGTCGTGATTCTTTCTAGCACATTTGATCAGTCGTGCTTGACTATGACACAGTGGCATGGTCGAGAGACAGTTTCCAGGCTGGTGAGCTGCATTACGACTTACCAACAGCCGCGAGAACGGCATCGGCCGCCATCTGGCCCGATGATGTTGCTCGACACTCTGAGCCCAGGAAGTCTTCGCTCCATGCTTCGGATCGACGATGATTTGCTGAGCCGAGACAGCCTGTTGTGGTGACAAAGAGGCAGAGTGATGGGCTGCCACTTGTAGTCTTGATCTTTCAGTGTGGGCTTCACGCGGCAAGCGCTACCTACTTATGCATCGTACTTACAAGTGTCAAGTGGAAGGAAGTCTGCCTTAATCGGGCAGCCACTACGCCAAGCTTTTAGACTTCACGCGACTGCAGATTGAAACGCGGAGATTTTATTTTCCACGCGACTGAACATCCCACCTGCCACGAGCTGCGATAACAAGCGCGTCGGTGGCGACCATGGAATCTCTGGAGCGACTCCAGGGACTACATGCCGACCTTGTCGCGGTCAGCGAGAAGAGACTCGAGACCGTGGACCGCCTACTCGCCGAGCTCCAAGCAACCCTGGACGATTTTCGAAGACTGTTGGACAAACCTACACCAATACAGCAAGAGAAGGAGGCATATAATAAGGGACAGGTGCTCCTGCCATCAGAGGATGGTGCTGCGCAGACATACGAAGTCAACGAGGAGTTCAAGCACATCAGCACTGCTTTGAGCACCGCTGTTGATATTGATGAGGTCGAAGCCGCCAGACTTCTGGTCAGAGACTATGGCGAGACTGTTGCGCCCAGCCTGGCCTTCGTCGCGAAAGCCGTCGCCGACTACCAAGATCGCCGTGATCTGCTTCTGCAGTCCCTTCGACTCGTCTTTGAAAACGCCGAAGACGTGGATCTAGAAGAGCAAGTACGACTCAACGTCTTCCAGCATACAGTCAGAGAGACACTACAAGTTCAGCATGGTCCAAATAATGCGTCGCAGTTCGTCACAAAATGCATAAGGACGTTGGAGGTCCTTGAACAGAGATATATCGCAGTCAATGAACAATTGCAGAACAGTGCGACCGTTGGTCAATTGGCCGGGCCTGAGTACGATGCAATTCTCGAATTTCAGAAGGGCAGTCTCTTCAAACAACACGAAGCCTTGTCCTGCATATTGGCATACATATTCCGCGCTGGCTACTCTGGTCCCGAGGACCTCCATAAGCTCTCAAGACTTATCGAGAGATGGCTTGGGGCTAATGGAAAGGCAGACATACTGCTCGTTCACTATCTCCCGGCGTTCTCGGCAGCATTCAGACAAAACGGGTCTGCGGAGTCGGCAGCGCCCTTTGACCCGGCGAAAGTCTTTGACGGCATATTCGGCGTGGTCCCGAAGTCAGATCGCCCTCCCACTCAACTGGATCCTTTCTTGGCGGTGTTAAGAATCTGGTGGACGGTCGAGTACAGCAGCATGTTTGTTGGTCACTCGGCAGAGAACGAAGCGGAAACGAAAGTATGCACTAACCAGGTTAAACATGGGTTGAAGGAACACGGTCTCCAGTTTCTCCTCGCTGTCTCCTCCAGCATGACCATCACCGAATGGCGGCATCCTGCCCGCCAAACAATGGTTACGTTCTTGATGCGCGACGCACCTGACTTCTCCATAGACGGCGAGCAGACGTCTGAGTATTTCCGAATCATGCTGATGCAGGCTATCGAGCATTCGTGGAAGCATTTATTTCCAACATGCCGGACAGCATTCGCCAGCTGAAGCACGAAGAAGACGATTTGCGACTCGAGCAGATCGCAGCCGTTCAGGCCGGTGGTCAACCCGATCCAAAATTCGATCGGAACGTGCCGATGCACTTAGAGGCATTCCTGGTCTTGATATCATTTGCATTCGAGGGCCGCGTCGATGCCTGCGAGCAATGGTGGGAGGACACGGAAACAAATCTGTACGGATTCCTACAATGGGCATCCAAGCGACAAACGGTGCCGCGGATCAGCGCCTTCTGTGACATGCTTTGCTCGATTGCCGAAGGCTCAGATGGCGCCTCCTCTGCACATGCCTTTCTCTTGGAGGACTCTGTCCCGTCGTCATTGTCCCGATCACGGCAGGTTCCATCCATGAACTATGCTCAGATTCTCGCCGAGCTAGATTTGTACGCCCACAAGGTCCATGAACGCCAGGCCACCTCCACGCTCGGCAATCGCAAGATTCTGGAAACGGATATGAACGAATCAGAAACTCCCCTCATGCTATCAAGCTACCTGCGCCTGCTGGCTCATCTCTGTCGGCACAGTGACAAAGCTCGGGACTATCTCTACACTCACCCTTCCATCAACATTCCTCGGACGCTGCTACTACTCAGCTCCGGTCCTGTACCAAGCTTCTTGAAAGCCAGCATCTTTGCCACCCTAGAAGCCATGCAAACGAACAACGACTTGTATCGGGCATCGATGATGTGGACATACATTGATGAGTGGGCGTCCAATGGAGCTGAACTGATCAAGGCAAGCTTAGCGAAAGGTGAACCGGTAGCGCTGCCCAGCATGGCTTCTGCGCAAAGTGTCCTGGACTCTCTGACAACATCGATTGATCAGTACGATGCATTCGTGAGTCTGCTGCGGACTTTGCTCATTCCTGTGACTCCAGATGGCATACCGACATTCCCACGAGAATTGGGCTCAACTTACAGAGTTCCGGGAATCTCACCATATCTCGACTTCGTGTGCGGAACCATCTTCTCGAAGCGGTTGCCGGCGTCTCAGGACATTTCACAGTCAATTCTATGCAGCTACAACTGCCTAGACTTAATGGCAGTCGCGCTCTCGTCATTCGATGAAACACAGGCCGCGCTGTTCACGAGAGGGCTTGCTAAGAATGCTTCTGCAGACATTGTCTCTTATTTCCACCGTCATCCGTTCTCGCGCGTCATGCAATGGATACTCAGCACCGAGATGGATAAGCCGTTGATGCGCATATTCAAAGTGGCGCAACAAAATGTGGCAGCCGCGCGGTCAGATTCACCTCTTGTGCAGGCGATTCAAAAGACTGTTGATGTCTTGAACCTTGCCCTTGATCTACAACCCACGTTTCTGGACGTGGTCAAGCCGATACTGAAAGAGAGCACTTACGAGAAAGGACTGAGCAATCAGATTACCATCGAGGAGCTTGTTCTCATGCACCCAGCCCTCATTCTGGAGCTTTGTCAGTATGCTGCAAGCGAGCACCTCGATTTGTCGCTCAAAGCACTCTCTCTGCTCCAGAAACTATCGAGCTCGGCAAAGCTGAACAATCACTTCCTTAGTCAGAGCGCCCTCCACAACCGGTCGAGACGCATCGTTGATCTGCTCGGTCCGAACTCTTCCGCTGCGCTGATCGCAACCTCTCAACTGATGTCGGCAAAACTGCAGATTGATGACAGGGAGCTTGAAGCAGGCTCGGACGCCCCGGGCTATTTGTACAAAGATGGTATGATTGCCTTCATGAACGCCTGTCTAGAGACCCAACCGGAACTTGCCAATATCGCCCATATGCTCTTAGGCTGTCGCCGACTCGGAGAGCACTTGATCATGGAGGACGACATTGATGGCGCTGGTGGATCTCTGCTTGACAGCATAATCGTATTGGTCAAGGACTACCCACACGGTGATCAGACCGGCTTTGCGTCCTGGCTCATTCACATCAAATCGGCGGGCATGCAGATACTCCGGCAGCTCTGGCAAGCAAACGTCTCGTCTGAGCTCATTCTTTCTCGACTGCGACGCTATCAGATGCTCAAAGAAATCATACAGGGTCAAGAAGGAATATCGGAGAGCACTCGTTGGGATGGTAAGCTACTGTTCGAGCCCGAGTTCTGGTTTGACCGTTCAGCGGAAGCTCTTACAGAGCTGCTGGACTTCCGGTCCGCCCTATATCAATATGTTTGCCGGGAGATCAGAGATGCGTCTTCCCAACGCCTGCATTCTGTCCTCAAGCAGCATCTGCAAGTCTTGCTCGGGAGTGATATGGCAGGCACGCCTTTGGGTCACGCCAACCTTTTCGATCTTGCCGACTTTCTTGAACTAGACCTATCATGGTCAGTCCATGTCCCGGAAACAGAGTACTTCGTAAAGCTTGACGTCAGCTCCTTCCAGACCTCCGACCAAGACAATAAGCCTGGTCTGTACGACATTGCTCTTGCTAAAGAAGCATTACATCGCGACATAGCTGACCGAACCGATCAACAGCCCCGCGGGTCGACTCAGGCACAGATCAACCCCGAGCAGGCAGACTTTGAGATTGAAGCCGTTTGTGCTCATCTCGAGGCCATCAACCGCTTAATGCTGGCCCGTCAGGCATGGAGAGCGACCTTGCGCAGCTACGCAGACATGGTAGTCGCACTCATCGAAAGCTGTCCCATGGAGGCAGCTGCGAGAACGTCATTCATCCTTCAGGTTTTGCAGCTCATACTGCCAAAGCTCGATTCGCTTGTCGCGCTCGAGAGCGAAGATACCCTCGAACTGGCCCGGATCGCGGACAGTTTGCTCTTCGCATTGCCCACATCCAGCAGCAGCCCCAGCCTAACGAACCAGCCCTCAAGTGGCAAGCAAGAATTGCTTGAGCAGGAGAGAATGGGTAGCATCGTTACCGAGAAGATCTTCCAGCTCTTCAGAGCTAGCATCGACGGCATCATGATCGCAGGAAGCAGCCCCGTGCAACGATCTGTGCTGTACAGCATCTGCATCCAATATTTGAATCGAATCCTCAGCGACGCCAAATCCGACCAGGACGCCAACCGCAAAGCTCGATCAAACAGCATGGACTGCATCCGCTCATCCAGCGCCCGCCTCATCGGCATTCTCTCTGACGATGCCGAAGACGGCGACGCCTCACGCCTCAATGCCCTTAACCTACTTGCGCTACTCACATCCCTCGCCCGCATCGAAAAATCTTCGCACGTCCTCGACGCCCTGCTCAAAGCCAACGTCCTCGAGATCATCATCGAGCCTATCAAGTACATCGCCAGTGACTTCCAGAGCACTGAGGCATCCCGTAAGTCAAATCAACCACCAAGTCCCCCTCGCACCAAACCATCGCTAACCTCTGAATCCCAGTGCGCAGCCACCTTCTAACCCTCCACGAATCCCGCACCCTCCTCCTTCTCCAACTCGCCCGCACCCGCCCCGGCGCAACCGCAATCCTCGACGCCGGCTTCATGGCCGCCGTTCGTGACTCCCTCCTCTTCCGCGCCGACCCGGACTTGGGCTTCAGCTTGCCCATGTCTGCAAGTGGGACACACATCAACTCAACAGAAACCATGAACGGCTCCAGCGCGACGCAAGCGCGTAACGCCGCCAACGTCGCTTCTGGACAGGGAACCGTGAACCAAACGGCGCTGCATACTTACTACTCCCTCTTGTCACCCGTCCTGCGCGTGCTGTTGCAACTAGCGACCAGTCGCGGGCTTGACAACGAACAGGCCGTGTACTTGGTACGCAGTTTTCTGAACGAGTACAGACCCAACATGGTGGGCGTCTTCAAGAAACTCCGCGGCGTAAGCGGAAAATTGTCGAGCAGCGCAACAGAGGGAAAGCTACGCGAATGTGTGCGAGCCTACACTGGTCTATGCGTCTTCTCAGGCTGGGTCGACAGCGAAACCGAGGCCGGGCTGGGTGGCGGCTATGCAGACGAAGGTATGAATGGTAACGGGACGGACGGGATGAGTCTCGGTCGTGGGCGACTTGGTGTGCCAGAGGGAGGGATGAGGGGTTATGCGTTCTCATGAGTGAAGCATGTATGAAAGATGGGATATCTTCGTGTTTGGATATGATGGACGAAGCGCGCCTGGGCATGACATGTCTGCATAGCGATAGACAATGGCAACACAATCGATGTATTGTTCTGAAGTAGGAATCCGAGCGTGACATGAGAGCGCACTTTACCAATGACAGTCATCTGTTCTGTCTACTGGCTCAGGCCGGACTTAGCTCTCGAGTACGGCGTTGCTATATCATCGCCCCTAGTTTGCACCCGTTTTCCCCAGGCAGACGTCATGTCAACCGGTTTGCTGAGAGTGCGGCGGATATAAAAGCCTGCCTTATTCCTTCCTGCGGCACTTGTCCATTTCCCCTCGCACCTAGATGGGTGGTATGTAGGAGGCGTGAATCTGTGAAATGCTGCGAGCCTTGGGAAGCGGAATTGATCGCTCCTGCCGTGGTTCAAAGGACCGGAGTCTAGTGGATTAATGGGGTAAGAGCTCTCAGCCGAAAGCCTGTACAAAGAGAAGCAGCAGCTCTGAAAATGCTTCTGAGACTCTGGTCAGCGTAGGACTTTCGTTCTATCTGAAATGTCTATCTTGCCAGTAGGAGTCAATGCATACCCACCTCTCGTCATCACTCCGTCGACGAATCTCTTCGTTAGCTTGCGACAACCTGACTTCCTCTATCCGTGTACGCCTGCCTGTCATAACGCTGGAGAACGCCTGGCGTAAGCAATAGATATGAATCTATGCACCACAATATGGATACAGATGTGCCTCATCTCCCTGAGTACGACAGGAGCCAACACGTAGCAACACTATCAGCATCACACGCTGACGTCCTCATCGTCTCCCATCCTCATGTTTGGCACAGTGAATTTCGTGCCCGAGAGGGTTCGGCTCAGCCCAGCAGAACCATCATGCTGATCAGCCGTCGTCCCACTCGTCTCCGCCTCCCGCTCAATAACATCCTCGCGCTTAATATCGGCAAGAATCTGCTCAAAGTACGCCTTCAGCGTCCTCAGTCCCCTCAGATACCCTCGATCGATCTCCTGGGGATGCGTCGGCGGCGCAGGCGTATCGTCCGGCAATGGATCTTCTCCCACAATACAATTCGCGAAATCCACAACCTTGACCCGAATCTCTGGTGGCCATGGCTTGCCTTCTTTCTGCTTCTTCTTTGCGATATCGACACCCTGCTTCTCCGCCTCGAGTGCTTCGCGAGACCTCTCCGGTTCGGCGTCATACAGCATTAGCAAACTGCTGGCGTAGAAGCGATACCCTGGAAGGCGCCGGACCATGCTCTCGAGCTTGTTGAGCTTGTGCAGTATCGTCGGAATATGGATGGCCACGCTGCGGTAGCTGGCGCCATCAAACAGAAACCGAGTGAGTGCGTCGCGGAATTCAGGCCCAGCTTTGAGGTCGCGACCGTAGTACTTGTCTTCGTAGGATGCTTTCTTGAGTTTCTTGTCGAAGGTCTGCATACCGCAGACGCGGACACCTAGTTGGCGGGAGGTTGTTGTCTTGCATTTGCGCTGCTGGGATTCCTTCTTCTTCTTTGTTGCTTCGACGCCGTACTGGCGGGTGCCCATTTTGAGGTCTAGGACGCAGGGTCGGCCCATGCCGCTGGTGAGGTCTTCGAGTAGGATGAAGAAGGCCACTCGATCTCCTGATTTACTGATTGCTTGAGCTTCTTTCGGGTTGGAGGGAGTGGCGGGAGGCTGATGTAGGGTATGATGCATCTTCTGATGGTGGCCGTCGGAAGTACGTGAGTCTCCAGAGTGCCGGTCGGATACTGCGTGACCATTGGTTGCGGCGTGCTTATGTTGCTCGGTTGAGCCACCGGATCTTTTGTCATCGTCCATCGTAAAGACATCGCCACCGACATCATCTTCAACATAAGCTGCGTCGGAGAAGTACTCCAAATCCGGTTTATCGGTGCCATTCACTGACGTTCTGCGTCTCCTTAGAGCCATCCCAGAAGCTCGTCGCCGAACATGCGGCTTTGTACTCGCGATGGACTCGGAAGAAGCTGCGCTATCCGCTGTATGAACTCGATCGAGGGCTCGCATATCTTCATATGCAGATACTGATGAAGCTAGAGTAGGGGGCCCATTCTCAATCTCACGACGTACAGGCTGGCCGTTCAGAGCTCCAGTGTCCACTAGTGTGTCCGTGCTACGGCTAGCGTTGGACAGGGTATTCATCGAAAGATTGCTCCTTCTTCGCTGGCCCGGCTTCCTGATGCGTGGATGCGTTGAATGATGCACATGTCGCTGAGAGTGTCGAACCGGATCTCCAAAAACATCTCGCAGGACCTTCTCCTTTAGCTGTGAGTTGACCGTAGTGTTGCCCCAGCTAGGAGTGTGATCTGGCATCGCTGGTCTCAGTGAAGCACTGCTTCCATTGGGCACATGTGAGCTTTCTGGCCGATCAACATCAGTGCTCCTCTTTCGACCATGATTCGGATCAGTACTTCGCGGTCTTTCAGGTAGAGCGAAGTAGTCCGAGGGTATTATATGTCTGTTCTGTGCAATGAGCACTTGCGGAACAGCATCAAACACCTGCGAATGGCTGACAACACGGGGTTGTTCGCCGTTTTGTTGCAAATGTTCACCAGATGCTAGGCCGTTTGTTTCATGCTTGTGGTCAGCATCACCTGCGACTTCACCGGCTGTCGCATTTGGTTGTTCTGATGTCGACGCAACTTGCTGATCCTGCTTCGGACCTTTCGAGAAGGTGACGTTCAGCACGCCAATGTACATGGGTAAGAACTTTAGCATGTCAGGATGGCGCTGCTCAATACGCTCATAGAACTCATTCTCGCGATTATTGAGCTGTTTGCACACGGCACGTTTGGAGAAGCGAAAGATGGTGGAATGACCGCCTACTTGATGTTTATAGGGCTCCAGAACCACCTTGTTCCTCGGTCTGACAGCTTTTTCAGCACGCTTTCGTGATGGACTGCGAGGTTGCGTCGGAGTCCGGGCCATGTCTTCGTTCTGACTTTGCTGACCATATTCGTCGCCCGATTCAAGCTCCGATTCGGAGGCACTGAAGGTTCTTGGGTCTTCAACAGGTGCCAGCTTCGGAGTGACAGCCTCCTCGACTTGATCAGCAGGCTGATACTCGCCATGGAAGATCTTTGTGTCATGCCTGGACACGACGGAAATGTCGATGTGATCGGCAGCATGCTCGTCTTGATTGTCATCGACTTGGTTCGGGCCGAGTGGCTCTGCTTCAGCGCGAGGCGACAGTAAGGCATCGAGTGGCGGTATATCAGGTGATAAATCACCTGGCGACTTGAAGCGCTCAATCTCTTCGGCCGATGGGCCCGGATGCGGGTAGTATACTGCGGCGGAAATGTGTTCCTCCTCGTCATGCTCGGGCTCGACTGTGAGTTTGTGGTCGTGCTCAACAGCAGCATTCTTTGGCAGGTCACCACCTTCATGATCTTCAGGTAAGACAAGAGGACTTTGAACCGTCGGCGTCTCTGATAGAGTGAAGCGTTGGTGTCGAATGTCATCCAGGAGATCAGCTGGTATCTCTGGCCGGCGTCGAGAGGATTTTGATCGCCTGGAGGGTGAGCGAGACGCATCTCGAAAAGCCTGTCGTGCAAGAGTCGCTTCGGCAGTCAGCGCTGGACTCGGCGGTGGAGAGCCGACAACAGAGCCCGTCTTCAGAACCCGTTGCGGGGAAATCGGGCGGCTAGTCGTAGACGAGGGTAGTCGACCGCCTCCAGAGCTACCTGGCCGGGGCGGCGGTGACGTAGTACCTTCCTGAAGCTCTGGAAGCTGGCGATGATCGACACGCTTCTGATCTGCTTGAGGGTCCCAGATACCCATCATGTGACTTGTCTTTCTGCTTCTAGCCTGGCCTCCTGCCTCTGGTTTCTTGACCGTTGCCTCAATAGACTTGTCTGTGACTGAGCGTCCACGACTGACACTCCGCTCTGGCTTCTTCTCCGAGAGTGCTTCCTTTATGGCTGCATCGCGCCCAGCTCGGATGGTATTTGACCTCTGTGGTACAGGGTCCTTGTCTGCTGCTTGTTGATCTTTTGAGACATCTTGAGATCCTGAATGGTCCGGATCTTCCATATGAGTATCGTGGTTTGCACCGACGGTAACGTGAAATTGACTGTCCCAAGACTGGCCGTCCGAGTTGACTCGTTTCACACCTTTGATTGTACCGCTACTCTGCTTGTATTTCTTATCGCCACTAGCACCAGCAGGAGATGTCCACTCGGTATATTTTCTCGACTGTGATGTTGCAACAGCTTGTGAGAGCAATGAGAGCCTCTGAGAATCTGATGATGTAGTTCTTGAGGTGTAGGCAGGCCTGGCTGAGGTGCCTACAGAAGGTGTGGTATTATCATTTTTGGCAATCACGGCCTGTTTGTTCTGGACAACGTCTTGGTTGAGCAGGCGCGGGCTTGTCGGAGGTGAGTAGGTCGACCCGAGGGCAAGAGCACTCGTTGACCTGGACGAGCCAGGTCTGTTTTCTGTACCATCACCGGCTTGGTGAGAAGACATGAAAACATTTTGAGAAATCTGACGCTCGGCGGACTGATCAACTACCGGCGTGGCAGGGGTAGCATGGCTTCTGGCGGAAGGGAGGTGCTCTGACATAAGGAGGACATTGAGCAACCGTTGCCAGAATCGGCACGGCGTGTATATGTGATTGGTTAAGAGGAGCCCTGGGGCAGAATCAAAGTAGGACGGACGATATCAACGGATTTCGGATATGTGATGCGCACAGGGCAGAGCGGACTGGCGGTCAGTGGAACAGGCGTTGTATACGATCAAAGTGAGGCTGGGCGGGCGCAGAATTGTTTGTGTCAAGGTCAGACACTGTCGAATATGCGGAGCGACTGCTATCGAGGTGTTTGAGACGGGAAGGATGTGTTGTACTGTGGAGCAATGCAGACGGGCATTGAAGATGCGGGCACTTGAGGACCACGACATTCAAAATATGTGCGGAATCTCGATACGCTGGAATTTCTGTCCCGGCAGCGCCTTGGTGGAAATATACCAGTATTTTACCTAAGATTTTCGGTTCTAGGCTTGGACTGTAACGTGATCCCGGGCGGGAATGACGTTCTTCAAGAGCTTGTTGTCGCGTCCACTTCTTGCCTCGTCTTCACCTCCACCACCACTCATCCACTCCGTGTTGCACTGCTCTTTTCTTACTCGCAAATCTATCGGTGAATCGTTCTTGTAACGGGAGCGGACAGCTGTCATGGTGGGTATGCTGTCTGCCCCTGCTCTACCACGTTGATGGAATGCGGTGAGTGACCAGAGACAGCCAATCTCAAGTCAGCACTTCAGCACGTTGTCGACCTTGAACGCACCTTCACATTTACCGACATCAGATCAGCAGGGGTCGGATGCCATTCCCCGAGGAACAGCCCGACGCTTGTGTGGTGATTCGTATATCATGACTGAGCCACCAGCATCAAGTCGCTGGCAACGTGCTTGTGTGAAACGTTTCAAGGGTACGATTCGCAGTATATCAGGCCTAAACTGAGTTTCTTCAATTCCCTCTCAGCCTGGTCTACGACTGTAGTGTCTGGATTATCGCCACTTCGAGTGTAGGCTCCTCAACGGCCTGGTCGTCTTCCACGGCTCATGAGCCTCTGACCAGCGGAAGCGTGCTACGCGACGTCCGGCTGCAGTAACGACGCGCCCGTCCTGGAGCTCGAAGAAGCGGTCAGTATGACAGATTACCCCAAGAATTGGCGGTACGTGTCTTAGGGACCAGAGAAGCCGAAGCTACAGCGTTTCCCTTGATTTTGATGCCCGGTTCTTGTCTTCCTGGCGCGTCCAACTTCATAGCGAGTATGTCCATCGAAGTCTGGAATCTGACCTCAATGGTTTGCCATAGAACTCTTAATAGGCGTGTTTCTTATGCCTAGATGCGCACTGAATGCTTCTAGAAGATACCGGAGCCACCTTGAAAGGGGTCGCTCGGTTCCAACGAGACCATGTTGTATTGATTCATTAAGTCGAAGGAGAACGTTGATGATGAGTATCGTGGAAATGGTAGATCCTGCTAGTCGGAGCATTTAGCAATCCTTGTTCATCATTAGCGTACCCACGCCCCCGGATTTTCGGGTACCTGATCAGCCCTAGACGCGTCGCGGATTTTTGATCCGGCACTCATCCCACCTCTCTTTCTGAGCATCATCGGAGGACACACTGGGGACCGGTCTTCGTCAGGCGGAGGACGCGTCAAGCATCAAGCGCAGTATCACGATGCCTCCCGAAATCGCCGACTCTGACGATGAAGTCGATGTCGTTGAGCAGGAGCCTGGAAACGCCTCTAGTCCAGTCCCGACGCGTGGCTGCGACCAAACGCAGAGACTCTCGGATCAAGGCTCCAGCGCGATAAAGGGCACAGGAAGTACAGACAAGCTGATACGCACTCTGCAGGAGACAGAATATGTTGGAGTTGAGGACCTCGACCAGGCTTTCGGCCTCAGTGGACCGAACGGCAGGAAGAGAGCCTTGTCTGAGACACCACGAGATGACATGAACGTTGACCTCGAAGGTCCCAAGAATAAGAGGAATAAGACATATGGCTCCAAGACGAGAGCTAACTATGCTGAGTTCTTCAACAATCCTCCGCCATCGGTAGCTGAAGCACCTGTTGCCACCTCAACGACCGACTACCTGCCTACCATGGACTCCCCAACGAGTCCTCTAGAACCAGCGTCAGCGTCAAAGACCAGACAGCGCGATCGACCTAGGAGGGTCGCTAGTCTGCTGGAAATTGGCAACGAACGGCCGTACTCTACCTCTCTCTCGTCCATGGGAGGTCATAGGTCTATGAACGTCGATCCAAATGCCAATCCTTTCGGCACAGATTCTCAACCCGTCATGGACGATGATCATGCCGTTGACGGTAGTCGACCGGACCTCTCCCAGAACCTGCACTTGAACGATCTCATCAACGAGTTCGCTGAACAGAATGCACCATCTCAGATGTCAATCTCTCCTGCCCGTCCTTCGTCGCCAGTTGCGCCAGCAGTCGAACCTCTTAGTGACAGTGAGACGGCTGCGCCTCCAAACAACCTCAGATCTGGCAACGGAGAAGAGTCTGAACGACCGCTCAAAAGACGCAATACGGCACAGACGCCCGTCCGATCCTCAGCTCTTGTTGAGGAGCAACAAATTCAGCGGTCTGCATCTGTGACAACAGACATCTCGGCAGCATCCAAACCTGTGGTGGCAAAGAAGCGAGGGCGGCCTGCCAAAGCGAAGAAGGCATTGGATGTGGATATAGACGCAGACACTGACGAACTTCATTCAGTCATGGGCCCACCGGCACGGGCTAGCTCCGTCGATATCTCCTCGCAGGTCTCACAGCCCCCTCAATCTGCCAGCAATACAAAGCGGAAGCGGAAGCGCAGCAAAGTCGACGACGAGCCAGCTGACGTGGTCCTTAAGCAGCACCCTTCCAGCGAGCTCAACCTTAGCGACGAAGCAATGATCGGACTTCCAAAGGAGAACTACAAGCCGCGGCCGAGCCGCTCAAGATCGAAGCGTACTGACGAAGATGGAGGCACTCCAGCACCTGAATCCACGGCATCACGAGCTCAGACAGCCGAGATCGCAACGCCCAGGAAGGAGGCTACTCCTGCCAAACGCTCCACAGCCAAAGGCAAGAAGAGCAAAGTCAAGAGAGCCAAAACATCCGCCGCAGGCCTCCTTAAGGCATCCGCGCCCATGTTCGAAGACGGCGAGGAAGACGTCTTGTGGGTCGAAACCAAACCTTCGCCCGTCAAGCTTGATCTGCCACCCGACCTTGCCGTACTTAAGAAAGAGCAGACCCCTGACATCAACGAATCAGCCGACGAGCTGCAAAGCAACGCCGGCCGTCCTAAGCAGACTTTGCTCAGCGTTGAGGTACCCATCATGCCGGATGCTCAGTCGGACGCTGCAGCTGAGAAGAAGACGTCTAAGAAGCGTGGCAGGAAGCCGAAGCAAGGTCTTGCTGCTGCTCAGGAGGAGGACTCTGAGCGGGCACCCCTCGCCGAGAAAGACATCAACAAGGCACCCAACAAGACCACAAACGCGAAGTCCAAGCCGATCATTACCGACTCCGATGACGAGGAAGAAGACGACAAAGAGAACGCCGAGCAGACCGCCGCAGCCGCTCCGAAAGCCGATGCTGCCACTCCGCCCAAGGACAACGCTGTCACACCACAGTCTCCCTCCCCAACCAAACCTGCCATCCACTCACCCCTCAAAACCACGCTCTCCGCCTCATCAGTCTCCTCCCAACGCACCCAGCGCTACCGTGTCGGCCTCTCCAAACGCAGCAGCATCCCGAGCCTACTGCGTAAAGTCCAGCGCGACAAGCCGCCGCCGACCAAGACGGGCGTCAAGGTCAAAGAGTTCAAGGTTGCGGGGATAAACGACGGGACCGAAGGCGAGGAGGGTGAGGGCAAGTGGCCTGGCGTGTTGAGGGACAAAGACGGGCGGCTGGTTGAGTGGGATTTCTGAGCTGGTGGCGTCGTTGTCGCTTGCAGAGGCGCTCATGGCGCTGTAGGAGGACGTTCAAAGCCAGACGAAAATGGATCGAGATGGACGAACGAAGTCCTGAGGAGATGGGACATACCACCTAGTCTCTTTTAGCCAGTCATGCATTGCATGCACGCAAGTATTTATATGATACCCCAGAAGCAAATATGAAGTTATGATGAAAAGCCAATCTGGCTATGCTTCGATCATTTTCTGTCGATCAGACACATTCAGATCAGACCTAAGTTAACGCGACCGAACGCCAGATATGCAGCCATGCCTCGCATCCTAGTGCCGAACAATGCTTTCATCACGACTCCGACTCAACACTCTCATCTCCTCCCTTCTCCAGCACCTCCCTCCCCCTCCGTTCCCTACTCTCCCGCACAGCCTCCTCAAACCCAGCACAATCCGCGTGCACCTTGTAGTAATACTCCACCCCACTCCCCGCTCCCGTTCCAGGTCTCAGATCCGCGCTTAGCCCAGCCAACACCGCCTGTCCCAACTTCTCCCTGGCAGCCACATTCCGCCCCTGCTTCGTCCAAATACTAATCACCGCATGGTACACCCGACTGCTATAACTCAGCCCCAGCACGGCATCCCCGTGTTCGTTGATCGCGGCTTGGAGCTCGCCGCCGAGCGTGAGGAGGCAGAGTTCTTCCCAGGTGCGGAGCGCTTTGCCTTTCTCTCCTGAGGAACCAGGACTAGCACCGTCGTCCTTCCGGATCTTCAGAACGAAACAGCCCCCCTCAAGATTCGCAAGATCCTCCCAGAGCGGCAGCACGCCGGAGCGGAAGAAGTGGATGGAGGAGCGGGTGGGCAGGGAGGACCAGGGGGTGTTGTTGAAGATGCGGTAGAAGGTGGCGATGTCCTTGACGGAGGAGGAGAGGAGGGTCAGGCCGTTGGTGGTGACTTCTGTTGTGTTGGGTGAGGTCGAGGGAGAGGAGTTCTGGGGTGATGTGCTGTTGTAGGGCTTGGAGTGCCATGCGCACCAGATGTACTGGAATGGGAGAGGACGGAGGCGGGTGAGGACTTCACGGTGCATGGCAGAGGAGGTGCGGCGGGGCATGGGTGGACGTGAGCGGGATTGGATGTCATCTTGTGTTGCTGCTGGTAAGGTCGTCGAAGGCGTAGCGGTCGGAGCTTGTGGTTGTGGAAGATTTGGGTTCCGAGAGCGCGCCAGGTTGTCGAATGTGGAAAATCGTGACCTGGAAGGAATTGATTCGTCCAGTGTTGGGAAACTGGTCGTTCCAGATGGTCTCGCTGCCGTCGTAGTCATCGTGTGTAAATCGACTTGCTATCGTCCGTAGCCTCCTGGACTGTGAGCTGGCCTCCTTCCGGCAGCAGTAATGCTACGGCTAAGGATGAGCGGTAAAAACGAACGGACGTGCGGAGCAAGATGCTCAATTGAATGGCAGCTTGCCTTGCAGCAGCAACGAAAAGGGAAGAGCAGAAGTTCACACATCCACGTCTTTTTGTCATGTACCTACCACTCCTCTCCACCCACCATCCGTCACATCTCTGATCCGAGCACTGCAGCAGCCCACAATGGACCTCTCAAGTTTCGAACTTTCCGTCAAGGACTGGGGAAGGTCACCATGATGAAATTATGCGAACCCTATTGCACCGTTCTGCTGCATGAGATGCTTGAGCAACACAATCGTCTGCCTGATTGGACGGTCTGGGCGCGTAGCATTGTGAAACGAGTGGGCTCCCATCGGTTTCAGGTTGCTTGGGACCAAGCTCTTTCTCTGCGCGAACCACGTCACGGCATTGGATTGCGTAGAGTGTCGGCTGCACGGGTGCGAGAGCGAAGACGGAATGATGTGGAAGCAAACAAACGGCCTCTACATGAGAGGAGCACGATGACTGCAGGCTAGGTGCGAAGGGCAGGATCATCATTTGTACTTAGGTAAGCTGGCTGACATTAATATACCGCCGAGGTCTTGGTAGACCGGTTGACACTACATCTCATCACGCTGCTCCCGCGGCTGTTGTTCTTCGCCTCGGTGTCTTGCTTAGTGTATGTAGCCTATGCGAACATGGAGGGTCGGTGCCAGTGCGGTGCAGTGCGATTCCGGACTGATCGTGATAAGCCTCTAATAGTCCTTGTCTGCCACTGCCTGGGTAAGATCACACGCAACGTGTCACTGCTACTAGTAGAGCAGACGCTAATCGCGATAGCAGAGTGTCGATGGGTAGGTCGCTAGTAGTAGAAGCGCAATGACATCGGCGAATCTCGCTCACTCAAGGACAGCAATCAGCCTCTTCGTACGGCCTCTCCGCCATGTTCCCTGCCCAGGGAGTTCACTTTGAACCTGCCTCCAAAGAGCACCTGACGTTTTGGTCACGGACAACATTCAACGGAGTGGAGAAGCAATGCTGGTTCTGTCGGACCTGCGGGACGCGGCTCTATCATCACTGTCCAGGCGCAGAGAACTTCACGATCAAGGCTGGGGCGCTGACTGGCCTTACGCGGGAGATGCTTGACAAGGCAACTCATATCTGGGCCAAGGTTTGAGACAGAATCGATATGATGGTAGCGTACACTGACGACGAAAAGAGAGCTATTACGCCGATTCCAGAGGGTGTCGAGGTGTACGATGAGGAACCGGCGGACTGGTAAGAATGAGCAAATTCGGGTCAAGGTCACTGAATATGAGCAGGCTTGACTTGCTCCAACGAAGCTCCCACTCGCCCCACAGCAGTGTGAATTGGCTTCATAATGCTCCATGTATGAGATCGTTGATGAGGAAAGCGACTGATGGGCAGGAAGAGCATGTTCAGTCAAGGTCATTCAATTATGATCAGGGGTTGACGTGCTCCCGTGGGACCCGTTCCTTGCCTCGCAGCGAGACGTGCTCTCCGCAAAATGATCCGTGTATACATTCGTTTGCCTCGTGAAAATGATCTGAGCGCCGCTTTTTTTGATGATGTACAGATCCCGCCTGCCCGGCCAGCATCATGCAGCAAAAACCCAAGGACGACGCATCACGAGCCTGTATGTGCCGTGAGCGCACCACCAGGCTCTTCACCGGCTGCTTCTCGTTCCGCTCGTCGTTTACGCTTTTCGATCAAAATATTCTTCCGCTGCTGCAGTAGTTGAACCTGCCGCTGCTCCACGCCCGTCATCCACCAGCCAAACGATGCACCAATTGAGCCGAACACTGGGTACCATATCAAGGCGCCTCGTTGGAAGAATGGCCGCATCTCGATTCCGAGTTGCATCAGTCTCGTTGCTACGCCTGTGTGGTTATTAGTCAGTAGCTCGCGAGGGAAGCTGCTAGGCCGAGCTCACCAAAAGCAGACCAAAACAGAATTTTCGACACCATCTTCGCGGGAGAAAAGGGGAGTCTATTGTGGCACTGGCACGCTCGAGACCAATGTTCGTGATGGCGTGGAGTGTGAGAGCCACGAAGGACGTTTGTTGATAAGGCCTGCGGGCTTGCTTGCTTGTCCGCCTGTTTGGGTATTTGGGTCCCGCGGAGCTGGCGAGGAGATTGCGGGAGGCCAGGAGAGTCGTAGGACACGCGTATGGGCTTTTGTTGTGATTGTCGCGGTCGAGTCAAGCTGTAGCAGGGAGCAGGGTAGTAGAATTGCGGTTTCCTCAAGCTTGGGTACTTGCCGAGACAAGCCGGAGAAAGTAGGACTTAGCTCCGGTAGCCGAGTGTTCTCCAGCGACGACCACACGGCGCGCATACCGCATCTTCTCACACATCACGTCTCTCAGTCGCTGTCGTTTAATGCATCTCTGCTAGGTCACACTCGCTATCACCATGGCGGACGCCGTCATGACCGACGCGCCGCCACTAGCGGTCTCACTCCGCCCAAAATACAAACTCTCAGAACTCCCTCTTGTCAAGGAGCAACGCTCTGCCATTGACACCCTCCTTCTCAAGTTTAAGAAGCAAGGCGGCTATGACTCGATGCGCAAGCAGGTCTGGGCCAGCTACAATACCTCCGAAGCCAAGACCGCACTCACCGAGCAAATCCACCGCGTCGCCGATGCCGAGATCGATCGCAACCCCGACCTACTGTCGCGAGATCGCGGGAAGGCAGCGACATTGATGCAGGGCTCGCTCGATCGTTCCGGCATCTACAATGATGTTGAGGCGCGCATTGATCGAGAGATTGCGAAGCATATCGATATGGTCCTGACGTCTGTGCGAGACATACGCAAAGCCGATGTGGGTGTAGAGCAAGCACTCGAGGAGGAGATGCGTGGAGGAAAGACGGACGATGATTACATGCAGGAGACACAAGCTCGCGTCGAAGAGCGAACGAATAACAGAGCTAAGCTGGAGGAGATCTCACTGCAGATGGCTGAGATTAAGGCCAAGATTCGGGCTGCTGAGGAGAAGAAACGTGCTGCAGAGGAGGCTAAGCGTGCAGAGGAGGAGAGAATTCAACGCGAGAAAGCCGACGAAGAACGACGTGAGCGACGTCGAAAGGAGCAGGAAGAAGACGATCGCCGAGAAGCAGAGCGCATCAAGGCCAGAGACGAACGAGCTCGACTACGCGAGAAGGAGCGCAAGGAGCGTGAGGCCGAATATGAGCGTGAGCGCGAAGAGCGAGCACGTCGAAGAGATCGGGAGAGAGACCGTGATGTTCGGCCTCGGGACAGTGATCGCAGAGATCGCGATCGCGACAGTCGGAGAGGATCAGTGGTCGAGAAGAAGGACGTTAATGACGAGAAAGATCTCGAAGCCACTGCCCTGGAGCTGCTCATCAGCGAAGGCAAGCAACTAGCCGAGTCATCAAGATCCACAACCCGACGAGCCGATTACGACAATCGCGACTACCGACGACGAGATCGATCACGAGACTCGACCGTCAGACGCCGGGATTCTGTCCGTGACAGAGACAGCAGACGAAGCCGCTCAAGGACGCGCCGCGTCACACCACCCATCGTCGAGAAGCCCAAAGCCAAGAAAGAAGCCGATGACGACTCAGACAGAGAAGAAGGCGAAGCGCGCTCTAAGAAAGCCAGCGAAAGCCCTGCACCAACAAGTCGTGATCAAAGCAAAGCACGGACACAAGCTCGTGATCGCGAGCGACGGCCTCGATCAGCCAGTCCTGCTGGTATCGACCGATACGTGCCAGGCGGAGGCTCGCACCGAACTGCTGAGGAACGGGAGCGCGATGATGCCCATCGAAAAGTTCGTGGCGATGACAAGCCGAAGGATCGACAGCAGCGGTCTACGTTTGGGCGGTATGACAAGTGGGAGCGTAATGACAAATATGATCGATATGATGGTCGCGATGGTGGGCGTGATGCAGATCGCAGAGACTCGCGACGCGGCGAGCGCAGTCGCAGTCCACAACCGAGGAAGAGAGACGAGCGTCGAGATAGCAGGGATGACCGAGATCGCCGTGATGGAGGTCGGGACGATAGAAGCCGTCGAGACGACCGCTCAAACCGGGACCGAGGAGGCAGAGACGACGACAGAAGTGCTCGCGACCGAGGCAGCAGGAACGACGACCGTCGTGACCGCGACCGCTCTCGCAATCGGGACGATCGTCGAGATGACCGTCGGGACCGCGATAGACGAGATCGAGACACAGACAGGAGCGATCGCAGAACGGATAGCAGGACGCAAGATCGAGACGATCGTCCGCGGGACAGAGAGCGGGATAGGGACAGAGACAGGGACAATGATCGATACAGATCTTCTCGTGGTGGTGGGCGAGACTAGGCGGACTGCTACACACCTGGAGATGCATCCCGTAGCGCATCGGAGTCTTCATAACTTGAGTATTGGCAGTATCTGGAGACCATTGCTGTCGTTGTTCGCGCATCAATGACCTTGTGTAGAGAGCTGTAGCTAGCCAATTACAGCCTAGCGTTCACCCACGCTTGTTACGTCGACGCTGTGACTGTTGCAATGCAATGACCGACTTGTTGTTCATACTGCATTCTATTCTATTGTCTTCCGGTCGGCCACGAGGCAGTAGTGACCGCGCACGGCTCCTATTGAAGTCAGACTTCGGGGATCGAACCTGCCTTCGAGCTCCCTTCATAGGTCTCGGCGATCCATCTCGTAGCACCGAAGTTGCTATTCGAAGACTGCTATGTATCGAGGATCTGTCGAAGCGAGCCAGTTTTGGACGCGCTCTGAGGAATGAGCCATGCGGTAGTTGTCATCGAGGTCCAAATGGACTGTAACAGAAGCAAATCCAATGGCTCTGGCCGCTCAGCGAGCCCAGGCATGTCGCCATTCTGGCGCGTCTCGGAATGAATATCCTGCTACTCTTGATTGGCTGTATGACGACAGCAAACTCAACGCTTCTTGTCCTGCTTCCAGGTTCCACTCACTGATCGTAACAGTAGCTTGAGGCAACATATAGCACTAATCATCTATTCGAGGCGTCAAGTGTCCTCCGTCTACCAGAAGGAGCGCATATCCAACGCCGGCGAGGGAATAGGGTTGCCGTCTGTTACCAACTCAGGCTTCTTGGTATCTGGCCGCCAAGCAATCACAATGCCAGTACTTGATACACGATTAGACCTGCCCACACTATTTTCAAAACAGGTCTCTGCGACTCCGGACGCTTCTGCGTTAGAGGATGAGAATGTCGCATACACATATGCCGAGCTCGATGCGAAAGTCGACGCCTTGACACAACGACTGCGAGGGTACGGAGTTGGCCGAGACAGTCTCGTTGGTGTGCTGTTGGGTCGAAGTGCCGACTATGTCATTGCTTGTCTTGCCATCCTCCGCGCAGGAGGAGCATTCCTTGTCTTGGAGTTGGCGTACCCACCGGATCTGCTGTCAGATGTGCTTGAGGATGCGGCTCCAGTAGTCGTTATCACACAGACTGCAGAAGTTGGGAAGATCAAGGAAGGGACGCCAACAATCATCATTGACGACAAGACCAACGATACAAATGGCTCGACTTTTGAGCTTCCACCTCTGCCATCAGAAACAGATCTGGACCGATTGTGTTTCGTTGCATATTCTTCTGGCACGACGGGCAAGCCCAAAGGGATCGCAAATCCCCACAGAGCTGCTGTTCTTTCCTACGATCTAAGATTCGGTGTCAGCGATCAGAAGCCCGGTGATCGAGTCGCCTGCAACGTGTTCTTTGTATGGGAAATCCTCAGGCCATTACTTCGTGGTGCTACCGTTGTCACTGTGCCTGACGAGACCAGCTATGATCCAAACTTGCTTGTGGATCTGCTCGCATCAAAGAAGATCACAGAGACTTTGATGACACCAACGCTCCTGGCTGCTGTTCTTTCGAGACATCCCCAGATAGGCAAACGACTTCCTGATCTACGAACATTACTGTTGAACGGCGAGGTGGTTACCACTGATCTCGCCCGACGTGCACTGAAGGCTCTACCTCAAACACGCTTGCTGAACGTGTACAGCGCATGCGAGACACACGAGGTTGCAACGGGCGACGTTAAAGAGATGCTAGGCGAATTGAACGACGATGCTGTCTATTGTCCGGTCGGACCCCTACTAGTCCCAAAGCGTACGTATGTGCTGGATGATAGTGGACAGCGTGTTGAGAAGGGAGAAAGCGGCGAGCTATTCGTGGGTGGAAAGCTACTTGCCCGAGGCTACATCAATCGTCCTGAGACTACAGCACGAGCCTTCATCCCAAATCCATTCGACTCGTCGCCGGGTGCAGTAATGTACAGAACCGGCGACCTGGCTCGAATCCTGCCTTCTGGTCTCCTCGAGATCACTGGCCGTGTCGGTGCGATGATCAAGCTTCGCGGCTACTCTGTCGTACCCGGCAAAGTTGAGAACGCAATCGTCAAGAACCTAGCTGTAAAGGCATGCGCGGTGGTTGCTCATGGCGAAGGCTTGGATCGACAGCTTGTTGCCTACGTAGCACCCGAAAAGGATGCATCAGATCGACCGACTGTCGAGATCAATGATTCTGGCCACAGCCCGGGAGCTCGGAGTGTACTCAAACCATTTCTCGCGCAGTATATGATCCCAGCGCTGTGGGTGCAGGTCGACGGTTTGCCCACCCACGAGGTCTCCGGCAAGGTCGACCTGAAGCGACTTCCGCCTCCACCTCTTCCGGGCGCGGTCAATGGGGCAAAGAAGGAAGAACGCGATCCCATCGGCATTGACGACATCGCCGAGATCTGGGCAACCACGTTACGCACCTCGCGGACGAACATCACGCCTGAAAACAGCTTCTTTGATCTTGGTGGCCATTCTTTGTCATTAGCTGAGCTTGCCTCTAGACTATCAAAAAGCTTTGGCTTCCGGGTTCCTGTCGCGCGGCTAGCAGACCCGCCCACGCTCAACGGCCACCTCGAGACAGTACGGGCCGTTCGTGACGGCCAAATTGCGGCCGTACAGGCCGATCTCCCAGCGGTGTTGAAGGCAGACAGCGTCCTCGACGAGGACATCAAGGCCTCGGGCGCCACCATGAAGTCGATCAAGAATGCGAGCACCGTGCTTTTGACTGGTTCGACGGGCTTTCTGGGTGCCTTCCTTCTCAACGATCTGCTAGAAAGCACGACAGCCAAAATCATCTGCCTTGTTCGTGTCAACGACCCGAGCGAAGACGATGTCCCGTCAGGCATCGCGCGCATTCGTCGCAATATGATCGATTTTGGGATCTGGAATGACTCAATCATGGACAGAATGGAGGTATTGCCCGCCAATCTGTCTAGGAAACGGTTCGGCTTGGCACAAGAAGACTATGATGCTCTGGTCACCGAGATGAAATCGAATGTCATCGTCCACGCTGCAGCTGCGGTCAATCTGGTGTACCCTTATGCAGCTCTCAGGAATGCCAATGTTGGAGGCACTCGCGAGATCCTCCGTCTGGCGTGCAAAGCTGGCGCGACTGTGCAATATGTCTCGACCAACGGTGTGCTGCCACCCTCTCAAGGCGGCTGGCCGGAAGAAGCTATGCTCGGCATTGAACATGTTCCCACCAAGCTTGCCGATGGCTATGGTCAATCGAAATGGGTGGCTGAACAGCTTGTGGTTGAAGCTGGCCGGCGAGGTCTGCCTGTGCGCATTCTTCGAGCTGGAACTATCTCAGGTCATAGCAACACGGGAGCTGCTAACGCTTGGGACTTGCTGAATGCCTTGATTGTAGAGTCCATCCGCATTGGACACTATCCTGACGTGCCTGGCTGGAGAGCTGAGATGACTCCTGTTGATTTCGTGAGCAGGTACGCAATTCATACACTTGTTCGCAGGCGCCATCACTGACATGCAACAGAGCAATCGTACATCTCGCCACGCACACAGATCCGAGTCAAACAGTCTTCCACCTCGGCGATCCGGACCCAGTACCATGTAGCCAGGTCTTCGAGGATCTTGCCGAGCTAGGTTACCCTACCAAACCCATGCCATTCGACGCGTGGGTGGCTCTCTGGAACGAACAGCGAGCATCTCACAAAGGCGGCGACGGAGCCTTCACAATCGATATCCTGCGCTCCGGTATGCCATCAATCGAATTCCTTCGCGGAATCGTCGTGCTTAATAACACCATGACGCGCCCCTTTCGCACGGCCGTGGCACGACCCAGAGTGGACAAAGTCCTCCTCGAGACCTACACTCGCCACTGGCACGCCCGCGGCTGGCTCCGCTCACCACCTTCTATGTCCCTCTCGAAAGGCGGCTCAGCCAAGCAACCCCGCTTCGGGCCCCTCAGCGGCAAGTAGCCGTCATCACCGGCGCCAGCTCAGGCATCGGCGCAGCGTCGCAGCAGCCCTAGCCCACGAGGGCTGCCATCTCGCCCTTGCTGCCCGCCGGGTCGACGCCCTCGAAGCAGTGAAGAAGCGTCTTGTCGTCCGAGAAGGCAAAGTCATCATCCGCAAGACAGACGTAACGTCCCGCAAAGACGTCGAAGCACTAGTCAAGGACGCCGAAAGCGAGCTCGGGCCCGTCGACATTCTCGTCTCCTGCGCCGGAGTCATGTACTTCACCATGATGAAGAACGTCGTCTCGACGAGTGGGAGCGCACTGTCGACATCAACTGCAAGGGTCTACTACACTGCCTCTCCTCCACGATCCCAGGCATGCTCTCCCGCGGTTCGGGGCATATCGTCGCCATCTCCTCCGACGCAGGCCGCAAAGTCTTCCCCGGACTAGGCGTGTACAGCGCCAGCAAATTCTTCGTCGAGGCAACCCTGCAGAGCTTGCGGCTAGAGACCGCGGGGTCTGGGCTGAGGGTTACAAGTGTGCAGCCGGGGAACACGCAGACTGATTTGTTGGGGATGAGCAGTGATCAGGAGGCGGTGAAGAAGTATGGGGAGCCCAGTGGGGCGCAGATACTGGATCCGGCGGATGTGGCGAATGCGATTGTGTATGCGTTGAGGCAGCCCGGGCATGTGGCTGTGAATGAGGTGCTGATTGAGCCGAGGGATGAGCCCATCTAAGTTGCTCTTCTTGGTAGAACGCCGGTGGATCGTGGTTTCGCAGTGTGCAATCGTATTCATGCCGTAGTGCCCTCCTTGTAGGGACTTTTTGACGCGTCTCAGCGCTGCCGGACTGGCGCTCTCGTTCTTGTACGCTCGCCTTCATCTCTCATCACTCTCTACATCCACGCTCCAAAAATGCCCCACGCCGCCAGCCGTCCACTTCCCGGCCTCGTCGCCCCTTCTCCAGGCCCATGGTTGAAGCCGCTGGTCTTCTTCGCAACCCCGTTCCCCTTGCCCACCCTTCCCTCCTGCACCTTCTTCTCCTTCGCCTTCCCAGTTCTTCCCTTGACCCGCTTGCCCTCATCCTGGCTCAACGCAACCAACGCCACCCACTCCCCCGCACCCGGCACGCGCCCGCGCATACGCTCTCCGTCTCCCATGACCGTGTAGCTGGCTCCCTGCTTGCTGAACAGCTTGGTGACAGCGGCCTCCCCGAGCAGCACAACAGCTTGGTCGCGCGAGACGCGCCAGATTTTGTCGCCGTAGAGGTTGACGCCCTTGTGGGTGGCTTCGAGGGACTTGTTGATGGCGCTACGGTTTGTGTTAGCTGTTTTCGTTTCGAAAATGTTTGTACTAGTTGAGGAGGCCTCTGAAGTAGTTTACGTACATGTGCTTGTTGTAGTGGCGGCTCATCTCCGTTGGGTCGCGCTCTATCGCGTGGTAATCAGTATACTGCTTGTTTTTTCCCGGAGTGGGAGTACACGTACCGCCATGCTGGCCACACAGGTCGCAGACGACGACCTGCTCGCCGGGAAGCCACTTGTGGGGGCGACTCGGCTTGCTGGAAGCGGGCGAAGCAGCCGGCGCGACCGCCGGACCCGGTACTGCAGCAGCAGCAGTGGCAGCGACGGAAGCAGAGCGGGAAGCACGAGGCATCTTGTGATTGATTGTGGTTTAGCGTGGTTTGTAGTGCGAGGCGTTCAGGCAAATACTTGTGAAGTGGAAGCAATAGCCGCAGATAACCGAGATTTTTTATATGGCTGAAAGAAATGGCTGCCTAGTGCCAAGAGAAAAGTGGGGGCAGGTTCAGTTGTGGCTCACTTCAAGATGGCTGTGTTTGAATCGGCAGCGGCAGATTCACCTGCTAGGCAGTACTCTGAACATGTGCACATTAGGGTCTTGGGAGATTGGGATCTTTTTGAAGCAATATCTCGCGTCATGTATGGGCAATTGCAGCAGTCGTGGGTCCTGGACTGGCGACTTCGATCTCACTCGTACCAAAAAATGCTGCTTATGCCCAATCGCTGGCCAGATCATCCCGACATCAGCGTTTTCGAATCTATGAATATGCTCTTGAGAGCGCATGTCTAGCGACCACCCTTCATCTTCTGCCGCCTAGCCACCCTCTCTGCAATACGCATCAAAGCGGTCTTCATCTCACCCTTCGGAAACTCGTCCAAGTTGTAGTAATTAGGCGCGATCTCAGCCAACCACTCTCCTCGTATGCCCGTGACATTTCTGATGTAGTTCTTGCTCGTAAGCACAAACTCGTTGTAGATGACCCACTCAGACTCCTGACCTAGCACTGTGCTCGGATGAAGTAGAACAGTCTGGTTGTCCTTCACGGTCGTGTAAGTCTTGCCGTTCGCCTCTCGCTTAGCCACCTGCATGAAGAAGCCTGACACCAGTGCTCTCCGGATGTTTTCATAGTATTTCTTGTCTTCGAATGGTGTGGACACTAGCTCGAGCTCTGAGCGCTCCATGATGCGCTTGAGCTGGAGACGAACATTGTCGGCAGATTGCAGACTCCTGAGGTTGAGGAAATGGTCGTGACACCACTGTCGAACATTCGCTTGTGCCTCATCGCCCTTGAAAGCATGATAGACATTGAGCATCGTCAGATGGTCGCCGTCTGGGTGTGCGAACAGTGCTTTCATCTCATCAGCTCGTTTGCGGGCTGCCGCGGGTCGTACGAAGACTTGGGGAACTGAAAGCAACGCAGTCAAGCTCAAAATCTCATTCGAGCAGTAGAACTCGGGCGAAGAGATCAGCATGACTGCTAAAGCTGGATCGAGGGGAAATTCTGAGGCGACTCTACCTAAGTGCGTCAGATTTCCGTCATCGTCGAGACAGGCCAGGTAGTTGAGTTCCTCCAACGCACGCATCATCGTTTCGGGTGCTGGCGGATCCATCAAGTCGAAGTCTACCAGGTTCTCAACTCCCAACTTCTTGAGTTCCAGCACTGTCGAGGAGAGACTCGATCGCAGAAGCTCGGGATATGTTTGCTCTATCAACTCCTTCTTGAAGGCTTCTTCAGTGTAGATGCGAAAGCACTTTCCTGGTCGGGTACGTCCAGCACGACCAGCACGCTGCTGCGCTGACGCCTTCGAGATAGGTGACACGAGCAGGGACTCCACGCGAATGCGAGGATTGTACACCTTCTGTTTCGAGAAACCAGGATCCACGACGTAGACGATACCATCAATAGTCAACGACGTCTCGGCAATATTGGTCGATACAATACACTTCCTACCAGGACGCTTGTTCTTCCCACGTGGGGGCGGCGGAGGCTCGAAGATGCGTTGTTGATGAGCAGGCGGCAGACTGCCGTATAATGGGTACACCTTTAGCGTTCCTGCGTCAGCTTCCCGAATCATCTCGTCGGCTTCCAAGCTGATCTTGCGGCAAGCGTCCTCGATTTCTTCTTCACCTGTGAGGAATAGCAGAATGTCGCCTTCAGGCTCTGTTGCATGGATCTGAAACACTGTGCGAAGTGCGGCCTCGACATAGTCATTCTCTGCCTCAGGTGTGTAGAATATCTCAACTGGGTGTGTTCGACCGGGCACGGCCAGTAGTGGTGCATTATTGAAGTAGCGCTGGAACTTTTGAGCATCGAGCGTTGCAGACATGATTATCAACTTCAGGTCTGGTCGTCTCTTGACCACTTCCTTGAGCAGTCCCATCAAAATGTCAGTGGCGAGTGTTCGCTCGTGGGCCTCATCGAGTATAATGGTGCTGTACCGATTCATATCGGGGTCGTTCATGGCTTCTCGGAGCAGCATACCATCTGTCATGTACTTCAATATCGTCTTCGGACCCGTCATGTCCTCGAAACGAATGCTGTATCCAACCTCCTCGCCTAGTTCGACATCCATCTCGTGTGACACACGCTCTGCAACGGACATGGCTGCCACTCTTCGAGGCTGCGTGCAGGCCACAAGCCTTCCTTCCCGCTGGGGCATGTCGTCGTAGAGGACGAACTGAGGGATCTGTGTAGTCTTGCCTGAACCAGTCTCACCAACAAAGACGAGAATCTGTGACTTCTGGTACAGTCCGAGGAACTCGTCTCTCTGCGCGTTCACAGGCAGGTTGCGTCTGGTCTTCAATATCGATCTGTAGCGCTGTGTGAACGGTCGTCCGGTGAACGGATTGATCTCGCCATCCTCGGCAGCGGCAGCTTCTTTTGCGGTGCTGGAGTGCCTCTGCATCTTGTCCAGAGGTGTGCCTGTTCGGGATGGGGGAGTGGCGGACCCATTGGAATGCCCGTTGCTTTCGTACATGTGTGCGAGGTATGGATTGTTCCGAGGGTCCAGACTGGCGCCCGAAGTCGAGCTCGTCGTCTTCTGTCGCTTCGAAGGAGCGCCGTCCGCATCATCGCCGTTTCTGCGGGACGCCATTGTTCCTGTCATGCTAGTGCAGGATCGAGTGGCAGCCTGTGAGTGACGAGAATGCGCAGGAGGCGTGCGAGAAACACCAGAGAGTCCACGGTTGTCGCCGCCCACGATTAAGCTGCGCTACACAGGTTTCGCCACACAGCAATGCATAGATATGTATGCGGTCGACCGGTTGACTTCTAACCTTGAAAATATTGGAAGTCGTCCAGCTATCGATAACGAAAGTGCCGCAAGGCTGAGTGTCACGTGTCACATAGAGAAGCTTCGACGAGGCTACCTCCATGTTCGAAAAGAGTCTCTTCGCTGAGGCTTTCGGGCTAAATTCGTTCACCTCTTCCCAAAGCGCACATCGGCAAATCGAACTTGTCATGTGACATTCGCGATATTCGCGACATGGCAGTAACATCGGCAAGTAAGTTCAAGGGACAAGCTTCGAGACAAGCAACACTGTCGCACCATACTCGGCCAACGGCTCCCCCTGATCGACGGAGTGAGCACTAGTCGCGAAGATCTATGGTCAGATCGGCGACACAGCCGATCTCTATTGGTTCTTGGGACCCCAAAATTCGGGTTTTGCTCGCTCCGCCGGGATGGTCCTGCGTCTTTGCTCGTGTGCTCACACGTGGACACCCATGCCATCATGTTGACTCGTCGGGGATTCTCTCCCTTGTGGGGCTGACAAGATTTTATCAGACCCACGGTCAGATACTGACTCGAGCTATTCACACGAAGCGAGCTTATGAGATAGTCAGGCCTACTTGCAGCAACCAGTGATGGGAAAGAGGGACCTGATGCAAGCGAAATGCACTCCGAGGAGGAGAAAATTCATGCAGGTTGATACAAGTACGGTCGATGTCTGCACCAGTGAGCTTGGTGAGCTTCTTTCGTGTATGCACTTTGGTTCACTATGGCGTCGTTGAGGCTCGTGGCGTTGTTGGCTTCCATCGTTCTCTTCGCTCAGATCCAGGCACAATCCGCTACAGCATTGCTGGGAGAGTTGCCCACTTGCGCAGTAGGTGCTGAAATCTGAAATCTGGAATCAGACTGTGTGGGATACCCTGACTAACCTGGAACAGTCCCAATGCCTCGCCAGCAATATACCTTCGTCAGGATGCGAGCCAACGGACTTCGCGTGCTTGTGCCAGAACGCTCCATTCTTGGCTGAGATTACACACTGTGTCGGGGCCAATTGCACCATCAGGGAAAGCTTGACAGCCGAGAGGATAACTGCGCTCCTCTGCGAAGCCCCCGTGCGCGACCGAACTCTTGAGGTTGAGCTCGTCAGTCCTATACTGACCGGTATCGCCCTCATCCTTGTCATCATTCGCCTCATCACGAAACGAAACAATCAATTTGGTTGGGACGATGGTCTGATCATCGTTGCCCTAGTCGCAACAATCGGCCTAGCCTTGACGCACATCATGAATGGCGTCTACGGTCTGGGGAAGGATCTGTGGACCGTATCATTCGACGATGTCACGACGTTCCTACATTGGTTCTACCCGGGAGAAATCTTCTACATCTCCAGCACAACGTTGACGAAGCTATCGATCCTGGCGTTCTACCTTCGAGTCTTCTCGGCATCACCACGGTTTGCTCTGATAGTGAAGGTTGTGTTCGCCCTTGCCTTGGCCACTGGAGTCATCTTCGACTTTATTCTGATCTTTCAATGCTGGCCGATCAGCTTCTCCTGGACGCGTTGGGATGGAGAGGGCCATGGTCACTGTGTCAACGTCAACCTCGGGTCGTGGGTCCATGCGGCAATGAACATTGTATTTGACCTTATTGTCCTCGTCCTGCCACTGCCTATGCTATGGCAACTGCAGCTCGACTACAGCTGGCGAAAGAAGGCACGCATCTTTCTGATGTTCAGCGTCGGTCTGATTGTCACTATCGTCAGCGTCATTCGACTGAGAGCGCTCATCAAGTTCGCAAACACCCAGAATGTCACGTGGGACTACACCGAAACAGCAGTCTGGTCTGGCGTCGAAGCCGCAGTCGGCGTCATTTGCGCCTGCCTACCATCCCTAAAGGTTTTCCTCACAAGGACCGCACCAGGTGTCTTCGGCAGTGAAAGACGCGATCGCAGTGGCTACGGTCAAGCTTCATCGATCAGTGTGCAACGAGACTGGACCGTCTCGTCAGGACCACTACAGAAGAATCCCTTCCACCCGGATAGTGGTCAACCCGGCGAGGCCTACGCGATGGACGGGTGGCACGGGCGCAACTACAAGCAGCGCAACGCTGATGTCTCAACATGGGAGCGGCGAGAGAGGTCAGACAGTCGTATTGGATTTGCGAAATGAAGACCATGTTTCAGTGGCATGGACACAACATGGCACAGTGGCAGCCCACTGCATGTATACTAAGGTGTATATCAAAATTACGATATCACGGCCTCGGACTTGTCGTCAATGGTTCTTTCGTCTGTGCTGGGCCGATGAGGCTGTTGAGTACGGAGTATGTCTGTGCCTTCGTTGACCAGTAGCCGTGATCCCCTGCTTAGCCTGCTTGCTGAGCGTAGGGGATGTCAGTCATCTCGCTTGGCAAAGTCGGCATTTGCCTGTTCAGGCTACTTTCGAGACGAGCACGTGGTGGGACTGCTTTACATATAACGTTACCTTATGAAGTGTCATCTGTTTCAAATGATCTGCGAGGCTAATCGCCATCAAACACGCTTCTACTTTACGGCAGGCCGAGTCTTCTCCATGCGGCAGATTGTACTCATTTGAACACTCAAGTGAGTCTGCCGAGACTCCCAATTCGGCCTCGCAATTTCGAACTTGCGAACGAGATCGACGCCGCGGGACTGTAGTATTTTGTCAACGTCTACACATAAGTGTACTAGCTGCTGGACTGCTCGCTGCTGTCCGCAGTGTCCGGGGAGACCGGGATTTGATTTTGGGAAGAAAATCAAGGGCAATAGCAATATCAGTATGCGAGAGTCAAATAATGGCCTCTGCCGCGAAAATCTTCATAACTGCCGGGAAACAAGTTGTGTTGCGGCTCAATCAATTAACTTGCGTTGCCTGAGTGTGTGCTGATGGCTGATCACGTACTGCACGCTGAAGTCTGGCTTTGGGCCTGCGCACGATTGTCCTCTTGCATACCGTCAATCATCTGGCAGACAAAGTCGATCCCGTTGAGCCGACGGAAGCACTCGCTCCGCCAAGCATCTCGCTCGGCAGCGAGGCTACTTACATGTGTTTTCAGGGCAGCATTCTGCTTCTGGAGGCGGATCACTTTTGCCTCGAGGGACTCCCGAGAATCCTCTTTATGTACCACCGTTTGTGCACGAACGCGTTTCTCGATGGTGGGTGGCGCAACTGGCTCGCTAGTACTCACCTTCGAATGAATCAGATCGTGGTCCAAACTCGACAAGACATGTCGCATCCTCGAATTCAGTCCCCAACGTCCTCTTGGAGACGCCAGTGGCATAGTCGCGGTCTTCTCGGGCGCCTGCACGACATCGTTAGCTCCAGGCGGTTGTGCGCCCGTTGCGTGAGCATTGTTATGTGGCCTGCTATCTGTAGCTCCTGCTGTGCCGGTCAGTCGGAATGAATGCAGCAGTAAGCTCTCTTCCCAAGCTGTAGAGTGAATCATTCTGGTCATGTGTTTACGAATCACTCGACTGTCAACGGCTGCTAAAATCTGCCTATATGGTCAGGCTTTGAGCCTCCACTGAGCGGACAAAGCACTAAAGAGTCGCTCCACATCATTTCATTATTGTCACACAACGAAAGTCCTTGTGTACACAGGGAGCTAAGGACCTGACCTCTTTGTCGACGAGACGGAGAATTGTGGCGAGTCCTGGTTTGTTCTGGGAGGCGTGCAACTTGAGTCGTGAGGGGAACCACCTCGCGAACGCGTTCCTGAAACAACAGGCAAGGACGATTGTGCAAGTCTTCGACTTGAGTCCCTGGGCAGTCCCCAGGTTGTCAAGACGGTAAGTCTCATGGTAAGTGTTGAGCGATTGCAGGGTCCCGCTATGGCCGCCATGCTCAGGCATGTTGTCTGCCCTCGACGGCACCAGTCCCCGCACTTGTAGTGCCGGTCGGGTAGAACCTTAGCGTGGCTCCATGATACCTCTACTTCCTAACACACCAAGCGGTACGTCGACCATCATGCGATGTTACAATCAGCAATATATCGGCCGGTCAGGGTACAGGCTCGTAGACGACGTACAACTGCATGTGAACGTTGCCACAAGCGACGTGTCAAATGTGATGCATCCGAAAAGGGCGTGCCTTGCTCAGAATGTATCAGGAGCCAAGTGGCAGATTGTCAATTGATTAGGTCGAAGAGGACAAGGTAAGTTATTGTATACTGTCCCGCGCATACATACCAGCTAATTGATCCAAGAGGCAATGATGGACGCTATGTCATTCCTAAGGAGAATCATCAAAGTAACGCATCAAGCCCGATTTCGGGTGACCAGCCCGCCAGCCCGCACGATACCGCGTCTAGCCCTGCACTTCGAGACATCGGCAGAAAAACTTCGGTGACTCACCGTACTGAGAGCGAGCCGACTGTACAGCTTGATCTAGTCAGGCTGATCAGTCACGAAAGTGATATTTACCAGTCTGCAGATGACGCACCACGTCAGACTGATACTACAGGCGGCCAGCCTGCCAGCAGCGATGAGGTAGCTCAGAAGAACAGCTTCGTAGGTGAGAGCTGGTACGCAGGCTATCTGATTTCGAGAAGCACCGGCAGTCATTCAGAACTACATCGCTCCTTGAACAGCAGTGGAGGTTTGCAAGGGCTGTACAGAAGCCCGTCCACTCACGAGAAGCCCGATGAACGCTCACAAGACCTCCCGTCAAAGGACATCGTCCAGCGACTTCTGGAGGCCTACTTTGCCAGGTTTCACATTCTTTGTCCAATCATCGATCGAGCCAATTTCTTGCGTGCGGTAGTCGAAGGCCAGGTGGCCATTGCGTTGCTTCGCGCTGTGTTGTTCGTCGGATCGATACACTGCGATCCCGAGGTCTTTCATCTGGCGGGCTACACGAAGCGGACCGACTTCAGCGACGAGATGTTCTACAAAGCTTGCGTGGAATTCGACACATGTACCGAAGGCGATCGAACAACCATGATCTTGACATCATATCTGCTACATTACTGGTTTGGAAAGCCAACAAAGTATCGAGACAGTCTTTGGTATCTCGCCAATGCCATTCGGTCTGCGCAATGTATGGGTTACCATCGCAGTACACGCAACAGTAAAATGGCGACCGAGGACAAGGCGTACTTCAAATCATGTGGTGGTGCTTGTACGTTCGCGATAGACAGGTCTCACTGTCCACAGGCGCTCCTATGGTCATCAATGACCTGGAACATGATGTTGAGGACTTAACCATGACCGACTTCCGTGACGACGAGAAACATATCGCAGAGTACATGATCAGTCAGGCATCGCTGAACAGAATCACCTCCCGCTTATATTTTGAGCTCTGTGCTCCGATGCGGCTTAATAACATGGAGGAAGGACTGGAGTTTACACGAGCAATAGAGCAGATCAAGTCGAATATGGATGGGTGGTATGAAAACAACGGATGGCTCAAGGTCAGACCAAGTCGAGATCGTCATTCGTTGTGTGTACAGGTCTGTATGCAGTAAGTACTATTCCCTAACCTCGCGAGTCAAGTCTAATCATTCTTAGATTCTACAAAATCAACCTACTGCAGCGTGTGCAGCAACACCGATCGGCAAGCACCAGATTGACACCAAGTGGAAGTTCTTCGACAGTCCAGCAGGCCGCCGGTAACATTTCTGTCCTGGTCGAAGACTGTCTCTTGCATTGGCAGCCGGAATGCTTCCCGCAGATCTTCGTCACGGCAGTATTCTCCGCAATGACTGCCTATGTTAGTGAATATGGTCGCAGAAGAGAGCACTTGCTGCAGAAGATACGACCGAGCCTGCTGATCCTGAAGCAATTCGAACAATGCCATGTTGTAGCACGCTGGATTCGAATGCTCTTCATGGATCTACTCGATCGACACGTCGATCGCGAGCCGAAGCCGACGACAAATGTTCCTACTTTGCAACGAGAGAATGGCGGGCACGACGCCAGTCTCGAGAGTGGCATCAGTGCAGGCACAGCGCAGATGCCTCCGTACATGGCCACGAGGTCTGCCAACAGATCGGCGACTCTCGAAGGCGCAGCATATCATTCAACTACCCACACGCGCGTCAATTGGGAGCCAAGTGCCCGCAGCTACGCCAACGGCTCGACTAGCCGTCCAGACGTGCTTCCAGACGGGCTGCCAGACGGACTGTCCAATATGCAAAACGTGGATCAACTTCCCATGCATCTGGATTCTGCGTTTGTTGATGAGTTCTTCTCCTTTCCACACGACATGCACAGCGACAACGGATCCAACGGTTTCCCTTCGCCAAGTACCATGGCGTATCAATCCATGTACTATCTGGCAGACCTCGGCCTTAACAACGGGGCGTTATGACCAGAATGGTGACATGAATGTTCTCCGGACTCTTGAATAATCGTTTTCACCATGATGAATGTCCAGCTCCTTGTGAGCCGAGATGGCACGATGTGATTACATCCAGCTCGATGCTGCCGGCTGGACGTGGCTTCCGACCAGAGAGTGCTTATGGGCGCGGTGGACCACTATTTTGGGGTTCGTTTTCGTCGAAGGTAGCCAAGTTGATAGTACTGGCCGCTGGCGACGAAAGGTGATTGGCCTATTCACCATCGCCGAATGGAACTCTAAATCGGGATTCGCGATTTCCAGCCTCGGTTCAGCGCTCCAGACATTGTGATCCATGTCACAGCGACTACAGATGCAGGTATGACATGCGCAATTCCGTCACCCACTCAATGAAGACGCATGCCCGCAACAGACAACGCCTGAGACTACGGATCCTCCGACAAGGGCCTCTCACGCTGCAGGTCGGACTCAACTTCATCATCACATACTGCCCATGGTCAGCTTCAGCTATTTCAGGACGCGTGCGATCACTTCTTTCGCGAACCCCGTCTTACATCTGATGCTTCGACAGTGGTGCTCCTGTTGAAGCATGGCTACTTTGTACGAGGAGAATACAAAATTCCCAAGTGTCGACCTGGGCTATGCTCGATATCAGCCCGACTACCATGAATCTGGCGGTTATTACGACTTCCAGAACATTCGTTATGCCGCACCGCCTACCGGCAATCGCCGCTTTCAGCCACCGGTGCCTGTCTCCCAGGCAGAAGACCACGAACTGCGAGCTCCCGAGACCACGACGCCGCCTCAAGCTGTTCCTGCGTGGGTGAGAGGCACCGAGGACTGGTCTGATAGGGGCACCGAGGACTGTCTGTTTCTTGACATTAAGGTGCCCAAGACTGTGCTGGAGAGCAGGGATCAGGCTGTAAAGTGCCCGTGCTTGTGTGGTTGTATGGTGGCGGCTACACTGCGGGATCGAAAGAGTTATTTGGCAGCGGAGCCGGACTGCTTGCTCGTGCAGCTAAGCCCATGATATATGTTGCCTTGAACTATCGAGTACGTCTCCAACGTCACCGACTCATCCGACTTACTGATATGCGCAGCTAGGGATCTTCGGCTTCTTGGGGGGACCAGATTACATCGACCAGGGCGGTACATCGAATCTCGGATTACTTGACCAAAGGTTTGGACTAGAATGGGTCCAGGAGCACATATCACTGTTCGGTGGCGACCCAGATGAAGTGACGGTAATGGGTCAGTCCGCCGGAGGTGGCTCGATTCTTCATCAAATCACAGCATATGGCGGCTCGCAGGGACCATCTCCTTTCAAGCGAGCTGTACTACAGAGTCCAGGCTTCTATCCGATCACGAGTCCAGAGGTCATGAATCGAGACTTCCGTTGTCTGTTAGAACATGCGAAATGCGAGTCTCTGGAAGAACTGAAGATGCTGTCAGGGCAGGAGTTGAAAGTCGCGAATCTTGCTGTCATCGATACTGCTCCTTACGGGCAGTTCTTGGTGAGTGGCAAGGGTGCCGATGCAAAGGATTGCTGACATTGCCACAGCTTGGTCCTGTCGTAGACGGCACATTCGTGCCGGATCTGCCAGGACGACTTCTACTTGACGGTCAATTCGACAAGGACCTCGATATCATGCTTGGGCAGTGCTTCAACGAGGGCGGCGACTATGTAGAGCCTGTCGATATCTCAGAAGACTACATGTCCAAGTATCTGGACCGAACGTTCTCAAGCATAAGCTTGGACACGAAGAACCACATCATGTCCGATCTATATCCTCCTGCAGATGGTTCGAACGAACAAGCGTTGGCCTTGCGCGGTCATTTAGGATTCTCGAGCATGGCGCCATTCTATTCGACACCGACAGCACGCCTGCAGCGGCTCATCAGTGACGCCGTGTACATCCAGCACAATAACGCGCTATCGCAAGCTTTTCGGGAGCAGAACTTCAACTACCTCTGGAGTGCAAGTGAGGGAAGACATGGAGCAGACCTAGCTTATACATTCTACGCCGAAGACGAACCGCCCATACCAGTTCTGCCGCCGGTCAAATCCCAATATCTGGCGCACGCTCTGCAGAAGTATATCACAAATTTTGTGATATCTGGTGATCCCAATGGGGAGAACGATGACGGACTCCCCACAATGGAGAGGCGAGGTCAGAATGGACTCGTGCTTGAGATTAGAGACGATGGATTCAAGCAGACTTCTGATCCCAGCGACAAGGAGCAATGTGCTTGGTGGCAGCAGAATCCGCTTTGGGAGACCCCTGTACCAGCTACGGAACAGCGGTAGGAACAACGACAGAGCCACCATTCAGTGCCAGGACTAGGCCGTAGTTGTTGCAGCCCCGAAGTCACATCAATGTCAACGTACCGAGGAAGTAGAGACCCCGACAAGTGCTCCTTCCGCAGTTACTTTCTCGACAATTGTGCCTGCTTGGCTTAGCCCGTCTGGCAAGTACGCACCACAAGAGATTCCAGTTTCTAGGACAAGTCGATTGGCCTGACTTCAAGCAGAATAGTGGACCTCAATGCGCACCTGTGCATGCGGTACCAAATAACCAATGCGCCCAATGTCCAAGTCAAATTAGAGTTGCACGCCGTCGGTACAGAACATGATTCGCCAAGTGTCCATAGCCGAGTTCGGCGCCGACTCTAGCGTGGTTCCGATATGCTTTACAGCTACCCCAGATTGGAGACCCCAGCTTCGATATTGTGGGCAGGCGAGTGGACGGGCCAGGGACTATATTAGACGCGATCGTCAACCCAACAGCTTCGGCGTCCTCTATCTTCCTCACCAAGGCAGTCGACGTCTTCAATACCTAGTATCGGACAACATGGGTTCTGCTAGCGGCAATGTCGATCACACGACGGCAAAGTTCCACTTCCTGCACAACAGACGTCTTGTCTTGACAGGTCAGTCGTGACCAGACACCACTAAGACATGCTCTGACTGCTCGCAGTGCTCATCTTGACTCAAGCCTATATCTGCTTTGGCTATGACGCCGCTATCATCGGAGGCGTCCTAGCGATGCCTGCGTTCGTCAATCGCTTCGGTGTCGAACAACCAGATGGAACCAAAATCCTCACCGCAAGCCGTGTCTCCGTCATTACAGCAACTCGGACATCTGCGAGTATTCCCGCAGTCTTCGCGTGCCAGTACTTGGGCAACAAATGGGGCAGAAAAAGAACGATCTGGTTTGGCTGTGCCACATGTCTCCTTGGAACAGCTTTACAGACTGGATCTGTTGAAGAGGTCATGTTGACCTTGGGATTGACAGTTGCAAGTCAGTGTCTTCCCCGTCTTACTCCCTAAATCAATGTTAACACAGTCAGACTTCGGCTATTTTGTCATGGTATCAATGGCGTCCACCCTCATCATCGAGCTCTCGCCTCCATCTGTGAGAGGCGTAGCCGGCGCTTGTCTTCAACAGCCGTGAGTCCCTCCCTGGACGGCATCTGATGCAGTCTTTCTTTGATTTGCCGCTAGCCGGGCAGTGTCACTGACGTGCTCGATTGGCAGATTGGTCTGATGGGTGTGCTAAGCGCCGGTATCTCTTGGGGCACTTTCCGTAAGTACTGGCAAGATCAGCCTCAACATCCCACGGCTAACGACGGCATCGTATAGACTACAAAAGCGAGTTCTCGTTCCGGATGCCTCTCGGTCTGCAAAACCTGTTCCCAATCACGATGGCAGTGTCGATGTTTTACGTGATGGACTCACCCACATCTTACCTCATCGTCGGAGACGATACCAATGCGTTAAAGAGTCTGAGGAGAGTCCGCCATGGCTACAGTTCGGATGAGATTGCCGCAGAGATGGAAACGCTCAAGTGGCAAAACCAACTCAGGAAGGACTGCGACGACGTGAAGTGGTTCGAGATTTTCCAAGGAACGAATCTGCGACGTACAATCCTCGGAACCTTCCTAGCCGTCATACAGAACCTGTCGGGCGGCATCTTCGCAGGCAATTACGCGACCATATTCCTGTCTCAAGTCGGCACTGCTAACCCGTTCGTCCTGGTGTTCGGACTCAACATTCTGATCCTTGGCGGTGCTGTCGTCGGCCTGTTCCTAGTGGATACTCTCGGCAGACGACGATTGCTCCTCCTATCATTCCTGCTCCTCGGATCCATCGACTTGGCAATTGGTGGTCTGGGCTTCGCCGACGCGACCAACCCTGCTGTCATACAGGCCATAGCTGCACTGAGTCTGCTCTTCGGTTTCATCAATGCGGCAGGCCTGGGTCCCTTGATCTGGCTGTTGGCTGCAGAGCTCCCTACTGCTCGTCTGCGCAATATCACAAACGCGTGGATCTTGCTTTGCATCTCCTTGTCGGCCTTGACAGTTGCATATGTGGTTCCATATATCGCGAACGCTGATGCTGGGAACTTGGGACCGAAGACCTACCTGATCTTTGCCTTCTTCATGGGCCTCGGTCTGCTCGTGACAGGAATATGGTGGCCTGAAACTAAGGGCAGGACGCCAGCGGAACTAGATGAGATGTTCACAGCCCGTCTACCAGCCAGGGAATTCCCTAAGCATAGATCGATGTTGAACCAGGAGAATATCATGACGGAAAAGGCCAGACTTGGTGGCGTTACGAGCATCGAGGAAGTTGATGATATCTCTACAAGGGTTTAGAGCTCTCCGAGACGTTGCACAGGAGGACAAAGTACATTACAATCCCAGCTGATTCTCAAATACCATCATTCTGAACATACAAATCATCACGGGCGTGCGTCGACTACTATTGGCTCATCATGAACATGTTTAGCATGCTGACTACAGCCTCCCTCGTATCGCGTGCGCGCCGCCCCTTGGCAGCGTTGCGGCGAGGATTACAGAACCAATCGGCACCTCCAACTGCTTTCCTTTCCCGGGCACGGCAGTGCGAGGGAGCGAAGGATCGCGACAGCGAGAACACCGAGCACATTTGTGTAACGACAGTCAATTGAAGTCTATAAGCTGTTATGTTCTCATCATGAACCAGCTCATTGTTCCACCTCTCACACGGGCGCTGCCTATCACTCAACAAAATGGGTCTCGAAACGCAACACACCCAATGGCCATTGACGCCCTTCCCAGACGACATCAAGGACTTCATAACACGATTCTACGAAATCGCCGATGACTTCAGCGAAGCAGCAACCCACACCGTGGACTATCTGTTCCTTCCCGACGCCCAAGTGACGCTCGGGGACCAAACTTTCAAAGGCTTCGATCGTATGTCACCCGTACCCTCATGGGATATTCCTGACAGCGTACAGAGCTAGAACAAGCCAGAAGTGCTCCCTTCCCGCTACTGGAAAGCGTCTTTCATGAGATCAAGGGCGTGTACAGCAGGAACGAGGTCGGGGATGATTTGCTGCTGTATGGGCGGGTGACCTGGGTATATAAGAAAGGGGGAGAGCGAAGTGCGGATTTTGCGTCGAAGTTGGATCTGGTCAACGGGGAGGATGGGTGGAGGCTGCGGTCGTATCAGGCATTTGCTGTGAGTGTGTGTGAAGGTGTGTAATTAGTTACTGATTGGGATGCAGGACCTTTCGCAGCTGATTGCGGGTTTGTCGGAGTAGACTGTTGTCGACCGTACATCGCTAGTAATTCGATGATGGGAGAGGGAAAGTAAGCACAGGTGGTCGACGATCATCATTGATGCTATCCATTCATGTAAGCTCATGACCGAACAGGCGTCGGTGATGGCATACCTGGCACTCGTGTTGTTGGCCAGCCGGTCATATCTCCTTTCCCAACACGCTCCACAGCCCGACTCCAGACACGCGTCTTACTACCTCTCGGTCCCTATCGATAACTCCGTGATACTGAGCCTGGTTGGCGCGATTCCTCCCGTCGAATGGCCTTGAGCTCTTGTCAAACTGAGACTGCTCTGCAGCAGCCCCCCCTCGTGGATGTGGCTTCTCAGAAGTCCGCACCTTCGCGATCTCCACCTTCGAGGCCCTGCTGGACGGCAGGCGGGTTCAATTCACGATCCTGGACGTTGACCCCTTCCACGTTGTCGTCCTGAGCGCCTTGCATTCTCGCCTCGAGATCGTACTGATGCTCAAGCAGGTTTGCGTTCTCTTCTCGGATCGCTTGCAACTGTACTTCGAGTTCCTGCTGATCGTTGAGGAGTCTGGCGTTCTCCTCGGTTGAGGCGTGCAGTTGCTCTCGGAGCTCCCATTCGCTGTTGATAAGACCAAGAATTCGGGCTCTCAGGCGTTCGGTAAGGCCGTCGCGAGTGCGATGGAGCTGATCAAGCTGCTCTTGGGCGGTGTTCAAACTTCGTGTCAGCCGCTCTTGGTTCTCGTTCGCTCTGCGCAAGTCTCCTTCGGCTGCATGGACGCGTGCCATCAGACTGTGATGCTCGGCGGCTAGGGCAGCCAAGTTCTGGTCAAATCCTCGACGTACTATGCCGATTCCCCCATTGAAGAGTGCCGTTGCGTGCTGTCGGACTCGATGGAGCCAGGTGCCGCCTTTGCATGCGACGATGACAAGATAGATGAGGAGCATTCTCCAGCTGACGTCGGCGCAAGCTTGGATAGTGACGAATTTGCCAAAGACGCCCTTCAGCACGCTGAACAGCACGACAGCGAACATTGCCATCAGTCCAACTTTATGCGGGGAGGACATGCGGGACACCTCCGTGAGCAATCTTTGGGAAGGGTCCATTGTTGAGGTATGTAAGACGACTTGATGGAGGCCTGGGATGAGCGCTGTGTTGCGAGTACCGACAACTGAGGTTGCTTGGATCTCTCTGACGTGCTCTGTCTGATGTGTGTTGGTCGTTGCGTATCTTTCGCGGGCTGATGTGGGTTGCGGGAGTTCAAAGCTGCTTGTGTCAGGGGCTGAGTTCTTAAGCAGGATGTCCAGTCGTCTGAGGCAGTCGTTCAAGGCAATTGGCTAAGGCAGACAAGGCAAGTGGTAAAGGCAGTTCTGGTGCCTCCAGAAACATGGTTACAAGTGAAGTCTCGTTATGCTCTTGGTTTATATGGTGAAGGCAAAGCCGGTGGCAGGATGACTCCAGATGTTTGCGCATCAAAGGTAGTCCTTGAGAACACTGTGTATCATACAAACAAAGCTGTCCATGCTTGAGAAACAAAGCAGCAGCTTAGCGCCATCGCTTTTGTGCTTCTATGAGCTGCGAGACTCGATTGCCTATTCCATCACAGGCGTGACGGTACAGCGTAGGTGTTCACCAGAGCGAAGAAAGTACAAATAAGCGGTGCGATCACCGGGACCGGTTACAGTCTCAGCGCGAGTCGAGACAAACTGAGGACCTTGAACGGTGTCCTTGGCTGGTAGGTATTGATGTCAGCGTTTCTGGTACCCATACGTGCATTGCATAGCATATCTTCAGGACAAGGGGCGTGGATGATTCTGCCGTCAGGCAGCTCTGAGTATCTAGTCGAGTCTGTATTGGTCTATTATGATATCTATCTATGACTTCGTAAGGTGTCCTGTGCGCTCCGTCCCACATCGTGGTCGAGCAGTCTCAGAGCATTGCTCGATGAGACTCGGTCGTGCGTATTGTGCTGGTTCATTCCTGTTTTGTGCGACCTTGCTTGCTTCTCGGACTCGCTGCGTCGATCTTTGAAGCTCATGCTGCATGCTCGTCTGTGCAAAGCTTGCTGCTGCTTGATGTATCAGCTCTGTAGCCTTACGCGACGCCTTCGGACAGGAAGACTTACCTCTTAGATCAGCTCGAACTCCTCGGGCAAGTCATCCTCGGTGACCGTGGTCTGGTGCAAGTCTTCTCCTTTGCCTACCTTGCCTGGGATGACACTCTTGCTCACTCCTCTGCCAGCAGCGATGTGCTTCATGGCCGTATCGACGTTGGCTTGGGTGAGCTCGATCAAACCCGGGCACTTCTGCTTGATTGACGAAGCGAGCTCTTGCACCATGGCGTGAGTCTCGAGGACCGACCCCATCATACCACCGGCACGAATGTACTCATAGAGCTTGAAGTTGAACGATTGGACGTACTGTGTGAGCATCTTCTCGCAGTCACCATCGCCACCGGGCGGCAGTCGAGAGTACAACACAACATAGACATCCAGCATAGTCGTCCTCAGCTGATACGGACCTTTGAGAAGCATGCCAAGAGCGCAAATCAAGGTCAGGAACGTCTCGATGGGCATGTTGCTCGCGACGAGTGCCCTGCTGTGTCTCTCCATGAATAGCTCATAGAGCTCGGTGATATACTGAGGGACTGGCGGATAAGCGGGAATGGGCTCTTTCAACTTCCGGTTGACGTCGACCCATTCCATCACCTTCTCAACTGGGCCTCGGAGCTGTTGCTTGAGCCACTTCTTACTACCTTCCTTGATCTTCTGCACTTCTGCATGTTGATCTTGGCCTGCTGCTCGTTGTAAACCTCCATACGTTCGTTGAGATCCTTGGTATAGGCGATGATATCGTCGATGTAGGCTGGCATGCGCTTACTGGCGGCCACAAAGCGTCTGGCGAGGACCACAAGTCGGTTGAGAATGTTACCGATGTAGACCGGAACGCGTTCGATGGTTTCGGCTAGGGCAGCCATCGTGCGGTTCAGTGCATACTGGACGATGACGGACTCGAGTATGGAGGTGACTGCAATGTAGATCGCACAGAACATGAAGCCAAAGCCGGCGACCAAGGTAGCAATGCAGTAGAGGTTGTCTTCCCAAGGGTGGGTGATGGCCATGATGTAGCTGAATAGGCATGTACCAAGGAAGAGCAGTGCAACCTCCTTCAGGGTGGGCCCCAGAGCTTGAGGGTTGGGAACGTTGTGTTGCCGAGAGCCACCGGGACTGTGCGTGGTTGTCGACATTGTGGTAGTGGGTAAAGATGAGGTGTGTCGGTTGTGCGTGGTATTGTCTCTCTGGATGTGTACTGGCCTGGTAGACTTTGGGGGTTGAAGAGATCCGAAGATCAGAAATCCGTTTGCAGTGGAGGGTCGGGGTCTTATAGCAGATGAGCAAGGCAGTTGTATAAGGCAGCCGCGCTTGGGGCAGTTACCAGGGGCAGATCTGGCGCCTTTCACCACTTCACCATAATTGAAGTCCAATGTTCCAGCTCAGGTGATGAATCGGATGTGAAGCGGTGGCTTCCATGACCTTCATGCACTTGCCCTGTCCATGAACTCCAAGGAGACCTCGGGAAGGTGGTTTGCGAGCATCGTCATTCGTCTGATGGGATAGTCTCCGTGAGCGGCTACGTACTAAGAGGCTCACCGTAGCCCTTGTGACGCCATATTCTGCCCCAATGCTGGTGCTAGTCTGAAAAGCCACATCCCTATTCACCCTGTATCACTCATTTGGCTTGTACAAATTATCCAACATGGTCTTGTATTTCTGAGCATCAAAGCGTGCCTTTGCTACCTCTCCCTCCAAGCGCTGCGATTGATCTCTCAGGTGCATCTTCAACCTAGACTGTACCGAGGTTTCAGCTCGAGACGTCCGAAGCTGTTTGCTCAGAGCCTGCTCTCGTGCAGTCAACTCTGTGTTGTGTTTAGTCAAGCTCTGAACACGTTCTCTGAGGCTAGCGTTGTCGTTTCTGGAGATGGCGACCTGCGACCCGAGGGCGCTCACAGTCTTGTCGAGTTCGTCTTTCGAGTGGCTTACCGCTCGGACCCGCGATTCGAGATCCGAGTTGTCGCTCTTTGAGGTCTGTAGCTGTGTCTTGAGCCCACCTACACTGCTGACTAGCTCCGCGTTCTCGGCGATCGACGCATTTAGGCGACTCTTGAGCTTCAGCTCGCTGATGACCAGACTCGCCGCCATATCTTGTGTAGTCTTGAGTTGTGCCTTCACATCTCGATTGCGTGTAGCCAACTTTGTGTTCTCCCCTATTGATGCCTGCAGGCGTTCCTGGAACACTTGCTCGCTGTTTTGTAAGCGTGCCTCAAACGCACGCTCATTTTCGACAGACTTCGCATGTCGGTCTTCTAAGTTGTGAAGGCGATCTTTGAGATCTTGGTCGCTGGCAAGAAGGTGGTCAATTTGCTGTTGCTTGGCCTCAAGACATTGGGCAGAGTCGTCTTCGATCTGGCCGAGGCTAGCTTGGAGTTGTTGTTCGATCTCAAGATGTCCTTCGATCTGCTCTTCCAAGCCCACCAAGCGCTGGGTAAGCTGTGCTTCGGTTTCATCGTGGTTTAGATTCTCGGTCTGACACTCGTGAAGCTGCTGAGCCAGAAGGCGCTCATTTCCAGCCATCTCCAATACCTTCTTCTCGAATGCACTTCGGACTTCGTCGATTCTGGCGGCACAGACCGTTTCTGCCTCATCTCGGACCAGCGCAGCAACAACGACAATAGTCGCGTAGAACGCAAACAGTATGCCGGCGGCTGTGAAAGTTGTGCGAGTGAACGGGTTGGTAGATGCTTTGACTTCGAACAAGCAGCTCAATGTGAGTGCACCAAGCGAGCCGAGCCCAATCGTGTTCAGGCAACGATTGATCGTAGCGCGATTCGCAGGCTCATGCACGTGATGGTCGTTGGGAATTGGATCGTCCATGGTCAATAGATGCTATGCAGGAATAAGACTCGTAGTCTGCGCGATCCGATGGCCAATGGTCCCCGAAGATGAGATTGAGTCTGGAAAATTGTTGTACGTCTTGTAGAAAGTCAGGAAAGGCTGCTTGGGTATCTGAGTGCTGAAGGCAAGGCAACTGCCCGGGCAGTTTTGCCACAAGTGAAAGCCATCCGTGCTGTTCCACATCGCGGGAAAGGACTGCCTGAAGGCCTGCACGTGAGCGTGAGCATCGTCTGTGAAAGCTCGATGAAGTATAGTTGTAGTGGCTAACCTCAAGTGATCACTTGGTCCATCTGTTTTGGATCGAAGGGGACGTTTTCAGTGGGTACCCGCGCATTCCAGTGTCTGACATGCTGTCCTTCGGCATCTTGAAACTTGAGACAGGCCCGATCCTTTGGCCATGGGACAACTGTCGGAATCTAACTAGGCGAGGCAATGTTGACCTCTTGTCCGGACTTCTGTGCCTTGACAGGAAGCCGTCAAGTAGAGAGCACCTCATGCTTTGTTGAAGCAAGTCCAGAGCCTGCTTTGACTTGCTTTTATGCTCATGGTGAGCTATCGCCCGTTCGAGGGTTTCGGTCCACAGAGCCCGCGTGGAAGCCAGTCTGGACTTGATGTAATGTACTGTCGTGAGTCATGTCACCACGGCTCCACCCTCCGATACCTCTACTCGTCCCAGCGCTGACGGCATGGGTGGTTTCATCGCCATGAGCCAGCGGAACTCGGTATGGCAGGTCGGGCACGTGAACGACGCCCCAAACCACTGCTGGATGTGAGTCTTGTGGAATTGATGGCCACAAGGCAGTGGCACGTGCGATGAGTCCTCCGCAATGATGTCGTCGAGACAAATGGCGCATTGATCGTCATTGTAACGATTCAAGGGTACGGCGTGGGCTGGATATATCTCGTGGTGTTTTGGAAGGAACATCGCGCTCGTATCAGCGGTGTACGTATCTCCTTCACGTCGAATCGCGCCTGACTCTACGAGACCATCAAGGTCGCTGCGGAGGCCATCCCGGGACAGCTTCGCCGAAATCCACATCTCCGTCACATTCTTCACTTTCTTCCGAAGAATCCTGATCTTCTCCTGGTCTTCATCTCGTCCATTCTCGGTCAGGTGCTGGAGTTGCGCGCGGTCCTCGTTGGCTTGTCGCATCTGTGCCCGGTTTGCGAAGCGTTCGCCAAGGAGAATCAGCACCAGTGCGCGTTTTCTACCGCGTTCCCCGTCGAGAAGATGCTCCAGCGTTTGAGTCCTTCCACGTTCCTGATCGAGTTCTCGCTCCAGTTTCCGCACACGGCCGTATTGCGCATCGCGTTCGCGTTCCAGATTTGCAATTTGTACTTGATCCTCGGACCGCCCGAATACTCTCAGAGACCTCAATTGGTCCCTGAGTGGCCTGTGCGAGGAGAAATACCAACGAGAAAAGATCGCGGCGAGGAGTGCCGCCAATGCTAGCAATAAATATAGCCACTCGGCGTCCATACTGAGCCTCTTTGCTGTCCGCGGCTTCGCGCTGGAAACAGTTGTAGTTGACTCGCCGCTGTTGTCGGCACAGAGGATATGACAAAAATCGAGTAGAGTCGCCAGGCGTCGTGAAGGTGTCGAGTAAGAAGACAAAACCCCAGGACAGTGAACGTGTAGAGAACACGCTGGCAACATGGTTGACAAAAGACGTAAAACTTTTAATGGCGCCAATACCTGCTCGGACCATACAAGCAACGACAACATACTTTGCTGTGATATGGTTCCAACAACAAACATATGGAACTGAAAGCAAAGGGACAGAGCGGAACGGTAGTGGCGTACCCAACAGATACCGCGGTCGTCTTGGGGTTTTGGTAGACATGACCCGAGCCGAGCTCTATGAATGAAAAATCAGAAGTCCTGAGATGAAAGGGAAGGGCTCAGATAGGGAGAGGGGCGGAGCGGGAAGTAGAGTTTCGAAGGCCCCATCGCAGCTGGTAAAGTTTATGTTCCGGCCCAGGTGCCTGCAGAGTAACTGGTGCGGAGTGCTCAGCAAGGAGCTGGGCGATGCCAAGACTGAGTACCTTATAGCAGCCGCATATACATACGCCCCGGAGCGTGTAGGCCCCTGTCGAATATTCCTACCATCAGCAGCTGGAAGTACAACGAATCGATCCGTCTTACCTTCTCTAGCATCCTTGCTGACCAGCGACTGCTCGCGCATTGACAGCTACTTCGGACCTTCTTCGGCAAATCGAAATACGGAAGCATTATTGCACCACAACACCAACGAGACCAGCAGGATGATTTCGCTTCTTCCAGGTCCCCTGGGACTGCTATTGTCACATGACGGTCGCTGGCATATCACGATCGGACTTGGACTTCGCATGGCCCTGAATATGTGGCTAACATTTGCTCTGGTCGTTTCTATGGCCTTCCGACGGGAACGGCTCAACCTTCGTCCACTCCAGCATCTGAACATCAAGGACTTCACCGCTCTCGAGGCACTCGGGGCCTGGAGTTGCATGAGTCTAGAGTGGCTGCCTTTTCCAGATCCTGAGAAGCCCGATTTCTGGCCGCTTGTTCGATTCGAGCTCTTGTTCCTGGTCGGACTGTTAAGCATCCACGTCTGGGTCTTGTTTGACTCCTTTGGGAGGCCTCTGGCTCACAGCGAGCCAGCCGCAGTATCTACGGGCTGTGGGGGAAGATGGTGGATTTGCGATCGTAACACCGAGCATCTAGGGGCCGGTGATCTGGTGGCTGTGTTCCCTATGCACGTGAGCATTATTGGAATACCAGGGAGGCCCTGGCCACGGACTTTGACTCATGTTCATCAGCGCGATCCAGATCGACTTTTGCGTATCCGAGACGAAGACGACTGCAAGTGTCTGTGCTGTTGGGAGCCATACGAAAGGAAACAGCTGATCCATGTCCTTCCTTGTGGGCACCGTTTCCATGCTAATTGCATAGACCGTTGGTTCTGGGAGAAGAGAGCACTTGAATGTCCATTGTGCAGACAAGAATTCGGAAGCGACGATCTTGTGGTCCGATAAGGAGGCAGACTGGGCCCAGCCAGGACGAGCCTACGCAGAAGGGCTGCTCCATCATCGAATCTGGCCAAAAGCCGCCGTCGTCGTCTGCAAGCATTGTGCGTCGCGTCGACTTTCACCTGATACGCCCACAGGCAGAGCTTGCATCTCGCACGATTGTTCACCTGATGCACCTGCAAGGCAATATCACCACAGACTTGAGGTCCATGGCAGTTCTGTGTCGGTAATAACGCGACAAAGCAGTCTTGCCCAGAATATCGGCAAAGTCTCACGCTGTTCTTTGTCCGCCACGAGGCAAAACGGTCTGCCACAGCAACACGTATAGCGCGGATAGTAATCCAAGCTCTCCTTTCCATTTGCATCTCGCTTTCACTCCTGCTGGAGCCGTACTCGACACAGCGGTCGAACCTCACTCGCGGCAAAAGTCGTCAAAATCATCCTTCATAAGGAAGATCAACCAGCTCGCCATTAACAACGATGTCTGTCGCTTGGATCGGCAGTAAAATTGCCAACGAAACGATCGCAGCCATCAACTTCATTACCAACAGCAACCTCACTGTCGCCAACAGCCCGTCTCCAACTAGGAATCAGAGCTGCTTCGATGATCCTTCCAATGCATTGAGATGGTACAAAGAAAATCTCAACGCCACAGAAGTAGCGCGCATGGTCCATAAGCATAACCCCTGCACGTCCCTCTCTGGACCGGAGCTCGCCTGGTGTAAGAAGAGGGCGTCCATACAATCGAATTTACTTTTCGGGCTGCTCTTCGTAGCGTTCCCACTGCTGATGGCATTTGCCGGCACACTTTGTGGAAAGGCGTTGAACAGATGTTGTCGCAAGCTATGCGCGTGGACGGAGTGGCCAGGCATGCTGAGCTTCTGGGCACTGAAAATGGCCGCGAACATATTTCTGATAGGCTCGATTGTGCTAATGTCACGAACTGGGTCACCATGGGCAGCCATCCCCATGTGCCTCATCGTTGTTCCGGTGTTCCGCTATGGCTACCGTCATATCATGGATCCCACAGTGTACCCGATTTTGGGACCTGAACTCGTCAATATGTTGGCTCGGATAGAGCAGCTCTCAAAATCTCAAGTCGCCCGGAAGCTTTGGATCTGCAAGCAGAACTCCGAGAACTTGGCCGTGGACGAAGTTGTCGCCGAAATAACTATCGTTGTGTCCGATGTCAATAAGTATCCGGATGGTGGCTATGTCGCAGAGATTGCCGGAGCCCCTCATCCACAGCTGGAAGCTGATGAAAGGATGCCACGGATTAGAGGTCCCAACGATCGAGAATGTGCCATCTGCAACGAGGGCTACAAAACGAATCAGATCCTGGATATCCTACCATGCGGCCATCGTCTTCATGCCATTTGTGCGGCACTATGGTTCGAGGAGAAGCTGCAATGTCCCTACTGCCGGAAAGACTTCAGGTATGTCGGAAGTCTCGCCATGAGACGGGAAGATGAGTTGTCTGCGAATGTTCAAAATGAAGTCGCGTGAATCGGGGAGGCAACCGGTATCAGCTGCTCATTACGGCAAAGAAACACTGATCTTGACAACTTCTGACGACGAAAGGGCTGATGTCGTCCGCCTTTACACAAGAGATTGCGGCGACTGTCACACATGACAATGATGCGACGCTGTTGGCCCGGTCTGTCGACGAGAGGAGGCTCCGGCGGACTTCTGGAGCATCTAGCGTCACCACTCCGTTGACAGTCAGGCTGAGAGGGTGAAGCCATACTTTAGCCACATGACTAGATAGAGAATCAAGTATCGAACCCGACATTCCACAGATCACAGCGAAGACGCTGCCTCGAGTATCCTGCAGCAAGGCCCTCGACTTCGCTGGTCAGGTCGGTGGGTTTGAGTTAGTTATATCTGAGTATCAAACACTGCGAGCGATATCTCGAGGAACCCTGGCCAGTAAGGGCGCCGTGTGAGTACTGACGACTGCGACTCACGCCGTCAGTTGGAGGAGACATACGACTCTTGTTCCCAGGGCTTGCGAGCTCAAGGCCGCACAAAGCGCTGGTCCATTGGTGAATATCGGTCGAAAATCGCCATCGTCATCTGTGAACATTGACTCTGGCACCTCCTCTCACCGATACGGCTACAGGCCAACAATGCACCCCATGCCAGCTGCTCAAGCATCAGGGTAAGACTGAGGTCTCGGGCAGTCCTTTGTCCGCGACAAGGCAGGACTTGTTTCTTGCCCAACAATTCGACAAAGGCTCAGGCTGTTCTTTGTTCGACAGCAGGCAATAGGGACTGCCTTTGCAACACAAATATCACAGATGATATGTCATGCTCTCACTCTTGCTTTCCCTTCCACTCTTTTGCAACTATTGTCGCATCCCGTTACAACAAACTGCCAGTCGAGTCATCACTTCTATCTTCGACAACAACGCCCTGTCGTTTCGCGATCAGGAAACGAACCTGGGCTCAACATGCGCAGGGGCTTGATCGAAAGCCTTCTTGAAGCGGCGATCAATATCACTATCGCCAACAACTTGACGGCCGCTGGCAATGTGACGGTTGATGCAGATCTGACTTCCTTTAACGATGAGGTTGCCAAGAATATGACTGCTGAAGATCTGTATGCGTTGCTCAGAATCACACGTCCTTGCTTTGGTCGCTCTGGTCTAAGTGCTGCCTTCTGCACTACGGGAGAGACCAGCTGGTACTTCATGTCCATCTCTATGGGCACGGCGCTCACCATGGCAATGTTCTCATTGTGGGAATTGATGTTGGAACTGTGTGTTCGGAGACTCTGTGTATGGCTGGGGAGGCTGGGCAAGGTTGACATATGGCTGGCTCGCATCGGTGCGCACCTGCTTCCCCTCGGCCTTCTGGTTGGGACGAATTCACTGTGGGCAGGCCTTCTTCTGGTACCCATCATGTTCCTCGTGATATGCGGCGGCTTCTTGGAGCTTGCACAGCTAGAGATGGTGGCCGTCTTGACAGAAGTCATCTGGCAAGTCTGCAGGACCAGACCGCAAGTCGCTCGTAAGTTCTGGATCTGCAAGCGGGACACCGAGGATCTGGGCGTGGGCGATATTGTGGCCGAATCAACCATTACCTTATCCAACATCAAGACGTATGAGGCCGGTGTCTACATTGCGGGTCTCAGTGGAGCTTCTCGCCCTGACTTGGCGACTGAAGATGCGAGACCTGAGATCAGAGATCAGGACGACCGAGAATGTCCCATCTGCACAGAATGCTACAAGAAGGGTCAACTTCTGGATATCCTCCCTTGCAAGCTAGGACATCGCTATCACGCCACCTGCATCGATCAAGCCTTCAAGAACAAGCTGGAGTGTCCCTATTGCACGCAGAAATTTGTAACGGTCGGGAGGCTCGAGCCCAGGTGAGAGGTGTGGTTCCTGCGCAGATGCCATAAGATATGGTTTTGCGGGAATATAAGCAGCGGTTTGGTTCCAGATGCTCCTGATGCTTGCCATAGGCAAGATCGAAGTCGTTCGAGGCAAGGCTGAGAGAGGGGGCGAGGCAACAGCGTGCTCAAGTCTTTAGATAGCGAACCAAATACTGAGAAATACATTCCATCGATCGCAGTGGAAGAGCCCTTTCCAGCAACTCCGCAGCAAGACGTTTGGAATATGTCCTTCGCCACGGCTTTCGGTATCGTGGCCACACAAAGGCTTGGCTCAGTGTCGGACATTGGTCGAAAGTCGAGCTCATCCTCTGCAAACGTTGATTTTGGCAACGTCTTTCACCCGATGTACTTGCAGGCAGCTGGACGATGCACTTCACATCTGCCGGGCGAATACCACGGCAAGTTTGTGGTCCAAGGCTACTCTTTGTCCGTGACTTCTTTGCTCCCCAGCACTTTGGGGAAGTCCGAGGTCGTCGCTTGTACGGCACCAGGCAACACGACTGCCTTTGCGCCACAGACACAAATACTGGGAAGAGTCCATCGCTTTCTTTCTGCTGGCTTCTGTCTCCACACACGGTCGCGACTGTCACTGCCAGTAGAATTGACAATCAAATCTTCGACAAGAAAGTCCAAACACCTCAGACAACATGCCAACCAACTTCGCAAAGATGGCTTTGGGCACCCTGTTGACTGGAGCATGTGTCTTCGCCGGCAAACAACTCGTCAACCGCGCAGAAGCCGACTTCGTCATGAGGATGGGTGTGCTGGCGGCATGGCCAACGCTGGCAGTGCACCCAATGGAAATGGCTCTCGAGGAAATCGGCAACCATGTTGAAGATCTCACCGGGAGAACGATGACGCCATTGGAGCGCGATAATTTCTACTTCTGTTGCGCTAGTGCGTACCTCGTCGTGTTGTACATCGCGTACTTCCTGCTCGAAGGCTCCGGTATCATCACCATTGTCCTCGGCCTCATCCTCTGTGTTTGTGGCTACCAGTATGCGCATACACATGGCTTGGCGCGTATAAGACCTGTTGCGCAAGCTCTCAAAGTCGACAACACTCCTGCGAGAGCTTCCGTGCCAGGCAACGATGACAACCCTGCTGCGAAGCCGCCAGTTGAACCAAAAAAGCAAGTTCGGCGCAAATTTTGGATATGCTGAGACGATCTTGAGAAATTGGCTGTCGGTAGGGTCGCAGCGCTGGGCTCAGTCCTCTTGTCCGACGTCAAGGTGTTCAACCGCGGCATCTACAACGCAGGAACAGCAATTCGAAACGATGTACCCGATGCAGAGTGGCCGTCCGCTCGTGCGCTCCCCAAGATCCGAGATGAAGGTGACCGAGTTTGTGGCTGCTGTAAGCAGGGCTTCAAGAAGGAACAGCTGCTAGACATACTACCCTGCGGTCATCGCTTCCATGCTCTCTGCACCAACCGCCACTTCGAGGAGGACATGAGCTGTCCGCAGTGTGAACAAGATCTTCACTGGGGGCTGATCGTGGCATGATTGGGGCGGATCGCATCCACTGAATCGAGGCCCACCCGGATGCGGATATCATAGACGCAGCGATTTGAGTCGGCGATTGAAGCATTCAGCATCGAGGGCCACCCGAAAGCAAGGCGAGAGGGTGAGCCATAACTAGACAGAGATATCCAGAATCGAAAGTCGAAGACCGAAACTCGTACCCCAGTGATCATAGTGAAGACGCCTTCTCCAGTAGTTCCGCAGCAAGACGCTCGAGGTATGCCTTCGCCACCGCTTTCGGTATCGCAGGATTCAACGCTTTGACTTCAGCTGTACTTTGCGAGTCACCATTGATTACCTGGCCGTTCACCTTCTCATCGTCGTCTTTGTGTGCCGCTTTCTTCACTTTCGATCCCGGCGCAATCTTGAATCGTTGAGTAATTTTCTCCAAGTCTCGTCTGCCCTCTTCGAAAGCGCCTAAATCGCGGTTGCCGTAAACATCGCGACCGGCAGCGTAGACCGAGCGTGGCATCGAGTGGAAGAAGAGGTTGACAGACGTATTCATGACGCCTGGAGGTGATGGTAGTGCTGTATGAGACCAGAGTGGTGGGATGAAGACGCCAGTGCCCGGATGAAGTGTGACCAAGTGAGGATGAGTGCCTGGTGGAAAGACGGCACTTGCGAATGGATCGGTCTCGATATTGGACTTATCTGGGATCCGAGTGGGCTGCTTTGGTGATGCGACTGGCTCCTCTTTTGGCTTGAAGATGTCCAATGTTGATGTTGTAGATCCGGTGGGGAAAGATAGCCTTTTGATGTCCTGTGGAGGGAACAGGATGAGGTACTTGGGCACGGGTGTTGGGTGAGATGTAACGTGGAAGAGAATATTAGCCATAACATCGTAATGCAGCCACATTGACACATTCATGCTTATTCGTAACACCGAGGAGTGGAGGTTTTGGGCCAACAGCTTGAGCTGAGACGGCAAGCAGAAGTCTGCGGCTAGTTCTGGCCAGTCGTCTGAGAGCGTCGCCGGTTTTGAATTAGGCGACAAGGACGAAATCGATCTCAGATACATGTGTGGTTGAATATCGCTTGAGGGCTCTTTCGTCGCGGCGTCCATGATGTTGAGGAAAGCGTGAAATGGCAACGTGTTGTAGCTGAAAGTGTCCTTCCTCTGAAAACTCATGAAAGGCTCCGGTGCGGAGTGTATGACCACCTTGCGCGCAGCATTGGTCTTTGATTTGAGGTAGTAGGGTGTCCAGAGAGTTGCACATGGGCCTATATCAACAGTCTTGAGCATCTTCGGTTGTGGTGAGTCACCCGCAACCATTGCGATGAAATCAGCATCCTTCTGTATCAGGTGCGACGGGACATCGAACTGCAGTGGCGAAAGATCGACGTTGGTTCGAAACGACTTCGTACGACTCGCAAGCCGCGGAGACGGTGGAAGCGGTCTCAGCAGTGTGAAGGGACTATGCACGCCTTGCTCACGGTCATGCAGGAGGTAAACGCCATCATTCCAGACAGCACCGAAGCTGAAGCAGGTACAACCTCCTCCTGCGATAAGCGTTGTCTCTCCTTGAGTTCGATGTGTGCTGTGTCCGATCAGAAATGGCCGCGGCGTACCTTTAGGGATCTTTGGCAGCACGCAAATGGTTCGCAAATCCATCTCTTTTTCATAGTCACCGAAGGCGGAAAAGCTGCCCAACACCGAAATGACCTCGTACTCACGAGGAATGCATCCCCCCTTGGCGATGCGCCGATGATCAGTAGCTCGCTACGTATCACGCTGTAGCTGGCACCCAGTCGACCGAGCCAGGGATAAATGCCGGCCGAAGTATCCAGAGCAGTAGAAGTCTTGAACTTGATACCCACGATGATGCTGTCGCGGACAATGAGACGCCATCGCCACAAGCCCTGACAAACAATGCCATCTTGCCGCATTCCGCCAAACATGAGGCCATGATTGAAGCCAAGTCTGACGAACGTTGCACCGAATCGTGGAATTGGGTCTTGGTGCAGGGATCGTAGTTTGCGCCAGCCCGTTCGAGGATGCCACAATAGATGGTCCGCGGTAACAGAGGTTGCAGATGTTTTGCCTCCAAACACGACTACCCCATGATTGTTGTCCGGAAATATGATACTCACAGCACGATGCCGGTAGCGTGGCTCTGGTAGATCATGAACACGATCCCACGAGTTTTCCGTTTGCAGCCAGCAATCAATGTACGGCGACGCCGGACTGCCCCTGCCTCCCACCAGCAGATTTTGTCCATTCTGCAGCGTTGTCATGGTATGGCAACAACGAGGTTCCATATCTGTAGGCGCGAGTGTTGGCTGAATGTTGCGGTCGTTGGGTGGTCCATACACTGAAGTGGTCGCTGTCCGCCCGGCTGTGCCTTGCCCTGCGTGAACAGCCACCGCGTTCTGAAAGGGCACTTGGTACGCCGAGGCATGGTGTGTCTTGCCTTCATTGGAAGGGTTCTGAGAGTATGTGTACTGAAACCACTCGTTCTGCTCTCTGTACGGGGACACTGTCCTTGTGGAAAAGTCAGATGCGTTGCTGCTCCTAGAATTGCTCCTCCGTGGAGCCTTCGGCGGCGGTTCGATCAGTGGCTCCTCTGCAGTCTGCGCAACGATCAAGGCATAGTGCGAAGCGAAGAGCGCAAATTCCTCCCATTCATCGAAAGGCTCAACATGGTCAAGAGCCATACGCTGAGATGGGGATAGAAAGCGTGGATCAGCCCAGAGTGACCACAAGCTCTGAAAGTCGACGTAATCGAAACCGGCTTCATTGAAGCGCTGAGTTTGAGTATGATTGCCCGGATACTTCAACAACGATCGCAACGGAGTGTTCAGCTTCTCGAAATGTTGCATCATCTTGGCCGTGAATCCATTGTCTGCGCGGTCCGGAGAAGCTTGCTCTAGTAAGCAGAAAGTCACGTCCGGAGAGAGTTTGCTCGCCCACGCAAGAACCGCATTGGAATCCTCGGGCGCCATGTAGGTTATGGAAACCTCAGCGACACAGAGCACGACGCAATCCGAGGTGTCGATGATAGATCTGACCAACCGATCAACTCGCTTCGGGTTGCGGAGATCACAACCTAGAATGTAGTACTTGTCGCTACTCAGTAGCACACAGTCGTTCTCTTTGGATCTGTCATTAAGCGTGAACAACTCATTGAGCTCAGACGAGTCAAGCACGATCTTGCGCTTGCTCTCCATCAGCTTTTCATAGTCGATATCAATGAACGTTGTGTTCGCACAATGCTCGGGTTCAGTTGAGAGCCATTGGAAGGGTAGCGGATCATAGCCACATCCAAGGTTTAGGACTACTTTCCTTTTGGTGGTCGGACGTTCGAGGAACTTCCTTACTACCCAGTCGATGGCCCGCATCCGTAGCCAGTAGCCTCTGTTGATAGTAGGCGCGCGGCGCAGAGGCTTCTTGACGAAGAAACGATGGAAATGTGGCTTTGGCAAATACAATAGTTCAACACTGCGCTTAGAGACAATACTGCTCCGATTGGTCTGTACAGTCAGGGTCAGCTCATGCAGCGTCGTTTTCGACCTGAACTGGAAGGGGCAACTCACGCCCATGATAAGGTCTGCATTCTTCTCCGACGGCAGGTCCTCCTCCAGCTCGATCTCTTCGGGCGGCGCATCGTCCGCCACGGTGACTGCCATGGCTAGACGTCCTTCCCTCGCACATATGGAACCTCTAATTTAATCATGTTGCGAGAATCGAAGAACTAGGCACGAGTGATAATGACTCAGCCCGAAGCGCGAGACGAAAGTGTTCGAAAGTGGAGAACCCCACGAAATCTGATGCGCCTGCTGATTGGGCATCACAAAGATGTGACGCCTCTTGCCGCCTTCAAGTTTGCCTTCCATCGATTCGAATATCTGATCGCTTACCAAGACTTGCATCGCCCGATACGACTGAAGAAGCGGATCGATACAACAAGGACACTATCCAGTTGAAAGCTGAAACATCAAACGTACTGCTGTCACCTAGAAGAGTCTGAAATCCGACAGCTTTGGCGCAACAAGCGATGGACGACACAGACAGTAGGTCTTTAAAAGAGATATATCAGCAAGCAAGGCGTCTCCGAGATCAACTAGCTGAACAGGATCCTCGAAGCAACGCTCACAACGATTTGCTGTCAGCAATATTGAAGGATCTTCGACAATGCCAGAAGCTCATAGACGACCTCTCGATCTTCAGCTCGAACGAAGACTTGGAAGACTTGTCCACACAAGCTTTACAGTACCTGAGCATCGACTTCTCGTTGCCGACCTGCTACAGAGGTCGTATGATGGGAATCGCTTGGCTGCTCTGCGGAATATATCTGGCTTGCTGGACAGTTTCCTTACACGGCTTGATCAGTACTCAATCTTGTCCAAGGACGACCGAAAGTTGTTCGAACGGTACCAAGAGTCCAAATCTAGTTTCAGTATATTGCCATCAAATCCAGAAGATCGCAGGAGGATCAAGATCAAACGATATCAAGAGGAGAAAGAGCTAAAGAGGCAATTGCAGGTAGGTCAAACATGTGATCGGGCTTTCTCACAATGCTAATTCCTGCCTAGTATCTAAGATCATTATCATCGACTACCGGTACTGATGACGAAACCTTGCGAAAGCTGTACCTCGCAGAGCTGGCAACATTCGTCCATGAATCTTTTCAAGCACTAGATTCCGTCTCACAAGAGACTGCAATCCTTTCACAGATGCAGCAGGCCAAGCCGGCCCAATCGAGGGGCATTGACAACGACTCGAGGCAAGAGAACCGCACTCGAGACGGCTACTCTGAAAGACTCGACAGCAATGGTACCATGGCTGGTCTCGGACGCAAAGGAGGGCCGCTGCTCGATCCAAAGGGCAAGCCACTGCAGCCATTCACCATCCTGGACAAACGGTCACAGATGCGCAATGGTGTCTTCAGGCCTGGTCATAATCTTCCAACCATGTCCATCGACGAATATCTGGACGAAGAGAAGCGCCGTGGTGGCATCATCGAGGGCGGTGGGAATGCGAACGAGGCTGCACCGGAGCCCGATGAGGACAATCTGGCCGAGGTCGATGCCGCGACCATGAAGGCTCGAGAATGGGATGAGTTCGTCGAGGCAAATCCCAAAGGTGCCGGGAATACTTTGAACCGTGGATAGACATATTACGATTCTCCCAGATCACTCGGTAGAGTGGGCCTCTTTGCCTTTATCTCTGACAAGATCTTGTCGGCGCCCTTGTCCAAGATCACTTTGGCGAGCGTGACACCAAAAGTCTCGGCTTCTTCGACAGTCCTCACAGGGCCTGTGAGGTCAGCTTCGGCACTTTCTTTGCCATTGGTGCTGACGACAATGGCTCGGAGTTGCAATTGACCGTCATCCAGCCAGGTCGACTCGACACCCAGTGGGGCACTGCAGCCTCCCTCCAGATAGCGCAGCAGGCCACGCTCAGCAGTGATTGCCAGATATGTCGGGATATGGTTGACTTGCTCGAGCTGCGTCTTGATGATCTGATCGTCAATGCGGTTCTCGACGCCAATCGCGCCTTGACCGACTGCATACAGCATGCCATTGGACGAGTCCAGATACTGTGTGATCCGATGTGCCAGATTGATTCTGAGCACACCTGCCGCTGCTAGTATGATAGCGTCGTACGGACTATCCTCTGCGTCGAGCTTGGCTAGTCTGGTGTCGATATTGCCACGACAGTCCTTGACTTCGAGATGAGGATAACTCCGTGCAATTTGGGCTGTGCGACGGACCGATGAAGTGCCTACTACGGCACCTTCGGGCAGGTCCTGTATACGTTTGATCTCGCTATCAGGTCTGACAATGAACACATCCCTAGGGTCTTCTCGTTCCGGAGTGGCACCTATCTCGAACTCCGGTGGCAATACTGTCGGAACGTCCTTCAACGAATGGACTAGGAAGTCGAGTTCCTTGTCCTTAAGACTGGCTTCCAGCTCGGCAGTCCTTAAGGTTGCTTCATTAGTCTATCGATACACATACTCAGTAGAGCCAATCGCTTACCATATATTCTTGACCACCATATCCTTGAACGCCGTTACCTTGTCTATATCGCCAGCAGAATCCCTAGCTTTAATATCCCAGCTGCAGTCCGGCCATGCTTTGGTCAACGCTTCAACGACTAGATCCGTCTGCACCAGAGCCAACTTTGATTTCCGAGTCCCAACACTAAAGACATCTACTTTGGCTTTGAAATCCTTCAATCTAGGAACATTGGAGCCCGACTGGGTGTGAAGTGTGCGCAACATCGTGCTCAATCAAAGTTGTAACATCGAATGCCAGAAAGAAGAGAACGCCGTTGCCGCTTGCGAGGACGATTGAGAACAAAATTTGCTATGATGTTGCCATAATCATATGCGATGTGCTACAGTAAGAAAGGCGGCAAATCAATCACCAAAAATCTCCGTTGAAGCCACCGATCAGATTAGATTTGTGAAGTGGGGCCGGGACTTTGGCTGCTCTGCCGCCAGGCGACCGAGGTACATGTGAGTCCCGTCATTTCTAAACACTTCTACGACTCATCGATGCCTGAACCCTCCGCGCCTGCTTCAGCCTGCTTGTCAATCTATCCAACCATCTAGCAAACCGCGACTTTCCTTTGTAGACATGCTTTCTGGATAGGATCCTGACTGCCACTGCTGTCAGATACTGATCAACGTCGTCGCCACCATCAGCATGGGCTATACGGCCAAATCCACGATCCCCCTCCTGCCGCTTGCGCGCGATGCAGTCCTGCTTCCGGGCACCACCCTGCGCATCCCCGTCTCAGGCCGCGCTGATATCAGTCTCATTCTCTCTTCCGCCCTTCGAACACGAAATCGAACGATCACCGCAAACATCCCCATCGGCTGCGTGCCACTGAACTCGCCCTATCTGAGCAATGACGGCAAGGATCTCATCGAGAATGGTCAGAAGGACAACGCAGAGCAAGAGCCAATACCTGAGCTGCATCCCAGTAAAGCCAAGAAGGACGACATCTTCGGCTTTGGTACTCTAGCCAAGATCATCGGCGTCCAAGGCACGCCCGGACAAGAATCATATCTCCTGGTAGAAGGCCTCCAACGCTTCAAAATCGAGACCATTACACACGAGCGGCCATACTTCGAGGCTGAGGTTCACTTCTTCGAGGAGGAGACACCCAACACGAACGATGGCGATCTACGTGCTTCATTCACGCGACTCAAGCAGAGGTCTAGAGAACTTCTGACACTGCTGCGTCTCTCGTCTCTCTTCCGCCCAGCCTCAATGGGTCTCTCGCCACTGGTCGTCCGCCGCTTCGAGCTGTTCATCGCGAAGAAGGATCTCTCCCAGGCCGGGGAACTAGCAGATTTCATGACCGACATCGTCGAAGCCAACTTCGAAGACAAGCTACGCATCCTCAAGACTCTCGACATCCACGAGCGACTAGAGCGCGTACTGGCCCTGCTAAACAAGCAGATCAAAGGAATTAACGGCAATATCAAGATCACATCGATCACGACCACAACCAGCCCACCCAACGGCGCAATCGACATCAACAACCTCGACCAGAAACAGCGCGAAGCTCTGGCCAGAAGAGCGCTCTCCGGCATGGGCGCGCCCGGAGGTCCAGGCGCCGGCGACGACGAAGACAACGAAGTCAACGAAGTCGAAGAACTGAAGAAGAAGCTCAACGAAGCCGGCTTGAGCCCCGAAGCACAAAAAGTATCAGATCGCGAGATACGCAGACTCAAGAAGATGAATCCCGCCAACGCTGAATACGGCGTCATCCGCACATACCTCGAGAACCTCTCGGAGATCCCCTGGACAAAGATGACCGAAGACCAAATGGGCACCGAAACCCTCAAGCGAGCCCGCAAACAGCTCGACGACGACCACTACGGCCTCGAAAAAGTCAAGAAGCGCCTCCTCGAATACCTCGCGGTTCTTAAGCTCAAACAGTCCGTCAACGCCGATATCGACCAACAGATCACCCGCCTAACCCAACAACTCACACCCCGCGAACCAGACTCGAAGAAAGACGACGACAACGCCGCCGTCGAGCAGTCCGAACCACAGATCCCGGACGCCGAGCGCGACGCCGCAACAGCTAAACTCCACGTCCTCAAATCCAAACGCATGATCGACAAATCCCCCATCCTCCTCCTCGTCGGCCCACCGGGCGTCGGCAAAACGTCCCTCGCCAAATCAATCGCCTTATCGCTCGGCCGCAAATTCCACCGCATCTCCCTCGGCGGCGTGCGCGACGAAGCCGAAATCCGCGGGCACCGCAGGACCTACGTCGCCGCTATGCCCGGCTTGATCGTTTCGGGACTCAAAAAAGTCGGCGTTGCGAACCCAGTCTTCCTGCTCGACGAAATCGACAAGATCTCGAGTTCCAATTTCCACGGCGATCCGTCCGCTGCTATGTTGGAGGTATTGGATCCGGAGCAGAATCACTCGTTTAATGATCACTACCTCAACATCCCGCTGGATCTGTCCAAGGTTCTTTTTATTGCTACGGCGAATACTCTGGACACTATCCCCGCGCCTCTGCTGGATCGCATGGAGACGATCAGCTGCCGGGGTATACCACGATCGAGAAACGACATATCGCCAAGAACCACCTCATCCCAAAACAGATCCGTACCAATGGTCTCGCGGACGGACAGGTCACCTTTACGGACCCTGTCGTCGACGCTGTTATTACGGGCTACACGCGCGAAGCGGGCGTGCGCAATCTCGAGCGCGAGTTGGGGAGTGTTTGTCGCGCTAAGGCTGTGCAGTATGCTGATTCGCGGGACGCCGCTGCTGCGTCTGATACTGCCTCTGCTGCTACAATCTACGATCCCGAGGTCAAGTTATCCGAGTTAGAAGACATCCTCGGAATCGAGCGCTTCGAAGAAGAAATCGCCTCCTCCACTCTCCTCCGGCCCGGCACGGTCACAGGCCTCGTCGCGTACTCCTCGGGAGGCCAAGGCAGCATCCTCTTCATCGAAGTGCTCGACATGCCCGGCAAAGGCCGCGTCCAGCTGACAGGCAAATTAGGCGATGTCCTGAAGGAGAGCGTCGAGGTGGCGCTAACCTGGGTCAAGTCACATGCGTATGAGCTGGGCCTTACGACAGACCCGAACGAGGACATCATGGAGAAGCGCGCGATCCATGTTCACTGTCCTGCCGGCGCAGTGCCTAAGGATGGGCCGAGTGCTGGGCTCGCGCATACCGTTGCGCTTATAAGTTTGTTTAGTGGGAAGGGTGTGCCGCCTGAGCTTGCTATGACTGGTGAAGTGAGTCTTAGGGGGAAGGTCATGCCTGTTGGTGGGATCAAAGAGAAGTTGATCGGTGCGCACCGGGCGGGTGTGAAGAAGGTGTTGTTGCCGAATGGGAATCGCAAGGATGTGCGGGATGTGCCTAGGGAGGTGAAGGATGAGCTTGAGATTGTGCATGTGAAGTGAGTCTTTCACCATCTGATTATCTTGCACAAATTACTAACATTCAACCTCTCAGGCATGTCTACGAAGCGCTCCGCCATATCTGGCCAGAGAGCGAGTGGGCGAGTGATCGGTACTGGACGAAGGTCGAGAGTCGGCTGTAGTTGCAGATGTGTGATGGCGAGCAGGACAAGGTCACGGTTGCTATGGTGCGTACGAGCTTGGTGAGGTCAGGAGGCGTATGAGCCGCCAGATCGATAGGTAGGCGATTTGCTTTTAGCGTGGTAGCTTACAATGACACTCTTCGTTCGACAACGCCGCAGGCGTGAAACGTGCTTCGCCCTGCGCTGGATGATCAAAAGGTGATAAACGATGCAGAGTTGACGAAATGGAAGATGTGATGTGGTGGGTCGGATGAATAGATCGAGCCCTGCAAAGAATCAGCAACAAAGTGAGCAGTGGCACCCCGAGGGAGGCACGGTAGGAGTGGCAGGAGCGCTGTTGACTATGCTACGCACCCGTTGGGAAGGAGCCATATGTCGACTCAATTCGCTTCTGATTCCCACGGTCACTGAATGTGCAGTCCGTATTGACTTTTCGTGTTGTTTGTAGATGTACATTCCCCTCGCCAGCCAACGGCCCTGTTGGAGCTTATGCTTTTATACATAGAACGTACACGCCTCCCCACCACTCCCCCATCCCTGCCAGGCTCGCACAAGGTCTTTCTTACGCGTTCAAGTTCTTTCCTTGCGAAGGACTTTCTGCAGGCGGCAGGCTAGCCAGATCCACGCCTTTACCACCGCCTCCTAACTTCGTCCTATCCGGCAACGGCACCAGCTCCCTCGCAGCCCGCCGCCTGCCCTTCGGCTCTTTGATGACCGGTATCCTCGGCACGACGTCAGCTATGCCCTGCATCACTTTCTTGTCACTGTCTAGCTGCGTCCACGTTGGCTTCCATTTTTGTTTGCCCAAGACGACGTCGCGGGCTTGTTGGGAGAGTTTGTGGCGGAGTTCGGTGTTGGCTACATCCATGATGTTTCTTGGGAGCTTCTTGCTGTTCTGTGTGGAGACGTCGTGGAGGCTTTCATGGTGCGCCAGTAGCCTTCTTTGTCCCATCTGTAGGCGTCATTAGTATACACATTGAATCACGGAGGCATGGAGCTCAAGTAGGGAGTGCAAGTGGGAGGCAAAAGGTCCGGATCATGAGAAACGTACTCTGAGAAATCCTCCGGCTCCTTCGGCCACTCAAACGCGTCCACCAACTGCACCGTCATGCGCTTCAGCGGCATCGGTCTATACAACTTCCTCTTCCGGATTCGTTTCAAGTCCTTCTCCTGTTTCCGCTTGCTGAGCTGGTAGACGAAACTGCGGACGTCGACCACGTCGACATCATAAAGGGACTTCAGGTAGTCTTTCATATCCATTTTGTTGAACCACAGGGGCACTTGGAAGGTGGCGTAGTTGGGTGGATGCTTGGGACGGCGGATCATGGCGACTTCGAAATTGGGGAAGTGGACTTGTGTTCGTTGTGTTTCGGGGACGTTGTAGGGTCTGCTGAAGAACTGGGGAGGGTTGCGGAGGAGTTTGGCGAGGGTTTCTGAGCGCGGTTGGAGTCTTGATGCCTCATCGTCGAACTCATCGGTCTGCTCTTGCTCGTCTTGCGGCGCGTGTCTTCGAAGTTGTCCTTCTAGACCGTTGTTTCTGATGTAGTCTGCGACGTCGTCTGAGATGTGCTCGAAGGGATCTATATCGGCAGGTGACAGGAGCCACTGCTTGTACTGCTCCCCTGTAAGACCATGGCTATATTTTATCCTCCGCTTCGCGTTGTAAAGCTTCGGAGTGTTCTTTTGAATGAAGTCGGGCAAGACGTCTCTACGTGTGGTTCCGAGGATGGCGGGTATGCGTTTGTAGTTGACGGCGGCGGTTCTGTGCCAGCGGGGCATCTTTCTGCTGGATTTGGCGGGGGCGCATGCAGCAGGAGATGTGATCTAGACCTGTGGTGAGGTACGAGCAGCGTTACGGTTCGAGTTCGGCACGGTAGAGATGGAGATGGAGATATTTGATACAGGTTATAGGCAAGACCGGTTGACCCCATGATTGAGCCCGATCGGGAAGACTAGCCGAGAAGGTGATTGCGCTGCTTGGAGTCGCCTGAACGAGCAGCAATTATTGACAACTACTTCACATCGCCATCTCTCCATCTCTGCACTTTCATACCTACTCTCGTCTGTCAAGGACGCGCAATATATCCATCTGAGTCCATCTCAGTAGTCTCACAAAATTCAGGCTTGTTCAGATCTGCGCAACCGGCCACTACACCGCCGCACGTCTCCGCTCCTGCCGGGGCAAGATGGCGCAAGACGAGAAGAAGCTCTCTGCGGCCGAGAAGGGCAAAGGCAAGGCAGATGATGTGCCAGTCGCCAATGGAGATGGGAAGCCACATACCGACAAGGATGGCAAGCCTATACAAAATGGCAAAGTCACAGAGGTGCCAGATGATGATCTATCGGAAGAAGACCAGCAGCTCAAGTCGGATCTTGAGATGTTGGTCGAGCGGCTGAAGGAAGACGACGCGAGCCTGTATCAGCCATCCATCGATTCGATCAAGACGTTCATCAAGACGTCGACATCGTCTATGACAGCTGTGCCAAAGCCTCTGAAATTCCTCCGACCACATTACGATGACTTATCTGCGCTGTACGATAAATGGGGTGCTGGTGCCGATCGGGACTCTCTGGCAGACATGCTTTCCGTGCTGGGCATGACATACGGGGACGAGACCAAGCACGAAACCCTCAAATACAGATTACTGTCCAAGTCCGACGATCTGGGCTCATGGGGTCACGAGTATATCCGGCATCTGGCACTCGAGATCGGACAGGAATACCAGGTTCGACTCAACGAAGAGAAGGACGTACAAGACCTGTCAGAGTTGGCCCTGTCCCTCATACCATACTTCCTCAAGCACAACGCAGAAGCAGACGCGGTAGATTTGCTCAGTGAGCTGGAAATGATCCAAGAAATCCCAAAGTTCCTCGACGAGAACACATACTCACGAGTATGCTTGTACATGACATCGATGGTCAATCTCCTCACCTATCCCGAAGACATCAACTTCTTGACCACGGCTCATGACATCTACATCAAGTACGGCAAGCTCGCACAAGCAATGGTCATTGCCATTAGACTCAACAATATCGAGCTCATAAGAAAAGATCTCGAATCAGCCAAAGATCCAGCCCTCAAGAAACAGCTGGCGTTCATGATTGCTCGCCAGAGAATACAGCTCGACCTGCCGTCAAACAGCGAAGAGGAGGAGACCATAATCAAATGCTTAGGCAATGTCGAGCTTCCAAACCATTTCAAGACTCTCGCTAAAGAGCTCAACATCCTTGAGCCGAAAGTACCCGAAGACATCTACAAGACACATCTAGAGAGTGGACGAGGCAGCTCTGCTGCGACCGATTCTGCCAAGCACAACCTTGCTTCCTCGTTCGTCAACGCCTTCGTGAATGCTGGCTTTGGCGATGACAAGCTTATGATCAACCCCGGAGAAAACAGAGCATGGGTATGGAAGACCAAAGACGAGGGTATGCTGTCGACTGCTGCCTCAGTCGGTATGCTATTGCAGTGGGACCTTGAGTCCAGTCTCGATAGCATCGACAAGTTCCAGCATACCGATGAGACTGCCATCAGAGCCGGCGCTCTACTTGCTTACGGTATCGCCAACTCGGGTGTCAAGATCGACGGCGACCCGATCATCTCCATTCTCAGCGATGACGAGAATTTTGCCAAAGGACAGCTCGCCGAGCGTGCCGCTTCAGTCATGGGTCTAGGCCTGGCATATGCTGGCTCCGGCAAAGAGGACTTGCTGGAGATCTTGCTACCTATCGTTGAGGACAGCAGTCTTGATCTACAACACTCCGCCATGGCTGCTGTGTCACTTGGCATGATCTTCGTCGGATCATCAAATCATCAGGTCGCAGAAGCCATTGCAACACAGATGATGGACGAAGATAGACAGAAGCAGCTAAAAGGCAAATGGGCTCGCTTTATGGCTCTCGGTCTGGCATTGGTGTACTTTGGCCGGCAAGAAGAAGTCGATGTCATCCTGGACATCCTCAAAGCCATTGACCACCCAATGGCCGCCCCAACGGCCACGCTTGCGTCGGTCTGCGCGTGGGCTGGCACAGGCACAGTACTCAAGATCCAGGAACTGCTGCACATCTGCAATGAGCACATCGAGGATTCAGAGGACAACAAGAGCGAGCAACTTGTTCAGTCATACGCTGTCCTTGGTCTTTCACTGATCGCCATGGGCGAGGATGTCGGCCAAGACATGATCCTCCGCCAATTCGGCCATCTGATGCACTACGGCGAGCCCAACATCCGCAAAGCCGTACCTCTCGCAATGGGCCTCATCTCGCCTTCAAACCCTCAAATGAAGATCTACGACACCCTTTCACGATACTCACACGATAACGACAACGACGTAGCCATCAACGCCATCTTCGCCATGGGCCTCGTCGGTGCTGGAACCAACAACGCTCGTCTGGCACAGCTCCTTCGCCAGCTAGCCAGCTACTATCACCGTGATCAGTCATCACTCTTCATGGTCCGCATAGCACAAGGTCTGCTACACATGGGCAAAGGCACCATGACATTGTCACCCTTCCACACCGACCGACAGATCCTCTCGCCTGTGGCAGCGGCTGGCCTTCTGACCGTACTCGTCTCACTCATCGATGCCAAGCAGTTCATCCTCGCCGAATGCCACTATCTCCTCTACTGGATCGTCACCGCCATGTACCGCGTTTCCTGGTCACTCTCGACGAGAACCTGCAGCCTCTGTCGGTGAATGTCCGCGTCGGACAGGCTGTCGACACAGTGGGCCAAGCTGGCCGACCCAAGACCATCACAGGCTGGCAGACACAGAGCACTCCCGTGCTGTTGGCATACGGTGAGCGCGCCGAGCTTGAGGACGAGCAGTACATCTGTCTGAGCGCTGCGCTGGAAGGGCTAGTTATCTTGAGGAAGGTAAGTTCTCAAATCTCTGTCCCCTGAACTCCTGGTCTGACCGCCAAATTTACATGTGCTGACCGCCTCACCCAAAATAGAACCCGGAGTGGGAATCTGAAGATACCACAACCCGCTAGATACGGCCATACGAAAGACCTCGACCTCCGACGCCTGAATTAGAAGCTGTCCCAAATGTCATCCGGGGCCCGCCCTGGATGTCCAACCCGCCATCCAAGTTCCTTGCCCAAAAGCCATGCACGGCAGGCCCTACATGTATGGACCGCGCTTCTCGGGGCTCTTCTGCGATACCTGCAAACAGCACGTTCTCATACCCCTCGAACGTTTTCTCCCGCCAGGACCAGAGACAGAGCTAGTCACGATTTCAGGCCCTATGTTTATTGATGGCGATGAGGATAAGCTAGCACCTGGCGTCATCAGGCCTCACGCGGACGATTGTTGTGGGTGGCGGGGCAACGGTCGTTGGTTCGTTGTGGGGCTTATTTCTCGGCATGACAAGGCGGGCTTTGCATAGAATGCGGCGCTGGAGTGTGTACATTGTACAACGGCGCTGATCACGGTGCCGTGGGAGTGAAGCGTGGATTGAGGCGATTACATTGCAGATCAGACCGGATAGAGAGAGCGGTACACTGTATCATTATCTGCTCTTCTGAGCTGAGGCCGGCAGAGCCCTCCCCGCATAGAAGAAGATCAAACGCAAGATTCTGAGGTCGACCACAGCCCATTTGCTTAACCTGCCTGTCTATCAACGCCCACAACCCAACGTCGTCCTGACCCAGCGCCCAAGCTGTTCGGACAAGAAATGAGGGTTTTCTCCATCCCTAATCTACACTCACGCCAAATTTCTCACAGCGACCTCCCTGGCAGTCAAATTGATGATAGATTGATTCTGCGGCTTGAGGCTCAAGTGAGGCTTCTCCCAAACTTCCTGGCTCAATCCTCGAAGCAGTTCCAGCCCCCAGAGCCCGCCCTGACTCAAAATCTTGAGGTTCAACTGGTCCACTTAAAAGGCTCAGTTTATGCCCGAACAGCCTGCCAGCTGGTCGACGCCCACCGACCAAACACGTCCCTCTCCCAGCGCCTTCCACTGCTCACAACGTTTGCTCACGCTCTCCTCAATATCCGCCGGGCAACGTTCGCTTCCTTCACCTTTCAAGATCGCTCTGTACACTGGCCGAGGCTACTACCTCCCTCACACTCACCGCAACCCTTCTCTTTCTCATCAACCCTGCCGTCAACAACCACATACCGACCTCATCCCCAATCCCAGCGCCTTCCGCTACCCACGCACATGCGGCGCAATGCCTGCTCCTGCTCCACCTTCAATGTTTGCTTGTCGACGCCAATCATCCTTATCCTCTACCCGGCGCCTTTCACGGAAGTACTCACGTGCAGCACACAGCTCCCTCTCGCTGCCCCACATCGACACCTTCCATTATCGTGTGGCGTGGCTCAAGGCAACGGCGCTGGGGACGGTGGGCGGGGGAGGCGGTCAGGAGGTGGTGGCCGCGAAGCGGGCACCATGTGGTGTGGCTCAGGGCAGCCCACCGTGTGGCGTTGCTCAGGGCATGGGCGAGCGCAGCGAGCTTCAGGCTGGAGGCCGTGAGGTCGGAGGCAGCGCCGCAAGCAAATAAGGGGAAGGCGCTGGCTCAGGGAACGGGGTTGGTAAATAGGCAGGTTTTGAGAGACGGGGATGGGTGAGTGAGAGATATGGTCATTTATGGTGCGGTTGTAGGTTTTCATTTGGAAGGCTTGGAAATTCGAGAATTTGATAGATTCGCATCTGGCCTGGCCGGTGAATCTGACCTGTTTTAAACCCAATATGGTTTGTTTTGAGACAACATCCCAGAATCAGATCCAAATTCAACTTATCTCACAAGTGCCGTTTCGGACTGCCCGTCCTCGAGACACCACCAGCATTTCTGCCACCGCCACCAGCGAAAGCGTCACTCAAGCGCTCACGACTTTCTGTCCGCACTACAAGCCCTGCGCGATCAATCGGGCTTGGTTTTGGCCTCGAAGATACTTTCTTACCAAGTCCATCTCCGTCGCTGTCCAGGTCTTCGTCATCGTCGAAGTCATGTAGTTCGAATTCCGATGGGTCATGTAGCCCAGGCGCGACCAACGGATGGTTCGCCTCAGTGTCATGCGGCACACGCGCATATGAGCTGCCAAACGGTGAGAGATAATCCAATACCCGCACCAACACACCAGTCCGCCGCGGAAGTCCAGCACCTGAAGACGTAACGGGTGCTTTCCTATAGACCGTTGCGCCCGACGAACCAGGTTGCGAAGCCAACGAGCCCAGGCCCACAGAATGGTAAAATCGATTGCGCCGGTCGCGGCCACAGAGGAAGAATGAGATGATCAGGAGGATCAATAGAAGAAATATGAGGCCGGGCAGGCGGTGGGCGGAGTCGGATTTGAAGAGGGTGGAGTGGACTTTGTCTACGATCCCGCCGGTGTAAGACGGGGAACTAGGCGCATTGAGCGCGCCCTTGGAAGAAGGAAAGGTGAAGTCCGCGGGAATTAAGCTGCCGTCGTTGCTTCCGAACCCAACCGGACTAGGATCGATGCCGTCGACGACGCTTGCTGCGTCGAGCATGGGGATCGTAGAAGTAGCATACAAGAGGATCTTTCCCAATGTCCACGTGACTTCGGTGTTCTTGATCTCGTCGACTGCTTGAAAGGGAGAGTTGAAGTCTTGTGGTTTGGTGGTAGCATTAGTGTCGATCCCGACCCGCGGCACGCCAATGCCCTCATGCAGCATATTGATCATCCACACGGCCTTGAAGCAGACTTCTTCCGCGGTCGCCTCGTCGACTTTATGCCCCCATTTCTCGAGCTTGATGTTGCGTTGAATGTCAGCCCAGTCCTGCGAGCAGAAATTGCGGACGCGGGCTTGGTAGGTCGCGAAGTCGTAGACTTTGTCGTCGTAGCCCATCTCGAAGATCTCGTGGGTGTTGTGCCAGTAGTTGGAAATTCCGATGAAGTGGTTCACGTCGAAGTCGATAGCGGGCACGTGCTGGCCGTTGAATAGGCAGGGTTTGTCTGGGCAGACGGCGTCGAGTTTGAGGAGGGGTCGGGTGTCTTTGAGGCATTGGTCGATGTCGCCGGTGCCCAAGAGGTGTTTGTTTGTGGTGGAGATGTCGAGGATTGAGGAAGAGTCCATGCTCATGCGGACGCCGTGAGGGAGGCAAGGGTCGGGATATTCATTTACGGATGGGCCGTAGGTGGAGAGAAGGGTGTCGAGATAGCTCTTGCGGGCTTCGTTAACGCCGTAGCCAAGCCAGGTTGTGGTGAAGACTTTATATTCCGTGTTGACGCCGTCGATTGTGCGCAGACGGAGGAGTTTGAGGTCTTCGGCGTGTCGTGCTGCTTCGGTGGTGTTGGGGACAAAAGCGATCTGAGAGGATGCGCCGCCCATATCGAGGAAGCCGTAGGTGTGGTGTCCTTTGCCATGGTTGTGGTCTTGGGTTATGGGCGACTTGAAACCGCCAACCAGGTAATTTGCTGCGATCCAGCCATAGAGCCCCTCTGTTTCTCCGGGTATTATCTGTACATGTAAATCGCAATCAGGGAGATAGAAGTCTGTTTTCTCTTTGAAGTAGGTGCAGACCGCGTTCAAGACGTTGGTCTGCTGCTGATCTGGCAGCAATCGCATGCCGGCCGTGGCCAGCAGGAAAACCGGTGTCTCCGGCACAAGTTCTTTTGGTACATATTTCAGCGCGTGCTCGACCAGTGGTTGTAAGTGGTCATCGCCAATTAGTTGTGGCGTCGGTCCGTAAGTGGACAGACCTGTGTGCACTTTCTTAGTCCATTTGCTCTTCGTCTTGATCTCAGGCAACTGCGTATGAGTGTCTGCCTCGAGGCGGGCTACTTCATTCCGCAGCCATCGATAGATGTAGATACGCGTGCCTGACGAGCCAGCGTCGAGGACAATGCCGTAGTTCCATTTCTCTGTGTTGACCATACTGAACAATTTGTCCTTCTCACTCGCTAACGCATCGCGGGGCGGAAATTGATGCGGTCCTGTTGGACCGGTCCCGGACTGACCGTGTCAATGTCATGTACTGAACGAGAGACTGGGTCAGCTAGACCGATGGGACATGGGAGCGGAAAAGGGAGGATAGTCAAGGGCGTCGTTGCATGTGCCAATATTCTTTGGGGTTCAGCTTGCGGCAAATCCCTGGCGAGCCTGAACCGACGCCGGTTGACAGGTCAGACTAGGTACAAATCTGGGGAAATTCCAAGATTTGGTGTGGGCAGCTCTTCCTTGCTATCACCACAGATGGTAAGTTCAAGGCGTCAGTCTACCTCATCAAGATGCCACCGCGTACCTCAAATTTGCAGGCTCCATGTAGGTACAGATTACGTGCGACAGCGGTCCGACGGAACCGCCGAGGGCGTTGCAACTTATCTATATTCATGCTGTCCACAACGGCTTGATTAGGGTCGGAAGGACTGGAACAAACGCTTGTCAACCGATCTGCCGCCAGGACGAGCAATAGCTCGAGATTTGTAAGGGAACTAACATTCGGTCATGTTACAATGTATGAGTCCAGCACCGCTAGAACGCTCCAAGGTCCGAATTCCATCAATCACGGAGGTGGAGGTGCGGAGGGATGTAGTTGTTCTACGTCCACCAGTAGAGCTTGTTGTCGAAACCTCTAGCTGAAGCAGAGGGCGCACGGAGGGCTATAAAAGATGCACATACCTCGGTCGAAGAGCGCCGACATAGTCCTCGTCACAAGCCCCGGCAGAGCATCGTAAAGGCGTGAATAACAAAGACTGGTTCGTCGACCTCTACCAGGGTACTGGTACCATTCAGCAGCTCAATTAATTGTCATCCCCCGCCGCTCAACAGCCAACATGAAGCCAACATACGGCTACCAGATTGCGGCTGCAGCACTCAGCCTCTCAACTACAGTGTCTGGATGGATGTTCGCCGCCTCCGCCGATGACCACTGCCAAAGCATCCACAGTATAGTCAACGTCACTGACGGGCGATGCATTGGGAACTTGACACCGTTCAAGTCTATCTGGCCATTGGAAACCTACCCTGATTCGGCAGCACAAGGAGCTTTTGCGGAGCGTGCGACTGGGAAGGTGTGTGCGATGTGTTCTGGCTTGATGGAAGACAGTCGAGTGGTACGCAAGGGAAGTGGGAACCTGTAAAGTGTCTGACGATGAGAAAGACGTATGGGTCGGTCAAGATGGATTTTGTGTCTTGAAAGGTCCGCGGGAGGACGTGAAAGCCTGTCTGCATTCGATCTGAATATATCTGGCAGGAGCATTCAAATCTGCAAAGCCTTCTTACTCGCTGATGATACCTCGTTGAGATTGTCTGTCTATGCCTTTCGATGTTGCAATGCCTATCATGGACTGCAGCTTTTTTCTTAAAGAACAAGTCCCGGTACCATAGAGTCGAAGCCCTGCGATCGAGGTCGAGGCCTGACGTACCTGCAGTGTGGGGGTGAGTCCGGGGTTGTGGGGGATGTGCAACCGCGGCTCAACATCAACATCGCCGAGCCAGGAACAGTCGCTGTTGCGAACACTGTCATACTCGATGTACAACTAGGGAGCCTTTCTACCTGATCCTACGTTGAAGCTGTGAAGTCGCGTGCGCCTCCGGGGACTCCAATGTACCTGCGCAACACATGAGAAGAGCCGGCACCGCCAATGGCTTCGAGAAAACCATAAACCCGTCCTCCCCAACAATCTGGGAACAGATGAGATAGCATCGAAGATGGATTCTGATGCGACGCTTGCCCCTTCCACCTCCAACGACGCCAGCGATGGACCGGATAAGAGCCTCGTCGAGCGGATGGCTCGCTTCCGCAAGAATCCATTCAACTTCGCACAGGAACTGTACCTCTTCGTCACCGGCGTAGGTTGGCGTTCCTATGACAGAGTGATTGGACAGCCATGTTTCTACTCTGGCTATACAGACAACATGAAGACGATGGTGATGAAGTCCACAATACTGCAGAAGAAGCTGCTCGACATGACGGAAGCGCGTCTGCGAGTAGAGCAAGAGCAAAACCTACTGGATGCGGACAGCCCATCCTACCAGCAAGACCGAGAGCAGCGCAAGATTCAGATCATTTCAGACTTGGTCGACATCACGCAGGATATGCTTGACAACATGCTCTGCAAGATGGAAAACAAGATCTGGCTGAGAACGGCATACTGGGGCTGCACGCAGCTACTTACTCGTGCATATTCAAGCATACACGTGTCCGAGAAGGAAGTAAGCCGACTGCGGGCAGTCGCAAAGATCGCGCAGGAGCAGAAACGTTCGCTGATCTTTTTGCCAAGGCATACAAGTCATATCGATTATGTCTCGTTACATCTCGTCTGCTACCGTCTCGGTCTGACTTTGCCCGTCGTCGTGGCTGGCGACAATCTCAACTTCCCTGTTGTCGGCACGTTTCTACAGACTCTCGGCGCCATGTGGCTACGGAGGAGCTTCGGAGATGACGCCCTCTATCCGACGCTGGTCCAGTCATACATCGACACCATGATGCAACAGGGCTACAACCTAGAATGCTTCATAGAAGGGACCCGATCACGCACAGGAAAGCTGCTCGGTCCCAAATTCGGCATCCTCTCCTTCTACCTCGACTCACTACTCTCCGGACGCGTCAAAGACGCCTACATCGTCCCAGTCTCAATGCAATACGACCGAGTGATCGAAGTCGACTCCTTCGTCACAGAACTCCTCGGCAAACCAAAACAGAAGGAAAACCTAGCCGACTTCCTCTCCGCATCCTCCCTCCTAGCGCTCAACTTCGGCAGAATAGAATGCCGCTTCCACGAGCCATGGAGTCTCCGCGACTTCATCAACGAACAACAAGCACGCATCCCCAACACGACCTCACCCCGCGAAAGCCGCACCCGAATACTGCGTACCCTCGGCTACCGCGTTCTCTCTGACATCAACGACGTCTCAGTCGTCATGCCCACCGCCCTCGTCGGCACCGTCCTCCTGACCCTCCGCGGCCGCGGCGTCGGCAAAGCCGAACTCGTCCGACGCGTCGAATGGCTCTGCGAACGCATTCGCACCAACGGCGGCCAAGTCTCCGACTTCCAAGCATGCCAACCTCTGAAGTGTCAATCGCGCATTGACCGTCCTCGGCCCGCAACTCGTCGGTACGGTGGAGGGCCTTGCGGAAGAGACCTTCTACGCGGTCGATCGCTTCCAGCTGAGCTTTTACAGGAATATGACCATCCACCTGTTCATCTCCGAAGCGCTCCTTGCCGCTGGCTTATACACGCGTGTGAAGCAGGGAGGCGGGTATGCTTCACAAGCTATAACCGAGGCCGACTTGATCGACAATGTCAGCTTCCTCTCGCAGCTGTTCCGGGGCGAGTTCATCTTTCCAGCCGGTCAAGGCTTGCGTCACAACGTCGAAGCAGCTCTCGCCGGCCTGCTGCGGGATGACGTGCTCACCACATCGACTTCCGCTTCCCCTTCTAGCTCCACTAACAGCACATCATCATCATCAGATGCATCCCCGTCTAGGACCAACGCCCGAACAATCGGCCTCTCCGACACCGAACGCGCCCTCGGCCGCGAGAACTTCGACTTCTACTGCTTCATGATCTGGCCGTTCATCGACGCCGCCTGGCTGGGCGCCGTCTCCCTGTTTTGCCTCGTCCCGCCCGCTGTCACCCCATCATCACCAACCACAACCCCGAGTCCATGGGTACCCATGACAGTCGCCCAATCCACAGCCCAACTCTTCGGCCGCACCCTCTACCACCAAGGCGACCTCAGCTACTTCGAATCGATAAACAAAGAAGCCCTCAAAAACGCATACACCCGCTGCCAAGAAGAAGGTATCATCATAGTATCGAAATCAGCCAACTCCGAGGATCCCAAAGCGGCCGCGGTGCCGATGGTGCGCATCGCGCCGGAGTGGCTGCCGCAGCGGAAGCCTACGACGGGGGAGTTGATACCGGAAGGGAGGCTGTGGGGTTTTGTAGAGAGGATTGGGAAGCACAGACGAGAGGGGAAGAATCGACGGGATGGCGCGACGGTTGGGAGGCGGGTGTTGGGGCTGGCGGAGACGTTGGGGCGGGAGAATGTTTTTGCGGTTGTTGGTGGTGCAGACGATACGGGAGGCGTGCCTGTGAAGCGGCGGGGGAGGCGGACGAAGCTTTGAGTAGATGGGCACTGTTGGTTGTTGCTTGATCGGGGTGCCGTATTAGTGCTTTCGAGAAGGGAGCGGCACAAACGGAGTAAGAAGCAAGCAAGCAGTTATAGACCTGTTGTCTAGATAACCAAATGGGCATTGATATCCAGCGTTGATGATACATGATCCGTTCACCCGCAGGAATCGCCTCCATCGCGGTGGCTCAGCCCTTCCTTCCCAGCCCTAAGCCCCATCCCATCTTTCCGCCCTCCTTGTCTTTGTCTTTGTCCTTGTCCTTGTCCTTGTCCTTGGTTCGAAGTGCCTGTACGCTCTCCGGCAAACTCATCTCCGGAATTCCACTCGTACCGCCGCCACTGCCATCACTGCCGGTCCTGTCGAGCTCACTCTCCGCGACGGGTCTGAGCAAGCTACTCCCCGTCATCGCCACACTGCCACGTTTCTTGCCGCGCTCTGCAGACCCAACCTCCCTGTCCGCAGCAGCACTCACGGGCGTGCCCGGCACGCTCCCGCCCCTACTTCGCCTCCCGCTGTGCACCGGCGTCAGATTCCCAGCTGATACGTCCGCTTCCTGTTGCTGCGCCATCGCAAGAAAAGTGTCGGCGTAGAATGCCTCGAGTGTGCCCGCGTCAGAGCAGAAACGTTCGAGCTCGTCTTTGATTTGCTCGGGGGTGATGAATTGGGCGAGGGCGTTGGGCATGGGGCGCCAAGGGCCGAAGACGTCGGCTGTCACTTGTTGTTGGTGGGCAGTCTGGGTCGGCAGTGCCGGTGGCGGTTGCTGCGCAAGTGCGGTGGAGATGCTAGGTAATTGGGCAGCGGACGTGGGAGCACCTGAAGTGCTTAAAGGACTTGCGGCTCCGGTGATCGAAGCATTGAGGCGTGCAGCGAGCGGTACGGACGCTGTCGAGTTCATAGCGGATGCACTAGTAGAGTTGCTGACTGTGTTTGGGGGAACGAGAGGCCGTGGCAGCGGACGCAGCATGGGTGACGGGGAGGAGAGAGCATGTGACGTGCTTGACATTGCTGGCGATTGTACGTTGATGCCCACGATTCCAGAGGCTTGCATCTGTCCATCTTTCGCTGCGTTTTGCGCGTGTGCGACGGGTCGAAGAGCGTAAGCGGCTGCGTTGAGCTGCCTTGTGGTTTCGAGCTTTGCGTTGGTATCCTTTGTGGACGCCAGTCGTGAGTTGTAGAGACGATTTGCAAGCAGGAGGATATCTCCTTCACCAGTAATCTGTCCAAGGATGACGCCCGATCGGTGAACGAATTGTGTGTAGGTATAGTTCAGCTTGCCCCATGAGTAATTGATCTCAACATTCTCTGGGAACTCGCTGATACCTTCAAGGTCGAGGACGAAGTTGAAGTGCTTCAGTAGCGCCTTCTGGAAGAAATGCGGATCCGTCCGGACTGGTTCGTGCGGTGTGAAGGAAGTCGCGGTGAAGAAGCTGTTGCCATTTCCGTTCTGGCGTTGAGGCTGGGAAGGAGGTGGTACGGCAAGTCTGATGCGGTAAGCGCTCCGGAATGGTTCGTTCTCGGGCACTTTGCAAGCTTCGACGATAGGGACTTCGACCAGTTTCAGGCCATATCGCTCGGCGGTCGTTGTCCACGAGACGATCGCGTCGTCAACCAACTTTGACGTGACATTTAGCCACGACAGCTCGAGATGGTAGCAATTTTCTGGACTGTGGTTGCGGTCGTAGTGAAGGTGCACTATTTCAGGTCGCCCGGATCGCTTTCTAGTGTCAACATCAAGGCGTATCATCTTGCTTAGAGACACTGCCAGCTTCTTGCGCTCGGGCGCCGGTCGACTTGTGTCATTGCTCATAGGCGTCAGAGCTGTGGGAAGGCTGGATGTAGCAGCACGTCCTCGTGCAGCAGCTGATGCCGACTCCTTGATCGTCTGTTCGAGTGCAGGAGTTGCTGGTGTTGACTTGTCCGACTTTCGACTGCTAGGAAACCACGACTGACGAGCCTCAGTGCGCGGAGCCCGCCACTCGGACTTGATCGAGTAGAAAAAGGTTCCATCCTTGAAGTTGTGTCGGCTGTTGACGTGCTCGAAGAGGCCCTCCTTCATTAGCTCATTACCAAATTCAACGGCTTCGTCTCTCGTGTCGATGTCGCGGACATTCTGTACCAGCCAATTTGTTAAGTCTTCTCCATGGAAGCAACTGTAATGAAGTCGTAGATGCCATCGTCGATTCTTGATCTCTATGCCGCGGTCGCCCTGTATTGCCGCTGCTATCTTACCAAGCTTGGCAGTCTCACGATCGAATTGCTCTTCTTCCGGAAGCAGCTGCGCCATTGACACCTCGCCAGCTTCTTCTGCAGCAAGCAACTTGTCAAGCTCTGTGGCCACCAATTCGGATGGGTTCAAAGTTTCAATCTTGATACTCAAAGGATTACGATCTTTCGACTTGAAAGCGCTCATGCGGTTCTGAGCTGGCCGCCTCTCTTCGGGCGGAACGTATCGCAACTTTTGCCACGCCTGAGTCAATGCTCGTATTCCACGAAGATGTATTTCTTCTTCGTTCTCCTCGCTGTCAGCTGCAGTCGGCCGGAACGCGTTGGCCGGCGGCTCCACGGGTAGCAGCACAAATCGTGCTCGCCAGAATCGGAGCGTTTGGATAGCAGACTCAGCAGACTTGCCAGTGTTTGCAAGGTAGTTGTCCGCTAGTTCCCATGGATACTCTTCGTCATAGCCAGAGATCGTCATTGTCTGCTTCTTGAAGTCGTCGGCCAGAATCGTTCTTACGTATGATTCATACGACACCTCTTTCGGTAGAAGATCCTGCGAGGGCAGTGGATTTCGTTGGTACCGAGTCACTTGAATGCGCCTGTCGTCGAGTAGTGTCAGCTTCTGTATCGTAATGCCCATAGACATGAACAGATATTGACCAGCATGACGCTGAGCATCCGGATTGAAGAAGAAGGAGACGTCGTGTAGGCCAGGCCCTTCGAATTTGTTCATTCGTGGTCCTACAACAAGTTGATACCCGTGTGCGAATCTGACTGAGAGCATTTCACGTAGTAGCTCGTCTCTTGACTTCGGCCCACTGGTCATGTCGTCAAGGTTGCCGACGGTGACAGTAAAATCGCGAATAATTTTATAATCTGTACTAAGGCTGTCTTTGGAAGGAAAGTCCTCAGTAGTCAGGGGCACAGCGGCAGGTGTGCAAAGCGATCGCCATTTGACAATTGCGGCTCGAGGTTTACGTGGATAGAGATGCTGCCACCGCCCGAAGAACGATTCTCTGTTCGGGTTGCCTTTCAGCGGATTCGAAGCGTTGACGTTACGAATGAATGGAAGAACGCTCTTCGGGACTGAGCTTGAGAGGATGTCCGATGTTCCCTCTGAATCAGAGCTGCTTGAATCCGAGCCACTTGCTGATGAGGCGGTGCTGACTGCTGGGTTGTCTTTTGGAGGCTCTTTTGGATCAGCTCCTGGCCGCTTCGGTTTCGCGTCGCGGATGGATATCGAATCAGATCCATTGGCGATTCTTTGCGGCTGGGCTATTTTTATTGGTGTCGAAGGTCGATCGCCGCCAGGATTTGAAGAGACTGGCGACAATTCGCTGCCAAGCAACGAGGGCGCAAATGTCGTCGTGGCTGTAGAGGCATTACTGTACAGGGACAACGAGCGAATGCCGTGAGTATTGGTGCCTATCTGCGGGCGAGCTTTAGGCGCTGACGTTTTCTGCATTTGCGCCTGAGCGTTCTCAACGTTGATCTCTGTGCTTGCTGTCGCGCGCGTTGGCGGCAGTAGGCCTCTGAGCGCATAGCTCGCGTTTCGGGAAGCTTTTACTGCTTGAGGACTGCGCTGCTTACTTAGCTTCGTTATGCTGGCAGTCTCAGACCGGACTGGTGAGGCTGGCCTTGTGCTGTGAGATGTTGACTCTACAGCCTGTCGTGCTTCTTCGGCAGCGTCACCAGTAGTCACAACATTCTGTGATGAGATAGATCCGGGGCCTTGCGTCTTAGAACTGGTCTTTGTAGATGCGTCTGTCGAGGCGAGCCGCCTTTTCAGCGCAGCAGGCTTGAATACCGAGTCATCGTATTTGTCCATCTTGTTGAATGTCTCACGATGAAGTTTTTGACCAGCAGCAAGGAGACTATGCCCTTTGAATGATGCGGAGTCCAATCGAATGCTCTTTCTGGAGATGCTGGGAGAATGAGACAGGCTTCTCGAGCCGGCGAACTGCTGGTGGTATGATTTCCTGCGTTTGCGTCGCTTTGGCTCAGATTCCTGCGTCTCTGACATCCACGGAATGCTGATATCTGCCATACCCATTTCTGTGAGACCCATCATCTGGATCTCGTACATGCGCACACGGGGCACAAAGGACTCTTTCCTTTCCTTGCCGAAGTTATGCTTGTTCACTGACTGGACAGACATTTGATGAGACTTGGGGCCTGTAGGTGACCAGTAGGAAAGGTCAATCCACTGCGGTATACCATATGACCAGCCTGCGGGCGAGCCCTCGGAATTGATGATGATATCTGTGAGAAAGGATGTAACTCAGAGCTGTTGACTGAGTGAAGCAGAGGCGATCCGCGAAAGGATGTCGGTGCGCTGAGGCCGGCAGGAATAAGGCTGCGACCTGTCGGGGAGTTTCCCGCGCTGCTCAGGCTCTGAGTCTGGACTGCTGGCGGCTCGTCCTTGTTGGTCCTGTACTTGAAGCATGGGACTGAATGGAGTGGCATCTTTGCAAGACACACTATGTCAATTCCGATGCCATTGTTGGTGAGGTTCTCTGACGTTAGATTCAAGAGGTCCTTGTCAACTTCGTACACCCCAGCACCTGCAGTCACCACAACTACCGACACTCCGGTGCGAATCAAGTCTCTGTCCACGTAGTCATTTGAGAATTGCATCGAAGCCATGTTGATTGCTTCCAGAATATTTCCCTTCAGTGCAGTGGTCAGCCGCCCCGTAATTTTGGATTCCTTGCGAGAATCTGGAGTTACATCCACAGCTTCCTGGGGTGGGAACAGGGAGACATCACGAAGGAAGACTCTGAAGTTCTTCTTGAGCTCATCAAGGATCGTGGTCCACTGAGCACTTGCCATATCGGTAACGACAACCTTGTAGAAGTCTTGATATAGTTTCCGCTTCGGCGGCGAAGTGTTTAGCATGCGCGAGCTGAGTGTTTGCAGGTCAAGATCGTACTGAGTGTACTCCTGGCGACCAAAGAGCACAATACTAACCAAATGTCGCACCTCCAGCGTGGTCCATCGCTTGAACAGATCCGGAAGAAAACCATTGATGACCCTGTTGAACAAGATCTCGCCATTGCCTTCGGAATCGAAGCCCCACATCTCACGCGACATCTGGATGAATATCACGTAGCGCGCCGCCTCGCTGCGAAAGACGGGTACGGTATTTCCGGAGAAGTACGCCGCTGCCACCCGATGGCCTCGAACGTGTATTGCCTTGACAATAACTCTGACACTTCCTAGGAAGGTGATTCTCTGACCAACGTGAACGAACTTGTTGGCAAGTTCTTGCCCAACCATGCGCCACATGTCGGATCTTGCGAGATAGACATCTCTAAAGCCTAGCTCGACGTGAGACGCCGTATGAGTACCAACGTCTGTCGCGCGGACCTCAACTGTGTCCCTTGATCGAAAACCAGAAGTCACTGCTAGCCTTGAGTGGAGTGAAATGTCGAAGTTGATGAGCTTGCCTTTCGCATCGCTACTCTGAGCTCGAGCAATGCAAAGAAGCCGGGGCACGAACTCGTGCTGTCGAGCTTCGGATGTTGTCCCGCTCTCAGACGCGGCGTTGCCTTCATCGTGCCTCTCGTTTCGATCTTGATTGGCACGAGTAGCTGTGATCTCTATTACGTCTCCATCCTTAATTGTCGAAGTTGTCAGTAAGGACTCCTTGATCAGAATCTCATCTGTCGAAGTCTGATCATCGTGAACCCACAGTGTTGCACCGAGAATGTCTCTGACGTGTTTGTTCCTCGGCTTGTCGTGAGGAAGCTTTGCCGCCTTGACCGTCGATGATGAGCTATCCCTCCTCCGTGGGCTTGCGAGCGCTGGCCTCAGAGTCGCCATTGCTGTTCTGATTGGCGAACGCGTCTAATGCAATTACTTGCGCACGAGAACCGTGCGATTTGTTCATGTTGATTACGAGTGTGGCATCGACGACTGAATGCAGTTGATTGAGCACACAGTATCGTAGTGCGAAGACTTTCACTAGCAGACGTTGAAAGTGAGAAGATGCTCAGAAGGCAAGAGGTACACTGTCTCTTGGCCTCTGGCGATGGAAGAAAATCACGTGATCCGACCTTGTTGCAGTGCCCGTGGGCGGCGATCGTAACTGCTTCTCTTGTGTGCAGCGGGAACAAAATGCAGTAGATCAAAGCTCTAGCTCTTAGTATTGTTACATCTTACAAGCCGCCCGTGTCTAGATAGTAATACAAAACCACTGCTGGGGGTATCTCATCTCGTGACGTCGTCAAAATTATCCCGCAACCACCTCTGTTGATACAAATGAGCTCACCTTAGCATCCAATACTCTGCCTCTACCACACACTTCGAGGCTCTGCTGCAAGCAGCCAACGCTTCACTCCTTCTCGTAGCACATTATGCTCCTCTCCTTGTCTCTCTTTCGCACTCTGGCCGGCGGAAGCCTTCGTTGAGACCGCACGGCCTTCGTCGTGGTTGTCCATGTGCTCACTGACGCTCTTGACCACCTGTTCCAATACCTCTGCCACAGCTTGTTGACAGCTGCTTCGTAGGATCCGTGGTGGCACAGTGATCTCTCGCGGCAGAGACCCAGCTGGTGTTGCAGGACCAGACTTTGCTGTCCCGGATGCAGACCTCGAGTGTGACTTACGCGACAAATCCAGTATGCTCGCGAAGGCGTCTGCCAGCATAGGGTCTGGCTCGTTTACCGGCTCCATGACAAAACGATGCTCGACCGCTGTGCGCGAGTCTGTGGGAGGAGTCGGGCTCTGCAGGTCCGCGATTCGGCTTCTTCCTAACTTCCGCTGAAGAGTGAGTCTCTCCACGGTATATCTGCGTGCATCGACCATCAGTGTGGAGCTGATGTCGACCCAAGTCTCCGCCTGATCAGAAGTGTCGCTCATGTTTGCAGCGTCCCTGCTTAGCAACGATCGACTTTCTCGGAGCATGGAGTCCCTAATATCAGACACTAAGTCAGAGTAAGGCTTGACGGCTTGGAGTCGGAAGTCTTCGTGGTAACGACGCAACCAACCAGCAACACCAGCGTCACCCGCAGTCGATTGCGCGGCATAAGAACTTGGCTGCGAGAATGAACTCCGCAAAGACGGAATGCCTTCGAGGCTGCGACCAGAGGCCGACGCGTGATTTCGGGAGCCAGGTGAAACAGGAATGGCATCTGCATCCCAGTCGAGAAACCCTGGAAGACCGATATCTACATCAACGACACCGTCTTCCTCATCAACTCTTAGACGAGGTGCTTCGACGACATTTAGGCGCTCGTCGACAAGATCGTGCGCATCATCCGCGGGAAGCGCCGGTTTCCGGGGTTGAGAGATGGATTGCGGAAGAGCCGCTGAAGTTGCTTCGCTGACCATAGATTCAAGCTTGTTGCTGCCTCCTCTCATAGAGCTGCCTCCATGCAGGTTGCCGAAGACGGCTGGCGAGGCATTGCTGGCATCCTCACCCGCGACTGTTGGCGATCCCTTCCGCGACCACAAGCCAAGAAATCCCCAGCTACCGTTCGAGGATCTTGGAGCGACAGTGCTGCTTGAATCACGGCGGAGAATCTGCGCCAGCTGATTAGTCGCGCCGTACTCAGGACTGTCGGCTACAGCGTCGGCAGGAAAGTAGCTATCCTGCGATGACGGAAGATAGGGCTGCGTAGCAACAGGCTGTGGCGTCAAAGCGGAACTTGCTGCACTGGTCTTGCGCATGTGTGTGGCAGATGTTGCAGCGGAGAAGCGCGACGCAGTTCGCATTGATGTAGTATCGGAGTCCTTACGAGTAAGCAAAGCTTTCGATGGGCGCATGGAAGCATGCGTGCTCGCACTGGTCCGTGACGAAACACTTGTCGAGAGAAGTGTAGCATCATGTGCATCACCGAATGTGACATGATGGCTATGGGAAGATCCTCTCGTGTCGTTGTGTTGGTCAGAAGCATACCTTACGTGCTTCAGAGATGAAGACGATAAACCGGGAGTTGGCAGTGGCGATTTGAATGGCGTCGGTCGCTGTTCGAAGGGACTGATGCCACTCAACGATGGCAAGAAAGACGCGAGCATGAAGATATACCGCCGTGCCAATGCTCGTTGATCGCAAACGATGACAGTCCGCGAAAGACCTAGAGACGGCTCGTGTACTGCCTCATCATCGTCCTGTTCTTTCGCAGCCGCCTTCGTGAGAGCACTCCCAAGCCACTCCGTGTGGTTGCCAAGAAAGGCGGTTAGCAGATTTAGGAGGAAGTGATTCTGCGATTTTGAATTGCAGACGTGCACCAGGTACCGTGCTTCGTCATTCCAGTGCCCGTCCCGAAATCCTATGCCCGTGATCACTCTTGGGATCTGCAGTCCGAGAGTTAGCCGTTGGACGAGGTGTCGACTAGAAGTGTGAAGGCTCTTTGCACCGGCGAGAGCCATTGGTTGGGTGATGTAGATGTTTCGCTGATTCGTACGCTGCTCATTCAAGCCCTTCGGCACCTTGGTTGTGGATGACATTACTTGTCGATTGACAAGCTGCAACCCATGGCGGATCTCTTCTTTTGCAACAGCCTCGACGTCAGACATGGCTCTTAGTATCATATCCCAGGAATTGGTCAGGACACTAATTCGATTGTCCAATTGTCTCGGTGAAGTTCTTGTTGGTGAAGACAGAGAGTCCGAGATAGCCTCAAGCAAACTCCAGGAAGAGGCAAAATCAGACCCACTTGAACTCGGAAATGAGGTTGATGCAACAGACATCCGCGAAGGTGGCCGAGAGAAATTTGAACGAGACTCCTCACGAGGCAAGGTCACTAGAAGGCCGACAGCATACATCGGAGTCTTCTTCTCAATCAACTTAGTTTTGCGTGATGCGCCACCGTCTTCGCTCATTGGCGATGCGATCTCAGCAGTTTGTTCGCCCGATCTAGGTCGCGTCACGATTGGTTCCTTCGAGTCAGGTAAGGGCACAGCGAACAGTCTGGTAATCAGGATGACATCTTGGTCGCTGGTGGCGTCTTCCCAGGAGCCTTGATTAGCACGTGCTAGTTTCGTGGTCGTCTGAGACGTGAGCGCTCTTGGAAAGTTAGGCCTAGTCGTCGCCGTCGAAGCTGTGGACAGCTGGGCCGGGGCAGCATCAGAACCAGATAACAGAATGTGCATCTTGGTACTAGCGTCGCTCTTTGTCGTGCTCGTGTTGCCGAACATGCATTCGAGGAGGCGGTTCACTTTGTCATCTCCATCGGTATCACGAGTGTGGCGAGTCCACGCACTGGCTGGGCCACCAATCGTCGAGCTCCTGTTTCTCTGGTGCATTGGCATAGGCTGCTGGGTGCGACTTTTGTTGCCATCTCGCAGAGTCGCTGTCGGCGCAGTCGCTTTTCGAGGAGAGGCATCTGATGTCGTCTTATGTGAATCGTAGAGCACTAGTTGCTTGTCCAGGCTCCCGAAAGCGTCTTGCGCGATGACAACTCTCAGATTGTGCGCCTCGGCCACACCGACGCCTCCGCGATCGTCGAATGGTCCTATGCGAAAGCTCGGAGAGCTGATTGGCGTGCTCGGAGGTGATGCTGGAAAGCCGTGCGTCGATTCTGCTACGTGGACAGGCCATAGTAGCGAGCGACTGTGTGCTTCCTCTGTGGTCGACTCGAGCTCGACGAGCTCTTGCCATAGCCCTGGATCAATCTCCCCAACATGCTGTCGTGCGCCGATCGCAGACCGGTGCGGCCATGCGGCAATGGGGCAGGGTTAGGAAATGCTCGACTTGGGATGAAGCTGCGGTCCGACCCGTCGCATGTTCAGGGCTTCTTCTTGTTACCCTTCGTCTGCTGGTCATGCCACTCTGCAGTTCACAGAGTGCAAAAGGTGCTGCATGGCAGCTTTCCAGTGAACTCTCACCGACTTTCTAGCGCATCATGGCCGAAGGGATGCGCTTCGGCTAAGTTGCTCCATGTAGGCTAGCGCGTATACGCGTTCTTCAAGCAAGCGCGTTCATTGCTCTCGCTCTTGCTAGCTTCACAGATTTGATATCTCAGGAGTCTACACTGAGCAGCACACCTACCTAGGTACTTTTCACATTGCCGTGGATGGGCGAAGGTGCAGAGGAGAGATCCACAGGTCAAAGGAACAGGTATCATCCCCTAGAAGAGTTCCCGCGTTCTACAACTATTCTTGGGACTTCTCTGGCATGCCACCTTCTGCCATCTTTTCTGCAAGACTGCTGGGCTTGCTATGCCTGATAAGATGTCCTAGAAGGACAGACGTTCGAGAGCTGAAATCATGAAGTTGCAGCAAGGACAAATCGGAGGTGGAGCAGGAACAGAGGCAGCGTTTCGCTCCTGCCCATACTACCACTGCTGCTGCTGTTCGAACTCCAGCGCGAGAGGCGCAACAGATGCCTCCTCGGGCTCGATGACGGACTGCTACGACAAGACTCACTTTTTCCAAGTCACTAACACCATTCCCGGCCGTGGTTTGCAGCGCACACGTGAAACAGTGGGCGGCAATGGTTTATCCTCGGTGCCTTCCCGGTTCTCTACGCCAGAACACAGGATACTTGCCGGTGGCCTTCGCTTGTCGGTCACTTCTGACTTATCTTCAGTGAATGCAGACCTCTCGCGTCGTGGTTGCCGGCTACTCTGTTACTTCACTGTGCTCGCTGATCTGATCGACTATATTTACTTCCCTCCTCGTCGATCTTCTTCTCTCCTTTGCACCTTTCCCATACCTCTCAAATCTTCTTGACCCTATCCGCCTTTCCAGGTCTGTCACTTCTGCTAACTCGTGACACACTAACACACTATCGTCGCCGCCATGATGGATGATTGTGGTGATGATGGCGCTGCTGCTAAGCAGCGAGGCTCTGCCTTACCTGAGGTACCAACCAAAAGTCCCACACCACAGGCGCTCACAGTTGAGGATCTCCATCACGAGTCGATGGATCCTCTGACCGCAGACAATCAAGAACCACTCCGATCCGTCGAAGCCCAGCCAGAGCCCGCCCAAGCCAGCGAACACTCGTCTCCGAAACCACCCACAGAACCGCCCTCGGATAACAATGTACCCCAGATTGAGCAGAGCAATCCTCCCACAAAGAGCAGTCCCATTCCTTCGGACATCATCGAGATCTCTGATGACGAGGGCGATGGCGAGAACACTGCCGGCGCCGGACCAAGCACTTCAGTCCCACCAATTCAGCGAACAATCGTCAAGAAGGAACCAGTTCCCGAGCGCGAAATTCTGGAGACCCCTCAAGGATCTGCTGAACGTGAAATCCAACCTCAACGACTTCCCTCACTACCAATCGCAGAGTCCATCGAAGGTATCGATTTTCATGCCACGGAAGATCATGGTCCTCCCAACATCGAAGATCACGGTATGCACAACGGAGAAGATGACGAGATGAACGATGCTGAGATGGAACAACTGCTTGCAGAGTTCACCAGAAATACAGAAGCAATGCCGGCCAACCCTCAGCCCGATGATCTTGCTGATATTGGTGATCACATGGAGCTAGATAGCGATGCGGAAGATGCTCGCAAGAAAGAAGAGTTCAAGAAAGCCAAGAGAACCTATGAACGTCGGAAGAAGGCCGGCAAGCTGGATATGCCTGCTCGAATCGCATTCCTGCAAGCCGAGGCTGCTGAGAAAGCTCGTCTGAATGCTCGCAAGGGAAAGCAGGCCTACCGCGAGGAAGAACATTCGATGTTCGTGTCTGAGCACGAAGATTCCCCCTCTGACGACGAGCATGGCTTTGAGATGTTGGACGATGACATCCTCGAGATGGGTCCAACGAGATCTGTCGCAGAGTCTAATCTCGAATCAGGCCACATGCAAATCGCTCCAGCCGATGAGAATGGTGCTGCCAACGACATAGATGAAGGAGCCCAAGGTATGCCTGCTAAGCGTGGTCGAGGCCGGCCACGAGTCTCAACACACAAAGCCAAGGCGACAGCACCACCTACTGCCTCCGTTCGCGGCAAAGGCAGAGGAGGCCGGCCTCGAGGCTCACGTACCACTGCACGTGGGCGTGGTGGTCGCAAGCAGCCAGATCGAAGCCTCTTCCAGGGTGTTGATTCACTGCTTCCTTACGATTTGTTGGGTCAGGCTACAAAGAATCGCGAAGCTGAAGCGCAGCCAACGTCTAACCAAACTCGGCGACATCTGGCTTTGGCCGAACTCATTGCATCAATCCCGCAAGAACACAGAGACCAACACGTCGGTGACAAGAAACTCCTGGAATTAGCAATCAAAAGTTTCAATGGCAGAGGAGCCATGAGAGCTGATGGCGAGGGAGCTTGGCGCCTGAGAGGAATGAGGACCTCTCTGCATCATTACCAGACCATCGGCGCAGGTAAGATGCGAGAACGTGAGAATGAAGGTAAGCCGTCCGGCGGCATGCTGAGCGATGAAATGGGTCTTGGTAAGTCGCAGCCTGCTCGTTGACACTCACACAGCTAATGACGTCCAGGCAAAACCGTCATGGCCATTGCTAACATCGTCGACGGACGAGCACCACTCGAGAGTACTCATAAAGCCACTCTAATTGTCACTCCCGCGGTCCTTCAACAGCAGTGGTTCAACGAACTCAACAAGCACGGCGACCCCAAACATGGCTATCTGAGAAGCGTCATGATCTACAAAGCCAGCCAGGCTGTTGCTATTCAGAACCCCATCGAAATGCTGAGCGCCTTCGATGTCGTCATCACATCGTACCACGAGATCGTCAAGTCCTATCCAAAGAAAGAATATCCGAAACACCTCATCACTGCTCGAGCCAAAGAGGAATGGTGGGAGAAGCACTTTGAGGAAAACAAAGGCCTCCTGCATCGAATCAAGTGGCATCGCATTGTTCTCGATGAAGCCCAGGCTATCAAGAACTACACTTCTCGTACAAGTGAGGGCGCTTGGAAACTTCGAGGTCGCTTTCGCTGGACGCTGTCAGGAACACCAGTCGTCAATTCTTTGGAGGAATTCTTTGCCTACTTCCGATTCCTCAAGGTCTTCGCCACTGGTGACTTCGATGTGTGGAAAACGAATTTCTGCAAGAAAGGGTCTACCGATGCTCTCAAGCGTCTCAAGGCAATGCTTGAGAAAATGATGATTCGACGGACTCATAAAGATCAGCTCTTCGGTCGCCCGATCATTCAGCTGCCTCCGGCGAAGCCCGTCAAGACGATTGAGCTCGAATTCAGTGTCTTCGAGAGAGCACTATACAAGATTGTCCGCGATCGCTTCATTCAGCGAATCAACACCTGGAGGAATGGGTCAATGCTGGCTGTCAGCTACTCAAACATCTTCGTTCTCCTAATGCGTCTTCGTCAATTGACCGCGCATATGATGCTCATCCAGAGGACACTGAAAGATTTGCTACAGATTGAGGATCTTGAGAAGCTGTGGACCTTGTCGAACTCTCCAGAAATGCAGAATGATCCTATTACCCGTCAACAAGTGGCTGGTCTGCAGGCTGGTCTTGACACGGTGACTGAGAACGACCCTAGCCCACAAGCTAATGATCAAACTCTGGGATCCCAGGCTATCGACCCCAGGAGGGCTTTGATCAACCTTTGGGCGCGTCAGCATCCACTCCCCAGGAGGGCTCCAGTGCATCGGCATCTGTCAACGTCGACCTCGCTAGTGGCAGCCAAGTTACGACGGCCTCATCGGATGACAGACACTTGCTCTCTGTCGCTGAGGTACCTTCCCGCTTCAATGGCGACATCTCCCAACAATTTCGCCGCTGTCTCAAAGCCATGCACGACGATGGGCAATGGGAGAAAGCAAATAATCGATCTCTTTGTCCCCTTTGCGGCCAGCAGCCCAGCAACCCCTACGTGACCAGCTGCCTCCACATCTACTGCTTCGCCTGCCTCAATCAAGTCGCCTACGAGAGCATGGTCGCTGGCGGCGAGTCCGCTACCTGCCTCGAATGCAGCTGTCGATTCAAAAAGTCCGAGTCCTACGCTGCGCAGGCTTTCAATGACGCGTCCAAAGGCACACCCGTTGCTCAAGACATGAGCAAGAAACGGAAGCGCAACAAGGATAGTCCTGAGGAAGACATCAATTGGTTGAACATCGCCAATCCAGTCATTCAGTCCACGAAAACAATGGCGGCTGTGAAGCAGATCAAGGAATGGCAAGCAGAGAATCCCGACAACAAGATCCTGCTGTTCTCTCAGTTTCGAGGCGTTCTACGTGTGTTTAGCAAAATCTGCGACGAGGAGGGCTGGGGACACGCTCAATTTCATGGAGAGATGACCTTCGACGCGCGCAACAAGGCCATTTCTCGCTTCGAGGAGGACCCTGACTGCAAGATCCTGCTGGCGGCTATGATGGCTGGTGGGGTAGGTCTGAATCTGACCATGGCCAACCGCGTCATCCTCATTGACCTGTGGTGGAATGTCGCAATGGAAACGCAAGCGTTCTGTCGCGTCTTCCGCATCGGTCAAACCAAGGACGTGGAGGTTGTAAGACTTGCGGTGAAGAACACGATCGACATGGACATCTTGCAGATGCAGAAACGGAAGACCCTCGAGATCGACAGCGCGATGGAGAAGAAGAATCGCGTCGGGAAGCTTACCACGGAAGAATTGCTGAGGCTGTTCGCGCCGATTGAGGACACGAATGACGGCGATGAGGACTGCGAGGAGGAACAACAGGGACAGGGAGGCCGTCGCAGTGGCCGAAACCGCAACAGTGGTCGCTCTGGCTACGCCGAGGCGGGCGCTGAGGAGTCATTCATCATGCCCGACGATCCGTATGTGGCTCCGGATAGCGATGTTGAAGAGGGCGTTGAGGGTGGGATGGGTGTTGAGGAGGACTTGGCTTGAGCTCGATCGATCTAGAGGGCGCTCAATGAGGATATGCTGGGAGCTGGAGTACGAGCTTAGGCGACCCAGCAAGCTGAAGCTGGAGCGCGAGTGCTCTGAACTGCTGGAGCTATCTTGGAGCAACCTAGCTACAGGGCGGGCTCTGGGGTGCATTTCGGCATTTTGGGAGGATTTTGCTGCTTGCTTCGAAGGATGTCTTGTGATTTCGATTTGTGAATCGCTCTGGCTTGATGGGAAACGATGTGTGTATGCTGAAGCGCTCCCGTACATGATAATGATAATCCCTGCTCTTACATTTTGAGATTTTGTGATACGTTGAGGGTTTGAGTGTGGTGAAGGCCGCCCTGGCGTAGATTCTGCGAGAAGAATGGTCAATGCGACTAGTAGCAGAGCTCTGCCTGGACTGATGATCCAACAGTATCATCTATCAATCCACTCCAGGGGCGCCGAACTAATCTGGCAAGCTTGCACTGCCGTTACACAACAGCGAGCACACCAAGGCCTCAAGAATCTTCCCCTTGATGACGGCTTTGACGCCAGGTATGTACAGCACTTCAGAACACACGTGATATTGACCACGAGAGTAAGCAGAAACTTGTCGTCATTCTCAGCACACGCTGCGTCCGAGGGTATCATATCTCATATCATGTAAGTCTATTCTCGCTCGCTTGCTGTTTTCCAAGCCAATCTGACCCAATCAGATCACTCACATAGAATTCGAAGGCATCGCTCGCTGCTAAGCGGCAGCCTGCCACTTGAACACTTGCAGGTCTTTCCTGGATCACCCAAACCTCTTCCGCCAAAGCAAATCCTTTTTACCCACCCAGCACCTTCACAGCAGCCCGCCTCTTCTCCAACACGTCCCCCCTCTTGACCTTCTTCCCCAGCGCCTCACTCGCCTGCACCAGCGCATCCACACTGACCGCATGATCCGTGACATTGTGATTCAGATAACTATACACTTCCGCCGGCGTCTCCAAACTCAAGATCTCAGATTGGTTGAGGTACAGCAGGGAGAGTGCGATCTGGAAGAGAAAGGGTGAGGAGGTGCCGTCGTGCGCTTCGACTCCTCCGACTACCGTGGAGGGAGTTGTGGGCGGTTCTGTTGCGGCTGGGTTGGATGCCGTAACGGGTGTAGTAGGCGCGGAGATGCTGTTCAAAGCATTGTTCAGCGGGTTGGGTAGACTCGGGAAGTCGACTGTCAGGGTGTTGGTGAGAGTCGTGCGATTCGTCTCATTAAACGTCGGCATCGCCTCCGTAGAATGTAGCGTCAGCACAATATCCCAGATCCGATATAGCGCTTCCCCTCCCGTGAGCACGCCCGCGTACAGCGACAGGAACCAGTGGAAGGTACACGCTTCCAGCTCAACCCCTAACTCGTCTAGTTTTGCGGACAAAGTGGGTAGCAACTCCTTGACGTACTCCCTCAGCACGATCTGATCGGCGCGCGCGACGAGCAGACTGCCGGAGAAGTAGGCGCTGGGGAGGATCGTGTCAATGACAGCGACGAGCAGCCAGAAGCAGTCTTCCGCATTTGCGCAGATGAGCAGCAACGAGCCGGCGATGAGGTTCATGCCCTGGCAGTAACCGATTGAGGGGTTGTGGAGGGAGTACGCGCGTAGAACCTCGTCGAGGCGCTTCACACCGGGGCCCGATTGGAAGAAGATGTTGTCGGTCAGGGTGCGGCGGATGTCGGCGGTGATCTGTTGTGCGATCTCGCGGTCGATCTCGGTGCTGCCTTCTTCCGACCGCAGCACTAAATCTTCGTAGTAATTTGGGATGCGGTTCGCTGCGGCACCCGAGCATTCGGCCAGATCTTGGGGCGGAGTGTGATGGGAATGCCGGCGAGGACGAGGGACTTGAAGTGGGTGTATTTGGCGCGTTGTTTGGCGGAGCGGCCGAGGGTGGCTATGCCGATGAGCTCGCCGTCGAGGAGGTCCGCTTCGGGTGCATTTTTGAGGGAGGAGGCGTTTTCGGTGGTGTAGTTGCTGGCTCGTTCGGCGCGGACGGCGCGGAGGAAGCTGTTCCACTTGGTCATGCGCTCGGTTTGCATGGAGTCGTGGAGGTCGTTGAGCTGGTCGAGGAGGAGTTTTGTTGGAGTGCTGTCGTGTGTGTGACCGTGGGATTGCTCGGCTTCTTCCTCGGTTGTGTGGCCTTCGGTCGACGCGTTGACGTGCGATGATTGAGGTTGTGATGTTGATCGTGTAGGAACCAGACCACCTTCGGCGGAATGAATTCTCGGTGGTGTGAGTGTTCCCGCGGCTCCCACTGTGCTGACGGTGACGACAGCTCCAGCAGAGGGGGTGTGTAGTAGCAATTCTTTGGGTCTGCTTTGGTAGTAAGCTGGCTTCAGATACTCTTGCCATGACTTTTTCGAGTCGTCCTCGTTGATGGAAAGAGGTGTTGCAGATCGAACGGGATCGCTGCCTGGCGGCGATACATCGGACCTGATACTGGATGCTTCTGCACTTAGTTGATTTTTCCGACGCTTAGGAAGCTGGAGAGACTGCCGCTTTCGCCGTCGCTGATCGTAGATGAAACCAAATCTATCCATCAGCACTCCTGAGGTATCGTGGTTGTTATGTGTCATTGTTGGAGGGAGTTCAGCAGGCTCAACCACGCTATCCATCTCCACTGTCAAAGGGAGACTTGCATTCGAGTCCTTTCTGTTGTGGTTCGGGCTGGCGGAGAGTCGAGATGCCGTAGTCGTCCTACGACCAGCAGGTCGGCCTTTCAGAGTGCCACTCGGCAGTCCGCCCGTACTGCCACGATGCGGTGCTGGCTGGGGATTCGTGACCGTCTTCGATAGCTTTGCGAGAGCAGATTCCGCCTTGCTCGGTTGGCCGTTCGTCTCCTCTACTAGGGAAGACGCACGGGCGCGACCAGTGCCTTTGCCGCCAAATATCTGGGTCCACGACCGAGAAGACTGTGTTGACCTGACACTAACCTCGTCGGCAGCTTTTGGCTTCTTGACAGATTTTGACCCACCAATAAAGTAACTCGAGGTTTGCTGAGGAGGCTGAAACATGCTCTGTAGGCCCGCGACTCTACCGGGACCCGATGCCGCCTTGGGCCGTAGCGTCTGATCCGGATCGCTCGTCTGGCTGAGAGTACTATTCGCTCGGCTGCTTTGCTGGCTGGACGTGGCACTTGCTTTGGCAGGACTGCGCCGCGTCGTTGGGACCTGCTGTAGGATTGGGACAGGCATTCCAATCTCGTTTGTAGGCGACGAGACGCTGACCGACATAGTCGTGGCCATAGCATCGTCTAGCAGCCCACCGAGACTCTTCTGACGGCCACTGGCGTCGGCATGTGCATCGTGAGCCCCTTGCTCGAGCCTCAGCAACCTTTTCTCGATTTCCGCCGTTGGTACATCTGCTTCCCGGAGCAATCGTTTGAGCTCCCGTTCGCGGTTGTCTGCTCTTATCCTGAGTGCCGAGATCTCTGCATCGCGCTGTGCCAAATCTTGGGCATATTGTCTGATCAATTTGACTGCCCCTCCTTTTGCTATCAGGCGTTGTATGTGCTCGTCGCTGCTCAGGTGGAGGGAGCCTGGTGTGTCGAGGGACGATCTTGGAGAGTCATCGAACAGCGCATTGCCTCGTGTGACAGAGGGAGAGGCGTTTGTCAGGCCTGCTAGAGTCGCCCTTCTGTCTCTCGCTTTCTGGGAAGTAGTCCTTGTGATGGTCGCCTGAGCAATCAACTGGCGAGGATCTATTTCTGCCGGAGATTCGTGCTCGGTGTCGAGAGAGGGAAACGAAGTCAAGGAGGGATCATGGTCTGCCAGAGACGCATTTGAGGTCATGGAGCCTGCCCGCTTGGGTTGGCCGCGGATTGTCCTTGTCTTCTTGCTGTCGTTGGAAGCCCGTGATGCCTGTGATGAAGACCGTCTGGATGCATTGCTTCCATTGTCCGACATGCTCAACCCTTCCGGACGTGGTCAGAGGAAGACTGTAATCGAATGGCCTTCCGGACCTTCACCCCATGGCAGGTTTCAGAACTTATAAACCGGGCAGGGGCGAAGGGGACACTCGACTGTGTGCGGCGAGACTGAGTGCCGCCTCAAACGCTTCCCGGTCACACTGACGGTTGGGATGGAAGCGCGACTTAGGGAAAGATATCACCAACGAACGCTTATCGTGTCATGACATGCTACGTGTGTTTGTATCCGACCCTTTGGGTTCACGTGAAGAGCCTTGACCGACCAGTCATTGCACGTCATCGACGCGGGCCGGGCGGGCCCTGGGTTCGGCGCCTCCGCGGCGGGCCTGCCAAGACGGCTATGGTTTGGTACCTGGTACGGTCGCGTGGTGGGACAATGGCATCACTTACCAGCGACACGCAGCAACGGCAACGACAACCCGATTGACAAAACCCGTGTCTCTCCTGTGTCGCACACCGAGAACTGCTGGACGCATCGGTCAAGACCAGAGGTGCTGGAAAGCTCAAAGTCAGAAACGTCTGACGATAGAAGGCCATGCCTGAACGATGACGGCTTTGGGCACGGCTGCCTGTACTGTAGCGCGATTCACCAATTCCGACACGACGTGAGGTAGCAGCTGACGGCGCACCATCAATCATGGGGCAAGGCTACTCCATGACAACGCCCTCGGCGGCATCAGCTAGCATCGATGTACCGGAGCTTTCTGATCTGGCATTCGACAGGACCCTTGTATCGGCACGATTTATGAAGAGCATCCGCGCCCGAAACCAACATGGCTTCGTCTTTGTCAAGGCTGTCATGAAGCCATACTCAACCTTCGACTCACAGAAATACATTAGACGATTGATGGAGGAACGGCAAGCACTGTCAGATATCTCGAATGCCCTGAGCTATCAGCGAATTGTAGAGACCGGAACTGGAGGCTTCCTGGCTCGGCAGTATGTCTTCAGTTCAGTATATGACCGCCTGAGTACTCGACCCTTTCTGGAGGACATCGAGAAGAAGTGGCTGGCGTACCAACTGCTGTGTGTTGTAAGGGACTGCCACGCGCGAGAGATCTACCATGGCGACATCAAGACTGAAAACACACTAGTCACATCGTGGAACTGGCTATTTCTTGCAGACTTCAGTTCCTACTTCAAGCCGACGACTTTGCCGGAGGATAACCCAGCTGACTTCTCCTTCTACTTCGACACCTCTGGACGGCGAACATGCTATGTTGCTCCAGAGCGGTTTACCACAGGTGCTGGAGACGAGCCCTACCATGAACTGAATTGGGCAATGGACATGTTCAGTGTCGGCTGCGTCATCGCCGAGATTTTTCTGGAAGGTCCTATCTTCTCCCTCAGTCAGATCTTCAAGTACCGTATCGGCGAGTATAGTCCCGAACATACGCACCTTAACAAGATTGAGGATCCCGATGTGAGAGAAATGGTGCTCAACATGATCGAGCTTGAGCCAGAGAAGCGATGGTCTGCTGACCAACATCTGTCCTACTACAAGCCACGCATCTTTCCAGACTACTTTGAAAGCTTCCTTCATCATTACATGCGAGATCTCACTGAACCGTCAACTACGCAAGAAGAGCTCGGCTTGGACGTCAGCAACATGGCTGAGTCTGATGACAAGATCGATCGCGTTTGGCAAGATTTCGACAAAATCTCGTACTTCCTTGGATATGGAACAGGAATAGATTTGCTCCGGCAGCCTGGTCATCATACACAGCGGCGTCATTCAAAACGCTCAGTGAACAAGCAAGTCTCTGGCTTGCACGATGGGACTCTGATATTCCTGACTCTTGTGTCCGCAAGTCTGAGGAACAGCACTAAATCATCCTCACGACTAAAGGCCTGCGATCTTCTCGTGGCTTTTGCGGAACGCCTGCCCGATGAGGTCAAACTAGACAGAATCGTGCCATACGTGGCGACCATGCTGACGGATCCCTCCGAGATTGTGCAAGTATCCGCGATTAGGGCGCTGACGACGATCTTCGAGATGATCGAGGTTGTCTCGCCGATCAATGCGTTCATCTTTCCTGAGTACATATTCCCTAAGCTCCGCACAATCGCTTCCACCGAAAAGATCGCCAGGCCATTGGTCCGGGCTGCGTACGCCTCATGTCTTGCCAGTCTCTCACTCAGCTCTGCGAGAGTGCTGGACATGGTACAAGCGATTCGAGCGGATGGTCGGCTACCGGCTCTCAACGAAGCAGAATGGGCGCCAGGCACTTCATTCCATGCCCTGTACGATCCTAGCAAAGAGGAGTTGGTGAGACACTTCGAGGAAGCCACTGTTATTCTGATCACAGATGAAGACAGCTCCGTCAGACGTGCTCTACTTGGATCAGTAGCCAGGCTCTGTGTCTTCTTTGGAAGTGTCAAGGCGAACGAGATAATTCTGCAACATCTCAATACCTACCTCAACGAAAGGGACTGGATACTGAAATGCTCATTCTTTGACGCACTTGTTGGTATTGCCACTTACGTTGGCACGTCGAGCTTGGAGAAATTCATCTTGCCCATAATGGTCGGGTCACTTACAGATCCGGAGCCTTTTGTGGTAGAGAAGGTGCTCAGATCACTGGCGCGCATGGCCGACCTCGGTTTGCTACAGAAGGCGTCCGTGTGGGAACTCGTCTCCATGGCCGCGCGATTTCTCGTCCATCCCAGCACTTTCATACGAGAAGCCGCGCTGCATTTCATCGTGTTGGCCTCAAAGTATACGTCAAAGGCAGACACTTACTGCATCCTGCTACCACTTCTCCAGCCTTATCTCAAAGCACCAGTGATCGAAGTTGCAGAAGAGCAGCTGCTAAACAACCTCAAAAAGCCACTTTCGCGCGGAGTGTTCAGCGCTGCCTTGCATCAAGCCTCCATTAAGACCAAGAGCCTGTTCTGGACTGCGGCAAGTCAGGATGGCGCGTTCGTGTTGTCAGACCCAGAGCTTGCTCACTTCCCGACCAAGCCTGCTAAGAGGTCGCTGACTAGAATTCCGCCTTCTCAAAAGGACAAAGACGATCAGATTTCACTGGAGACACTCAGGAGCGTAGGTATGGGAGCAGAAGACGAGATGAAGTTGCTGGCCCTTCGAGAATACATACTACATGTTGCCACTGCGCCAAAGCCCCAAGTGGCCAAAGACGCGAACGTGAACAAGGTTCAAGGGATCGTTCCACTGCATACACTCGACATACGGACGCAGAATGTCTTGTTCGACACATCTCAGCCCATAAGATCTCGACAGAATCATCGACCTCCTGTCCAAAGATCACAGTCTGCTCTACAGCAACGACATACTCTGGCAGAAGCCCTGCTGGACGCCTCAACCACGAACTTTGGGCCAGCAAATGACGTGGCGCAAGCCACAGCAAGTACGCCCGTCGATATTCGAGGCCGAACTGAGGCGACGTCCAAGGGCAAAATGGCGGACTCTGGTCCCTCATCGAGGAATCCATCCTCCGCCCCCGGGCACAAGCCTTCTTCAGAACTAGATAAGCTCTCGTTAAGGAGAGGCAAACTAGAACTCCGTCACCGAAATAGTTCTCTGGCCCTGATGAAGCGGGACACGGGCAAGGCCGAAGCCGAGACATCGACAAGTGAGCAGATTGCTTTCGGTAAAGTCGATGGGCCGCTACAGAAGCAATCAGATGCTGTGACCTCCGCCCTATCTGCCACCGCCGTTGCAGCTGCGAGATCGTCACGATCAAAGTCGCCATCGAAGCAGCTGCCGAGCACTCTGTCATGGGAGCCGAACCATTCATATGCCGGCAATGATCCTACAATTCTGCGCCTCCTCGACAACCACTTTGTCGAGAATTTTGCCATCGAGCAAATGGACTTCGGCGAGCCTTGCGAGTCTGCCGCTCGTATGCCGCTCCGAAAGGCTACAGACTTCACTACAATGGGGCAATCCGGATCCCAAGATACTACGACGCCTCACTACGACCCCTGGAGACCTGCAGGCCGGCTCTTGACTCACTTCGCAGAGCACACTGCGGCCATCAATCAAGTGTGCGCCAGCCCAGACCACGCCTTCTTCGTCACAGCATCCGATGACGGTACTTGCAAAGTATGGGATACGATACGGCTGGAGAAGAATGTGACACCACGATCAAGAAGCACATACCGGCACGGCACAGACCTCAAAGTGAAGGCGCTATGCTTCATTGAGGACTCCCATACTTTCATCAGCGCCGCAGACAACGGCAGCATCCACGCTGTCAAAGTAGAGTACCGAGTCGTCGACGGCGGCGAGAGCACGAAGTACGGTCGTCCAGTCCTTGTTAGAGACTACCAAATCCCAGCAATCATGGGCGAGAAGCCTCACGTCAACTCCACCGAGCATGCCATCCAAATATTGCACTATCGCACGACAAGCTCCCTTTCTGTCCTCGTCGTTGCCACGAACCATAATCGGATACTAATGATCGACATGAAAACCATGAACATTCTCGCCATTCTCGAAGAACCCCTTCACCACGGCTCCGTGACCGCCTTCGTCGTCGACAAACACCACCATTGGCTCGTATCCGGCACCACGCACGGCACGCTCTCCCTGTGGGATTTGCGCTTCCGTATTCACCTGCGAAGCTTCACCCTGCCCACACAGTCCTGCATTGATCGCCTTGTCATGCACCCGTCCAAAGGCTTCGGCAAATGGGTCATAGTCTCTTCCGCCGGCGAAATCTCAGTCTGGGACGTCGACAAAGTCACCTGTCGAGAGGTCTTCCGTCCGTACACTTTCTCCTCAGATTCATCATCCGTCGAAGGCGATCCTTCAACAACGCGCATCAAGCCGTACACCCCAATCTTCGCCGACTCGCAACATATCCCTCCCGTTCCCTCGACCCCTCCCGCACCAACCTCAACCAGATCAACACAGTCCATCCGCGCGCTGCACATCGCCCTCGACTTCATTTCACCAGCCTCGCGCACTCCCAACGCCAACAACAACACCTCATCATCGAAATACCCGCTCCTCTTCACCGCCGGCGGCGGCACAAACGACTCCACCACCCTCCGCTACTGGGACCTCCCCACGCCCGAGGACAGCTATATCCTCTCCTCTCCCGCCATCCACTCCGACGAGAGCTCGGGCGTGTTGCGTGCGCGATATGCGGTCAGCCATCCACTGAGTCTGAGTTCTGGGGCACAGGTACAGCTCGTGCAGGAGAGCGCGCCTGAGGCGAGTGGTGTTGGTGTGGGGCGCGGGAAGAAAGGTGCCGCTGGGGGGAAACGGGCAACGAAGCAAGCGCCGACATCGACGCAGAAGAAGGACGAGAGGGATAAGCCGACGCGGCAGGCACTCCTAGCAGGAAATGGAAGCAGGGTGTTAGGCGCCCATATGGAAGGCGTGACTGATTTGATTGTCTTGAGAAAGCCGTATGGGATTGTCGTCAGTGTGGATTCGGGAGGTGGTGTGATGTGTTGGTACTGATGAGACGCCATGAGCCGATCCCTAACGCGAAGAGCATGTCTCAGTCTCTCCCCAGATCGTCAAAGATCACAGCGCCTGGAGGTGCATCCAAGAAACCTCGGAACTTCGCTGATGGGAAACAAATTAGGGTGTAGATGGCGATTGGTCAGAGCGTCGTTCCGAAAGATATTACGGTCGAGAATGGCTTCGAGGGCCAAGAGAATGTCGAGATACCATTCGGAGTCTCCAGCTCTATCCAGGACCGCCGGTGGTTGTCTTTTCCAAAATTCGAGATGCTCGTCGCCGCCCAGCATGTCGCCAGCCTTTGCCAAGCTTTTCACCAGCTCCTGCCTCAACGTCGAGCAACTTCCTTCGCTATTCTGTTGGGGGGTTGAGTCACTAGTAGTGATGACGACAAAATCCAGGCAGCCGTACAATATATGACGACGCATCGCCTATTTCGTCATGATATTGAGGCAGGAAGTCGCAAAAGGCAGGCGCCTCCCACTGTTCTCCCGACTATTCATTCTCGATTCTCACCGTCATCCTCCGTCCAAGTCTCATACTCATTGACAGCAGTCCAGTCATTGCTGACGTGGAGGAGGACTTTCTTTTCTAAGCTTGGAATGCTCCGATGAGACGAGATCGATGATTTGGGTACGCGAGCGAGGCAGGTGCACTGTGTCAACTGGATAGTACAAGTCGAAAGTGCTGAGGACAGAGAAGTCATGGCCAAGCAACTCCAAGCACTCGCTGGAAATTAATTTCAGTTCTTTTGTGCGCTACTGCTTATTGACCTGTTGTAGCAGCACTTTGCAACCTCGATATCAGCTTCAAAAGGCAGTTTTCTTCCCAATGTCTGAAACAGCACAACAGTCTGATCGATAACCCGGATACCGATCTGCACGATAAAAAGCGGCCTGGCCATGTGTGACTAAGCCTATGCATCGGCTGAAGATCGACCACATCCTATTGGTGCGTCGCAGAACTGCAACTTCCAACCGCGTGAAGAAGCTTTCGAACCTGACAACTCACCAAGGTATACTCTATCTCCTCTTCCTAATGGCGAAGTCATTTGGGATATGCAAGACTCGGCATGGCTTCAACGACCATTAGCAAACTGTACATGAGCCCGCTTGAATGGCTATCCATTTCGTGGAATATGACCCGACTCTGAAGTTTCGCAACCCGAAGCTTTGGGAATTGCAGAAGTCGCGCGAGCTGTCGCATGCGTCTCGCGTTGGCCACGGTCGTAGAAGGTCGCTGAAAGCCAAGCGAGACCAAGATGAACAGTGTCTGGCGGCAAATTCGATGCAGCCAAGCAGTTCTGCTTTGGATCCGTTCTTGAAACTTGCTGAAGACGTCTCACTTTCGGAGAAGAACCTGCTACACGATTGTAAGCTGGCCGTCATCGTTCAGAAATCGGACTAACACTTCAGACCTAACACGTGTGCCTGTGGAGTTTTACGGCACGTCACCGAACGCTGTTCACAGTGCGGTCCGGGAGAGCACGTTCCAGTATCTGTCGACAAGCAAGGTCGTACTGCAATGGACAATACTCATGGCTGAGATGCGGCGCATGACGCTGCTAGCCTTGCCGCCATCTGGGCAGACAATAGATACGCGCCGGCAGCAGATCTACCACATGATGCGCAAACAGGCAACCAATCCAGAGAGCCAACTTTGGGCAGACGATATCCTGTATGGAGTGGCTTTCGCTGCGATGGTCGAGTACAGGCTCGGCAACGTTGAAATGTCACAGCTCCATCTCGCTGGCTGTCTCGCCATATGGGCTGTACGACACAGACCACTCTCAATTTGTGACCGCACGCTCTTGACGAATGCCATTGCTGTGTGCACGATCTCACCCTTGGCTTCTGTGCGTGGAACGGAGTCTGCTCATGTGATCGAAAGACTGAAGACAATGGAACGAATTCACTTCGTTCGGCGAAGACGGTCCCTCAGATCTGCGCAGTCGCGCAGCTCCGAAGAGCTTGAGAACAGGCGTCTTAGGTCGCTACTCAACTGTGACTCTACGCTCAAACTGTCCCTGGATCGGAGCATCACCGACTCAACGCCAAGTGGACTTCGTGTGACGATCGCAACACTTTACATACTCAATATCTTCCTGTGGGGCCAAGGCTATACCGCGACAGACTCGCAAGTCCTTCGATTCTTGCTGAAGCTGGATCATCGTCTCTTATTGAATCTCGGACGACCCTATGAGGAAATGATACGTCCGGCGCCACTTTTACCCAATGGCTTACTGTACAACACAACAACGACGATATATGAGGAAATGGGATTTGAGGTTGAATACGACAAGGTGCTTGTCTGTGAGGTCGTTAAGTTCGTGAATTTTCTGGTTTGCATGGATCGCGCGTACTGGCAGAGACTAAAGAAGATCATGGCCAGTTGGGTATTGGGAATCTTCGATCTGAGTATTGAGCTCATTCGCTACGATACCCGCCACCATGTTGAACAGTCCGATGATTCTATCGACCACGGCTGACACAAGTAGATCTGCTCAACAGATTAGCGAACAGACCCTCATCCCAGCTTAACCTTTGAGGAGAAAAGGGGAGACTTATAAAAAGTGTGGCCAAAGCCCGTCGCCGTCTCGTCCGATCCTGCCCATTGCCTGAGACCATTGCCACGACGATACAGACTCCTTGGCAAGTACACGAGAAAAGCAGACAAGGACAAGACTTTGAGCTCCTCTCTTGAGGAGTCCTGCTTTCTTGAGACAGCCTATGCCTAGGAACCGGAATCGGAGCAACAAGATCAGGGTATAGGGCGCGGTCCGGCGGGACTGGTGAAGGGGAAAAAGAATGCTCAGCTCTTGAAGACCAGACAGATCGTTTCACCTCATCTGCACCGCCATCGTCTTCCCTCGATAGCGAAGCGCAACATCGCTCGCTGACCATACATACCATGACCACAACCTCGGGAACTCTCCTTCCTCCGCAAACCACACATCATCGCAATCTCGTATGTAGTACAGCAACCTCGGGGACAAGACTTTGATTTCCGCTTCCGTCATGCTAATTCTCAATCAAGAGAAAACAGCAGGGTCGAAGGGCATTTGACTCTCGAAGAGGCAGGGCGCACAAATGACATCCAGAAAAAATCGCCCTCATCCTAGCTCTTGCGAGCAGGGAACACCGTGGATCTGGACCAAGTACCGCAAGCGGTAAGAGGCATCACCACTGAATATCGGCACTCATCCCGCGCCTCCGCCACAGAGGGTAGAAGGGGATGATTGACGCGGCTGATCGAGATCTCTCCGGGCAGGAGAGTACGCATCGAGGTGTCTGGTGACTTGATGCGCGTTCCGAGGGCTGGCTGCCGGCACTTGTCTGGGCAAGGCCGGTGTGGTAGCGGCGTTGGAGGTGAAGAGAAATGGCAGTGTGACTGCTTGGTTGATCGTCGAGGCGGAAATGAGGACGCAGCTTGAATGGCACATCCGAAAGGCAAGTAGTGGTATGGCCAAGGAAAGAGGTAGCAGACAAACCAGCTCAGCAACCTGACTACATGCCCAACATTAGAACATGATCCCGATCAGTGGATCGCTTCGCCGATTGTCGCTATCAATTCATCAAGCCTGTGCGTGAGCCCATGTGAATGTCTAAGCCGTGTCCTCGTTCCGCCGAATCGAAACCAATCTTTCGCTTTTTCGAAACCATACCGTCCACGCCAAAGCACCTCAAAGAAACATCTCGTGAACAAACATGTGACCACGCAAAACCCAGCATAAGTCCGCCGACGCGTGGTCCTGAAGCGAACTCTTACCAAATCTGACGCATGGCGCAACCGTCTTTTGCTTGCTCCTCTCAGAGCTCTGGACTGACCACCAAATCTCCCGTTCACTCGACCAATCCTTCTTGTTCTGAACACCAAGCCAGCAGCAGGGCCACCGTCCCGGAGACGAAACAAGGGAACGCGATCAAAAAGCTAGTAAAGAAGGCTGGGGCCGCTTGACCGCGAGACTTGACTTGAAGTCAACCGACGAGATGCTTAGGGTTAAGTTCCAGCAAATACCCTGCAACCGTCCCGGACTGAAACGTTCCCCACGCTACCGGTGCTCATGGTGAGGCCGTGCTATGAGGCTCGAGCGGTGGTGTATGCGTTGGAGAAAGGACGGAAGAGGCCCTCGAAAGAAGGCGAGATAAATGCTGGGAAACTGTTGGGAGGTCGTTGGCTGTACGAGTGGTGGAGAGGATGGATGTGGGTTTGTGAGAGGTTGGAGTTGTTTCCGGGGGTTGTGGTTCGGAGTGTGTAGAGGGTCGGGAGTGATGATGTTTGCTAGTGCTGGTCGAGGTCTGATGGCGGGGAGTTAAGGTCAGCAGAGTCGTGTCTGTTTCCGAGAGTGAGCATTCTGTGTATTGGGGAGGGCAAGGCTTCGTAGCTCGATCTGGAGAAGACGCGTTGAACGCGTTGGGTGAGGTCAAATGACCGTCATTTCATGAATCGTCATCCGGTCTCCTGAAGACCGTCCACGTCTGCCATAGCATACATTTCGCGCCACGATGTCCAAGGCACTTACTTCTCTGATTGCGATCGACGCTGTCTGATCTACAAGTGAAGTTGCCTCCTGCGTGTGGAATGATGACGAGGATACAAATTTGTAAGGGTATCATTGGAGCTATCTATCTCATATAATTACAACCATGGATCATGAATACCTCCGAAGTTTATATACACTACCGCGAAGATCTGCCCGCCTGAAACAAACGATGTTGCCACAATTGACGCAGTGAGTCTCTCAACAGGATGTGCTGATACAAGGTCTTACCCAGATGGGCTTCGAGCGCAGCCAATGAGCCAACACGCAATGACTGCGAGGCTCTTGCTGCTTCGGCTATGAACCAGCCTTCGTGTTGTGTTCCGAGCGCAACCATACTGCCAATCACTGTGAGCCAGAGATACAGGCACGAATTCTGCGTGCTAGCCTCCAAGGCTCTCCGCAAGTGGTGGATAGAGTTCGAAGCACAACTTCGGTCCAAGAATGTCGATCGGATCAGGGCGATGAAGTAGATGAGGGCGATGCGAAAGGCTTGGTCCTCTGAAAATTTGACCCGTGCGCTCAGCAGTTGGTAGCCCACCGAAAGACACTGTGAGCTGGCCCACTTACAGTGTGCATCTTCCAAGTAGGGAACGAAGTTAATCACTTTTGACAATTCTTGGAAACATTGCGCGAGCTCTCGATGCTTGACTGGTGCAGAAGGCTCGACTAGGGGCGCCGAGATAGCCACCTCTTCAGGCTCCGCGACTGTGTTGGAGAGAGTGATTCTGGGAGTGTTGAGTGTTCGCAATGCGCCATGCCAATGTGTGATGATCTCGGTCTCGAAGAAGTAGCTGTCGAATGTCTTGATGCCGCCAAGACTTGTAGCCACGGTGAGCATGGCCTCGAAATGTTGCTCGGCGTCCTTGAGCCTGTCTGTGAGGTATGATATTGTTGTCAAGCGTTGTATGTCTCGCGCCAGTTCCTTGTTCGGCTGGCTCGTGGCTAGGCTGGCTTGAACAGACTCCGTCGCTCTAGCCTGCAGCCACAAAGCAAAGTCAACCTGATCAATGTCCGGGATGGATTCACCAATGACAATCATCTGCACGGCAATGCAGGCCAGGAATGAGTAGAAATGTGCTGCTGAAGACCTCGCTCCTGTATTTCGTCTTCAATGGCTTTACCGTGTCGTGCGGTTCCTGGCCTTGCCCATCTGGCATCGAAATGGAATTTCTCCGGTAGGAGGCGATCCGTCCAACATTGCAGTAGTATTGGCACGTACTTCGATAGAGTCTCGGAGTGATCGAAGCATTGCATCGGTATAGGCGCTGCTGATTGCGATGAGCCGTTTTGGGTTGGGGCGTATGCTACTGAAGCTGAAGTTCCGAACGAGCTGTGATCGGCCTCAGGGTCGGAACAAGAATCGAAGATGAGGCTAGCCTCTGATATTGGCGACCCTTTCAGAGCCGGCAGCTCCCATAGTGTGTTGTCATACTCTGGAGGGAGCTCATATATCAGGTCTTCCTCCAGGATTTGAGGTGCTGCAAGGACCGTTGGCTTTTGGATTGCTACCACGCCGCCGTGGGTACTCTCATGCAGTGCTGCGTCGTGCTTCTGTAGTAACTTTCTCCGTAGGCCTCGTTGAACGTGACTCTGGATCTGATGACCCATGGGATTCTTAGTCTTGCTTTTCATCTGGGTAGCGTCAGTGTTGACGAAGAGGAACATTTCCTCGTGAAAGGCCATTTTGCCGGCGAAGTCAAGTGCTTGCTGCTCGGGAGGGCTCTATGATCTGCGCAATGAGCAGTTCCGGATTCCCACCTGCTGGGTAGGTAGACTTTATATGCATGGCTGTCCGTTCGCCCTACCATGACTGATGCTCATCCACTGTAAACGTGGCTGAAACCAGGTGCACAATCGTGATCTGATTGTAGAGACGGTGGACATGTCGAGGCCGAGCACGGCTTCTAACATAGGCTGCTTGTATGCAGCTGCAGGTACAAAGATCTGGTGCTACCGATGCAGTGTCTCTGACCCTGGTCGATTGCCTTATTCAGTAATAGGCACGACCAGCCAAGGCGAGCTAACGCTCCGCGCGTTGTTGAGAGAGCCACACACGTGACATGAACCACTCAAGGAGCACGACTCGTGCGAAAGAGCCGTTGATGACCTAATTTCTGATGGCATCAGGCGGCTTGCGTCAGCTTAGCAAACGACTATTTTCCGGCTTAATTCAACGAAGGCGCGCATTCCTGCGCCCAGCATGGAAGTCGTGCTAGCGTACCAAAATCCGACTTTCTAGAAGGTCTTACGTCCGGATGATCTGCTCCGAGATCAGTGCAGGGTCTTCCAGGGTGCGCAACGGCCGAATGAGTAAGAGAACTGATGGCGTTTCGCATCTGTGTTGTCCTACCAAATGTCAAGTTCATGGCTCACCTCACGCCCCGATGTGTCTCGGCGCAGAAGGAGTCCCCATCATTATTGGTGGCTAGGCAGTGCAGTCGCGGTTAGCACAGTCTTTGTGAAGTGTCACATTGACCAGAACTCTGAGCTGTCGCAGAGTTGATACCAAACTCGAGAGGCCTAGTGAAGCTTGAGGCAGTGGTGCCCGGCGCCAGGTCTAAGTTGGCCGTTCCCGCTTATCGAAACGCCTTCGAACGTGGCTTATTTACTCTGCAGAGCGCGCAGGCTCCGAAGACGACACCTCAAGCAACGTGATCGTTGCTCGGATGAGGACCATGTGAGTGTTAAGGCATTGAGATATGTTCGACGCGAGCTGTTGAGAAGTGTGGAAGAGGCGTTCTACTTGACGCCACAGCGACGGACTTGGCGGCTTCCTTTTTCAGAAATGGGACTAAGCACATTGGGTCGTGGCGTACAGGCACGATCCGGATCTCGTACGTGTTACAAGCGACTCGCCTCAACTGAGGCTTGATGCAATATGTCAACCCTTTATCCTCTTTCGAAGTCCCTGAGATCTGTGACATTGGCAGTCTACTGGCCTGCGCAGGCGGCCTACCGTAGCAGCTCCGAACGCAGTCCGAAGATCTCTTAAAGGATGCTTGGACCGGGATGCAATCAACTTCGCATGGCCCTGCGAAAGACAACAAAGCACTAGCAGTCCGCCTGCAACGACGTGATGCCAACCGGAAGTCGAGAACTCTATCTCAACCGCATCACGTTGCGAAGCGCAATCGACAGCAGAGAGTGGACAAAGCGATAGATCATGCTGACACGGATCAAGATGTCCGCTATGACGCTTTCCCATCATCGACAGCTTCTGACGATGGTGTCTTTGACCTCGTCGTCAGTCCCCGCAGTCCTCTCGATCACGGAAAGAACGATCCATTCGCGGCGCTCCCCACGGACTTGCCAGTCGAGTTCCTCACAGAGCAAGTGCACATGTGTAAGGTTTCACTGGACTTCGTGCTCATCAACTGACTCCCAAAGCCGGCATTTGCTTACGAGAGATGATCACGAATTGCGATCCAACAGATCGAATCGGCGCACATTTCTCTGAGCAAGTCATGCAGATGGCGTCTCAGAATCAGGCTCTTTTCTATTCGATGCTATCTGCCGCCATGGTTTTCCAAAAACCGACACGGGAAATGAGTGAAGAACAGTCGACTCTTCATCTGTCAATACAGAATCGAGCTGTGAGTCTGCTGAGCCAGCAAATGGCTGATGCTACAACCGCTACCCACGAGGCAAATATCTGGGCTGTGTTCGCGATGGGCTATGCTTCCGACATTGGACCCATTCGCTCAGGTAAATTCCCTCGACAATCTTTTCTCAAAGAGCTGCAATCTCTGCACGTTTATGGCCGCTTTCAGCTCAATCAAATACATCTGCGTGGCTTGATACAGCTCGTCATGTTGATTGGCGGCATCCAAAATATCAAGACACCCGGCATGGCGTCGGTCATCAGTTTGTGCGCTTTCGAAGTCTCCAGCTAGGTGTTTGGCTAATAAGTTTAGTGCTGATCTCTTCGAGTCATCCCGAAACATGCGACATACTTTCATGCCGTTCATACCTTTCACCAATGCATACCTACTAGGAGACCGCCTAGCTTTCTCTACCCAGGAGCGTCTGTGGGCACGGCAGACATTGCCACGTCTTGGAAAGGGTTTCCTTGACGTGTGGCAACCGACAGATCCAGTTCTGACTGCGATCCTGGCAGTTATGGATCACATGGTGGACTTCACAATGATTGTTGAGAACTACATAAGAGGTCGTGTCAGTCCACGGCCAGGAGCCGCTCTCACCGATCAACGAAACTTCGCGCAGCACGCTCTGATGTCCTTGCCAACTGCAAGGGAGATCGAAACCAATACAGGCCAGCTGTGCGATGATCTGTACGAGCCGTGCCGGTTAGCATTGCTCGTGTACAGCTTTTTAGTTGTGTTTCCACTCCCACCGATCATCGGCCTTCATGAGAAGATCACGTCGAGACTTCAACGAAGCATTGTCCTGATGAAACAAGATCTCCAGTTCATGGGCCAGTCGAGATTGCGTTTCCATCTATGGATCCTGACCATGGGCGCCATCATCTCGATCGGTCTGCCGCAGCGGGCATTTTACATCGCCGAGATCAGGAAGATGGTCCTATGCTGGGTGTACAAGATGAGGATGCATTCGGTGAAATACTCGAAAGATTTCTATGGCATCCAAAAACGTCTCGTCGAGATGGCCAAGACCTCTGGCGGGATGTGGAGGGGTAGAAACAGAGCTGAATCGAATCACTTCTAAGCGAGCCAACACCGACTTGGCACTGACTCGCAAAGGCGCAACGCAACCAACCTGAACCTTTCGTATCTGTCGATCGATCGCAGCAAATTAATGTGGTCATCCTTTCTGCACCAAGCATGGCACGTAAGCCGAGACAAACATTTTGATGCCCAGTATGGCCATCCGTTAGAAATGGTTGATGTAAGTTTTACCTACATCACGTAACCCAAAAGAGTCTTCCCCGCGCACGAAGCACGCCTGAAACATCTTTGGCGGGGGTTATCTGCGCCTCAGGCTGCGGTGACCCGACGTCGGTAGTAGTACGGCTTACAAGCATTTCCCAGGCGTCCGGCCGATCTATACAGTTCGTCGCAGGCTTCCCGCAAACACGGGAGGAGAAAAGCGCATCGCGAGCTGCGATTCAGGGTAACGCTTCGAGGATACGATGGCGCAAAGGCACGACTGTAGCTCCGGGCTTCGTGCAGAGCCACGTCCCGGTGCAACAATCATCGTCGCTCGAGCGTAGACGTCCTGGAACAGTCGCTGCGACAAGTACGTGCAGTCGCGCAGCTCAAACTCACGGCCATGGTTCATTATCTTAGATCGCGCCAGAGGCACGCAAGTCGACCCGACGAGAACGATCGATGCACCCACCTTCTTCTTCCATCGGACTCTCGATGCGCCTACACTTCCACCGTTCCTTCCCTTGCAGCCGGTGGAAGTAGTATCAAAGGACGTTGTCTGGCGAATGCTGAAAGCCAGTATGCCATAATCTTCCACAGCTCATCATCGGTGCTGACCTGACCAGCTAACGAGACGATGCAACACATCATGTTCAGCAGAGACGACCTTGCTAATTTCTGGATGCAAAGGATCACCTCCTCGGACATTTTGTTCAATGCGTTCATGTATGGAGCAGCGATACGCGAATTTCATACGTCCACCGTCAAAAGCAGACGCACGGCAATCGAGTATCATGCTCGAACTGTGACCTTGATAAACGAATCACTGTCGGACCCTGTGCAGTCCTGTTGCGATGACAACATCATCACTGTGTCGAGTCTCGCGCATCATGAGCTGATAGACCAGTACCGACCGCCTACCGGTAGCATCAAGCGACCGAACCAAGGACCTCTAGAATCGCTGCAGCTACTGGATCTTTATGGAGGCAAGATCGAGCCCAACATGGTGCACAGGCGCGGCATGTTGACGATGATTAAACGTCGAGGTGGTATGCAGGCACTCGGCATCGCTCCTGCAGTCTTCCCGTGGTGTGTGTACGTATTTGATGGGTCGTTCTTGCAGACCTTTGCGCTAACACAGATCCAGAGCAGAAGTCTTCATCGCCAGCAGACTTCTGTGCAAACCAGCTTTCGAGTTGTTACCACTGACCGGACTCGACATCCCAGCCTCCTTGTCGGTCAACCGGCGAATCGACCATCCTCTCAAGGACATGGGCCACGGCTTCCGTGTACTCACTCAGCTGTCGCCCACAGACCAGAATCGTGCACTGTACGCAGATCTCGATCGTATGGCGCTCTACTGCCTCGGCGTAGACGACTACGCCGCTGGTCGTCGAATGCGGAAATCCCTGGAGATTTTTGCCCAGGAACGAGTTTTTGTGCAACACAGCCTGCTGACAAAATACGACGAGGAGTCGGCGGCCGATCCCAAACCAGATGGGAACATCACGACACTCACTCATCTCACAGCCGTGATCTTCAGTCTTATGTGCGTGATCCCTCTTCCAACGGCGCCCTTCCATAAGCTCGTGCGGCAGGTAAAGGCTCAATTTGCCCATCATTATTTCGAACATGAATGGAAAGAGGCCCCGGAGATGATGACGTGGATCTTGTTCCTCACTGGCGTTGCTGCAATTGGTATGCCAGAGAGGAAGTGGATGGTCTCGACCTTGGATCGATGTTTGCACCGGCTGAAGATACGGGACTGGACGGAGCTGAAGGGAATCTTACTCAAATTTCTGTGGCTGCCTATAACGAACGACGACGACGGTGAGGGTTTGTATGACGAGATCAGACGAAGCAATCCTTTCGAGGCGTTGAAGGATTCTGGCGCGGTTCGAGTGATGGAAGTCTCGGACGAGATCGAGGAGGTTTCAGTCACCTGAGATCTTGAACGATACCCAAAGGCATTCTGATGTGTCGTCGCAAGCTTCTTCTCTTCGCTACACCATGAGACAACAAAGCGTGCGAGCTCGGTTGGCACAAGTGACGATCTCCACCAAGAATGGCTCTGAGATTTTGCGGCAATGTCCTTTCTCGGCGATAATCGCCCATGACAAGCGCAGTTGAGCTCGCTCGCCAGGAATGTGGCTGCTTCTTGCGAAAATGCTCAGAGCAGGGGTCCTGCCGCGGCCCAAAAAGCTGAAAATGCACTGCTCGGACAGCTGCAGCGGACGCCGCAGCGCTGACTGATCTCAGAAGCGCACTCTCCTATCGGCTACTGTTCTCGCACTGCACGAGTCTGTGGCCGTGCGGCGTTGTGCGACCGACGCTGCCCATACTAGACCAAGTGCCAGTACTGCTTCCTACCTAGTGGCGGTTGAAAGATCTGCCACGCCAAATGAAGCAATGCCAAGTCGTCAAACCCGTACCTGCATTCAATCTTGCCACAAGCATCATATCACGGACTAATTCACCGATGGAATGAAAAAGTACTCAAATTACTTGCGGCCGGAGGCTGAATGCCGAGTCGCCAACGACCACCGAAGCCTTCGCCTGAACACGGCGGAGGCAGAGCTTGCTTAATGCTTGAAGCGATCAAGACGACTGACAAGCATCGCCCCCAGATTCCGCTTGTGCAACGGCGTGGATTATCAGGTCAGCAATCTCGGCGATCTTGGCAGGCTTGACGGCGCCAGGGTGCTACTGGGCATTGCTCACAGACTGCTAATCACAGGAGCAGAGGCAAAAGGTCGCGGACCAGATTAATCGACCCGAAAACTCTCCCAACCAGCCGTGTTGCCGAGCCTTTACCATATCTGGCAATTACTGCGACCAGAGTGTGAGGATGGCCTCTTGCCAACGCATCGGATTTGCTATGCTTCTCTACCCACAGCTAGGTATTCTGGGAGTTTAGACAACCCCAGCGCGGGGCGAAGTCGATGGCTCGACATTTGCGGCCTTCATTGAACGTCAGTGGAAGCTCTCAAGCGAGGCATCTGGTTCCACAACGAGCGCTCAAGTGCTGAGCAGTCCAGATGGTTGTGGGACCGTCCAGGAATATGCAAATTGTCAACATGTCTAAGCCTTGCGCGTTGTCCATGTGCCAGTGCTGTTCTTGGAAGGCAGTGAACTGGACCTTTGGTGGTGTGGTTGCTGAACCTGATCATAGAAGCTAACGATCTCAGGAGCTCGACAAGTATATAGACCTCCCAACCTGTCCCTCGACATCAGAGTCTTGCTCCCCATAAAACAATAACAAACAACAAAACAACTCTTTTCCTTGAGTCAGCTTTCCTGTATTCACTCTCTCAACTTTCATTTCAGCAAAAGTACCCAACCCAACCAACAACTTAATAACCTACCAGCCAGTTCTCAACCAGAGGCCCCCACCAGAATGCAGTACACCACCATCGCAACCACCCTCCTTGCCCTGACCAGCAGCACCCTCGCCCTCCCAGCTCCCCAGATCGCCGCCGACTCCGTCTGCAACTGCCCCAGCACCGGTACCACCCCATCCGCACCCGCCACCTCCTCCGCCGCACCCGACAAATCCACCGTCTTCGTCGACCCCGGCCGCGTGGGCGTCGGCCTCTCCAAGCTCGACAACTCCGAGGGCATCACCTTCCTCTTCGACCAGGACACCCTGGCCGCTGGCATGCAAGACACTCGCGATGTCGTTCAGACCACTCTCTACGAAAAGGTTGAGATCGCTTTGGGCGATGGGTTTCCTAACAAGGATTTGAGGTGTCAATTGATTGACCTCAACGGCAACACGGTGTTTGCGACTCGCGGCGCGAATCTTGATGATACGTTCAGTGATGCGGATAAGGGGTTCTGGACATTGGTAACGCCGACGCAGATTGATACGATTGTGTGCGATCCGGGGTTCAAGGCTAACAACCGCAACCCTCCTGCATAAACGATCTGAACCAATATCGAAGTCGTCGTTGCACGGCCGTTGAGGACTGGAGTGGAAATGGTCCAGAGCTTGGGTTGTTGGTCTCCTTTGCAAGCGGTCTTGGGTTGCTTTTGATATTTTTGGAAGAAAGCTCGGGGAATCGTCCGGGGCCTCTGTTGGCCCGGTCTAGGTTCCTATCACGGTCGCTACCTATAATGATATATTTGTGCCTTCAAATAAAACCCCTTTCTTGTACATTTCAGCTGATCGGCATTCCTTGGTGTATGAGTGAGCAACCTTGCCTCCTGGACTGATAGCTCATTCTCGGACAAGCAGGCTCTCGTTGCTTTGTACTCATGGCAGAGGGAGACGTATTGGTGAGGCATTGGTCATGCAACTGCAGAACTAGCCACGGCTGCCTGCCTCGTGCTCACCTTCCTCGCCCTCGCCCTCGCCAGCCTGATCCAGCCGCTTAGCCCCGAATATTTGCCCTAAACCGCGTATCACAAATAATCTGACTAAACCTACTCGGCCGCTCCAACATCCACCTCCCATTATTCCCATCCACGAACGAACGTCGTATCAAAGTTCGCAGCTCTCCGCCCAAGCACCTCCCTCCCATAGTGGTCAAAGACGGCGCAGCGAATGGTGGCTGGGTCGAAGTTGTTGCCGACGACAACTCGAGAGTGTGTAGGTGACGCCGGTGTGGACATTGGCCATGTCGCGGTCGCCGCGAGAGGTTGAGGGGGCGTTCATGATGCTGATGGGGTGGGACGTTATTGGTGGAATGGCACAACAAGAAGGCAGTGACGAGCGAGGAGGCTTCAATATTCACTCCCACGAGGCAAGGCAAGATCGTAGCACAGCTAGAATGCCATCGTTCGTATTATCTTCTACTCAAAAAGAATGCCGAAGCCTCGCAAGTTGCCATGATCTTGCGAAGTACAGTGCTTCCTGGCTTGCTGCTGTTGTCGCTCATGCCGCTTGACGACATCTTGTCGTCTCAATGATCGCTATATCATGATCATACAGGTGCCATTCAATGGTCCAAGTCATTCCGCCAGCCATGTGGCGGCTCTTCCGATTCCTTCTAATCCCATGCCACGGCAATGTACGGGGGTAGGTAGTCGAAGATGGAGGGGATGTGTCCTTTGCTTAGTTGTCAGGGATGCCATCAGTTGACTGTCATTGTCTCCAGCACCTGCAGCAATGGCGTGGTTTGAAAATCTGTGTGCTCGGCTTCACTTTCCTATGGTTGGCCGGCGGTAGAGTGGTTGGGATCACTCTCGAAGTGAGTCTTGACAGCACCATTGGTAGGAGCTGGACTTGATTGGCCTTCAATTGGCATCGACTTAGTGCGGTCTTCGGTATTGCCGTAGATAGTAGGTGGATCGACCGGATCAGAAGCTGAGGACGCATCTGGTCCCATCGAGGCACCACAGCCAACGCCTTCAATCATAGTCGACTCTTTGGGCAGCGAAGAATTCTCCTTCCGCGATGGTGGTGCACCTGCAGTAACGCCGGCTTCGAAAGCAGCCAACTGCGTACCATGCATGATGTCATCGTGGTCAGAGTCGGACTCGTGGACAGACCTGAAATCTTCCACACTAGACAAACTGGGTGTTTCGCTAGTCACTGAAGGACTCTTTGGCCTATGCTTGATAACCTCGCTGTGAAGCGCATTCAGCTCAGCAACAGTGAGGAACTTGTTGATGCGAGGCTCGGCCGCCTCCAGATGGTCGTTCTGGTCGTGCTCGTTCAGATGAACGGTCAGGCCGTTCGCGCTTAGGCTGTTAGGTAATCGGGAAAGCAGTCCGCCGGGTTGCCCATGAGATGATAGAGGATCTGTCTCCTGGACTCCAGTGTAGTAGAGCATAAAAACATGGCGACCCCATGAGCAAACTTCTTCTTCGCTAATTGGTGTTACGTTTTCGTCGTCAAAGTTGTACCAATCTTTCCCCTCCTTTCGCATAGCAATATAATGACCATTCTCGTGGCGTCCATGATGCCTCGTGACAGACCTGAGCTCATAGGTACGTGGCGAAGCTTTCTGGACGGATCCATCTGCCGGGAAATCGGTGCACCATTCGGGCATGATGCTGAGACGGGTGCTAAACCGGATATTGGCTCGATTCACGCTGCTGCCACCGTAGTCATCCCACTGGCTACGATTTATGTGGAGAACCAAAGCTTCAGGCAAGCGAAGTAGTGTCGTCTGTTTCCTCTTGGTGCGACGTACAGGCTTTGGGCTTGTCTTCAATTTCTTTGGTGGCGACGAGCCGTCCTCCGAGCCTTGATGCAGCAAGTTGGTCCGGCTTTCTTTCTCTGTGCAGCTATCACATTCGACACCAGGGATATCTTCAGCCGTCGTCAAATCGTAGAGTAATTCCTCGACGTCATAAGAATGCTGTTGGCCCGGGTTGAGCGTCAGCAAGGTAAATGGATTACCTTGGCCCTCGGAGAACCCACAAGTCATGCACTTCATTTCATCAAACTGTAACCCACTCATCGCTATCTGTGGTAGTGCCTCAAATGCCCTCGTGTATGCCGCGGATACGGTGGCCTCATTGGATGTCGCGCACGGCATCGGTTTAGGCGAGGATGACAGTCGTTGGAACACAGCAGCAGGATCTGGAGTGGGATCCTTCTGTAGAGACTCGAGCCCTGACTTCGAGAAGCGTTTGCAAAGCGCCTGGAAACATGAGAGCCTTTCCTTTTCCAATGCGTCCATGACTTCCGAGACATACTCTTGAGCGTCGTGTTGCTGCAAATTCTTCATAAAATCTAACGCGGATGGTGCAGAGTAGCAAGAACTTCCGTCCGTGATCTGAGATAACCGCTGAAACAACCACCAGAGTGCGTCATGGGTAGGAGTCTTCGTTTCGAATTCTGTCCGCGCGAAGAAGTCATCGATGTACTTTCGGAAGCACGGAAGCGATGCACATCCTTGCAGAGAAGCGTTTTGATAGCAGTCGTTGGCTGGATTGAGCAGACCAGGCGGAGTCCACACAGCCTGTGGAAGATGCGCTATCATTTTGTCTGGTGACTTGATCGTACTGCGTCTGGGGTGCGGCATCAGAAGGTGCTTCAAAGCGACGGCTTTGGCGCTTTGGTCGCCGAAGTCCGATCGCTTGAATTGGAATGCGTCGTCGGAGCCCACACCAACTGCTCTCAGCATGGCTTGTAGTACGAATATCGCTCGGGAAGGTATGAGATATACGGCTACTTCATACAATTGTCTGACGTTGGTCGGTCGTCGCAGTGGGACATGGTTGAGGACGTAGTATCCAAGGAGCAAAAGAACGCAGGTACCAAAGGCTCGAGGCAAGAACGAGTCTGGAGTCTCCTCCCGTGCGGCAGGAGCCTGCCAGCTGAAATCTGGGTTCATCGTGGAAGAAAGGGAAATCGTGTTGGAAGGAGCGCATACGATTGATGCGCGACTGCCAGGTCCCTCCAGTTGCGGCTGAGGCGTTGAACATTGTTCACAGTATGCCCGCTTGTACGCGAGCACGACTGCCTACCGGTGGCCAAAGAGTACCGCGTTGCTTGCCTGCGAAGTGAGGTAGGGTACTCATCAAATCACAAGAAAGATACATTTGATGTTGTGAAGTTTACGTCTTCTCCAAATCTTGAGTGTTTAATCCGCCAGTGTTCGGGGGCACTATGAAGACCGGATGACGAGCCTATCCTCTATCTGGAGGGATCATCCTGGGTTCCTTGGCATCACTGCCCGCTCAATACCTGCTTGAGCCTAATATCATCCCACTGCCGTCGAGTCTCATGCATATCGCCCACAGACTGCTCCTTCATGCCATCTAGTACAGCCGAATAAGCCTTCCAAGCCTCGAACGACTTCCTCCTCCCTTCTTCCGCCATCATCCGCTCCTCTTCTTCGTTCTCTCGAGCCTGTGCCGGATCACCTTGTGCATTCTTTTGCCACCACTTAACCCAAAGCCATGCAAGCGCCCTCTTGTTGTAGGTTTGTAGAGTCGGAAGTGATGGGATGTCACCGTGCACGATCGTGTGCCGCAGATCCACGAAGTCTTCAGGCATATCGATCTTCGCGGCAAAGGCATACATCGAGCTCTCGCCCCCGCCCTTGACTCGAGCCTTGATTGTTGCAGACGCCGTTTCGTCGCTATCTGACGCCTCGACGGCTGGAGTGTCTGGCACACCCACGTCTTCGTGCTGAAGCATGCTGGAAGCGTTGCTTGTAGCAATGTCGCGATCAACGAAGCCATTCACAAATTTGACGAACGCCATTGCGTAGATACTCCTGATGGCAGTGTTCGAAATCGAATCCTTGCATGATTCGTGTTGCAATACCGCTTCCGTAAGGTTTGCTGTAGCCACCACAGCGTGTGGTGTGAATGGGTTTCGGAAGGTATAAATACTGACTGTGTCTACCGCATTTTGCCGTCTATCGGTGCCGGGTATCGAGAATGGATCTGCTGTTGCCTTGTCTGGATAGAAGTCGTCGCGAAGCAGGGCAAGCTCAGATTGATTCTGCCAGGGGTCTTTTCGAGCGTTGCGAGACATCTCAAGGCCTTGTTGGAGCCATCGACACCTTAGACCTACCTGAACGGACAGCTTCTGCAGCAGATGCCTGCTGTCGAAATATCGTATGGAAGATCGAAGAAAGTTAGGGTAGCTGCAGTCTGCGTTTGTGGAGGTCCTGTGTGAGCAGACACTGTGTGTAAGGACCAAGCAGTTATATTCGGGGACTAAGACTCGCTGCTTTGCATCGCTCTCCGTTTGTTTCTTTTCAGAGCATCATACACTCCATAGAGCGGAGCTACGCTTCTAATGACGGACAGCAATCTTGAGGCAATAACGGTGGAGGGTATCACTAATGTGGCCAGCTCGACAAGAGCTCATCACGAAGTTCGCACGATTTGCTGAGGGCGCTTGGCAAGCCGGATGACCATAGGAATAGTTGCAAGTTCAACCTCAACCTCACCTCAGTCCTCATCACTTGACAGGCAACAAAACCAGCGCACAACATACCATCTAATTCGACGACACCCAAAAAGCAAAAAGATCAAGCTATTGCCGATGCGCAGGTTGATCTTCAGGGGCTACCCAAACCGCTGACCTGGACTGGTGCTACTCGGTGTAGAACATCATTTTGAACCTCTTCCCGCGTACTAGGGCAATGCGAGGGCGCCTAGTTTCAACACTTATTGAGCCAGGCGCTTGTCATTGACAAGCTGCGAAATGAGGACCTTTGACTCGGTTGTCAGGGCAAATTTTGACCGCTCGAAAATACATCCTTTCCAGACGAAGCAAACAGCCTTGTCTACCCAGGTATGCTCCCCTCGTCGGTTTTGCGGCAGCCTCGTGCGTTTCTCACGTACACAGGTACGACCCAATTGAGTGGCACATTTGGACTTCTCACACTCCAGTTTGGGACATCATACAAGCCCAAAAACCCTGAGCAGAGGTATCGATATCGCCACAACCACAGCAGGAACAGCAAGACCCACCAATACCCTCCTCTTCAACTGCGGGAGCAGCCAATTCAGCCTCATCGTCGTCCGCTTCCTATGCTCGACCTTGTCATTGACCCTCGGAAATGGCACACCTTGCGGCACCTCAACACCCAAGAACTCCGCCAGCGGCTCCCATCCATCACCCATCCGATACTCCAACAGTCTCTCCTTCGGCACATTCTCCCTAATCCACGCATAATGCTCTTCATACCTCGCCCTCGCATTCCTCTTGATCCCCTCCAAATCATCCGCCCTAAACCACCCAGCAAGCGCCCTCCTCATCGCGTACCCAGCACTAGCACCCACAACCCAACCAAAGATCACCTTAATAGCCCACACCTTCCACACACTATCCGGGAAATTCCCCTCAACAATCTCACTCAGCATCGATGGCCACCACTTCTCAAAGTCCCTTTGCACAACCACCACCTTCGCGTCCGGATACGCCGCCACCAGCTGCGGCACGAACATCCCCGCCAGATCCGTCGTCGCATCATACCCCGCAAGCATCTTATCCCAATCCTTCCTCGTGAACGGCTTCGGCTTCTCTCCCGGTTTCGGAAACGTCGCTTCCGCAGCCCTTAACACATCATCCCAGACCTCCCACCCATCCTCAAGCAGATGGTGCGTTCGAAACCCCAGCCTCGCCAACGCGTGCGCAAAGCTCAGACTGCCCATGCGCATCAAGCCGCCGTAGATGATCTTGAGCGGATAGTGGTCGGGTCCAGGTGGAGGGTTCGGTATCGTTACGACCTCGACTTCGTCGAACGACGCAGCTGGCTTGCCGCCATCGGCGCGGTTGTTCTTCATGTACTGCTCTTTGTCGGGGACTTTGTCGTAGTCTGGTGGCATGGCGAAGAGCATGACCCTTTTCAGCAGCCGATAGACGAAGGACATCGTGTTCGTGTCGCTGTCTGCTAGCGACCGATACGGACAGTAGTAACGTGATCGATGAAGGTCAACGCGTCAGCAGTAATGAGCAGAAGCAGTAATCCTTCGCATAAATCTCCTCAAAGCACTCGCGTATCAAACACAGAGCACGGTCAGTCGCACCTACCGCATCCACCGAGATAGCAGGCAGATCCGCATCTTATACGCTCCCCAAGTATTGAGACACAGCCCGACATCGCCGCGAATGTATGCCTACCTACCCTAGCTACAGCCCTATTTCGTAAGTACGTCGTACCGCCCAGCGTTCGGGCCACCCGTGAGCGCATCGCTAGATCCGCGACTGTGCGAGCCTTACATCTGGAAGACACCAGATAAGTATGATCGGATCGTCAATTTCTGGAGAAATCCGACATCGTTATTACAGAAAAAGTGCAGGGTGCGACACATCGAAAGCACGTTCAAGCACTTGAAATTCAGGCACGCAACGATGCCCGACCAATCACATGCGTTGGAAGTCCGATGCACATACGAAGTCCGGCGCCGCGGACCGAGCATTTTTGGTGTGCTGGATGGGTGGTAGCCTTAAACTGAAGATCGTGCAATATATGTTGGTCGGTGCTACTGGTAGGCTTTCAACGAGTTCATCTAATGACAGCACCCTTGGGTGAGATCGTGGGCATCAGTAAGATGAAAGCATTGTGGCGGCAGGAGAATAGATTGGTATTCTTCTCTGACGACGACTCTTGGTTTCTTCACGAGCGTCTCAAGAGCAGTTGAGATGCCAGATCTCGCCCATGCGCTCACGCTCTGGTGCTAAGCAACTCCCTCGAAGCCGATGCGAGCTGCTAGCCCTCTCAACCGGCCTGCCCAACTCTTGCTCAGAACCGCCGTTTGCGATTGCTTCCTCTCAAAAGTAGCCATACCCTCCACCACTCATTGGCAAGCCCTGCTGCGCCATGACATAGTTCGGGTAGAACATTCCACTGTCCTGTTCCCGCTGCTCCAGCACAGTCGTTGTGACCGACTCTTTCTCGTCTGAAGGGAAGAGGAAGCTGTGGCCAACCAAACTGTTCTGCTGATACATCGGATAGGTCTCTTCGCCGGAAATACTGACGGCCGCGAAATCGTCCGGCTCCGAAATTGAATCTTCGACCTCTTCCTCCTCTGCACCTGATTCCAGCTCGTCTCCCTGACTGCTCTGATCCTGCTCCTTCGATTCAGCTGGTGGCTCAAACGCTTCCTCCAATTTCAAGCTTCGCCTCCTTTCCAGCAGCCCACCTCTGAGGCCGAGTCCTCCGCCTGATCCGAAAAGTAGCGATGACGATTGAACGTCGGCAGGCGAATCGTAGAGACCCATGGCGACCAGCTCTTCGCCTCCATCCGCGTCGGATTTCGAAAGTATGGGCTGTTCGGAAGCTTTGTTGTTCAGGTCCAATGGTGAGGCTTCGATGTCGATGTCGCCGCCTTGGATGGGGAGAAAGTCTGGAGATGACGGTGCGGTGGGCAGATCTTGGCTGAAGAACGTTGCTTGTTGTGGGTGATAGGGCTGCGGATGGTACGTGGGGATGTTGTTGAAGCTGGTGTTGAGGTTTGGTGGGAACATGGCGTCCATGGTGGCGTGATTCTGCTGAGGTAGCCAGTATTGTTGGTCAATGTACGCTGGCATGTCAAAGGCATGGTTGTTGAATTCCTGGGCGGAGAGGCTCTCGAGGGGAGTGATGAGCTCGTGGATCTGAGGTTCGTCTATGACTGGCTGGGTGAGTGGGGTGTATTGACCGTACGCTGAGGTCGTGGTGGCGTCGTAGAAGGTGGAAGGCTGGTAGACGCTACTGTTGTCGAGGTAGAAGGAGGTGTCGTGCATCGAAGGGCTGATGTTCGTGGCATAGGTGTTAGGATGCCAGCTCATGGGCCGCGACCGTGATTGTTGATTGATGTGGTGATCTTGTTGTTGCGGTGCATTTGCTCGCTGCTTGTCCAAGACAGAGCGTGTTCTGCCCATGACAACATTGCTACCAGACCCCGTCGTTGTTGTCCTCCGTCGTGCCAGATGCCTGGGACTGGTATTTCGACTACTTGGCTTCACGATCTTGGCGGGTCTCCGGAAGTAATTCGATACATTCGAAGCGAATGGTGACTGTGATTGTGTGAGGTTGTACATTGTTTCTGGCATGGGCTGTACCCATCCAGACTGATAATGCATGGCGAAGTTGTCCTTGTGTGTAGTACATCGAACATTAGACGAAGGCGTGGGAGATGCGAGGTTTTGTTCAAGATGCTAGCACGGACCTAGAAGGGGCAGCAGGAAACCGATGAGATTAGCTTTCAAAACAAGCAGGCAGGCATGATGTGTGGGAACCTCATCAAGGGAACGAGCGTCAAGAGGTGGAGAAGCATCGGCTGTGGATGTTTTAGTGGAAGGTACAAAAAAGCAAAACGGTGGCCGACGTTGGCGGTGAGCAAGCACAAACAGACGAATCGGAAGCACTCGATCGAGAACAAGAGACCGGCAAGATGCGTCAGAATAGACGATTGCCCATATTTGGTACGGGTTGACGCTCTGACATGGTGGCAAGGAACAGGAATGCAGTCTGGGATGAGATAGGCAAGGGCGTCCAAATTGGATCGTTAGCAGGCCATCCATGATCTGGAGCTATTGCCCCAGGAGTATACTTTGGCTGTTATGCACGGCGCCACGGTGGTGGTTGGATGACACGCGGTCGGACGCAGGACGGAGAGGGCCTTGTCTGGGATAAGATTGTATGAAATGCTGCGTGAGACTGACTGGGGCGAGACCAGGGGAACTTTGTATGGAAGAACGATGATGGCGTTGTTCGAACGAAGGTTTTAGCACACGCCAACAACGACCAGGGCAACAAGTAGTGGCTAGGCATGGGTGTTGGAGCCACAGTATGCAGCAGATCGCGCAGGACTTGACTTCTGACGGCGGCTGAGCCAGTGATGCACCATTTGACACGAGACGCGAGTCGAAAAGGCAAAGAGACGAGGCCCGGGTATTGAGCTCATACGAAAACAAGATCAATAGCATCAGGAATTCAGAGACGACCAGTAGGAGATAAGCATTCCTCGCACCAATGCAGGATTGATGCTGATTGAGTGACCGTCCGGCCGGGAGGATGCGGCAAAGCTCTGACCAAGAAGAAAAGTCTTCGGTCGTATCGAATTGTTCTTTGATGGCTTTTGCCATGTGGAGTGGGGCACAGTACAAGACTTGTCAAAACGTGGAGTCCAAGAGCGAAGCCCACTGCGATCGAGATGAGCGTCTCTCACTAATCATGCTCTACATGGTCCGTATCAGGCAGGAAAAGGATGATCCATAGCTCCCTTGACCGTGTTCTTACAAGCGCATGAATGATCTACTATGGTTCCGCAGATACCTAGGGCGGGCGCTGTGACACCTAGCAGCTGTTGATCACTCCTGTCTGTTTTGTACGGACATTGGATGCGAGGAAACGCTGCCGCAGGTATCTCGCCTGAATCGAACCAGTGTGATAGACGCGGAACCGTAACAGATTCGGAGCCAGACCGACAAGGGGCGTGCGGGCGGTGATACAAGCATTATCATGTAGTTGTGGCTGCACACCGTGCAAATCTGAAGGAAGGGACGAGTCTGGCGCTTCTCGTTGTACAGACTCGCATGCAAGACTACCTTGCAAGTGCGCATTCCATCAGTTGACGTGCCACACATCAAACCCTTGCAAGCACAATCAAGTATCAGCCTGCATGCACCTAACATACCGCAATTGATGGTCGTCTGATCGTGAGGCACGAAGCTTCGCAGTCAGTGCCAGCCATACGACCCAGTCTAAGCGGCTTACACACGGCTATGAGCCTCGATATGGACTTGACCGATACGAATGTATAGGCTCATCATCACAGCGAACCCGATAGTGACGACCCATTCTTGCCGTGCCACAGTTCGACAAGGCCTTAAAACTTCGCACAGACCTTTCAATCTGAGGCGCCATGGCCCCCTAAGTCGGCAGTCGGGGGCGTCGACTGAAATCATGCAACAGGCGCCAGCGTTTGACTATTTCCAGCACCTCGGGCAATAAATTATGGGTTACCCTGTCGTTAACTTGCTCCCTTGCACTAACGGTGTCGTATTGTGCCCACCCATTCCACATGGTCCGCAGGATGTCAACGTCTTACGGTGACACCAGCCACGCCAGTCCACAGTACGCATTCGCTGGGTCACCAGGTGAACCGGCTGATGGCCTGAAACCCGAGAGACAATGATGTTGGTGACACGCATGCATATCAGCTATTTCGTCACCATGTCGAGATCATGAGACGCTCAGGGAAACCATCTCGAAGACTTTACGGCTCCGATGCAACCGAAACCAACCCTGGCTGAGATCGTTGCCCAGCCGTCCCGAATTGGGTTTGGATGATTGGAATTGGAAAGCACTTAACGATCACTTCGGATCATCCTTTCTCGTTGCAGCTTCCCGCCGTCTCGCTTCCCACAAATCCACCACTGCCACAGCCAAGACTAAATGTAAGCCAGAAGGTCATGGCGACCTTAGTTCATTACGCATCTGCCGTGCAGGCCACCGTGACTGTTGCAGACCGGCACGCCACGATGTTGCTTGTGGCGTGAGTAGTCACGGTCAATGCAGACTGCGTCAATGATGGCAACTCGTCACACAGCTTTCGTCATGGTACTAATGTCATCGCCACGAGACTTTTGGTCGAGCAGCCGAGCCAACGCCTTGATGAATGTTGAACTTGCAGGACAGGGATCCTCATCATCTGGAAAGTCAGGATCCACCTGTTCCACCAGATCCCTGCTCGGGTCCAGACTGGGTCTTCGATTGTACTCCACATAAATACTCATCCGCCTATGTGACTTGGGTTTTGGGGAGAGACAATAATCCCACCAGCAACGTGTTAACGTGTAGCTCCGTCACCTTCTGGCTGCACGCCAGCTGTGCACGTACGTACTCGTCTTGAAGCAGCTGCGTTCCCATAACGACTGCTGTACTGCGCCTTGTCACCTCACGCGCGTCAGATTTTGGTTTGCAGGGAGGGAAAATTCAACACGGGATCACCGCAATCGAAATCGATGTCTCGTTTTCGCATGCACGCGGGGGTTGACTGATATCGTACTCGCCTGATGCACTAGGTCATGCTAGCAACCGAGTGAATTTTCAATCTCGCCCAATCACCCCCTGATGGCTTGACGGCTTCAAGTCACGACCACTACGGAGAATAATCTTTGATGGTGGCCGCGCCTCATCGTAGCGACACACCCGGCAAAGGAGCGATTCGATTTTCGATACTTGACCTACGACACTGGTGGACACAGTCCGTCTCAGGCCCCGTGCTTTGTGGTTGTTGGACCAGTCGGCAATTGCTGTATCAAACAATTCATAACTTGATGGCAAGCTTCGCAGCATCTGCAGCACGATCGGAAATGCAATCATGCAAGGTCGCCTGGGGAAGCATTCATGATCATCACACCTTGCCTTGATGTATCTGGGACTGCCACAACTGCCCAGTAGGAACCAACTTTACCGTAACCTCTCGGCTACGCAATGCAAGGTTAATAACCAAGAAAAACTTTCCCCATCAGCCAGCCGGTCGGAGCCCACCTGACACCAAAACTCTGTCGGAAGACACCTTTGCACGAATCAAAAGCTTCACGTTCTCGACAAGATCGAACAGTAGCTGGAACACCTCGACGAATCAAGTGCTTCGACGCCAGAGCGCAACACCTCCCCCTCACCAGCATCATCAGGAACCAGTCTGCGCGATGTTGGATTGGCTTTCTTCGGAGGCTCACACTTTTGACCGCCAAAACAACATCATGCCCCCATGCTCTATGATCTCTCTTCCTCGCCTCAGGGCCAGCTCACCAGCACGCCCTGGAGCTTGCCGCGTAGCAAGAAAAATTACCTAACAGACTTGTGCCACACAACCGACGACGTTGGCTGGCTTCCACATCACATCGTGGCTCAGCAGCACGAGGAGGATGCGACATGATGCATGCCCGGCTTCTCACGGGATTCCTGGTGGAAGGTAAGGCAGAGAAAGAACAACCTTTTCGTTGTGCGCAAACTCAATTACCACGACCTGCAGCAGTCGAGCCACCTTGGCTGCAGCGTGCAGCATTTCTTCGTGCACGAGGTGTGTGGCTTGCTTCGACTGCGTGCATTGGATTCTTGGCCATTGGTTGATTGTTGCTCTGTTGTCCCTTGCGTCCTTTCCTTTTTCATGCCCATGCACTGACGCCTCTTAGACGGCTGAGCCACTGACATGCGTGCCACAATATGTCAAGAAGGTACTCATGCATGAGTGCGACTACGCGCGGAACGAAAGCGAGGTCTTGGCCCTGAACTTCAGGATTGTTCTCCAGGATCGATTCATGATTTTTTAATTTGCTGCCTGAGGAGAGCTTTGTTAGCGCACCTGAACATCAACAACACGGGCCGTCGCTACAGCTGTTGCATTCTTGGCCTCCCTTTCATGCACTCAGCCAGTGGACACGCCGCCGGATCTGCTCATGCATATCGTCATTGTTGTTGCGTTGCTGGCAAGAACAACAATTTAGGGTCGACTGCCTCATTTGGAGCTGCCAGGACGGGGATCCCGTCTCCCGGCAGGTAAGGACACTGTCGTTCGACGAGGCAGACACCATCACAGGCAGTAATGATCGAGACGGCGTCATTGGTGCCACGTCCGCAGCGACTACGATATGTTGCCTCACGGGATAACGACTAAATACGATGGTGCGAAGACCAGGCTATTGCACGGCTTTGTGACACGCAGCAAATCGACATATAGCTACCTCGTGGACTTTAGTCGTGCCATCGGACTGGGCAGAGTGGCAACTGGTAGGTCTTCCCAACGAGCGTGGCTTCTGCCAGCTATGCAGTTCACTTGACAACGACGCCGCCGATGGTCTTGGCGACGACGCAGTCTCGCACGGTCTGTAGCCGAGTCAACAACCACAAATAGTCTTGGGTCTGAATCACGCCGTCAACACAAACACATAGCCATCATTGATCAGGCTTCACCTCCCACGAACACCTCGACTTCATTGTTAGCAACTTCCAAAAAAGCAATAAGGCAAGGCCCACGATCTGTGATCACAGATCGTGGTGCCTCCGAGTACTCGTGGGCCCCCGAGTTGTTCTCGACGTTTTTTGGATTGATTTTTAGGCAGAGCTACCCTTCTTTTCGAGGTAGTTGCAAGGTAACACTATCTGGATATTGTCAGGTCCACGATCTGGATCACAGTCGTGGGACCTCCGAGTTATTCTCGACATTTTTGGATTGAATTTTGGTCAGAGCTACCCTTCTTTTCGAGGTAGTTGTGAGCGAAATTCTGAAGGTTTTGATATATTAAGGGTGGTTGCTGGGGTGAAACCGATAGGGAAGCAAGCAAGTGAGGAGTCAAGGCCGGGTCAGATAGTAGTGAAGTCGTGTTGAAGTTGAGAAGGGCTTGGCGACGATGGACAGCGGAAATCGCGTCGCAGTCGCGGCAGAGACTCAGGCGCTGAGGTGTTCTGCCTCATTCGGACTGCCTTTTGCAGGCGAGGCGCGCTCTTTCATAGACGCAGATCGTCCCCTTCCCCTCTGAGCGGACGACATGGCAATACTTACGTATTCCAGCCATATACCTCGCCAAGGGTATACATCTACTTCAAATTCACGAATATATGCGTAGTCCCATGTGGGAGTGTTGCCGCGTGGGACTCAGCTGGACTTCGACAACCCTTTCTAGCACTCTCATCGCCACGTGGAATTCAGGTAGGCTCCAGCATACATATCCATTCCCTTCTTATTTGATCTCAGGCCGACGTGCCACCTCTCCAGATACTCCAGTAATCGCCATGAACAAGTCGCTACGATCGGCCTCACCTCATGAAATTTTGGGTGTTGACAGACATGCAACCACGGAGCAGGTCAAGAATGCATACAAGAAGCTCTCCCTGCAACTCCACCCAGACAAGAATCCGCAGAATCGTGAATGGGCGACCGCCAAGTTCAAGGAGCTCAACGCGGCCTACGAGATCATGGTACGTATGTCTTGCCTCATGGCCAGACGTCCCTAACCACCCCAGGGTCAAAGAGTCAGTTAATTTGACCGCCCCCAGAGTAATCCCTCCGAAGCCGGCCTCGCCATCGACAAGCAGCTTGAGCAGCTCTTCAATCAATTCTCACAGAATTTCAAGCAAAGCCTCGCAGATTTTGAGTACGACATCACGCAAAAACTCGAGAGCACCACGAAAGAAATCGCGGAGCAGCTGGACACTGTGAGGGAGCAGTTGGCCGCCAACACCGAGACGATGCGAGACATAACTGAGCAGCTGGCCGCCAACACGGAGACGATGCGAGACATAACTGAGCAGCTAGCCGCCAACACCAAGATGATGCGAGACATAAATGAAAAGCTGAAGCTTCCAGAGGACGAAGAATCCAAGAGCGAAGGAGTGGGTATCTAAATATCTGTTACTCGCCAAAATGAAACACAATAGGAACCCTGACTCCAATCAGCAGGATTTGGGGCTCAGGTACACAAGCTGACAACACTTCTGCCGCTGCAAAGTGGAACCAAGGTCAATGTCAAGGCGCTCGAAGGAATACTTCCAGACCGACCTCACCTCTTCCGCTTGGCCCCCTATACTCAAACTTCAATCCTCTGCTCATTCTGCCGCATCCGACTTCATCAGAACAGGCTCCACCCCTTTCCCCTCCCTCCGCTCTTCGTAGCATCGACTCCTACGCCATGCTCCTTCCTAACCCTCCCTTCCATCTCCCTCAACCCCTCGATCTTCCGCAACACCATCTCCAACCCCTCCTTCCGCCTCACCACCTCCAAATGCCGCCTCACCTTCCCATCCTCCCCCGCAAACCTCTCCACTTCATCCACACTCAACCCCTTCCCCAGCCTCAAATCCAGCTCTCTCGGGAAATTGTAGTAAAATTCGCTCAGTAACTCGACGTTGAGGAAGAGGACAGCGGTAGAGGTGAGTTTGTCTGCGACGACATCGAGGAAGATTTCGGGACAGGCGTATTTGTTCGATTTGGTGGCGCAGGTTTTGGATTTGATGGCGAGGAGGCGGAGTTGGAGGAGGGAGGCGCGTTGGGAGAGGAACGTTGCTTGGCGGCCTGGAGAAGAGGGGATGGATATTAGCATGTTGTTTGAAGGACACGGGCCCTTGAGATAGAGCCAAGAAAGGAAAAGGGATATGGGGGACAGGATGGGGTTGTGCAACTCACCACGCTCCAACAACTCAACCGAAAACCCACCCGCACCAGCACTAGTATCACCGCCGAGCACAACCTCGCCTTTGCGCACTCGCTCTATGAAGGCGGTGACGTCCTTGAGCTTTCGTTTTCCAACAGCGTCCTCTAATTGTTTCCGCGCAGCCTCACAAGCCTTGAGCTCTTCTCGCAGCACAGCATGGATATTCTGCCGGCCCTTAGCCCACTCATGATCATCGACCTCGATCTCGAATTTATACGGCTTGATGCAATTCTCCACCTGGTCGGAGGTCGAGTAGAACCTATCATTCAGGATCGTGCCACTCGCGTCGCGAATCGCTTTCTGCGCAAACGGATGGGAGGCGAAGGTGGACGCGTCGATCAGCTGGTTTACCTGGTCTTGTAGTTGGGTTGCTACCGCCATGGTCGCGAGACGTCCGATGCCAAGCTTGGTGAGTTCGGAGGTGCTGGCATCGAGCTTGCGCGTCCAGTATATGTTACCCTCGGTGGCTTTGGAGAGCTGTTCGAGGGATTCGGGCTCGATTTGGGGCGGTGCGAGGTCTTCGATGGGCTTGTTCCAGTAGCGTTTCGCCAGGAGGTCGAGGACTTTCTGGTCGAGGACTTGTTTCAGCATTTGGCGGACCTCGGGCCGGCCGAAGCCTTCCTGGAAGGCTTTGAAGTTGTGTTTGAAGGCGTCGAGGGATTCGGCGAGGTAGGATTCGGGGGACAAGGCACGCTCGTTGTATTGGACTTTGAACTCGTAGCTGGCTTCTTCGAGCTCTTGGACGATGGCGTCGCGCGTACCGGCTAGGCTCGCGGCCATGACTTGCTCAAGGGTCGTCATGAGCTTTTTGCGGAGTTTGGGTGTGCCGACTTGCAGGTCTGATTCTGAGCCGAATTGGATCGGGTGGGACGTGAAGTAGGCGTTCTCGTTCTTGACAATGGCGGTGGTGACGTTTGTGCCGCGGTTGAAGAGTGTTTGTTGTGGTATTTTGCACACTACGCCGACGTAGCCGAGTCGCAAGGGGTATTTGCGATCTGTGAGGATGTCGACTCCGCGCTCGGGGTCGACGAGGTCCATTTTGGTGATGACACCGATTGTTCGCTCGCCTCTCGGGTCGACTCGTCTGCTTGCTCTGAGAGCTGTTGAATTAGCCAGATCAACATCAGCTGCTGAAATGGCGAGGATGACATTCGGTGGTTGGATGTATTTGTCGCATAGGTCCGAGATTTTCTGCTTCAGTTCCAGGGGCTGGTCTTTCCCAACGACCTGAATGTAGCCCGGCAGGTCGATCAAAGACAGGTCCGGCACATTGGGACTGTAGATAGAGAGTTGTATAGGATCATCCGTAACGCACTGCTCAGCAGGGACAGCAAGGTTGAGATCTGTCAACGTCCGCTGAATCTGGCTGAAGTCGGTGATCTTGCCCAATTTCAAGGCTGGAAACTCGCCATATTCTGCCTTCGCATCTGGAGTATTGACCAGCGTCAATTCTATTGGCCGCCGAGTGACCATGTTAGAGCCCTTTGGCAGGAATTCGTGGCCGACAATGGCTTCCAACACCGAGCTCTTTCCACTGGACTGTGAGCCGATGACCACAATCGATGGCAGAGTCAAAGCGTCAGATTGACCAATAGTGTTGAGCAGTGTCCGGATCTCGATCATCTTCTTGGTGAGCAGCATCATCTGGTCGTCTCTTACAATCTCTGATCGGCTCCGCTCGTCGTCTGTTGTTTCCACGCCAAACGCTGCTCCAGTCGCCGCTGCAGCGGCAGCCGCTTCCTTCTTGCCACCGCCTCCGCCCTCGCCGCCAGGTCCGCCATCGTCTGAGGCTGTCTTGGTCTCAAGCATCTCCCGCATCCATTCCGGTATCTCGACCTGCTCTTTCGTCCGCCTCCAGCCAGTGCCAATTTGCTCCAGCACATCCTTCCCACCCGAGAACAACGAGCCGCCAGCGGTGGTCGCACTGTCCCATCCCCGCTTCGCTGCATCCATCGCCGCATTGCCAGCCTGCGTCGCCTGATATTGAACATAAGCAACGCCGCCTATTATACTCGTAGCGAAAAGCGCAGGCAGCCGCGCCATCTTCATCGCCAGCCGTGGCAGGATGCGCACGAACGATATTGACCGCACCGCTGGCACATTGTGAATAGCGTTGGCACCGGAGGGCCATCTTCGACGGACTCGTAGTGTCTGTGAGGGGCGAAGTATGCCGCCGGAGCGGGTGGTTGTTATCGGCGATACATGGGTGGTGGTGTGAAGTTGTCGCGTTGCCTGACGCAGCGACGGCGCAAGGCGGGCGGATAGGAGGCGCCCATTCATTGATCTATTGCAGTCGTCACGTCATGAGAGTTGTATGAAGAGTGCGCTGCAACAGATGTCTGTAGCCGACCGAATGAGTCAATGGTGGCACGGATGTTGATTGATGGGCCATTCGAATGCCAGAGAGATGCCGTCATTTGCCAAGCCTAGCACGAGCGCTGCCTCACCTCCCCTTCAACGACATGCCTGGCCCTTTATGACCAGGCGGTGTGTTCTGATTATTATTACTATATTCCGCGAACCTATATCTGTTCTCTTTCTTCTTTCTGGACATCGTTTGGCGTTTTCAGGCGTTTGACGACAACAAGTTGGATCTCAACGCCGTTCCGCGCAGACGCTTGAGTACCTTGCCCGGCCAAGTCTGACTCAACACTTGCCAAAAGCTCCGAACACAGCGGAAACATACCAGAACTCTCCCGTCATTTCTGAAACAAAAGCAAGCGGCGGGCCGCTCAGTCTGATCTACAACTGGCTTACATAGATCAGAAGCTAGCTTCTCTACCTAGATTGCTCAACAAACCTGAATCCACCATCCTAAGGGGACCAAAATGTGCCGGTTCCTGGTATACTGCGGCTCCTCACCCATCATCCTCTCCAAGTTGGTCATCGAGCCCTCACACTCCATCCTAACACAATCCTACGACTCCAGACTACGACTCGACTCCCGCCGTCCAGTCAATGGAGATGGCTTCGGCATCGGCTGGTACACAGATCCATCACTTGGCCCCGACCCATGCATATTCACTTCAGCCATCCCCGCGTGGAACTGCACCAATCTAGAACGACTGGCTCCCAAAACATCCTCAAAGCTCTTCTTTGCCCACGTCCGAGCTACTACAGAAGGATCGTTAGCAGATGACAACTGTCACCCCTTCCAGCATGAGACTCTCATGTGGATGCACAACGGCAATATCGGCGCTTGGAAGGCCGTGAAGCGACCCCTAGCAACCTCGATCAGAAATCGATGGTTCCTCAGCGTAAAGGGCGGCACTGATTCAGAATGGGCATTCGCCTTATTTCTCGACACACTCGAATCACTAGGCGTCGACCCCTCCTCCCACCCAGAAGGCGGCTTTCCACCCCAACTCCTCCGCAAAGCCATGAAGGAGACCATCGCCAAGATCAACGCTTTTGTGAAGACCGCAACCGACGAGCTGGACCAGATCAAGCCCCCAAGTCAACGACCCACCTCCATCCAGACGGCCTCAAACCTCCCCCTGCGCCGTCCGACCTGGAGACCCGCTCCCTCCTAAACTTCGCCCTCACAGACGGCCACTCCGTCATCGTCACCCGCTACGTATCCTCCCCAACCGACGCCGCCGCCTCGCTCTACTACTCCTCCGGCACCGCGTGGGTCCAGGGCCCGCAACCAGGCCAGTTTCGCATGGAGCGACGCGATAAAGCCTCCGATGTTGTGCTCATTGCCTCCGAGCCACTGACTTTCGAGCGGCATAATTGGTTGAGTGTGCCCACCAACACGATTGTGACGGTGAGTAACCAGACGGTGGACGTAAGGCCTGTGCGAGATGAGAATTGGGTTGATGGCGTGGAGGGGGAGGGTGTGCGCACTGAAGCTTCGCCAAATCAAAGGGGCTTGTGAGCAAAGCGCCTGGCGGAGGGACGGAGACGCCCATGGTGGGGCCGGGCACACCCAAACCTTTGGTGGAGGAGAGCACGGGCCTGAGTGTGCGGACGAAGGGTGGCAGCGCTGCGGAGGCGGCCGAGGTCTCCGACGGCGATGACGACGATGACGACGGGCCCATGAATACGCACAAGCGTGGAACAAATGGAAGTCGCGGCGAAATGGACTTCTTCAACATGAGGGCCAGAGAAGTGTCCGATCACAACGGTGGTGGTGGCGGTAGAGAGAACATCTGGGCAACGTGAATACAGATGGGCATATTCTCGACATCGATCGATAGCAAATGCTGCCGAGTGGCTGTGGGTACAGAAGCCTCTTCAGGCCCACGCGATCTGGAAAGCAGGGCAGATGGAAACACAGCCAACAGGAGGCAGGATCAGGCAGAAACCGACAATAGAAAGCGTAGGGAAGTGCGACAATACGCAAGGCAGTCGGAGCCTGCGGCCAGGGAGAATGGAACATGCCCTAGTACGACGACGCAATGACCGAATATTGAGATACCCAAGATCTATGCAGGAACAAGAAGAGTCAGAAGTCGTTATGATCTTTCCTCTTTTGCGTGAATGTGACACTGACAGTACCTCTCAGCCAGTTCTCGTAGCGCCCGTCCGCTCTTGATACAGTATTTATACATTGTACGTGACTCAAGGCTCTCCCTCGTCTATCGGTTCTGGGTTGTATGCCCTTCTGAATCGTATGACCAGCAAGTCCGCGACGGCCGATTGCCTCGCTCTTGACGGCCTTGTTGCAGTGTCGCAGAATTTGGGTCGAGCACGGCGCTCCCTGGTGCGCTGGCCCATACAACCCTTCGTCAAGGCTCAAGCTCGAATCCCTGTCATACGCCGCCGGCCAACTTCCTTCCCGCTTCCTGGCCTCAATTGCTGCTCCGGCAAGGCTAGGATCAGAAAGGTAAGGCAGGAGGTGCGTGTGTGAGTCCGTCCGAGGGCAACTCGCCGCATCTCATCCAAACCCGTGGCCCGTGTACTGGGCGCCTGCTATTGTCTAGCAGGTTGGCCTTGACCACAGCATAGCTGCGTCGTACCTCCAGGTCTGGCGTGAAGCTTTGCTGATTTTTGCACTGCTCCGTACAACGCCTTTCATCACCTCCGCGCAGTAGCATACCGCCTCTTCTTGCCATTCTGCACCCAGACTCTCTTACAGCGCATCCTCCGCGCCCGCTCAATACCCATACCGCCCCAACATCCCCCCCATCCCACTCCGATCGCCACCCGCACCCCCATACCCACCACCCCCACCACTACTCATCCTCTCATAAACATCCCCCTCCTTCCACACCAAACTCCCCTCCTTCGCCTCCCCACTTGACACACCCCCACCACTCTCCACCCCTTTCACCCAAACACCCCCCTTCTTCTTCCTCCCCAAGTGATTATCGTTCATCTTCACAATGCTGAATCTCAACATCCGTGGATCCAGCCTCAAATTCCGCTTTATTTCGTGTGTGACAGACACCGAAGAGTCGAATTGCAGGATGAAGTAGTGGCCCTGAAAGTGCTGGGCCTGGTGGGCGGTGCGCGGGCGCGGGAGGTCGAAGACGCCCCAGTTCGTGAGGGTGCGGATTAGGCCGGGGGTCGTGGGGAGGGAGGTGTGAGAGGGAGGGATGGGGAGGGGAAGGGGGTGGTG